ATACCTACAACAATTCATAGATAGATTCTTATATAAGAGCAACGACCTATACAAATCCCCTCCCATTCGCAACGTCCATGCACATATGTTAGAATAACTCTCTTTTGCTGTTAGGTAACGCTCAACAAAAATCAAATATAGCACCTGTCTGACACACAAGGCAAACTCTTTACATAAAAACAGAACTACAAACACTCAAATCACAACTCGTCCATGTATCACGTACTATTTTTGAAATTTGTATAAAAAAGCCCCGTGTGGAGAAGTGCACTCTGGATGCGGCCGCCGAAAATAACACCACGCTCTACTCGGCTATAAAAAAATACAACTGATCGCGATCGAATCGCCCGGTCGGACGGCGCGCGTTCGTTGCAGTCAGCCAACCACCCACATCGGACTAACAAACAAAAAATTACCAAACTTACGTCGGTCCATCCGCATCGTCGTGTCCAGGAAATCGTACATGGTCAACGGAGAAAAATGACGTCTTCGCGGGGACTTCGCGTCGAGGCGCACCGGGAGTCGTTCGGAATATCCCAAACTCGGCTTGGCACTTGGCCACACGCCGCGGGAACTAAATTTGACACAGTATTTTCGTAGCTCAAAAATCGGCGGTCTGCATTTTGTTATAATACCATTACCAACTCTTTGACGACGTCTGGGGTCTCAGATTCTGCCGAGACGAGAGAAATAACCCTCTACCTTTTAAGGGTTTCTTTTAGCTGTAATCCGAATGGCTAGTATGTTAGTAACAATGTTGCCAGGTGCAGATAATATTATGTACCATAATTAATTAATTATGTACCATGTGCAGATAATATTATGTACCATGATAATATTATGTACCATGATAATATTATGTACCAACTGACAAACATTATCGAGAATAATGAGAATTATCTCGAAGACCAGTTGATGGAGCTCTCCCTTGCCACTGAATTGGGAGAAGAGGCGTCATAGAATGGCCTGCACGATCGACGGATTTGTCTCTTTTGGACTTTTTTTTTGTCACTCAAAGTCCAAAATTTTTTACACTCCATCTACTTCCCTTATAGATCTACGCTAACACATTGTCAACGAATGCCGCCAAATTACTTCAGAAATGTTATAAAATGTGCTTGAACGCTTTTTACAAAACAAATGATTGCGACTCTTATTTTGCGTAAATTAAGCATTTTCTCAGTTACTTAATTACTTTGACAAATTACATTTTTATTTTGTTGGTTTCATACAAAAAATTGTGATGTATGGTCTTTCCGATCTCAATTATAGAACCAAGAGGTTGGCAGTATGTACCAGGTTCGGTCGCTGACATAGCAACTCGGCATTGAAATATTTGGAAAACTTGTTTCTATATTTATTTAGCCATACCCATATACAGGTCTGGTCGAACTAAACGTAGAGGTGGTAGAAATGTGTATGCCCAGTGGAAGAATGCGCGCGCGGGCAAACTGTGTATAACACAGCTGCACTGGGCGACTGGGCAAAAAATCTCAGTTGTTGACAAATTGACTAGCAGTGCAGTGCAGCAATGCGGAAACTGGTGTGATTCAGGTAATTTTAATTTGTTATAGGCACCTTCTATTAAACATTTATATTACAATTGTGAAAGGGAGAAATAAGAGGGATATTTTATTTATTACAACATGACATTTTGGAGACCCTTTGAAAAGGAAACAAAACGAAATTTACCATCAATATAATAAAATTGTTTGAGGACATAAATAATTAAAATATGTCGTTGGCTAAAAGAACATATAGAAATTTTCTACACATTATTATAATTTTTTACCTTTAGTAGAAAACTTTTTTAGGGACGCCTATGAAACTCATTAAATTTTATTGCTAGGCGTTTTTATACATGTTCAACTGACTTCGGAAAGACTATACAAAAAAAATACTACTATACTATAAAAATTTGCAAAAAATTAATATGTAGTTGTACCACCTCTGGCAACACTGGCTGGTAAATAAATAAAACGGGCGTGCGCCGTTTAGGGAGACGCTTGCGCGGAGGTCCGTCCCTTGCCCGGTCCCCATAAAATCGATATTCAATTTTGTGTACTTTCTAGACGGTTTGACGCATGCTTTGTATGTGAAACTGTTATGTCGTGAAAAGATCTGCTTGCACTCAGACTTGCACTTGTTTTAAAATGAGGCCGCAAAATGCAAAACCGGATAAATTAACGTCACTCATATAACAAGGCCGTAACTCTCATTCGTGACGTCACATAGAGTGGTTTACCGCAATACAAGAGACGGCGAATAAATAGTCGTAACTAATTCTTGCAGTGTTCGATCATTGGATTTAAAAAGGGCAAAATCTTTTCTTGGCCAATAAAATACTAAATGATTTTTGTAAAACTAAAACTACACGATAAGATGTGGCTTGGCAAAAACTATCGTGAAGGTATAATTTTATTATTAAAATGTGTATAAAGTAATAATAATGTAACACCTATAAAATATGATATAAAGACTTATTTCTGTTAGGGATGGGATGGTAATGGGGAGACAATGCAATTTTGGGTACGAAAATGGAGCCGTTATTAGAGTTCTAGTTCTAGAGTCTTCTAGAGACTCATACCAGATAAACATGTTTAGGTGTATATACAAAATGTTGTAGATATGTCTTATATTCCAACTTGTTCAAAAGTGTAAAAATCTGTTAAGTCAACGTTAAAATTTGCGAGATACAAAATGGGGTAAATCCGCTGGCAGAGCAATGCACCATGTCCATACTTATATGTAGATACATATCGCTAATATGTAGAATTCAAAATGAAGATTCTAACAAGAATGTTTAGTAGCTTCGTTAAAATGCAGTGAATTAATTGCAAATATATTTTATATTTGTTATATAAAAACTTTTATTACTTTACACATTTTCTTCGATGTTTTATTTAATATATTAAAAAAGTATAATTGTAGGTAATAGCTATATATTTTTTGCAGACTTAAAGCAATAGGATAATCTATATAATTCGAAGATGTTCTCTTGTGCAGCAAATACGGTCGGAAATACTTTGTGCAAGCTATTATGCAATAATAATAAACAAATATTTTAAAATGTATTGCAATTATCAATAAAATATTTGTATCATGTATACCTATTTCTTTAATATAATTATATAGATCACGTATCTATTTACGTTTTTAGAGAATCCATGAAAATTTAATTTACTACTACAAGAAATGTTGCTGTAATATTGCACTCATTCTAAATTTCATCGTACACGATTTCTAAATTGTAAAATTTTTATATACGTCTGGCGATTTGTGTAATGTCACTGCAGACTGATAACGATATGTGCAGCCTGCTATGTGCGTCTTACGATTTTGGCTCATCTGATTTAGCTGGTTTACATAAGCCGCAGTCATAGTGATATACAGAGTACCAACACTATGATACCAATCGGGGTACAAAAAACGCTTTTAAACAATAGTCCAAAACTTGTGAAGGAATCTATATTCGTTTGCAGTGAAAATTTAAAGATAAAGAATCCTGTAATTTGATTTAAGTGAAGTTAATTTTAACCCTACTACTACGCAATATTATAACTAAACATCTTAATCGATTATTACAAACCTTGACAACAATCTACTTTAATTTTGAAATAAAATAAATTATATCCATATATGTCAGGTTCAATTAGTTCAGTCATCCAAGGTTCAGAAGCGGCGTTTTCAGGAAAAAAATGTAGAAGTTTTTTCTTACCGATTCTATATGTTTTTTGGGGTGCTGAATTCGAATCTGGTTTGGCGAGATTTGCCACCTCGCCAGGCGTCGGCTTCACAAGGAAAATTGCAAAAAACCTCAAATTTTCGGCTCTTTTTTCAGTTTTTTAACTATAACTCGAAAACTAAGCGTTTTTTGATTATAACTATGATATACCAAATTAAAGTAGATTTCCTACAAAAACGTATAATAACTGTAAAGTCTGTACAATCCATAACGTCGTTAGATCGTATTGAAAAAATGGCATTTCTTGATTTTCCGCTAAAAAATTTGAAAACGTTGACAAAATAGTAAAAAATGTCTCCACTTTCTACTTTCTCTCGGTTACGCCTCTATGAAGTTGAAGTGAAACACACTGTATACAGTACAGAAAGCACAAAATATTTCAGAGTGATCGAATATCTACACATTGCACTGCAATAATAATTATGCTATCTTATCTATGAGCCAAAATATATTTCTTCATATAATGTTTATGGATTTTTCGTCTAACTAATGGTTTACTGTAATGAATTACTCATTACCATTACAAGCGTTTTCAACTCCAACTATATAATTATTCGATAACTTTTCTAGAAGCCTTCAATGAAAAAACTGTTTGTTCACGTTATATTTCAGTGGGTAACCATAATCTCTCTGGATCACCTAAATGTAATAAAAATATGACAACACAAAATGTTTGATTGCGCGTTTATCTAAAAATAACCCATTTAATAAAATTAACTGACAAATATTGGTGCTCAAGGTCCCCTTTATAATATGCATTCATCGTCTATGAAGAGAGATTTGCTTGTAATTCAATACAACTACCTCAAATTGCTTTTCGATCGTAATAGACTTTAAACTTAAAAGTCTGCCTATACAGGTTCGGAAAGTACCGATGGTCCATCTGCCATTACGTGAGAGCGATAAAGAAATACATAGAAATCCGTGCGATAGAGAAAGATGGCTATAATGAAGGCGTCTAATAGTCATCGCCCATTTCGCCCTTCCACAAATAAGATCCACTTCTTATTTGTGGAAGGGCGAAATGGGCGGTGACAATTAGACGCTTTCATTATAGCCATCTTTATCGCACGGATTTCTATGACTTACTTTATCGCTCTCACGTAACGGCAGATGGACCATCGGTACTTTCCAAACCTGTATGGTAATTTTTTAAAGCACAGTAATACTGTGTATCCAATCTATGTGTATATGAAGGAATGTTACTAAGTACAATCAACTAGTTCGAGTGAAGCACACCACACCATACACTTACCTTTAGGATTTAGCCTTTCTGGGTTAAACCATGTATCTGGAAATAAATAGTTAGTGTTAGAGAAGAGGGTTAGTCTATATTACAATATTTACAATTAGATTAATAAAGAGAAACGGCTAGCTTTATAGATGACATGCAGTTTCAATACATTTTATTTGTGTCCAAAAAAATAATTTTTTAACAAAAGTGCAGACTAAATGTATGAAGAAATTTTTGTTTCAATTTGTGATAGCAATAATTCAAAGCGAGATTCACACAATTTTTGAACATTATGTGACAGTTAATTATCTGAATAAGAAACAACTTTTGTGTTATTTTGATCATGTTAAATCGTACTAAACACTTTTTAAGTAGCAGTACCACACACTGCCGCCAATCTGTTAGTTCTTGGTATTGTAGACCAATAAATCAAACGTTTCATGCATTTTGTTTTTCACGTTTACAGGGCAATAATTAGCCGAGAAAAGTATGTGTTACAAGATATTAATCGATTTAATAAAAATCTAAATCATTATACAGGGTGTTAGTAATATGCCGTCAAACTTTAAGGGTCGATTTCTTTGGGTGATTTTAAGCCAAAAAAGTAATACACACGCGGATTCACAAGTCGACAGTTTTCAAGAACCAGAGTGGTGTTGAAATTTGAAAAAAAAACACATTTTTAAAATATCTTCGTTTGTTAGAGAATGACCTAATTATTTATATATGTAAACGTAAATATTCACTGAATTCGGATATACTTCCCGTTTTTTTTTTTTTTTTGATAAGATGAAAAATGCTTCTTAATTTCACAAGCAGTGATTAAATTTTCAAAATATTCAGTGGCGTCAAATTTCTTAAGCTTTAACGAGACTGACTCAGTCCCTGTAGTATCCTCTGCCATTGGTACACATATTTATATCCGAATTCCGTAAATTATTTTTTAATTAAATAAACCATTAGTTCAAGTTCCATCCCTTTCCATAAAAAATCTTTGGGAGATATAGAAAACACGACATTTTTTTTTGAAATTGTACAAATATGTATAGGTAGGATTTAGAGTTCAAATTTCATGTTTGATAATGGGTTGTATAAACCATTACATAAATCAATGATAAAAGCATAGGAAGATAAATATAAAAGAGAGAAATTAAAAAATATAAAGGATAAGAAATCAAAAAATGACGCTAAAATGTATATCTTTATCTAAAAGGAATAATTTCATCAAATAAAATATTAACTGTTCCTTTGTCAAACAAATTTGGAACATGAATAATCAAGTTAAACAGTTTATCGTTTATATTAATTACTTAGTAACTAAATAAAAATGTTTGTTTCTTTAAGAATAAGATAATGGATAAATAAACCTTTATGACGACGTACAGGGTGATTGCCTTGTATTATCCGATTTTAACATTATACTTAATTCCTTTGAACAATTACTATAAAAGTACGTAAGTTGTCCCTACCTGTTATGTTACGACTAGAGGTACAAGGATATTGCAATTGCGTTTTATACACCGAATCTTAAATTACTGTTCTTAATCAGACTTACGAGTCTTGAAAAAATCATAACCATCTTGTATGAAATAAATTGTTGGAACCTAATAATATTGTTTGTTTTGATACACAACGTGAAAACAGGTATCTATTTATAGTTATGCGAACAGTTAAGGACTAATTATAATGCTTATTCTTGTTTAATAATAACAGATTGTTTTAATAACAGCATGATTAACCGAAATGCATGATAAGAAATTTAATATCGGTAAACAAAGAATGGCACATAGCAGCACCAGAACGGAGAAAACTAATTTTTAAATGCCTTTTTTTACATTTTCAGCCTACAGATAGTTTTTTAAAAAAATCAAAGGACCTAACATCTTACACCACAAGTAACATTTGTAATTCATTTCGAATTTATTATAATGATATTACTATGCGATTATTTGGCGTGGTTTTTCTATATTTTACTGAATTTATCGAAATAGATTTGGAAGTCTCCCAGACAAGCACAACTTCAAAGAGAAAAAGCGGATATGGACAAATGTGCATCTGCGTTCATAAAACGCATCAATAAATCGACGTCTCAACAATTTATCAGTTATTTTCATAAGAAACATGTAAATATTTACAGACTGGCTCATTGTATGGGTAGAAAAACTATCGGGGAACACGATAACTGAAATAAAATTTCCATTCAAAAAATTTAAAGCACAAAGAGCACTTCTACATCCATTAGAAGTTCAGTTGGATAAATATTGTCACATAATAATGAATTTGAAAACCAAATAAGTGTCCGACAGTAAAAGATGAAGTATCACATTATCGACGACACCTACCACAACAGATAAGTAATATCTGATTTAAAAAAACGATTACGATTATTTCTGCACAATCACATAAAGATCTTTGTCCACATTTATTTCTAGAATCTAGATATATAGGTCACACACTCGATTGTACTTATTGAACGCGAGAATTTACAATACAAGAATCAAGATTGTACCAATACTAACAAAAAACATTATTGATGCACGTGATAAAATTTTAAGAGATCTATTTATTATTGACACTATTCTGAATTTTATCTATGAATTTTAATAAGTACCCGACTATAAAAATCAAATTTGAAGTAAAACCTCTATGTACATATTATATTTGTTCAAAAAAGTGTGTTAGTAAAGCTGTGGGAAATTAAAGATATTATATATTAGTAATAGTAAAATTATGATTGAATGCATATATTTAAATTTAAAATATAGGCAGCTTATTCCTAATTAAGCATTACCTACGTTTTAAATTTGTTTCAACAATGTTTTCAATATTACAAAATTGTTATATCACAATATTGAACATATCTACGATATAAATTCTTGCTTATAGGATCATTTATCTTTTGGAGTGGCTCGATTTAATTTCACCCGCAAATTGGGGCATATAGGTAAATATCTGGCCAACTATTATTACAATGATAGTCTTAGAACATGAAAAATACTCCGATACATACTTGGACTGAAAAGAACGCATAGCAGCGACCTTTGACACGACTTTTCACAGCCACCACCCCGAACCTTATTCAATTCTGGGTTTACCCCGTTGAGGACGTCCTCGACGACTTGGTGAGCGACAGACTTCAAATCTTCCGCCATCACGGCACAACCACTAGTTCGAAATAATAATAATAATACACAGCCACCACACCGGCAGGGAATTCGAGTGTTCGACGCGAGAGAGTCAGTGAAGACGTTACTTGCGCGTTTAGCTGGAATATAGTAGAAATGTACCTGATTCAGTAGCCCACTGAGCAGGCGTCGCGCCTATTATCGACCTGATAGTGCAGAACAAGGGACTTAGGACTATGTCCCTGGTATAAGAGTGTCTGAACAAGATAAACGCTAATACAGGACAAATTAAAAATACCGCATCACACAAACTTACACGATTGTTTGAAACCTTTGTACAACAAGTACATAGGTATCATATGACTGGTGACGGATAATACGATACCTAGACCTTGGAAATTTAAAATGTTCCAATATTTGTCGACCAAACTGCGACTAGTATTGCCATCTACGCGCGAATTTCCCAAAGACGAGCTCACGGAAAGGAATTCCTTTTAATATATTTTTGGGAATTGCAAAAGTAGCATTCGCACGATTTTTTGTTATTCACATAATGAAAAATGCACTGTGAGGAATTTTTACCAAATTATATTCTTTGTTGTCGGTGTCACAACATAAATTGGTATATACCAGCGGTCTTCAAACTTTTGTGACTTGCGGATCCCGGCCATTTCGATTTTTTTGAGAAACTCCTAAAAAAATTTCGAACACATTTTTTACTGATTATATAATATATTTACAACTACTACGATTAACAAAATAAATATTACACCAAGTAAAAATTAAACTAAGACTTTAAAGTTTAAAGCAAATAAATATTAATTGGATAATTAAAAAAAGAGTAAATATAATCAATGACTGGGATGTGCTTGAATATTTTTACATAGTTGAAATCAGGTGCTATTGTCGTAAGTTGCAATCTCATGCAAATTCTACATTAAGCACATTAGCACATTGCATTTTTGGGATAAGGATCAATAATAATAAAAAAACACAATTTTTAATTCACTGTTAACCAATCGATGTTGTTTTATACCATCTTCAGGGCTCAAAGCTTGATATATTCTCGTCAGAACTACAGCTTTAAACATTCAAAAGATGATAACTACATAGGTAGGTACTCTGTATCTATAAAGTTTCAGTACCTACGTTAATATGAAACAGCGGGTGTAGGTAAATTGGTCTAGTCCTAGTCTAATTGTGCTATAAGCATATTAAAAAAAAAAAATAATGAAATAATGAAATTTAGAGTATTGAGTATGAGCTAAAACAACATAAACGAAACGTTGAAATGAATAAAAAATTTGGTTTTTTTAATTTACTATTGATCTTTAACCCACGAAGACCACTATAACTGAAATCGTTATTTATCCTAAAATAATTAAAATATCAATATTCACGAAATGGAACAACAGATCAACCCAGTAATTGGCCAAATCTGAGTTCTGTCACAAATCAAAGAATTCGTGAACAAGTTGAAATTATTTGTTTTTTTTTTCAGTTCGTGCCCGCCATCTTTTATCGCATAAAAACTACGAATTTTGTTTTAACATGAAATCAGCCTTTATCGTTTTTATCGTGCCAAAATAATATAAAATCACATTCATCAAATTATCTCATTATTATCATAAAGACATTATTACAACGTCCTGTATATTAAGTCACACTGGATCAGAACGTCATTTTTTTTTTAAATTACAATAGGTAATTTATTGCGACTACACCACTGCGTTACCTCAAATTATTATGACGTATCGACATAATTGTATAACTGCCATTAACTGAATGATTTATCTAACCATCCCACTAAATTAAAGACAATACTATCTTATCACTTGCCATTTATAAATTATTGCTTTATAAAATTGTATAACTGGGACTCGGTACATCTACTTGTTCCAATAGGTACCACCTTGGTAATAGGGTCAATATCGTGATCGTTAGGCCAGTTAACAAGCTTCGAGGGACCGCATAGAAAAACTATTTTTCTCGTACTCTCCGCCTAGATATCCATTTTAGATTTTTAAATCTCGCTGCACTTGAAACAAAGAAGTTAATACACCCAGTATTACATTTGATGTTTGTTGTATATAAAAGCAACCAAAGAATTATTTATATCCGTTTAATTAGTATAGTATCTAGGTAGAATGAAATCAGGTCATATTGTTAGCGATTTCAATTTATTCCGGCTTCTTCGTTCATTGGTTATTGCACCGACATGCAACAAACTGTTATTATATGTGAAACATAAAAAAAATATTTATGTATACCTAGTTTCTCTTGATATAAAATAAATATTACCAGTGACTTATGAATATGCTATTTATAAGAGCAGAATTATTTATTTTTAAATAGACACCGAATACATATTTTCCGAGATCTTTTCGAGAATAAATGTAAAAGTGCAAGGCTAATAATAAATTAACTATAATATCGACAATTTCTCTGATGACGTTGGATACCGGTACATTTTTCTTTCCTCTGATACATGTAATGTGATAAACATATTTATTATATATGTTGCACATTAAAATGAATCATTTTTAAATGTTTTCTTGAATCGCTTGACTCTGCGGTCCTCCAAAATAGGAGTGAAACATTTTTATGTTGCATTATGCATACGTTTGTATGAATTGTATATTGTCATGTCATAATCTATTTTTATAACAACCTTCGCCTATCTTGTTTACTTTAGGATTTAAAGTGCGAAGTATTTTGTGTACTTTTCCAAATTTTTATTACCTAATTTCCACGTTACATCTTTTAACAAATTGGAGACCTTTGGATAAACATTATTAAAACATTCAGCTAAATATGTGCGAACCTACTCCAAAAAAGAATAACTATGATAAATCAATGAATGACGAATTTAAGAGTGACAAATAGGTATATAATAGGTAACGCACCTAATATTCGGTTTTTATCCATCTTAATATTTATTAACCTAGTTGCAAGGCCTACGTGGTAGTTTACTTAACTATGGATACTTACTTGTCCACAAGTTAGACCTCTTGCGATTCAAAAAAATGTGTAATTTTCTAATAATTAAATACACTTATAGCTCTTCTATTCGCTGACTTAATGGTATTTTGAATACCGTCTAAATGTTCAAAATGTCGTAAATTGTTGCACTATAAGAACACGTATGTACCAAGACATCAGAAAAGCTATTATCTAAGCAGGAACGACAAAGCCACAAGAATCACAGAGGCAACTTCCTAACTGATAACACAAATTCAAAAACAGGCCTGAAATGGACATATTCTATGTAAAGTCAGTTCGTCAGAAAGGTTTGAAGAAATTTGAATAATCAATAACTCTGTCATTGTCATTAGGAACTTACGAAAAATAAAATCCTACCTAGGTTAGTCTTGTAAAAAGCATACTGAATAAACGAGTGAATAAAATGTCAGTTTTTTTTAAATCGTTTTCTCTTTTTTTAATGTCATGTTTCGTTGTGGGAGCGGCCAGATTACGTAATAACCATGGAGTGCAGAATAAAATAATTTCTCTCGGAATTAATCACTACTCTGCTTCATTATATTTAAAAAAAATCAATCTTACAATTTCGTCGAATTACATATAACAAAAAGCATTTATCAAGCATTCACCAGAAAAAAATATTATCATCTGTCATATCGGCAAGTCGATGACTGCGTAACTTTATTTTTGGAGGCCTCCAGAGTTTGCAACCCTGGGCCTACCCCAAACAACAATTGTAGCTACGCCCATGCAAACATAATGTACAATAAATTTTCTTGTAATGCAAAGTAACTAAAAATATTAATTCTTTTCGTTATTCGAGTTGTGTACCTAATAAGAGAAGAATAAAACATATAAATACGGATTAATTATAGATTATTGAAATACTGAAAACAAATCTCACTATCAGCCTGAATTATTAAAAAATAACTTTGGAGTGCAAATATGTGTAGAATTTATGCAATTTGAGAATAAGAATAGGCAATTAAAAAATATTTTACATCGTATTTTACTTTATTATAAAGTTATTAAGTTATATCAAATAAATTCAAAACATGTTTTCCTACAAAGTCCCATAAAATAAATTTATTTTATAATTAAGTAAAAATACGAGAGCCCATAAAAAATATATAAAAAACTTGTTAACGTTACAACAGACTTACCCAATCCCATTTTGCAGAAAATAGCTTCGGCATCGGCGGGAGCAATTTTCGATTTCTTTTCCTCGATCTTCGTCTCTGGAAGCTTTTTCAAAGGCTCAGGCGATTTTTCCTCTACGGGCTCTGGAGTCCTTTCCTTTGGCGGTTCTGGAGTTTTTTCCTTTACAGGCTCTGGAGTTTTCTCCTTTACAGGCTCAGGAATTTTTTCTTTTACCGGCTCTGGAGCTTTTTTTATTGCTGGCTCTGGAGCTTTTTTTATTACCGGCTCAGGAGTTTTCTCTTTAAAAACAGGCTCCGGTGTTGTCTTTCCCTTCGCCGGCTCCGGAGTTTTTGCTTTTGCGGGTTCGGGTGTCTTTTCCTTCACCGGTTCTGGAACTTTTTGTACGATAGGTTCTGAAGTTTTTTCTCTGACAGTCTCATATATTTTGGGAGGATCTGCGGGATAATCCTTTTTAGGGATCTCTGGCTGGATCTCGTCGACATCTTTGAAAGTTTCAGCTTTGAAATTCTCCGTAGAGCCAAACGATTCCGGAAGTTCCTCTTTCTTGGGGATATTATCGTACTTGGAAGGCTTAAAGTCGTCGTCGGGTTCACTGTCCGAATAACGGTCCAAGAGATCGCTACCAGACTGTGTCTTGGGCTGTTCTTGAGCAAATCCACGCTCGCTATCCATGAAAGATTGAATATTATGCAAACCGTACTTATCTAAACCCTGGACGGTTGGCTTATACTCCTCCAGGAATTTGTCCAATTTCGCGTCCGCTTCTCTTCTATCGGGAAAGTTGTCGCCCATCTGTAGAAGATTAGAATCCATTTTTTGAGGAATTAATGGTTGGTCTAGCAGGTCAGACTTTAAGGGGTCGAAACTGTCGGTAACGAGAGTCCCTACAGTTTCTACCCTTTTATCGATTTCATCATTTATATCACGTGCTGTCGCTGAAACCTCGCTTTTTAATCCTAACAAGTCGCCGGTAATTTCTTTACCTTCATTTAATGGACTGGAATCATGCCCTAAATGTTCAAAATCGTCAAGGGAGTCTACTTCCCTCTTGAGTTCAGACGTTTTGTTAACTGCGGTGTCTTTCAAGCCTTCCATGGTTGGTACGCTGATAAATAGATTACTTTGTCTCCCTTAATATTTATTATTGCACTAAAATTTAACAATCGTTAATAATTGTACCGGCACAATACTGTCAAACGTCAGATCCGCGAGACTTCATCACTTATCTGTGTTGACTTCCTTTGTTGCGTTGCTGCCTGCAGAGTGCAGATGTTTCACAATGGTGGAGGGGAGAATGACTCAGGGTAGTCACGGGCAAATACGCCATAGTCGTAGTCACATTGATTTTGTCAAGAGGGTGTACGATAAATTACGTGCATGGGAAAAATAATCTTGCTTATCAGATAAACCGACTAAAGCAAAATTTTATTATCACCGTTATTATTTTAAAATTAAAAAGCATAATTTTTAACATGTACCTTAACAAGAAATATTAAGCTTATAAACCTATATATGTATTTTTTTTAATGTAAGTATATATATTACGTATTTACATATGTTTGAAGACAATATTTGTTCATGTAAAAGTTGTACATCATCTGATTTCACCGTTTTCACTCATCCTAAATTTTATCGAACACGATTTCCAAATTGTATTTTTTTTAAATGCGTCTGTTTATTACACACATAACAGGCGAATATGTGGAGAATATCTGCAGACAGTACAGACTAAAAAGGATGTCCGGATTTGTATGCGCGTCTTAAAACAATCCCGGCTGATCTCCAAACCCAAAATTTTGAAAAAAGACTAAAATAATATTTTACATTTAACATCTTGTATCTCTTAACTCTCAACTTTTGGACTAAAGGTAAGTTCGGCTAAATCGCAATATTTCTGCTTCGGGAATCTATCCATGAATTTTGGCCTATTACCTGGGACCACCCTGTATATACACGGAGATGGCAGTAAAATTAAATAAACTGAAAAATTTTATAAATATTAATTATTTTGTATCGCCGCGTTTTTAGGGGCAAGAATTGCATTATTTACATCCCACAAAAGTTTTTGCGCGGTGTTCATGGGAGTTCACAATGTCATATGTAGGTACAGGATGTTTTGTGGGTACAGGTACCTAATTTTCCTGGAAAATTCAAGGGAGACGTTTCACTATTTAAAGCATCTTATTACAAGAACACTAATTTCCACAAAGCAAACCTCTAAGAATTTAACTGTGATGTTTGTTTTGTTTATTGAGTAAATTATGTATTTCTTCTGATTTATTTCACGTCATTCTGAGGACATCCACTTTATAAAAGTTACTTATTAATATAATTAATATCAACATGTTCGTTCTGGGTACGTCGATAGTCGTATTTTTGGCTTAAATTTAGATTTTAGCCCTTTTCCCAATTGGTCAGTTTTTGACAAATTGCCGCTGTTTTAAGATGGCTAACTACATATCTAACTTAGATATGTTCTTTCACTGATGCTTAGATAATCTAAAATCTAAGCATCAGCGAATGTCAAGGTTAAAAGATAAAAGATATCACAATAAGTGTCTTGTCTATAGATTTTTTTAAATTTGTGTAAATATCGTAACAGGACTTCGCGGCAGTGACTCATGATCAGTCTTGGCCCAAATTAAACAAGAGAATTCAGTCAGAAATACGCCAGATGCCAGATGTCAGTTAGCGATTGTGACATGCTGACATACAATTATTAGTGACAGCATAGATAAGTGATAAGTGGATGACAAGTGTCTGTAAATCTTTTTTATTCGTACTTAATCTATAACTGTACAGATTAAAACAAGACACCTTAACTATAATTTTTTAGTAGGTAACTATTTTTTCTGCAAATAGTTGAAAATAAGAGAAATCAATTAATTTTTATTTATTCGAAAACCTCCCGGCAGAAAAATCCTTTAATCACGCGACTACAACGACCAATCGCTACTCGTGCTTATCTGCACTAAAACACGCTTGCGTTGTAGTTCTAGCAGTTGATTTGGAAGACGAGAAACGGGACAGGTTAGTTTTGGGTTTGGGTGAGTTTTGAGTTGTGAGGTGTACTGGTAAATTTTTTATGTTTTAAATTAAAATTGGGGATGTCTGCTAGACTAGAGCCGAGTGCAGGGGATTACGTCCAAACAGAATTATTAAATGGCGTCGATTTCCTAAATAAGAAGAAAATAATCACAGCCGGCAATGAAATTAAATTCGAAGTGAGTTTGATGTTTCATTCAATATTCTGGCCTACCTATACTGCAATGAAAATTAATTCGTTTTTTTTCCTTTTCCAGGAATACAGGAAATTAAAAAATGGGTTCAAAAATGGGTCGTGTTCGAATGGACATATTCTGGTAAAGTATCCACAATATTACATTTATTTAAATTGTCGGAAAACATTTAATTACATATATATTTATATAATTTTTAATAATATCATTTACTAGGTACAACTATAAATTAAATATTTATTACTTATTTATACATATATTATTACTTAACAAGTTTTTTTAATCAGTCATTCATAATATAAATTAGATAATTGATTTAATTCATTTAAAACAAATCTAATAGCAGCTACATACGATGATGAATCGTAATTATTAAATGGTACAGTTGAAAATGTAGATAACCCATACATTCAATCAATACAAAAATCTATGCAAACTATGTGACTTCCATTATTGCGTTAAATAAATCTGCACTAGTTTGATCCTCCGGGTAGATGAATTGTTAAATATCTTACCACAGGTCTAACAGTTAGTTCATGTACCTACATACAGATACCTAGGTATGTTTAGTTAGCCTTCAATGAAAATAAGCTGTATCTTCAGAAATACATGGCTCATATGTTTAATATGCTGGCTGCGGGGTGCAGTTACCAGGGGCGCAATTGTATAACTTAAATTACACTTTAAAGTTATTCTACTGTTTTTCTTCCTATAAAATAATTTTTGGGAGCGCAAAATACAAATCTTACCCTGGGCGCTCATAACCATAGCTGTGATGGCACTTAATAATTACATTAAAATTTTAAGAATGGTGTTTTTTATTTAATATCTTAATATATTGCTGTATACTGTATACCTGTATATTTTACAGACATCCTCAGAAAGTGAAAATTCTAAAGGGAAACAAAATGGTATTCTACTACAAAATGTAAGTTACTGATTAAAATTTAAAGTCGTACACTTTATATTTATGCATATTTTAATCCTAGGGTCATTTTCATAACAATGTTAAATATAACTTGAAATATTCATTATGAAAATGGCTCTCAGATAGGTATGTAATGCCTTTAAATTAATTCAGATATAAAATTATTTGTCATTACATTACGGTATGTAGTTTGTCATAACACATCCTGTATTAGAAATGTGTACTTTTATTAATGAGTTAAATGTTAATGAAAATATTTAGTTTATAAAATTTCACAATTTTCTTCATTGTTTCCTTGTTATTTAGGAATATAGTAATATTGCAAAGTTATCATTTTAATTGAAAAGTGTTCCTTTTTTTAGTATTCAGAGCTTTATGTTTCAGATTATCAAAATTATATTTTGTTATACAAGGAATTGTTTGAAAAAGATAATGAAACGGTAATAAAATAATTTTATTAATGAGAATCAGCATTGGAAGTTTTATATTGCAAAAACTAAAAAAGTGCCCATAGGTACATTTATCATGAAATAATAAAATTAAAATATGGATTATAAGGTAGAAATGTGTCATAAATCGTACATATGTATCAGTGAGTAACTTTAATATCATATGATTAAAAAAACAGTTAATGCTTTACTTAATACTTTTCGTAAGGTTTATTTATACATATTCCTGCTTATCTTTATTGTTGATAAGAAAATTCTGCTTAAACGTTAGGTGTTATTTACTTAATTACAAATACTAAGAATTTGTTCTGTGAAAATATCAGACCAAATGAAACATTTGATAGAGGGACGATCAACATGAAACTTTTGTAGGTACTTACTAAATAAATATGAGGCTTTGTCCAGGGAGTATGTGGTTACACTATAGAATTTCTTTAATGCTATTAAATCTCACAAAGAAATAGTACTAATACAGTGTGAAACAAGAATTACAAAAATTACAGCTTGTTTGAAATCTTCAGATTCCTGATTTTATTGACCATAAATGTAAAAGAAATTCAAGGATTTCAATAATCTGTAAAATAATAGTAGTTCTATGTTTACTTACTATTGTTTACATATTTTTAATTAGTTTATATTAAAGGTAAACCGAACAGTTTATTTTAAACCTGTGGTTTACATTTCATACTTTTATTGATGGCGATAAAAGGTAACAGATAGAACATTCTGTAAAAATGTGTAAATGTGTAATGTGTAAAATGTGGTATTAATATATCTAAATGTCCTACTTAAGTCTAGGTATGTGTGCTGTACATACTAAGTACTATAGAGCAAATAAATTTAAAAACGTAAGTTATATGTATATTTAATTAATAACTAAAATTGTTTCTATAGATACTTACAAATTATTTGCTATAAAATATATCTGGTCTATAATAATGTAAATAAATCAGTTACTGTGTATTATCCGAAGTAAAAAATTATTAACATAGTATTATTCATTGCATGATATCGGTATAATAATTTGAGATACTAAATAACAACTTCATAAATTTTTAATTATATGTAATATTTTTTATCTTATGTTTTTTCCTTGTGAACAGTTAAAGAGTAGGAACTGTTAATTTGAAACAAATAAATTTGTATTTTTAACTTTTTGCTCGAAGTTTTGGGGAAATGTAAAAGTTATTTCCAAATGTTAACTCTAATTGCTTTACAATGTTTTAGATTTTTAATGTTTGTTACATTGTTTATACAAATTATTATCCATAAAATGTACTGTTATCCAAGTTCAATGTAAATCACTTCAAACGATAATTTTTCACACTATCACAGTAGGCTGCTATGCCAAGGTCTGTTCAGTTTACTTCAAATTAGTTTGAAATTAATTTATTGCATGTCTCGCATTGAGAAATATTTTCAATTTATGAGTTCTATTTTTATACAATAGATACCTACTATTTGTACTGTTATAGTATAAGTATTAATAAAAATTAAAAAAAAAAGAAAAATTTAACAAAAATCCTTTTTCCTAAGGAAACAAAAAAATTTGTAATTAACATATACATTTTTTATACAGAGTGTCTCAGAAATAAGTGCCAAAATTGAAACCCCATAATTCATGAAAAGCATCAGCTCTGTTCTGATAATTTTTTTTTGGAAATTAATTTTGAAGATAACGTAATTTTTTAATTTTTGTTACTGGAACATAAATCGAATTTTTATTAAAAACCTCTTAATTTTTAAAGTGACGTAATTTTTAAAAATATTTTTATTTTGGTTCTCTGGACTGGAGCCGAACGTCGAAATAATGTAATAACAGATCAAAAAATTAGAACTAATTAGTACTAATATTAGCTAGCAAGAAATTTTAAAATAGTGAATCATTCCATAAAACTTTCACATATGTTATAAAGATATTTGTATAACAAAATACATACCACAAAAAAACGTGAATCTTAAAAAAATTATTTGTCAAAAGTTGTTGCTTTTGACGTGTTAGATATGGTTAAAATTTTGACGTTTAAATGCAACGGGAATATTTTTTGATAGTTTTGTGATATTGAAATAGTTTTGCTTTAAACCTTTACAGTTACCAGGAAATTAAACATACAATGTAACTAAATTCAACAGGAAACTCATTGTATAGCAATATTGTGCAAATTTATAAAGCAAACATTTAACCTATTAAAACTTTACTGCATGAATTAAGATTAGAGTAAGGATAAATATTTTCTTTTTTTTACTTTAAATAATGTATGACAATTACATTTACATAATATTTTTAAGGTGTTTAGATTTGTTTACAAAATACTGATTATTTATTTATAATCGTCTATCTACATTTTAGGGCTATAAAAAAGCAGCAGGTACCTCATATCAAGAGCATTCAACTCCTAAAACACGAGAGATAAAAGAATCTTTCGAACCCCCCACTCTGATAGTAGCTGCTTTAACTCAAATCAGCTTCTATATTCTCATGTTCCTGGGCTACTTAAGTCAGGCCCTATTTCCACCAAAGATAGTTAAGGAGAAAAATAGAGATGGCTACCCACCGCTGTATGACAGATTTTCTGCTTTTTACTCAAGATATGTGTACAGGCGGGTACGGGACTGCTGGAATTATCCTATTTGTAGTGTACCAGGTCATGAAGTGGTGTTGAAAGATCGCGTGACGAAGGATAACGGCTGGACATTTGAGTATGTAATTAGCTAAGTTGTCTTTTTAGCTGTACTGGCTATTTTTTTTTTAAGAATCGAAAGAATAACTGTATTATCATGTAGTCTAAATAATTATGGATCAAATGTTTACTAATTACATTTTTTTTGTACTCTTACCTTTTTATTGAACTTTAACCATAAACACAAATGGAAATAATTTGTTAACTTTGATTTTATTTTATAACAGTTATAACAGTAAAATTCTAAAAAAGTGTCAATACAATGTGATAATGGAAATAAAAGTATTATGAGATCATGAGAGATAAAAATCTTTGATGAACATTATTCATCATTTTTCTTGTACTCTAATAAACTTCTTAGTTTGCAAATGCTGCCATAACATTTTCATTTCATAAATATTTACATTTAGGGTGCAACTTTGAAAGGGCATTTATTTCCTTAAATCTTGTGGAAATTTAATTTATTTTTTTTTTCGTAATTTTCATACCCTGCCATTGGACAGATTAGTGTAACTCAAAAAACAATGTGCCCTGAGTTCGATAGCTGCCTAGTGTTGGCCTAGACAAGAGTTTATGTGAGGTTTAAAAAAAACAAATTATAACTTGACTTATTTAATCTAATAAAAATTTATTTCAGATTAGTATTCTGAGGATCACATACTTTATTTTTTACATTTCGGAATTTAAAGGTTTTCCAAAAATTCTCTTTTATTAATAATTGTTCGGTAATCCCAGTGTGTTATTTAAACCGTAGACTCTTTGAACAAGCATCGTTGATACATTTACATGGTAAAATGATTTCAAGTTTTGTATGTCCTCTTTAGGTTTACTGGTTCCAAAACTAAATGCCTCAATCTGGCTTCTTATAACTATTTGGGATTCGCCGAACCGTCTGGCCCATGCGCTGAGGCAGCGATCGCTTCACTCTATAAGTACGGTATCAGTACAGGCAACCCACGTCAGCACTACGGTACTTGTGAACTCCATGACGAATTAGAACGGTTGACAGCTGAATTTCTTGGAGTTGAAGACGCTATAACTTTCGGTATGGGATTTGCCACGAACGCCTTGAACATTCCCACGTTGCTTTCGCCCGGATGTTTGGTTATAAGTGACGAGAGGAACCACGCTAGTTTGATTTTGGGTATTAAGTTGCCGGGTGCTACCGTTAAAGTATTTAAGCATAATGGTGAGTGGTATGATTAACTTTTGAATTTGAACACTAAATAATTATCAATGTAAAAAGATTCGATTCCCATTGAAAATACAAATTTTTTTTATGACAAAAAAGGGAATAAAAACAAAAAAATTCTTATTTCCAAGTTTGTGTCGGTGGTTTTTCTATATAAGAGATGGTCTTTTATTACAATTTTTCCATAGATGTAATTCACCTAGAGCAACTGCTGAAGGAAGCGATCTGTTACGGCCAACCGGATCAACCAAAGGGCACATTTAAGCCGTGGAAGAAAATAATCATAGTAGTGGAAGGGGTGTACAGTATGGAAGGCACGATTGTACGTCTTCCCGAGATAATAGCTCTTAAGAAAAAGTACAAAGCCTATCTGTATTTAGACGAGGCTCATAGCATAGGGGCAATGGGCAAACACGGAAAAGGAGTCGTCGATTATTTCAACTGTGATCCGAAAGATGTCGATATACTTATGGGTACCTTCACCAAAAGTTTTGGATCTGCAGGTGGATACATTGCAGGCACAAAGGTTGGTTAGTAAAACAATGCAATGCATACATTTTGTATGTTACAATTTCAGAAATTTATAACTTACCTGAGGGATCAGAGCTACTCCTCCCGATACGCCTGGGCAATGTCTCCTCCCTTGGCCGCACAAATCATATCAGTTTTAAATATCCTCATGGGTAGAGACGGCACAAACGAAGGTCAGAAGAGAATCGAATCCCTGGCACGGAACACTCGTTACTTCCGACTCAGACTAGAGCAGATGGGTGTTATTATACACGGAAATGAAGATTCACCAGTCGTGCCCATTTTAGCATATCTGTATTCAAAAATCTGGTAAGTATAAATTTTAAGGCAAGATGTAACTTTTGAAGGGAGTCATATTTAAATGGAGGCTACCTTTGATGTTTGCAAACACATTATAAGTTTATTTTTTCAAATTCCTTTGTCTTTGTTGCCAAATCTCATATTTCTTTCTCTTTTTTCTTACTTCAATACGTTTGTAAATTTCTATAATCTACACCTCTTATCTCGGATCTTCATTAAGGTTTTTGCCAATACCTTCAACAACCAAATTTGACATTATAAATGAGTAAACAACGTAATATGTTTTTTCCAGTGCGATGGTACGGACACTAATCAAAGAGAAAATTGCTACTGTCGGAGTAGGATATCCGGCCACTCCCCTGACACAAGGCAGAATTCGTATATGCCTTTCGGCGGCGCACACCAAAGAACAATTGGATTATGCCTTAGACGTTATAGAGAAAGTAGCCGACGAAATAGGCTTAAAGTACTCGCGCAAGCCTAGAGATTTAACACCAATAGATTACAGTAAAATTAAAATATATCAAGATTCGTAAATCGTTGCGTGAACGCTTAAAACACCGTTGGCTACATTGGTAAAGTATGTTTTTCAGTATTTTGGATGTTATTCATTTTTAACAGTTGCGGGTAAGAAATTATATACCATGACGCTTTACTTTCATGTATATTTTATATTTTACTCCTGGTTTTTACATAGTTTCTCCTTGTTGTATGCTTTGAATTGTGTATGTTGAAAGTAATAGGAATGTTGTCGTAAACCAATAAGTTTGGTCAATAGATGGCTCGGGCTGTACCTGTTTTTCTTGTCGTCGATGGCGTGTGCCTTAAATCGACAAATATTAACAAAATGGTTGTGGTCAGTTTCCAATCTGTTTTTATGGGATAAATTCTTCGCTCGATAGAGAACTTTTTTGACAAAAAAAATTTTGAATGAAATTTGCAAATGAAAGAATTAAATAGGGGTTGCCAACCTTGAAATCTGAAAAAAGGGTTGCAAATATGTAAGTATAATATTTTTCATATTCACCTGATGGATTCATGTTTTTTTTTATTTTTTTCCAAAATTAATTGTTCTGCTTAGTAATATCTATTGTTGATTATTAAAAACAAATGTTTTGAAATATATATATCGAGGGCATCATATCAGAAGGGCGTACGAACCAAATCTGAAATTTTACAGGAAATTAAAAAAACGTTTTAGAAATCAAGATTTAGAATGAATTTGTTGATTTTGCCAATAAGGCCAATACATTATAATTTATTGGGGAGATTTAACATCTTATAATGCCAACATGTAATTAATTTCCGGTTCATGCGCCCTAATATTAGGATGTCGAGGAACGTGTATTAAACTTATTTAAATAATAGGCGTATAGTACAAAAAAATATGCTTTATTGATACAGTAATTATATTAATACCAGTTAAAATTTGTTACATTTAATTTCTGTGCCTTTTCATCTTTATAAGTCGTTCTCGTACTTGTAGAGATGTCTCGTCATCAAATTCTTCATCATCGGAATTTTAGGAACTGTCAAAAAAACATAAAAATATTTATATTCTGGAAAAATGACTGCGTCTTTGCCTTGGCACATAGACAATGAATTGTTATAGTTTAATTTATTTATCAAAAGTTTTTCAGAATATAGCGATGTAACATTGACCGGGTTTTTAGGACATTACAAAATACCAAAAACAACACAAACTTTATCTACGAACATTTTCAAGATTAACCATATTTAAGGTTATGTGAAATTTACCAAATCAGTTGAGGTCGTATAAGTCAATACTGTCTAGCAGGCGTAAAAGAAATAGAGAAATATTAGAAGGGCGTATGAGCATACGCCTTTCTGACATAGTTTTGCAAGAGTGGTTCATACGCCTAAGTAAAATGCGTTAGAATAGAGTGTTGATGTTTATGAATATATACGCCCTTCTGATATATTAAGCAAATTGATTAAATTAAGTCATACGCCTTAAAAACCCAAAACCGATTATAGTTGCTCTTACGCCCTTCTGATATGATGCCCTCGATATGCAACCCTTGTTGAGGTTTCAGGTTGGTCGGACCTATTTTAATTTTTTAAATCTTGAAGTTTTTCATCACAAAAGTTCTCTATGAAGGCCCTAGGAAATTCAACATTTTATTATTAAAATACGACCATTTTAAGGTGGTGATCGAATTGTATATTATAAAGGAATTAAATATTTTTGGTTGTTTTACGGCACAGCAAATCGAAGTTTTGGAATAAAATTTGAAATTATGGTATACCACAGCCTTATAGAACCATTCTGCCTTTGTTTTTGGAAGCTTATGTTTCTTTATGAAAATTGCAGACGTATTTAGGTTTTATATATGCAAGCGAGAGTGAATTTGTATAAAAATTAACAAAATATATTTAAAAAATACGGTTCACATAAAAAAAAATTTTTTTTCATACCTATTACTCATTTCTTCACTGGAAAGTAATTCTATTCTATTCTAACACTAACATATAAAAAATGTGCATAAGTTGAAACAGTAAATGTACAAAACTTTGAATAACAAAGATTGTTTTTGGAACTCTAAATTTTAGAGGCTGTTGTATTTGTAACAGTATTGCAAGAAAATTTGCCAAAATATTGAAAGTTATTTTACCAGTGCACTTTTTTTAAAGAGGCCATCTATTAAGATGCATCCCTAGGAAAATTTTGTTGTTTTTACAAATTTTATAAAAGCATAATATGAGAAATATTTTTTATCTACATATAGCTATTTATTGATATATTTATGATTATGTTTAATTGTAACAGACTTCAGAATAAAGTTGTAAAATGATGAGTTCTATTTGATGTCACCTGGCATTTCAAATTTCGTATCCTAATTACATGAATCCTTTTCATTAGTAATTCCCCTAAAGTATTTTTTTGTGATTAGAATGGGGGTAGTAGAGATGACAAAGTTTTTATTGTCGAAAAAATTAAAGTATGAATTGTACGTAAAAACGGTTTTAACAGTTGGTGGAGTAAAGGTAGCTTAAAAATATGCATTATTTCGGAATAATTAGCAGAGCCTTGGATTTTCATAAAACCTTTTGCAATCGCCTTGAAATGGCTTATAGAAAAAAGTTATAAACTTATATTTGTACACTATTTATTACTTAATAGTTTAAACAAAAAATTGTTTTTCAGAAAATTTCAAACCAATTTTAATCAAATTGATACGGGTTTTCGAGGTCACTGAATAGGAATATAAAGTTAAAAAATAAAAATTCAAAGTGGCTGATCCAATATGGCCCACTTTTTTTAAACAATTTACTAAAAAATTACAATTTTCCAAGCTATTTTAATCAAATCGATATAGGGGTTTTCGAAGTCGCTGAACAAGAATATTATATCAGAAAATAAAAATTCAAAATGGCTGATCCAATATGGCCGATTTTTTAAAAAAATTTAATCAAAATTACAAATTTCAAAGTAAATTTAGTTAAATTGACAGGATAGGGGTTTTTGAGGTCTCTGAACAAGAATATTATATCAGAAAATGAAAATTCAAAATGGCTGATCGAATATGGCCGTCTTTTTTAAAAATTTATTTAAAAATTACATTTTCAAAGCAATTTTACTCATATTGATATTTTTAGGATTTTTCAGATCATTGAACAAATACAAAATGAAATCAACTCGTTAAATTTTAAAGAAATTTGGGTATGATGTTTAGGGTTCTGCAAAAAGTCAATATATAGGATTCTTAATTAACAAATTTATTAAAAATGATAAAAGTATTTGCATATTAAAAATAGAAATATAAAAAAATAACAATATTCAAATTTCATTCTCTTGAATCATTGTAGATTCTAGCAATTGGTCTGATTCTCGTTCTTCTTTGAAAAATGCTTGGCAATTGAGACAATCAGTTCCGGAACAATTAGAGCATACTATGGTGCAAAGTAGACCCTCCTTCCGGCAACCGCATGTGCCAGGTGAGCTCCATTCACCGAGCAGATGTTCTCTGTGTCTCTTTCTAATCAAAAATATAATCCTTGAATCACGAGAATGAATTACATTACCATATAAACTTCTACTACATAATTTCATCATGAAAAAATATAGGTAAAACTGAATCTCGCGACAATTTATTGAAAAACCGTATTTTTTCGTATTTTATACTATTATAGCAACAAAACAAATTTTTTTCGTTGATTATACTTTTATTAAGATCATAGTTTGAAAATATATTGGTTAAATAAGCAAACAAAATTTTTTTAACTTTACTAAAGTTTATTTAACAAATTTCGTTTTAGAACAAAAAAACTTGTTTTTCTTTAAATTTTATAAATTCAACGTTTTAAATAAAACAAAATGGACCATTTTAGAGTACAGTTTTCAAGCTTCAAAAAATGCTCCTGTAAAGTTGCAGTATCATATTTTGAACTAAAGATATTGGACTTTGAACCGTGACCTAAAAAATCAAATTTGCCTTTTTTTTAATTATTTAATATTTCGAGCGTTGTATTTTTCAATTTAAAATTTTATATCACTCACTATTTTAAATGCTATTTCAAGAGTAATCTCTAAAGTTTTAGATTTTTATCTTAAAAATTAAAAAATGGCATATCTTTAAATAATTTTGTAGAGAATTCTGCCATTACGTAAATTTGTTTACCTACGACCATTATTGTAAATACTTAAAAACACACCGTCTGTGATCAATGTAAGATTCCTATTACGTACAGTAAAAAAGTCACACAGCTTGGTAAAAAAATCATACAGTTTTCCTAGCAACCGCCTAACAACGGTCAATACAAACAGTATTGTATTGACCGTTGTATTGACTGTAATAGGAATCTTAGATTGATCGCAGACGGTGTGTTCAGTAGTGGTCGTAGGAAAAGTATAGTACGTAATACCTGGTGTAATGCAATTACGCACTCGCCGCTACGCGAACTTTTCCATTCGTGCGTAAAATGCTTTTTACAACACTTATTACGTAATATACTATTACACACTATTTCTGTAAATATTTTTTTCGATTTTAAAATCATGATAACTTGTTAGCTACAAGATTCCTCTTCCATTTAAATTTTTGTGGACTTAATTTGATCAAATAGATCAAAAGTTATAACAAATTTAGTGGATAGCGCGCGAGGCCGCGCGTTCCTCGTGTCCTGCGCGCAAAAACCGACGCTTTACATTTTCGTCCCGATTTAAAAAAAATTCTACGACCTACAGTTTTCATTTTAGAAAATAACTTTATATACATTTTTCATGTAAAATTTCCCGTTCTTTCGATTGGCGTAGTTTTTTTTTAATTGAATTTGTTAAGATATACAATAAACAATGGAATTTTGCAACTAATTTGTTAAATAAATAATCAAGTGTACACTCTACGATTGGTAACTTTTTATATGTTGTTCCTAACACCCTCACAAGTGTGTCCTCAAAAGTTACCCGGTCTGCTAATTTTTCCGAAGTCAAAATCTTATTTTACTCCACTAAGTGGTGAAAATTAAATGCCGTCTTTATTTTGAAAAGAAACCTTGAACAATTTTTTAGCGATGATGTCTATGCCAACTTCACAATGAAAAAATTTCATACCAAATTTGCGAAATATTAAAATTAAATAGGATTTATCAACCCTTATATCTTGAACTNAATATATACGCCCTCCTGATATATTAAGCAAATTGATTAAATTAAGTCATACGCCTTAAAAACCCAAAACCGATTATAGTTGCTCTTACGCCCTTCTGATATGATGCCCTCGATATGCAACCCTTGTTGAGGTTTCAGGTTGGTCGGACCTATTTTAATTTTTTAAATCTTGAAGTTTTTCATCACAAAAGTTCTCTATGAAGGCCCTAGGAAATTCAACATTTTATTATTAAAATACGACCATTTTAAGGTGGTGATCGAATTGTATATTATAAAGGAATTAAATATTTTTGGTTGTTTTACGGCACAGCAAATCGAAGTTTTGGAATAAAATTTGAAATTATGGTATACCACAGCCTTATAGAACCATTCTGCCTTTGTTTTTGGAAGCTTATGTTTCTTTATGAAAATTGCAGACGTATTTAGGTTTTATATATGCAAGCGAGAGTGAATTTGTATAAAAATTAACAAAATATATTTAAAAAATATGGTTCACATAAAAAAAAATTTTTTTTCATACCTATTACTCATTTCTTCACTGGAAAGTAATTCTATTCTATTCTAACACTAACATATAAAAAATGTGCATAAGTTGAAACAGTAAATGTACAAAACTTTGAATAACAAAGATTGTTTTTGGAACTCTAAATTTTAGAGGCTGTTGTATTTGTAACAGTATTGCAAGAAAATTTGCCAAAATATTGAAAGTTATTTTACCAGTGCACTTTTTTTAAAGAGGCCATCTATTAAGATGCATCCCTAGGAAAATTTTGTTGTTTTTACAAATTTTATAAAAGCATAATATGAGAAATATTTTTTATCTACATATAGCTATTTATTGAGATATATTTATGATTATGTTTAATTGTAACAGACTTCAGAATAAAGTTGTAAAATGATGAGTTCTATTTCATGTCGCCTGGCATTTCAAATTTCTTATCCTAATTACATGATCCTTTTCATTGATAATTCCCCTAAAGTATTTTTTTGTGATTAGAATGGGGGTAGTAGAGATGACAAAGTTTTTATTGTCGAAAAAATTAAAGTATGAATTGTACGGAAAAACAGTTTTAACAGTTAGTGGAGTAAAGGTAGCTTAAAAATATGCATTATATTGGAATAATTAGCAGTCTTGGATTTTCATAAAACCTTTTGCAATCGCCTTGAAATGGCTTATAGAAAAAAGTTATAAATTTATATTTGTACGCTAATTATTATTTAATTGTTTAAACAATAAAAAATGGTTTTTCAAAGATTATTTTAAATAAATCAAAAAATCGCAAACCAATTTTAATCAAATTGATACTATAGGGGTTCTCGAGGTCACTGAATAATACAATGTTCAAAAATAAAAATTCAAAATGGCTGATCCAATATGGCCGACTTTTTTTAAACAATTGATTAAAAAATTACAATTTTCAAAGCAATTTTAATCAAATTGATTTGAGGGGCTTTCGAAGTTGCTGAACAAGAATATTATCAGAAAATAAAAATTGAAAATGGCTGATCCAATATGGCGGACTTTTTAAACTAAATTTTTAAAAAATTACAAATTTCAAAGTAAATTTAGTTAAATTGACAGGATGGGGGTTTTTGAGGTCTCTGAACAAGAATATTAAATCTGAAAATGAAAATTCAAAATGGTTGATCCAATATGGCCGACTTTTTTAAAAATTACATTTTCAAAGCAATTTTACTCATATTGGTATTTTTAGGATTTTTCAGATCATTGAACAAATATAAAATGAAATCAACTCGTTTAATTTTAAAGAAATTTGGGTATGATGTTTAGGGTTCTGCAAAAATTCAATATATGGGATTCTTAATTAACAAATTTATTAAATTTAAAAAAGTATTTGCATATTAAAAATAGAAATTTAAAAAAATAACAATATTCAAATTTCATTCTCTTGAATCATTGTAGGTTCTAGCAATTGGTCTGATTCTCGTTCTTCTTTGAAAAATGCTTGGCAATTGAGACAATCAGTTCCGGAACAATTAGAGCACGCTATGGTGCAAAGTAGACCCTCCTTCTGGCAACCGCACGTGCCAGGTGAGCTCCATTCACCGAGCAGATGTTCTCTAATATTCAAAAATATAATTCTCGAATCATGAGAATGAATTACATTACCATATAAACTTCTACTACATAATTTCGTCTTGAAAAAATATAGGTAAAACTGAATCTCACGACAATTTATTGAAAAACCATATTCTTTCGTATTTTATGCATATTATAGTAACAAAAAAATTTTTTTTCGTTGATTATACTTTTTTAGATCATAGTTTGAAAATATATTGTTTTTTTTGTTTTTGTTTAAATTTTATTATAAATTCAACATTTTAAATAAAATAAAATGGACCATATGTTAAAGTATAGTTTTCAAGCTTCTGAAGTTTTTGAACTAAATATATCGGACTTTGTACCATGACCTAAAAAAAAAAATTTGCCTTTTAAATTTATTCAATATTTCGAGCATTGTATTTTCCGAATTAAAATTTTAAGACTTTTTTTATATCACTCACTATTTTAAATGCTTTTTCAAGAGTAATCTCTGAAAGTTTTAGATTTTTATCTTAAAAATTAAAAAAATGGCATATCTTTAATTAATTTTGTAGAAAATTCTACCGTTACGTAACTTTATTTACACACTATTCCTATAAATATTTTTTTCGATTTTAAAATCATGATAACTTGTTAGCTACAAGACTAATCTTTCATTTAAATTTGTGTGGACTTAATTTGATCAAATAGATGAAAGGTTATAACAAAAGTGGATAGCACACGAGGCCGCGCGGTCTTCGTGTCCTACGCGCAAGTGCCGACGCTATACATTTTCGTATGATTTAAAAAAAAATTCTACAACCTAGTTTTCATTTTACAAAATAACTATATACATTTTTCGTGTAAAATTTCCCGTTCTTTCGATTGGCGCAATTAATTTTTGAAAGAAAAAATTGAATTTGTTAAGTTATACAATAAACAATGGAATTTTGCAACTAATTTGTTAAATAAATAATCAAGCATACACTCTATGGTTGGTAACTTTTTATATGTTGTTCCTAAAACCCTCACAAGTATGTCCTCAAAAGTTACCTGATCTGCTAATGTTTCCAAAGTCAAAATCCTATTTTACTTAAAGCAGAGAGTGTGAAAATTAAATGCCATCATATTTTGAAAAGAAACCGAACAATTTTTTAGCTAAAAAATTTCATACCAAATTTACGAAATAATTAAATTAAATAGGATTTATCAACCCTTATATCTTGAACTTTTTACATAAAAATACATGTACTTAAATAAAAAATAATTTAATAAATAACCTAAAATGTACATTTATTATAATTCTCAATTTAAACAATCTTCTCATTTGACCGGTTTTCCTTCTTTTCCACATTGTAATTCCATGGTTGAACTTCACCCGAGGCGGCAAAATTGTAAAAAGTTGCAACGGACATAAATATTCCTGCTGCTATGCAAAATACTATTGTCCACAGCGATTTATCAGTCTGAAACAGAATAATTTACGCCATATACCTCAACAATGGATGTATTCAACATACCTCTTCATATCCAGTAAGAGCTTTAATAGCGTCTATCGCCAGTGGTCCGAGTAGGGAGAAAATATTAGAAAAGCAATTTGTAATTCCCATAAGCGTTCCGGCATGCACCGGAGATAAATCGATATGATTTATGTGGTATCCACAAAAGATGGCGGCATTGAATCCCACACCGAGAACCAATATGGCAATAGTAAGCGCTCTTTGATCGTTTTCAACGAAACTTAGAGAAATCAGGGCCACAGCAGGGCAATACAATCCTGGAAAATGAAAATCAAATTGGTATAATTTTAATAAATGAGATTAAGAGAATAAGTTTTTCTTTAAGCATGCAAAATATTTAAAATCGTACAAAGGTTTTTACACAAAATGTCTGCTGAAGATTCCTAAGGATGATTAATAAAATCATATATTACCAATCGAATTGAATATCTTCCTACTAGCTCCTGTGGTGAAGTTCTTTACAATTAAATAATCGGCTATTGGACTCAGGACGAGACTTAACAGCCACAAAACAAGATAGGGTAAAGCAGAGAGTGTACTATTCTGAAAGGACAATATTCAAAATTAATATGATTAAATAAGACACTTAAAATACTTACCGAAGCAATATTAAAATTAAGTATATTTTGCATGTACGACGGTATTTCAGTGAATAGAGTCCAGAAACCCCAGTTTTGACCACAGTGAGTTACCAAGATGGCCCAAAATGGTAATGATGTGAAAATAGCTTTCCAAGGAGTGGGTATATTCTAAAAAAATTTATCGATGAAGCAAGATACATGTACTTTTTAACTAATGATGTGAAGATATTGGAGATGAAATTCAGTATTGAACAGAATATGTAGTCTGCAGAGTAGTTTCCCACAATATCATTAGTTGAAAAGTTGATTTCACCGTGTGTGACAGTAATCGTGCTTTCATACCTACAGATTGGTAAGTCACTTTCTGCCAGTAAGCATTGAGTAGCGTTAGCATATGTTTTGTAATAATGTAATAATATCACACACACTCAGGAGACATAATTATCAATATTTAAATATAGAAAAAAAATTAATGTAAGCAAATACTACCATATAAATAGGTAAGCATACATTTATTATTTTTTTAATTATGTTGTAATCCCATTAATGTTTTAGAACAAAGTAACTATTAAAGGGGAGTATAATAGTTAGTAAAGATTTGTTCAGTCAGCAAATTTATTGTTATTTTTAAACTTTCGCTTTACTTTAAGGGCTGGTACTTTCAGTCTAAATTAAAATGTTAATAATATAAGTAAGAGCATAGAAACGTTCACTCAATAGTGGCGGCTACTGAAAATAAAATATTTCAATACCTACTAAAGTGTGGGGCCCATAGCTTTTTTTAGAGGATGACTTAGAGGCCCAAAAGGAGATCTTTTATGAAGAAAAAATTCGGAAAAAATTTGAGATAAAATTGAATTAGGATCTAAAAAAGGGTCAGGGCCGGATTAAGGGTGGGGGGGGGCTATGGGGGCTGTAGGTTAATCCAGTCCTGAAAAGGTTGCACATACAGGGTGTCACGCTTAAATATGATACAAGCCTGTAGCTTCTTTGTTTTTTTCACAGATTTAAAATTTTTTTTTAGAATGTAAGAAAAAACTATCTAACTGTAATGCTGCTGTTTTTATTAATTCAATTCATGGCCAACTAGGACGCGTTTTTTTGACGTTAAAACAACTAATTGGTATTAGCGATTTTTGTTCCAAAAAAACAGATTACGTATTCTCATTCAACATCCCTTTAAATGTCTTATCGCCATGTTTCATCAAATTCAATACATCTTTAGACGAGCATTAGTTGGCCGTGTATTGCATTAATAAAAAAACAGCAGTATCACAGTTAGATAGAGTTTTTTACGCTACATTCCCAAATAAAAATTTTTGAAATCGTCAAAAAAATAAAGAAGTTACAGGCTTGTATCATATTTAAGCACGACATCCTGTATATTTGCGAAATATATATTTTTTCATCAATCGATAGATATAGCCTTAAAGATAAATTTACTGACTGAATACACCTTAAATCATTATATTAATAAATTTTCAGTAATTTTGTTTCATTAAATGTTGAAATAGCTTAATTAAACTAATAATAGATTACCACAAAATTCACATTCAGTAATTGTTATCACGTATCAGAATTTGCAATGTTTTGATTTTGATAAATTTGCCGTAAAAATTGTAGATATAATAATTGTACAGATAATATATGAATTTATTTATACCACAACATTTGAGCAGTCGTAAAAGTTTATCTTTTACCGAGAATGTTTTGTATATCAACATATAGTTCACATCAGTGGAAGACCCAATGTGACCTTTGAAATGAACTTGGACAGATACTAATTGAGGGCTTATCGAAGAGTATCAATTCTTAATTTGACCTAAAGAGTCGTATATCAAAAAGGAAAATTAATCAAATAACTTGTTAAATTAGTTTTTGGCTGATTGCCTTAAGCGTTTACTAAACAATTTATCTTATTTTTGTTATATATCGATTTGAAAATTTAACAATTTATAATAAATCACCTCTTTATCATCATCATTCTGTAATCCTGCTTCAATATATTTTCTCTCTTCATCAGAAATATTTGGATGCTTGGATGGGCTATCTGAGCCTACAAAAAACCATATAACTGACCAAGCAGCTCCTAGACCTCCATAAAGGTAAAATGCAACAGGCCACCCTATAGAATTTGATATAAATCCAGTTACTGGCATTGATATCACAGAACCCAAGGGGCCACCTAAAAAAAAATCATCCGATAAATGCTTATATTCAGTGACGACTCGCTAAAATTAAGGTGGTCATATTTGGATAATGACCTAGCTAGGTCGTTTTTGAGATGATTTCTAGGCCCACATACAGAACTTTCACAAAAAAAAACATTTCAAAAGAAATTTAAAAAATTATTCAGTATTTTTTTATTTCGCAATATTTTTTCATCATTAAAGTTCTCTATATAAGCTTAGAAATCATTCCTTAAAAATGCATTATTATCAAAATATGACCACTTCAATTTTTGCAAGCTGTCACAGCATATATATTAGTTAAACCTGCAACAAATGCAAATATCGTACATAGTTTATTATTGTATGACAAAAACTGCTTTTTACAAAATTAATTGGTGGTATTAAATATTTCACTTACCGGCATAGGCAAAAGTTGAAATCTTTGCTCGGTCTTGAACAGGTGCCCAAGAACTAAGAAGGGTATGTACACATGGAAAAATAAATCCTTGTGACAACCCGGTCATAACCCTACAAGCTATAACTCCTCCGTATCCAAAATATTTTCCAAATAATGGAATAAGTAAGCAGAAAAGAGATCCTATCAAAGTTGTACCACCAAGAAATAACTTTGGGCCATAATTTTTGGCTAGTTGGCCAGCACCTATTTGAAAACAAATATATCCCCAGAAGAATGACGAAAGCATTATGTTTTTCATGTTTGCCCATTCTGGATAAGTCTGAAAAATACGTATAATGGTAAAAATAAACAATTTAAACTGTTACATTCTCGTGACATCTTAAGGTACATACTGANTATGATTAAATAAGACACTTAAAATACTTACCGAAGCAATATTAAAATTAAGTATATTTTGCATGTACGACGGTATTTCAGTGAATAGAGTCCAGAAACCCCAGTTTTGACCACAGTGAGTTACCAAGATGGCCCAAAATGGTAATGATGTGAAAATAGCTTTCCAAGGAGTGGGTATATTCTAAAAAAATTTATCGATGAAGCAAGATACATGTACTTTTTAACTAATGATGTGAAGATATTGGAGATGAAATTCAGTATTGAACAGGATATGTAGTCTGCAGAGTAGTTTCCCACAATATCATTAGTTGAAAAGTTGATTTCACCGTGTGTGACAGTAATCGTGCTTTCATACCTACAGATTGGTAAGTCACTTTCTGCCAGTAAGCATTGAGTAGCGTTAGCATATGTTTTGTAATAATGTAATAATATCACACACACTCAGGAGACATAATTATCAATATTTAAATATAGAAAAAAAATTAATGTAAGCAAATACTACCATATAAATAGGTAAGCATACATTTATTATTTTTTTAATTATGTTGTAATCCCATTAATGTTTTAGAACAAAGTAACTATTAAAGGGGAGTATAATAGTTAGTAAAGATTTGTTCAGTCAGCAAATTTATTGTTATTTTTAAACTTTCGCTTTACTTTAAGGGCTGGTACTTTCAGTCTAAATTAAAATGTTAATAATATAAGTAAGAGCATAGAAACGTTCACTCAATAGTGGCGGCTACTGAAAATAAAATATTTCAATACCTACTAAAGTGTGGGGCCCATAGCTTTTTTTAGAGGATGACTTAGAGGCCCAAAAGGAGATCTTTTATGAAGAAAAAATTCGGAAAAAATTTGAGATAAAATTGAATTAGGATCTAAAAAAGGGTCAGGGCCGGATTAAGGGTGGGGGGGTTATGGGGGCTGTAGGTTAGTCCAGTCCTGAAAAGGTTGCACATACAGGGTGTCACGCTTAAATATGATACAAGCCTGTAGCTTCTTTGTTTTTTTCACAGATTTTAAATTTTTTTTTAGAATGTAAGAAAAAACTATCTAACTGTAATGCTGCTGTTTTTATTAATGCATTTCATGGCCAACTAGGACGCGTTTTTTTGACGTCAAAACAACTAATTGGTATTAGCGATTTTTGTTCCAAAAAAACAGATTACGTATTCTCATTCAGCATCCCTTTAAATGTCTTATCGCCATGTTTCATCAAATTCAATACATCTTTAGACGAGCATTAGTTGGCCATGTATTGCATTAATAAAAAACAGCAGTATCACAGTTAGATAGAGTTTTTTACGCTACATTCCCAAATAAAAATTTTTGGGCTTACAGGCTTATATCATATTTAAGCGTGACATCCTGTATATTTGCGAAATATATATTTTTTCATCAATTGATAGATATAGCCTTAAAGCTTAAAGATAAATTTACTGACTGAATACACCTTAAATCATTATATTAATAAATTTTCAGTATTTTGTTTCATTAAATGTAGAAATAGCTTAATTAAACTAATAATAGATTACCACACACCACATTCACTAATTGTTATCTCATATCAGAATTTGCAATGTTTTGATTTTGATAAATTTGCCGTAAAAATTGTAGAGATAATTTTTTTGTAACAGATAATATATGAATTTATTTATACCACAACATTTGAGCACTCATAAAAGTTTATCTTTTACCGAGAATGTTTTGAATATCAACATATAGTTCACATCAGTGGAAGACCCAATGCGACCTTTGAAATGAACTTGGACAGATACTAATTGAGGGCTTATCGAAGAGTATCAATTCTTAATTTGACCTAATGAGTCGTATATCAAAAAGGAAAATTAATCAAATAACTTGTTAAATTAGTTTTTGGCTGATTGCCTTAAGCGTTTACTAAACAATTTATCTTATTTTTGTTATATATCGATTTGAAAATATAACAAATTATAATAAATCACCTCTTTATCATCATCATTCTGTAATCCTGCTTCAATATATTTTCTCTCTTCATCAGAAATATTTGGATGCTTGGATGGGCTATCTGAGCCTACAAAAAACCATATAACTGACCAAGCAGCTCCTAGACCTCCATAAAGGTAAAATGCAACAGGCCATCCTATAGAATTTGATATAAATCCAGTTACTGGCATTGATATCACAGAACCCAAGGGGCCACCTAAAAAAAATCATCCGATAATGCTTATATTCAGTGACGACTCGCTAAAATTAAGGTGGTCATATTTTGATAATGACCTAGCTAGGTCGTTTTTGAGATGATTTTAGGTCCACATACAGAACTTTCACAAAGAAAACATTTCAAAAGAAATTTAAAAAATTATTCAGTATTTTTTTATTTCGCAATATTTTTTCGTCAATAAAATTCTCTATGTAAGCTTAGAAATCATCCCTTAAAAATGCATTATTATCAAAATACGATCATTTCAATTTTTGCTAGCAGTCACTGCATATATTAGTTAAACCTGCAACAAATGCAAATACTCGTACATAGTTTATTATTGGATGAAAAAAACTGCTTTTTACAAAATTAATTGGTGGTATTAAATATTTCACTTACCGGCATAGGCAAAAGTTGAAATCTTTGCTCGGTCTTGAACAGGTGCCCAAGAACTAAGAAGGGTATGTACACATGGAAAAATAAATCCTTGTGACAACCCGGTCATAACCCTACAAGCTATAACTCCTCCGTATCCAAAATATTTTCCAAATAATGGAATAAGTAAGCAGAAAAGAGATCCTATCAAAGTTGTACCACCCAGAAATAACTTTGGGCCATAATTTTTGGCTAGTTGGCCAGCACCTATTTGAAAACAAATATATCCCCAGAAGAATGACGAAAGCATTATGTTTTTCATGTTTGCCCATTCTGGATAAGTCTGAAAAATACGTATAATGGTAAAAATAAACAATTTAAACTGTTACATTCTCGTGACATCTTAAGGTACATACTGAAATATTAGTTCTACTTCACAATTTTAACTAAGAATGTATTTTTTAATGCAAATTTTCGAATTATATTGGCATCATTAAATAAGATTCATTATACTTATATGAGCCAGGGCATGCACTGTGGTCAACTTTCATCCTTCTTGATTCATATGTTGTCATATATCATCAGGTGGATTGATATTATATAGTTCATCTGAACTACGGAGCCTTCATAAATAATTGCAAGCCATGTGACCAGTTTGGAACAGTAATTTTATTTCCTTCATGTTGTCAATTATATTTCGGTAAAATTAAAAATTATTAAAACAATAAGACCAAGATTACATTAAAACACAACATTCTGTTGGCGTGATTGGTGTAATTTTTCACGCACGACATTCTATTCAACTAATCAGCGATTGCATTATCTTGAGCGTCGACCTAACGGTTTGTCATTGTTCATTGTAAACGAATCATTAATATTAGTGACGCCAATATTTAGGGATTTTTCATTACTAGTACCAGTCGTGCAATGTTGGGTTGCCTAAGCTCAGCAGTCAATTTATATACAGCGCTGTAAAAAATTGTAACAAATACTTTTTTGAACAAAAACTTTAACAATGTTAATTGAATGCCGGAGAAATAGTTAAATGGACCTAAAATCATTCCAGTAAATCCTTAATTTAATTAAGTATTGCCGTGGATACCTTTATGTCAATATCAAAGTAACAAATTTACATTTACGATTTTATCAAGAATTTTTTCTACGAAAATTCATGAAGCAAAAAGATTAAAAGAATAGCTACGTTGTATATTTTACTGAAAAGTTATTTTTGTTGTTTTCTAATTTCCATATTTTTAAACTCTTTAGTTTCGAAGCGCTAAGGACATTTTTATGGAGCATCAAGTAATTTTTTTTTATCAAAAATGATGCTTTCTAAAAAACCAATAAGAAATCTCACGCAAAATTGCGGTAGCGCATCTGGGGAAACACCATATATATTGTAAATTCCATGGATTTATTATTTGCATTTCAAATAATATGCGGTAATTCACAATGTTTTTAAAATACCAAACGTTTGAGACTACTTTTTTACTTACTGGTATATCCTTTGAAGGAGGATCATCAGCTATCATAGCATAAATACCTACACTGAGAACTGAACGGATGCCATAGGCTATATTTAATGCGGCAAAGTACAAGATATACTGCATATAACGAACACCAAAACAACCACCTAAAATAAATAGGACATAATTAACAATTAATTGTATCCTGAGAAAGTGTTACATTAACTCTTAGTTTTCACCAGTATCGCAATTTTTCAATATTTTTTAAGTATGTAAAATCTTTAATCATGCTGTATGTAGATTTTGAGTAAAGATAAAATATTACATTGTAACAAAAATTAAACCCGACGTTGGTTTGAATACTTTTACCAAATTTATACATTATAACTTGGTAAAACTAACGTTCTTAATTTCTTTTGAAATTTTGCGCCAAAACAACACTTGTGGTTATAACACTTATAATACACGCACTAGGATTTATTACGGTTTTTTTTCCAATACTCAAGATTTTATTGATAGAAAATAGCTTATAAAGAATTCTTTATTTACTTATTTCACTGCAACATTTCTGTGTGTCCATGATGAGAGAGAGTTATCAACTGAGGTAAAAATTATTTAACGATGTTAGCTGCAAACAAAACCGCAAATCATTTGCATTGCGCGTTTTTACTTGGAACAATTAATCGATCTTTTTTCTCTCCTCCAATGGTTTTTTTTATTACAACCTTGCCATGTTTAATCAAGGGTAAATTAGATTTCTTGTCGTTTCTTGTTTGCAAACGCACCCTCCAACATGTTTCCATCGAGCACACAACGTAAGTATATACGTGAGATTATAATAAGCATTTATACAAACGTGCGAAGTAAGTATTTTCCTAGTATTTAAAAAATCTATACCTACTTATCGAAAACTCAAAATTGTAATTCATTACGGTCAGTTTTTCAAAGGTAGTTTAAACTAGATTAAAATTAAATCCCTTCGCAACAGCCATTACACAAATCTCATATAGAAACAATATTCGATTTAGTTAAAAAGTGGACAAACTTCATTCAATAAACCGGTCATTGATAAACGGGCAATAAAATTAAATCTTACAATTAGTTGGGTTTATACGACTTTGTGGTTTCATAAATATTAATAATAAGGGTACCTTGTATATTATCCCTTTTATTTTTAAGCGTAAGATTCAATTCAATGCATATAAAACAGTTTAGATAATGTTTGAAAATCTTGAAACTACTAATTTTTAATTAACTTATTTTTAGAAGAGTGAAAATAATACAAAAGTATAATAGAACCACTTTGTACGCAAAAACTTATATTACGTTGACGACTGGAAGTTTATATACAGGGTGATTCTCGGAAGAACTGACACAGACAAGTAGAAAGATAAAAAATACAGGAGAAAAAACATGTATTTGATAAAATAAGAACTGAAGTAAAGTCAGCTGCAAAAAAAAACATGACCACATCTGCTTAAGGGTGGTGGCATTACTGTCTCATTTCGGTTCTTATCCGAACACCCTGTATAAAAATCATGAGTCGTTAACTGCGTATTAACTACTGTAGTATTGTCACTTTTGTTTATTTGATATAAAGACGTATCGAAGCAAATTATCGTTGTCATTTTTGCCAATTAAAATTCCACTAAAAAGTAACAGATAGTTGCGTATTTTATTCAATATTATTTTTGTTGTATCGTGTCATAATTAAATTAGTTATTACAGGTTATAAAAGTAATAATCTGGACCTTACCTGATTTTTGCTCGTCTCCCAATTTTTTATTTTCCTCTGTATCACACATTTTTTAACAAAAAAAAAAGAGTCACTTATAACACTCGGACTAAATTTGGTATGTACATAAATAAAAAGAAGTAATCCTACATTTGACGGTGGACCCGCTATCTTAATGAAATATGAGATGTATCTAATTAATTCGTATAGTCTTGGTTCATTTTATATTGCAAATGAAATTACAAAAACAAAAACTAAATATGTAATTTTCCGTTAACCCCGACTTTTAGTTATCTATGAATGGTCAATTACATGACTATTTTAAAAGTGATACGATTTAGGATTGTTTAATGTTTAAGTAATTTGATAATTAATTAATGTTTATTTTAGTATGAATGAAGACACACAATCATGTATCAGCAATATGCCACTAGTTACACTGATAAATATTTGATTGAAATATTCCAAATTTTTTATATTAATAAACGAACTCTTTTCTCAGTGTATAACTTTTATACAGTAGTATGGCCGGATTGGAATAACGAATTAACTAAAAAATTTTTTTGTGAAGGGACAATGTGGTTGTGGTGTGTGCATTAATAAGTACGAATAAACGACTAAAATGGTATATTTATTGTATATAAAATATCCGTAAATATGAATTATATAAAATAAAAATCTGGTTGTATAAATTAAGTATTATGTAATTCTTAAGCGACTAATTCAGTTTTTTCGGTTTTCTCTTCTACTTTATCCTTTTCGGTATTACTAACCCTATCCGAAATTTTCTCCCTCCTAATATCGATTATTCTAAAAGCTTTAATAGCCGTAGCTGTCTCCTTCAAAAAGTATCCCATACCTTCTGCAATGGGACGGCATACGTCTCTGAGAGACGCACATACGTTGTAGAGAAAAATCAGTGGTGGTTGAACGATGGCATTAAATAATGTCGCTATACATGGCTTGAGGAAGTAGTCCGTACCCAATTGCACTAATCCTACGGTCAGGGGCCTGAAAAGGCTATATAGGAAGAATCTGAAATAGCAGTCCATAAAAATGTTTTTCTTAACAAAAATTGAAATAAATTAAATATTCGCACCTAAATAACTGAAGAACGAAAGATATGCCAAAAGAGACTCCTATATGTAGAGTTCCAAATATTTCCGCCCAAAATCTTGTAGTGTAGGCCTCCGTTCTCTCGGCTAGATTTTCTGTGAGAACAACCGGAGGACTGTCTGTGGTTTTCAAATAACTGAAACAAGTTGTTTGTCATAACCATTTTGTAAAATACATATTAAAATGTAGGTACGTGTAATAGCAGACACAAATAAGCATACGAATAGAAGACAAAGCGTCTTGTGGACCCGATTTTCTAGAAATATTATTTTTACAATCTGGCTACGACATAAATATTACATTACAAAGCAAATGAAAATTTACAACGAAAATGGATCAGTTTTGCTTTCCTTATTATATTGAACCTACTTAGAATCTCCTCGATCAAAATAATAGACGTCTACTCGTGTGGCGCCATTATTGTCGGCATAAATGTCCGTCTGGTTGAATTTCCTGCTAGATTTATCAAAAAACTGGACGCTTTCCCTGCATGCTGGCAAAGCTTCGCTTTGCTGGGCTTCCTTTGTCAGTTGTTCGTTATTAAAGTTCTTTAGGTCTTTCGCTTTCGAAAATTTTAACGTTTGATTGACGTATGGCTCGGTAAAGTCGTCTAGTTTGTAACCACCGTGTCTTGCGACGTCACCAACAAGCTCAAATACTAATCGCTGAAAGTTATTTTTTTTTAGTTCGTCTGTGCAACAGTATATATTTTTTATTATTTGTAACATTATCAATCAAAAGCTGTTTATTTAACGATTTGGTAAATAATCTCTCTGATAAACAATTCACAGTTTTTGTATTACACATATATTTCCAAAATATTAAATTACATGTTTGTACAAACCAAACGTTGACACTGACTTTATAGTAGTAATATTTAGAAATGTACGGATGATAATATATGTTTAATCTTTGGGTAAATGTGTTGTTTTCTGTAATAGCCGATGTTGATAATATAGATAAATAGCTAAGTGTAATAAATTAATATTTACAAAATTGCTGAAGTGGTAAACAAATGTAGATACTCTGATTAATTTTTCCTTATTTAGCGCAGAAAAGGCAAAAGATTTTTTTAATTATGTAAACATTTGCTTTGCCACAATAATTATTATAACATATGAGTATTGAATTGAGAAAAAATGATTTTCTATTTAAGACACCAGCCTTCCAATATATCACGACTTTTTAGTAAAGGAAATTTATTTTTTTTTTTAATACACAAACGAAATTAAATGCGGCAATTCCTCAAATTTAAATTGACAAAAATTTTTAAGCAGACTGTGGACAGAGAAAGGAAAAGTTTAGTTTCATGAACTACATATAGTCTAACAATAATTTAATATATAATTTATAGTTTTTTAACGGTATTTAGCTTATAAAGTAAAATATAGGTTTACAAAAAAGATATGTTCCAAGATTTATAGTTTTTTCGTTAAATTCAAGTCAAGTGTGTTAAAAAAGGACAATATATGAAAATATGTATTGAAAACAATGCAGGAGGGGGATCACTTTGATTAATAACTCGCTTAGATCATTATTATTAGATTACGGTATTGCAAAATGTACTTTATTGTTTTTCGGGTATTTAATAACACGTCATTTTAATAACAGTACACACTAATAAACATTATTTACAGTGATAAGTGTGGGGTGTGTTGTGTACCGCAAATAGTACGGGAAATATTCCCAAATCGGTGTATCAGTGATAACAAAATATTGCTTACTCTTGGTGGACTGTTTTCATTACGAGATTCTTTAATGTTCATCGTATAATATTCGCATTTTCCCGGAACATATCCGTTATTTTTTGTTGTCAAATTCGATGCTAAATTCCTAAAAAACTTGTAAAACAAATTTTTTTGTCTGTCCAGTTTCTTCTCTTCCATTTGAGCTAAAAATAAAATTAGTACTTAGAAGACACTGACAGTTTTTTTTATTTACACATTTAGGTATTTTAGAAATGAAGTTTACAGTAATAAAAATACATTCGTATTCGATACTATATGATTGTAAGTTGTTTGATTGTCGGTAAAATCATAAACTCGTGTTCATTAAATATACTAACGTGCCCCTAGATATTGCATGGAGGCTCCTCCGTTATGGATGTAACTTGCCATTTGGGGACATATGCATTCCGAATTGTAAAGAATATTCGCAGGTATTAAGGGAGGGGGGCACATGTACCTCGGAAACTCCCGAAACTCAAATGTACTGGAGTTCTTATCTGCCACCACCGAGATATCCGTGTCTTCTTGAAGAGTAATATCTGGAGGCACCGTCTTGTCCGTGGTGTCCCTGGAGGCAGCCTCTGAAGGTTCTTCAGATTTGTTTTCATCCTGCAATTAAATTAACAAATATATATCTAATTAATAGATGTTCTTTTTTCTGTATCCAGACAGTTCGAAAGACTGATCGCTTGATCACTACGTGTCCACGGAAAGTCACGATAATATGTAGTGTACGGAGATCTTTTGACCTTCCAAAATTACGTTGTATTTTAAAAACTATAAATGTTTCACCGGGATAATGGAAATGTGTACTGAAGGGTTTTGAGGTGATCTCAAAGAAAAACTATTATATTTTATGAAATTTATACTTCAAATGTTGTCAAAGCGATGTTAGAGTACCTATACATTTGATAATTCGTAAACTCATCACAGTATAATGCTGATAAATATTCTTGTGCAGTTGTAAAAAGTTACCCAAGACTTCTTTGTTGTTTCTGATGTGGCTGACAATTCGTTGTCTCCGTCGTTACTAGGACTTTGAAGAAATTGAGGTGTAGTAGGTCCCATTAAATCTATGACGGTTTGAAGCTCATTTTTAACTCTAGATATCGATTTAGTAGCTCCTAGAGATTGTATAGAACTATCCGTATCTAAAACAAAAATGTTGAACGCTAATATATTGTTACACTAAATATTGCGGAAAAATTCTGATGGAGATTCCTTGCAAGAAAAATAAAAGTCCTTGCAAGAATATATTTTGAAAACTAGAAAATTCACAGTTTCTGGTATGATTTGAACTAATTACAACTATATACTCCTGGTGGTATTTCTAAGAAAGAAAAAGTAATATTTTCAAGTTATTACTTTTTTAACTTGCCTTTACCAAACTACCCGATAAACCTAAAACAAGTCTATAGGTCATTTCGCAAATAGTGATAATTTTTTAATAAATAAATTAAATATAGCTGAAGCTCTCTTTTTACCACCACGTCTACAATGGTATCACATACCCGTCGAGGAGGATTTGTTTATCGCCTGTGGATGAATAGATCGGATGTATGTCAATTGCATTGATGCAATAAAATATGTAAAAGTGCAATTACGCTTATTGCTTATGCAAATGTCATCCTTTTCCCTTCGCATGTATTCTCTTTTCAGTTCTCTGCGCACAGGGCTTTTCCTAATTTGATGACCTGTAGGTCATGTTGGAGTCATTCAATATAGGAGATTTTACAAATTAGAAAAATAATCCATCATTTACGATTTCAGTTGTAGAGAAAAACTCGGACTGAAACGTTTTGTTTGTTTTAATATCTAATTTTCACAATGTAAACTGGATAAATATCAACAAAGTACATAATAAGAAAGAAATACATTTGGTAATGCAATAATTATAAAATATTTTACCTGAAAAATAGCGATTATCTTTAACAACTTCAGCAGGGTTAACGGTGATCCCTTTATTCTTTTGTTTTTTCTCCTTTTTATCCTCAGCCATATATTTTCCTTCTCAGTCAAATAGAAATAATGTACCTACATATTACAATTCCATTCATTCTCTGAATCAGTCGAAGATAAAACTGAATTGTCAAACAAGAAAAAAAACCATAGATTTGATATTTATGAAAGAAACAATCGAAATAAGTCAAAACTGACAGATGAAACGAAATGGATAGGGAAGCCAAACGGATTATTAGGCAATGCAAAGGAGCCAACAAGAGCGTGGTAAAGCCGCCGCCTCTGGAAGAACTTATAGCAACAAATTTAACTGAGGAACTGATGGAGAAATTCAAAATTGGTCGCCAGAAACGGGAGAGACTTCGTAGATTTCAGAGCGAATACACCAGAGATACCAAACGTAAGGAATTCAGAACGAGGTTGACGCCTCTTTATATACAACCTCCTAGAACCAGAGACCCTCATCGGGTACTTAGAAAGTACGCGGAGGTGTGCCCGTCGACCAGGATGTGTTTGTTTCAGGAGAGAAGGATAAGGAAGAGGGTGTGTGCCAAGGAACTGGAAAGTCGGTACGCCCATATTGTCGAGGAAATGATTGCCGAAATTCGGGATGAATTTGAACGGATAACACATGATGCAGGTGTAAGTAGTTGCACCAGTTGCTGACTTTTTGTCAAATTTTCTGAGAAACGCGCAAACTTTTTACACATATTTCTTAATATCATAGTGTCGCTTTCATGGTTATATTGACTTGCCCGTCGTGGAATCTGCAGAGACAACCCTGTCTCTGGAAGCTGCCTGTTGTTTTAAATTTATGTAAGACAGCTCGGTTTCGTGTCCCAGCACGAATTTCGTGGCATTCCTGAGGTTTTCGCGGAAAAATTCTAAACGGATGTGAAATTTTGGGCATCCCGCGAATGTCGTCGGCGGTTGTTCTACTAACAGCATTGGGTTCTCCTGATATCTTCTGCGATTTGGGATGTTTGGAGTTTGGAGCAGTTTACAGCTCAGTATAGTTTCAGTAGTTGAGTTCGCGACATGAGTGATAATTTAAATTCAAAACATAGGCGAAAATTTCGATTCCCACTCAGCTCTTCTACTTCACCTAATTATAATTGAACTGTTCCTTGGAAATCATAGATCCATATTTCTTATTTATAAAGTATGGCAGTCAGATTGCTTCAAAAGTCGTTTTTTTATAAAGCAAGAGGGCATATACATCTTTTTCAATTGCCTTTTTCTGTTTTGTTATTGTTAGCTGCAGAGCTGCATCACATGAATGTTTACTTCAAAAACATCATTAAGGAAGCTATCCTGATTCTTCATTTACAAAATATACTAAATCATATTATAAATAAATGTTCTAATAAATTTCTCATTTAAATGAAATTTCTTATCTATACCAGTGAGAGTGAGTTTCAGTAGTATCTAATACATTTTTTATTCTTTTACGAAATAAATATTGGTCAGCACTTATTTTCTCATTTTTAAATATTTTTTACTTCATCATTAGTTTCGAACTGAATACCATTCTGAAAGTTATTTTCATTATTTTTGGTATAAATTAAAGTTTTCAATGTTTTCCACAGTTTCTATACATACTTTGTGTCTCTCCTTTACTATAATAATAATGTGCTTTTTCTGTTTTCAATAAGATTACAATTTCACTCCTAATATTTTTATAATGTTGCCATTCGACTTCATTTCTACTATCTGCTAATAATTGTGTTTTATAGGTCAACTTGAAAGTGTTGCCACAAGACGAAACTAACATGAGATTTCGAGTTACTCGGTATAAGTATTTGGGTAAAACAGAACGATACCACGTCTACCTTCGAACTCGCAAAGAATTGCAACATAAATTTATGTTGCACCATGCTCTCGTCCAGAGAATATTTAGAGAATGTGTAATGAGCCTTCCTGCCACCTTATTCAACATAAGCCTTTTACGAACTAAACCATATGATATAAAAGAATTAGATGACACCTTTATTCATTGCGTGTCAGAGGCAGAGACTACCCTTAAAAGGTTTTATTACAGAATAGTTGCCATGGTAGAAGATGATAACAATAAATTAGAAGGTATGTATATTTTTTATCAGTAGCTGGAACATAGAAAATGTTAAAAAGATATTTTTTTTGTATAGGTAGTGCATATCAACATTTGCTAGCCGTATGCACTGGTCTTTTATCAGTCTATATAAGCAAGGCTATATCGCAAACGATCGAGCACATAGTAGAAGCCACTGGTTCAGAGAAACTGGTGCCATATTTGAGATTGTCGCTGAGGTGCGGAGAAAACTTGAGTCTATACCCCAACGATCAAGATGTGACTTTAGTTTACACATTATTCATAACTAATCTGATTGATATAGGAGTCAACTTTCAAGTGCTGGAAACATACAAAATTAAAGGATTTCCAGAAAAGAATATTTATTTGAATATTAGTAGTGATTTTTTCACTGAAATGTTGGATAAAGTAGCTTGTAATGTTATGGGCATGTTTGAACCGGTAATCGAATATGTAGATACTTTAGATGAAGAGTACAAGGAAATATTTAAAAAGGACAGTGTAAATGACGTGGAAACAGATTCATTTCTTAAAGCTTGCTTGAAAATCCAGCATTACCAAAACTACATAAGCAAGGCTAGTTCGATGTTGTCCAGTGAATATTTTGCTGTGGGCCAACTAATCTTATCTGAATACGTTGAGTCAATGAAGGAGTCTTTGTTTGAGATCATCGAAACAATTTTTGTCAAACTGTGTGAAATTCATATGACTGAAAATGCACAGATTTGCAGCGAATTTGAAAAGATTAAAGAAGCCGCACTTACCAGGCCTTCCACAAGTGAAGAGCTCATTGAACAAGGTAATGTAAATATTCATTTTTTTAACAAATATGTCATTCAAAAATTGATTTTAGAAATTGTTTTCTATTTTTCTGTTGTATCGTCACAAATTAAGAATTGTTTACGTCATGTTCTATATTTGCTATTTTTAAGGTAAATATATGATTTGGGTAAAAACGGTGCTTCTGATCCAGCTGAAGGAGAGAATTCAGCACATGCTGAACAATTTAACTCGTCTTGTTGAATTTGGCACCGTTAGTAAGGAGCACATGGAGTTAAATGCAGTCACTGTTAACTGGCTCAAAAATATTGAACCTGTTTTGGATCAGAATTCAAGCATGTACGAGCAAATCAAATTTGAACATGAAGAGAAGTTACAGCAAACAATCGCCTATGTCAATTCATCGGCTGTTAAGTTGGTGCCCCAGCTGGAAGTGTTTGATGACATGGACGATGTTGAGAGGTTAATATCTGGCAAATATTAATTACATAAACATTATTTAAATTTAAAACCAAGTTTTAAGATATTTATTTTCAGTTCCAGTGGTGCTGCAGACAAATATTAGTTAATATTTGTCAATTACATTAACATCATAACAATTTACTTTATCAAAATTATTTTCCAAACAGTTTTGCTTTCGATCAAATCATGTGATTTAAAAAAGTAATAACAACAGACAACACTGATAAATATATACATACAACCAAATTCGGGAACTGTCCACTTTGAGTGCAGTTTAAAAAGGAATTGTAAATTTAATAAAAATATATTTAATTTAAAAAAATAAATATTTCAAATTAGTATTCTAGGGAACATGCACTATTACCCCTAAAAATTTACCCCCACTTAAAGAAACACCCTGTATGTCAATAATGCATATCATTTTTTTTAAGGGCGAGGGAATATGTACACCAAATGAAAATTTTTCTGGCGAAACTTAAAGAACTCCGTGAGAAAATTGTGTGGATAAATAAGGAACAACAATGTTTGGGTTTCAATGTGTCTCCTTTCAAAAACGTAGAGGAACTGGAAAATTTCGTTTATCCATTCTTCCATTTGCTAAAAGTATGCTTGAATATAAGGAGACACGTGAATGTATGGTTGGACGGACCATTTGAATTTTTAAATTTTGAAGACACTGATGAGTTGGTGGAAAATTATATGAAAGAGTTGCTCAAAATACAAAAAAATTATCGCATAAAGTTGAGGTATATTTATTTCTGAATTTATAATGTTTGCAATATCAAAATTGATTGAACGTGGTTGATTGATTTGCTTTCTTAGGCAAGCTCAAGCAGAAAATACTCCACTTCGGTTCTTTGGTATAGTGGATGATCCCGACATAAACAGCAGGCCAGCACCTATAAAATTAACTACGTTGGCGATCCAGATATTGAAAGATTTCAGGCCTGCTCTAACTCTAATGAGGATTATGTGCAACGACGCCCTGATGAAACGACACTGGAAGGAAATGTCCTCAATAGCAGGTTTTGATTTGACTCCAAATGCCGGCACCTCACTGCGAAAACTGACAAAAATGGGTGAGTTTTAGGAAACATTTAAAAAATATTTTATAAGAGAGCGCTGCCTCTATAATCACCACTTGGCATTATTAAATCTGCTTACAGGAAAATAAATTATATTATTATTATATAGATCGTGTCCGCAAAGAAGACTTTTCAGTTTCTTCCCTATTCAGATCCTAAAAGTTATTTATAATTTTTTAAACACTCCCTGAAACTTTACTTGTAGTTCTGTTTAGTAAAAATTGGTAATAATCAATTAAAATAGGACTGGATCAGGATATGGATCTTTATGATGTGATTAGTTCAGGAGCGACGAAAGAACGTGAACTTCTCAAAAACCTCCTTAAGATGCAGGGCGAATGGGCCGAAATATGTTTCAAGACTGGCGGCTTCAAAGACACGAACATTACAATTCTTACTGCATTGGACGACATTCAAGTCGTGCTGGACGATCACATTCTTAAAGCGCTGACGATGCGTGGCTCTATCTTTGTGAAGCCTTACGAGACAGAAGTTAGGGCCTTTTACGACAGGCTGGTGAGAATTAATTCGACGATAGACGTGTGGGGCAAAGTTCAAAGCCAGTGGCTGTATCTGTTACCAATATTTTCATCGAAGGACATCGTCGCACAGATGCCTGAAGAGGGAAACTTGTTCAAAGAGGTAATTAATAAAATTCAATAGATATCATTGTTATATTTTAATAATTTTAAGGTAAACGATACCTATAAGAGGTACATAGATGTGGTTCTTCACGACCCGAGAGTTTATGAAACTGCCGGGGCCGTGGGCGTACTCGAGTCGATGGAGTACTGCTGTCAGCTTCTTGAACAGATCAATGATGGTGTTACAAACTATCTCGAGAAGAAAAGGTTATTTTTTCCGAGATTTTTCTTCTTATCAAATGACGAAATGCTGGAGATATTATCTGAAACTAAGGATCCCCTCAGGGTGCAACCGCACCTAAAGAAATGTTTTGAGGCTATCAACTCCTTAGATTTCGATGATAAACTGCAGATATCAGCAATGTACAGTCAAGAGGGTGAAAAGGTAAATTTCAAAAGTTTGGTTAATACTAAGGACGCGGGAGGCAGTGTGGAAAAGTGGCTGATCCAAGTGGAGAACCAGATGGTCGTGTCGGTGAATGATCAGATACTGAAGAGCTATAAGTTTTACCTCGTTACACCTAGGTGCCTTTGGATTCAGAAGTGGCCCGGGCAAATTATTTTATGCGTATCTCAGATGCATTGGACTTACGATGTGCACAAGGCCCTAAATAGAGAGGAAAATATGAATATTAGTACTTTTGCTGGTAAAAATTTTTATGTTATTTTAATGCTCAGAGAAAAATATTACATTTTTTTGTAGATTCTTTTTCAAAATTATTAAATTACACTATTTTAAAATTTTTTTATTTTTTACTTTTTTTTAAACTGCTATAACAAAACTCCTATCATGAACAGTCAAACCTTTTTAATATTTGCATAAAATCTGTTTTTATTATATATTTTAAAAGACAATAAATAGTCCACAAATACTCAAAGTTTAAGAAGAAATGACATTACAATCGGTTCACGGGTATTCTATATATACCTACTAACTTCTTTCTAAGAGAATATCAAATATATAAAGATTTAGGCTTTTATCGTCTTCTCACTTTCTCGTATCGAACCCTCTCATAAAGCTACAGTTCTTAACCTTCCGTATTAGCACGGCTATGTGCTTTTATATGTGTATAGGGTGATTAGTTCACCTTTGTGGCCATAAAAATTTGCAAATGAAATAGAAGTACAATTTTTACTACTAAGTTGTTTTGTTTCGTAAAACCTACACAAATATTGTAACATTTTGTTAGACGAATAGAGGTTTAAATTACCTATCTTAATAGGTCAATAGGTCAATTAATAAATACCTATCTTAACATCTACGTAATAAACAAAAAAAAATCACTTTGATGATACATTTTTTAGCATAAGCTACAAATCTTACAATGTTTACAGAACAATTGAGGGTGCAGCTACAACAAACAGTAGCGTTGATAAGGGACCCTTCCTTGACCAATCTTTCAAGAATTACAGTGAAGGCCCTTATTGTAATTGATGTACACGCAAAGGATGTGGTAGAAGATTTGGATAAGAAAAATGTTGGTAATGACAAGGAATTTAAGTGGCTGTCGCAGCTACGTTACTATCTAGAAGATGATGTTCCTCTTGTCAGATTGATAAACGCCACTGTTAAATATGCCTGCGAATATTTAGGTAAATTACAGTTGTCCTATTAAACATTGGACCTAATCCAGAACTGCATCTGAATTGATTTTTTCGGCACTTTTGTACAGTTGTACACCGATTTATTGACCATTGATATTATTAATTATTTTCAGGAAATACGGATCGATTGGTGATTACCCCTCTGACAGATCGATGTTATAGAACCTTGATTGGTGCTTTTCACCTCCATTTAAATGGCGCACCAGAAGGCCCGGCAGGCACGGGGAAAACGGAGACGACTAAAGATCTAGCTAAAGCTATAGCCGTCCAGTGCGTAGTCTTCAACTGTTCCGACGGACTGGACTACAAAGCAATGGGCAAGTTCTTTAAAGGACTAGCGTCCTGTGGTGCCTGGGTCTGCTTCGACGAATTCAATAGAATAGACATTGAGGTATTATCTGTCGTGGCACAACAGATATTGTCTATTGTGTTAGCGGTTCGAGCACATGCAAGCAAGTTCAACTTTGAGGGGACAGAAATATCCCTTAATCCGTCATGTTATGTTTGCATCACCATGAATCCTGGCTACGCAGGAAGATCGGAGCTACCGGATAATTTGAAAGTGTTGTTCCGGACAGTTGCTATGATGGTCCCAGATTATGCCATGATCGGCGAGATATCGTTGTATTCTTATGGATTTATCAATGCTAGAGATTTGTCCGTTAAGATCGTCACCGTATATAGACTCTGCTCTGAACAGCTGTCATCGCAAAATCACTACGATTATGGTAACATATTTGTTCATATCTGTCAAATTTCACATTGTCAAATTTCATCGCTCTTGATTCTTATGCATGTTTTTTTTTCCTTTTAAAATATACGTAGTTCTAAAAGAACTTCAACCCATTGACGGAACATTCTAAGAGTAATAATTGTTTCATCGAATATTTTTCTTACATTTTTAGGTATGAGGGCAGTAAAATCAGTCCTTTCGGCTGCAGGAAACAATAAGAGAAAAGCTCCTAATGAGAATGAGCACATTTTACTTCTGAGAGCTATTCTGGACGTCAACTTGCCCAAATTTCTCCATCACGATTTGCCATTATTCGACGGCATTATCAGTGACCTGTTTCCCGGCATAGTTCTGCCACAAGCCGATTACTCTGTCTTAACAACGGCAATGCTCACTTCCATTAACAATAGGAAATTACAGCCAAAGGAACCCTTTCTGGTTAAAATCATTCAGACTTACGAAATGATGATAGTGCGATGGGGCTTTATGATGGTCGGACTGCCATTCGCTGGAAAATCGTCGACATTGAAAGTGCTAGCAGATTCACTCACGCTTCTCAATAAACAAGGTCAGTTGGTAATAAAAAAATAGTAATATTTGTTTCCCTCTTTTTCTAATTTATGGGAGAGGGGTTGCCATATTATTATTCAGTAAACCGCATCTGCATTTTTAATAAAAAGAAAGTATGATTAATTTCAAAATGGCAGAATGTTAAATTAACAAGAACAGAACAGACACTTTCAATATTAGTAGAAACAATGTAAGGAAATTTTTAACTGACGATATTGTAGGTAACAACTATTTTGTGAGCTACATGCTCCGATTAGCATTGAATTATTCATCAAGTGAATCTAACAGGCATACTAGTTTTGTATTTCGTATATGTATATGTCTGGCGGGTTCGATTGACAAAACCATCAGTTAACAGAGTTCGCCTAGTTGGCGATAGATCGTGTATTAACTAGCAGTCACCATTCATATATATGCTATGATATGTAAATATTCCAAAAACTAATTTAATATAATCCAATTTCCTAGGACACAATGAGGAGAAAGTTCATTATCTGATACTGAACCCAAAAGCCGTTACAATGGGCCAACTATATGGGCAATTTGACCCTGTCTCATACGAATGGTTTGACGGAATAGTGGCAACGGGTTTCCGAAATTTTGCCACTGATCCAAGTCCTGATAGAAAATGGATGATATTTGATGGTCCCGTGGACGCGGTTTGGATTGAAAACATGAATAGCGTGTTGGACGACAATAAGAAGCTTTGTCTGATGTCTGGTGAAGTTATGTCAATGACTAACTCGATGTCTCTTATATTTGAGGTTATGGACTTGGAACAAGCGTCACCTGCTACGGCAAGTAGTTGCATTGGTTATGCAGAGCTTTCATAAATGATTACAAGCCACGTGTCCGCTAATTTTGTTTGGAACACTAATTTTATTTCCTTCATGTTGGCAATTAAATATCGGTAAAATTAAAAATTATTAAAACGATAGGATCAACATTACATTAAAACACAACATTGGTGTAATTTTTCACGAGATTTTATTCAACCAATCATATCGAGTGTAGACATAACAGTTTGTTACTGTTCATTGTAAACGAATCATTGAAATTGGTGACGCCAAGGGGTTTTTCGTTACGAGTACCAATCGTGTAGTTGGGGGCAGTATTTGCTTTATTTTGATAAACAATTACTTAGTTTCTTCTTATTCTACCTTTTTATAAATCAAAACACTAATATAATTTAATTAAATTATCTTTACAATATCTGTAAATTTTTCAAATAGGTGTCTCGTTGTGGCATGATATACTTAGAGCCGTCCACTTTGGGTTGGCAGCCGTTTGTCGAATCTTGGATACCCACTTGCAATCCAGAGTGGTGCGGAGAAACAAGGAAAGACATGATTTTCACCATGTTCGAGTGGATGGTGCCCCCATGTTTGCAATTCATAAGAAAATATTGCGTACAGTACTGCAATCCCGGCGAAATAAGTTTGGTGAGGAATATGATGTTGATGTTGGAAATGCTTCTAAATGATGCGATACATGGCAGTACGAAGAAGGAGGAGGAGGCAAAGCATTTGGACCTTTGGATACAGATAACTTTCATTCAAGCAGGCAATCCTTTTTCATTATTAAATTTGTGTAACTCTTCATTGATGGTAATCTTCTTGTAGGGGTGTGGGGTTTGGGATCCATTTTAGATAAAGATTCGAGGACAAAGTTTGACGAATTTTATAAACAGCTTTGGAGAGGACAGCTGGAAGAGGAGTATCCTTTTCCAGAAACTGTAGAAAAAATGGAAATATCTATTCCGTCAGAAGGGATACTGTTCGATTATAGTTATCATTACAAGATGAAAGGGAATTGGAGGTACTGGCCTGAAGTTGTCAGAACGGAAAGGGTTGACGAATGTAAAAATATTCTCCAGGCCCTCATTCCCACGGTTGATACAGCCAGGTGCGATTATGTCATAATATAATATCTATAAATGTAACCGACTAAGTTTTAAAACAGCTGCACATGATACCACCAACTTGTATAAATTACTGAAGTGTCAGAATTAAGTTGGAGTAAAGGTGGTTTGTTTTCAAAGCGCTCTTCGCAAAAATAGATAATTCGATTTAGTTAAAAAAAAGTCACCTTCTTCTGTCTTCAATTAAAAAGAATAAAAACAAGGATTCATATTTTTGGTTTTTGTTGTTTAATTCTTCTTTGCCATATTATTCATCATTAAATTTCGAACATTTGTCCTAATTTAACGACCTTGTATCTCTTAAGATAACTAAGATCTCAATGGTGCAACTTGAACAGAAGCACCCAGTATTGTAGTTTATAATACAAATTTACACGTCACGTAAGGAAAACGCTATGAAAATTATAATTTTCGGGTTAATTACTTGAACAAGTTACTGGCACCGTTTAAATACAGGGTGTTTGTAAATAAGTGCGAAATATTTTAGGGAGTAGTTGTCGAAGTCATTTTGTGAAAAAAAGTCCATATAAACGTAGGTCGAAATATGCTTCACTTTCGAGATACAAAGTGTTTAAATTTTAATTTCTTATTTATTTTTATTATTTCACAGAATTTCAAAGATATTGATACTAGAAATTTGAGGTTATATTTTATTTAGAAATATTTACATTTATAGAAATTAGAAGTACACAACTTGCAATAAAATATGTTTTATTTTACGAAAAAAACTGAAGAGACCAATTTCATTCAGAATTAAAATAAAATATTAAAACGGGAAAAAGTCAGTGGCGTACCTTTTTTTTATTAAAAAAGGTTGTGGCATTCTCGCATGAACGCCAATGGTGGAAGTAGAAATATTCGGATCATCCCAAAATATGCACATTTATTCCTCCCTTTAAATTAAAATTTAAAAACTTGTTATCTCGGAAAAGAAGCATATTTCGACCTACATTTATATGAACAATTTCACAGAATAACTACGGCAACTACCCCCTAAAATATTTCGCAGTTATTTACAAACACCCTGTATAACTATGCTTTAAAATATTTGCTTTTAGTGGTAGACTGATAACTCGTATAAGTTACTAGCACCGTATGCAATCGTTTTTTAAAGAATTTTTTAAAATTAATTATGTTTATTCATTTTGTCAACCAATCTTGGTATTTTGTTGTATTAATTTATTTTCCCATTAAAATAAATGAATAAACGATTCCACAGAACGTTGTCACACAAAGTTTTTATTTTTTAGATACATGGCTTTGATCGATATGCACATCCGCTACAAAAACCCTCTGCTGCTGATGGGTCCGACCGGAACAGGGAAAAGTTTCTATATGACGGACATTCTGATGAATCAGTTGAACAAGGAAAAGTATGAACCCGCTTTCATCACCTTCACAGTCCAGATATCGGCCAACCAGGCACAGGAACTGGTTATCTCCAAGTTGAACAAAAGGAAGAGAGGCCACTACGGACCACCTAAAGGAAAAACTACCGTGCTTTTTATCGACGATGTAAATATGCCTCTTAAAGAAGTCTATGGTGCTCAGCCTCCAATAGAACTGTTGAGGCAATATTTCGATCACAAGAACTGGTAACTGATTAAATTACTTAGTTTTATATTATTTATTAATTCTTCTTTTTAATAAACTTTATTAGGTATGATTTAAAAACAACCAGCCCAATCTACCTTTATGACATTTTATTCCTCGGTGCAATGGGCTTGGTAGGGGGAAGCAGACAGGAAATCTATCCTAGATTCCTAAGACACTTTAACATATTCTCTATCAATGAATTTTCCTTGGACAGCATGTCAAAAATTTATGCTAATGTTCTTCTGCTGGGGTGGAAAAACAACGGTTTTCCTTCTGAAATCATCTCAGTAGTACACCAGGTAGTCACCGCCAGCATCGATGTTTATAATGCGGCAACGGAGAACTTGAGACCAACTCCGTCAAAAAGTCACTATGTGTTTAATTTGAGAGACTTTTCACGATTGATACAAGGCTGTGCAATGTTGAGGAAGGAATCAGCCGAACAAAAAAAGACGTTTGCGAAGATATGGGTTCACGAGGTAATGAGGGTCTTTTATGACAGATTGATAGAAAAGAAAGACAAAGAGTGGTTGTATAGTAAGCTCCGGACGTCTGTGAAGGATCAGTTTAGAGAGAATTTTGAGGTTTGCTTTGAGAACTTGCCAAGAGAGGCAGACGGTAGGTTCAGTTTCACTGATACTTTTATAAATTGTCTTAAAAGTTAAGTATTTTTATCGAACACACAAAAATAATGTGGCAATCGACTGTATGGATAAAGAAATTTTTCTTTTTAATAACGAATTTACGATAATTGATATTGCTCCACTTTGTTTCCAAGGTTTAATAAGTGAAAACTCCCTGAAAAATCTCATGTTTGGCACCTACTTTGACCAAGACTCCGACGAAGACAAGCGTTACGATGAAGTTTTAAATATACAGCAGTTCAGAGAATTAGGCGAAAACTGTTTGCATGAATATAATGCCACTCATAAAAATAAGATGGACATTGTCCTGTTCGATTATGCATTGGAGCATTTATCAAAAATTTGCAGAGTTTTGTCAATGAACTGTGGAAGTGCACTTCTGGTAACAACTGAATTTATACTTTTTTAAACAGTTTGTCAATAGCAACAATGACTCCATTTTTTTTAATTGTCTGTGTTACGAGAAACAACTCCGAGGGCTATATGCCCCTACCGGCATTGAATTATACCCGCAACACCTGGTGCAACAGCTAGGATCGTTTGTCAGTTTAACCCACCAGACACAGAGCAGTTTCGAACTTATTAGATCTCACCTATGGCACACTGATGAGGACTAATAAGTCCGAAACCGGTCTGTGTCTGGCGAGTTAAACTGACGAACAATCCTAGCTGATGCACTAGGTGTTGCGGGTATAATTCAATGCTGGTAGGGGCATATAGCCTCGGCGTAGTTGTTTCTCGCAACACTGACAATTAAAACATTGTCTTCGCCCTCTGTACTCAGCACGACATATGGAGCCATTTGCGCTCCCGCGTACAATGACTCCATTTGTTTATTTTCAAGAAGAGTATGTAACACTTCCGGCCAATCAATACTTAAATTAAAATTAAAACACTGTATATAAAAATAAATCACCCCCATAAAAGTATTTATAAATGTTGTTGAATGTTTATGGTAGAGTGAAAAAAGTCCATCAGACTACTAACGATTGTCCTAAAGTGTGATGGAGCCTTCATTTTTAGTAGGAAAATTGGGGAACATAATAATATATACATATATTTTTCTAAAAAGTTATATGAATATAATTGAGAGAACAGTAATTTATCTGGGAAAAAATGTAGTTATTGAAATCTATCCATCTTTACAGCTGGTAACTAGTCCTATTGTTCATGTTACTGAAAAGCTTGTGTTGCTAAATTTTTTCAGGTTGGCATTAGTGGATCTGGAAGGCAGTCCTTAACACGTCTCGCCAGCGAAATATACGGACAGGCACTTTTCCAGCCAGAAATCACCAATAACTATACAATTAGTGATTGGCGGGATGATATCAAAATAATCTTGAAAGAAGCCGGCGGTCGTGGGAAACACTGTGTCTTCTTGATAACAGAAGGTCAAATCAAAGAGGAAAACTTTTTGCAGGACGTAGACTGTCTACTTAATTCTGGTGAAGTTCCCAATATGTACGCCATTGACGAAAAGCAAGAGATTCTGGATATGGTCCGGCTAGCGGCCCAAGGTAAGTGGCATAACAGTATGCGAATTATTTGCATCAAATTTTAAATTCGCATTCGAGTCCACAATCACATATTTTGTTGAATATTTTCAGTGATGGCTAATATGAATATGTGAACAAAAAAAAGGAACATGTTTCATTAAAAAAAGAATCTTCACCTTGATATAAATTTTATTTTAACTAACTGGCGATACAATGAAATGTTTAAATAAATTCAAAAATTAAAAAAAAAAACATTATTTTATTATTAGCCGTCGTAGTTTTACTTTATTATAAAGCTAATTCAAATAAATATAAAATTTTTTCTAAAAGTCCTATCAAATGAAATCAAACAATGTTCTTCAATACTAAAAATATGGGCATCATGCAAAAGGTATCTAAGTAAAATGTAAAAATAGTAAGATCTTTCTATCGCGGCTATTTTCTTGTGTTAGTCTTTGTCAAGGGCGATAGAGACGACATTTCTTGTAAAGATTACAGTATTTAATAATTTCAATATTTCAGGTTTGTATAAGTATAATTTATGGTTTATTTAGGTGGTAACCGAAATTTGGACGTCGGCTCCTTAGAGGTGTTCTTCTTCTTCACAAAACGTTGTAAGGATAAGCTGCACATTATCCTTTGCTTTAGTCCGGTAGGTTCCACGTTCAGGAATCGATTGCGGCTCTTTCCGTCTCTTATCAATTGTTGCACTATCGATTGGTTTGAAGACTGGCCTGAACAAGCTCTGGAGGAGGTCGCACATTCTTGGATGGAGGATATCAATCTTTCCGGTTAGTTAAAAAATCGGGAACTTAGAATATTTAAATTTGTTAGGTTCTAAACATACTTGCGATTTTAGATGAAATTAAGCACTACTCTGTGGTTGCTTGCAAGTATTTTCATGTAGAAGCCCGAAACAATTCAGATCTATTTTTCAAATCTCTGAACAGAAAAACTTACATCACTTCGGCTTCGTATCTGGAACTAATAAGATCTTTCACGGATCTGACGAATAAAAAGCAGAACGAGGTTATGCAGGCTAAGAAGAGATACGAGGGAGGCTTAGAAAAGTTATATCACGCCTCTGTGAGCATAGGTATGTTACGTCTTTGGAACTTGAGGTTTTTTCTCCTTACATTGTCAGGTGTGAAGCTTTACATAATTTAATGAAAGTTTATTATTAGGGGAAATGCAGAAGTCATTAGCAGAACTACAGCCCCAACTGAAGGATATGAGCGAGCAGGCTACTAAAATGACGAAACAGATAGAACATGAAACGATAACCGTGGAAAAAGCATCGGCGGTAGTCAAAGAAGACGAGAAAGTTGCTAACAAACAAGCCGCAGCTGCTCAGAACTTGAAGAGAGAATGTGAAGCAGATCTAGCTGAAGCCATACCAATTTTAGATGAGGTTAGAAACAGTTTATTTTTATTCATCGTTTTGTGATTTTTTTTCAGTAATTTGAATGGTCGATATATTTTTATATCATTTATATTCTCTACCATAATCTACTTAATCATTTGCAAATAATTTATTAATAGGCCATCGCAGCTTTGGATACCTTAAAGCCTGCAGATATAACTTTGGTGAAATCTATGAAGAATCCTCCGGAAATAATAAAATTGGTAATGGCTGCTGTTTGCATAATAAAAGATGTGAAGCCAGATCGGAAACCTGATCCTTCTACTGGCAAAATGACACTTGATTTCTGGGGGCCCTCTAAAAGGTACATTTAGATTTACAAAAACAGATTTAAGGCCTTGGCCAAACGGAAAAGCAGGCGGGCGAGCAAGCTATAATCGTAGATGACCTTAATGACATAGGCTGTTCAAATTTATTTTACCACATTTCTCTGAACCGTATAAATCAATTAATTTATTATTTTCTCTCGACTAGGTTATTGGGTGATATGAATTTTCTTCAGGGCCTAAAAGATTTCGACAAAGATAACATAAAACCGGATGTAATGGTCAAACTCAGAAAGGAATACATCCCCCACAAAGACTTCAAGCCGAGCATAGTTGCCAAGGCATCTAGTGCGGCCGAGGGGTTGTGTAAATGGATAATAGCCATGGATATGTATGATAGAGTTAACAAAATCGTCGCTCCTAAAAAAGCCAAACTCGCTGCAGCCGAAACAGAATTTGCCGCTACTATGGCCCTGTTATCAGAAAAAAGGAACCAAGTCATGAAACTGGAGGAGCAGCTGGCGATACTGAATGAAAAGTTGGCGGAAGCCGTGGCCAAACAAACCAGTCTACAAGAAAACGTTGATTTATGTAATAACAAACTCATCAGAGCTCAGAAACTGATAGGTAACAGTTTCTTTAACAGAATAATAATCGAGGCATTACTAAATTAAAACAGTTTTACTATTTATTTGTTAATTTTGATGAAATAAATGTAATTGTTTTTGTTAGGTGGCCTGGGTGGAGAGAAAACAAGATGGCAAGCGGCAGCGGAGGCCCTTCAAGTGCAATATGATGGTCTAGCAGGAGATATCCTAATATCTTGCGGAATCATTTCCTATCTTTCGCCATTCAACAGTATCTTTAGGCAGAGAATTGTAGCGGATTGGCACAAATATGTAAAGGACCTCAAAATACCCACGGGCGATGCATACGATATGGTTTACGTGCTGGGTTCAGATGTTAAGATTCAAAATTGGTATATTTATGGTTTACCAAGGGACAGTTTTTCAACGGAAAATGGAATAATTATGGACAACTCTAGGCGTTGGTCATTATTCGTAGATCCCCAGTCTCAAGCCAGCAATTGGATAAAGAAAATGGAGAAGCTCAACAACTTGGAAGTTGTTAAATTCTCATTTCCCGATTATATGAAAAGAATAGAAGTCTGTGTCCAACTGGGCTATCCCGCTTTAGTGGAGAGTATAGGGGAGGAACTGGAGGCACCTTTAGATCCGTTGTTATATAAAAAAGTATTTAAGCAAGCTGGAATGTTGGTCATAAGTCTAGGGGAAAATGTTACAGAATACAATACTAATTTTCGATTATACTTGACGTCGAAACTAAGAAATCCACATTATTTACCGGAAGTTTTCAACAGAGTTACCATTATCAATTTTGCACTTACTTTGGAAGGATTGCAAGATCAATTATTAGGTAAGATAAAAAATTTTACACACTGAATATGTTGCATAATAGTCAGTATCTTGTGCCTTTTTAGAGGATACATAAAAATATCACTTTTGCATAAGCATTTCTGAATATCTAGGTATTGTTGTGGCAGTTGAAAAACCTGACTTGCAACAATTAAAGGAGGAACTAATCGTACAAAAGGCAGAGAACAAACGGGCCTTACAGGAAACGGAAGAAAACATTCTTAAAACGTTGGCAGAATCAAAGGGCGATATCCTGGAAGACGAAAAGGCGATTCAGATATTAGACGAATCGAAATCCTTATCGAAGGAAATTCGCGAGAAACAAGAGAGGTCCTTGGAAATTGAGAAAACCATCGAAGAATTCAGAGGAAAATATAAGATAGTTTCTGAACATTCGGCGGTCCTCTATTATTGTATTTCCGATTTAGCCAATGTCGATCCGATGTATCAATATTCGCTAGACTGGTTCATAAACCTCTATATTGGTTCCATACAGAGAGCTGAAAAGTTTCGTAATATTGAGAAGAGATGTCAGAGTCTTATTAATGCCTTCACTTACGATCTTTACAGTAATATTACTCGTTCGCTGTTCGAAAAGGACAAATTACTCTTTTCCTTCCTGCTCTGCTCAAAGATAATGATGTTTCAGCAAAGGATGGATGAACAAGAATTTATGTTCCTTCTCACGGGTAAGTTTAGCCCAAGTAAAACAATCTTCAGGAGACGACATGTAATTTTTAGGTGGGGTGGCGGTGGAAAATCTGATCCGCAATCCCTGTAGCTCTTGGCTGCCCCACAATGCTTGGGACGAAATTTGCAGGGTGGATGATCTGAAAAGTTTTAATAATTTTTCAAAAATCTTTACCAAAAACGAGTCTTTCTGGAAAGAAATATATGACGACTTTCAGGAGAACTTTGTACTTCCGAAACAGTGGGAAAAATTAAACTCTTTCAAGAGGTTAATTATAGTGAGGATGTTGAGACCTGACAAATTGCTCACTTGTATAATGAGTTTTGTGAAGACTGAAATGGACGAGAGATTTGTTAAACCTCCACCCTTCGATATAGCTGTGTCTTACTCTGACTCGTACAGTTTGTGCCCTTTAATATTTATATTGTCGCCCGGTACCGATCCCATGGCTGCACTTGTCAAGTTTGCTGAAGAGATGAAAATGACTGACAGGTTTCATTCAATATCGTTGGGACAAGGTAATTCATATATTTATCAACAACTCTTTCCTGTTGTACAAATTAATGTTTTAAAAAGGTTTTTAAATTATAGTAGTAGTAAAACACTGTAACATTTTCAAAACAATCGCAAACTTTTTTTAAATCTTTCAGAAATATTTATAAAACATTGTTGAAACCATCAGGTCGATGGAAGCCGTAAAATAAGGCTTATATTTCTTTGTTTCGCATGTTTAAAAAATATTTAACAATTTAGCACTATTGATTTGTATTTCAGGCCAAGGGCCTATGGCCTCGGCTATGATAAAAGAAGGCCAAGATGCAGGCATGTGGGTCTGTCTACAGAACTGCCATTTGGCAACTTCATGGATGCCGACGCTAGAGAAAATATTTGATAATTTGGATTTTTCAAATACACACGATCAATTCCGTTTGTGGTTGACCAGTTACCCCTCTCCCAAATTCCCTGTGACTCTTTTACAGAAAGGCGTAAAAATGACGAACGAGCCTCCACAGGGATTGCAGAATAATCTTTTGAAGTCATACATCAGTGATCCCGTAAAAAATCCTGATTTCTATGATGGCTGTCCGGAGCACGAAGAAATGTTTGCTCGATTGCTGTATGGCCTTGCCTTCTTTCATGCTTGTGTACAGGAAAGAAGAACTTTCGGTCCGTTGGGCTGGAACATCGCATATGGTGAGTTCTTTTACTATATATGTATACAGGGTGTTTTTAAATGAAGTAGCAAAAATGGTACCAGTGAATGTAGAGCCAAAAATAAGACGATTGAAGTAAAAATACCTTATATGTAAGTTGCACCCCTGAGGCGAGGCGGCAAGTTTCGTGTCTCCTACTAATAAACAGACAACTTTTCAATATTTGTTCAATCAGTGACGTATTTTATAAAGGAGTGAAACAGTCAACCCCACTGCAATGTTTTATTAGAAATTTTTTATATGAAGCAAATTATTTATTTAAAAATATTTATCGGGAACACTGATATATTGCGCAACTTTTTTATCTCTTGTAATTTTTCGATAAAACCGATAGTTTTCTATTAAAAAAAATTAGATGCATCATCATTCACTAAAGGGGTAATTGTGAAAATTTGTGAAAATAAAGTAGCCGGATGTCATAACCAATAAATTGTTATTTATCATATTAATAAATTGACACTTTCTGTCAATAAGCTGGTAATTTAATAATAATATTAAGAATAATTTGCTATTAATTAATAAAAATGTTTGATAACTTATGACTATGGGACATGTATTAGGTAAAGTTATTTATCTGAAATAAAATTTAATACGAAAAACAAGAAATGAAAAATTAAATTTAAATTTAATTCGTCTGTTGAAGCTATAACGCACTCGCACAAACAGTTCTTGGTTATTGCAAAGGTCCTCTGCTGCCTGAGCAGATTCTTAAGCATAGTTCTTCTAAGGAGGCAACATGAGTGGCATAAACAATACTTTTTATGTGTCCCCAGAAAAAGAAATCCATAGGCGTTAGGTCAGGTGAACGTGCAGGCCAACAAACAGGGGCATCATGACCTCGACCAATCCAGCGATTCGGGTAATTTAAATTTAACCATTCTCTAACGGCAAGTGTATTATGTGCAGGCGCCCCATCGTGCATATACCACATCACCTGACGTGTAACGAGGGGTACATCCTCGAGTAATGTTGGAAGATTTTCATTAAAAAATCTAAGATATTCGGCCGCTTCAAGCCTGTGTGGAAGAATAAAAGGACCTACTAGAGTATTTCCTATAATTCCCATTCAAACGTTTAAACTGATATTATGTTGACATCGTAAAACACATATTTCATGAGTATTTTCTTCCGACCATCAGGGTCACTCAATTCTTGCGCGAGTTGGTGGTGAAAATGGTATAAAAGATTTTCATGAGTTACATTCCACACAAGACTGTGAGAAACTTGCAGTTGCCTGGATACCTGTCTTGTGCTTGTACCAAAATCTTGTTCTAGATGTTCCAGTATAGCTTCCTCAGTTTCAACAGTTCGGACATTACGCCTTCTTCCGGCACCCTCACGTTTGGGTTGAATTTTACCAGTTTTGTGAAGCCTTTCCACCGAAGCCAATGTTTGTCTCGGTCGGTTTGGATAGCTTTGGTAGTATAATCTTACTGCAGCGTTACTATTTTTTCTGGAGTCAAAAAACACTTGGAGCATGTCGACATATTCCTCATTGGTATAATTATTAGTTGACAGAAAGTGTCAATTTATTAATATGATAAATAACAATTTATTTGTTATGACATCCGCCTACTTTATTTTTACAAATTTTCGCAATTTTCGCAAACTTTAGCGAACGATAACGCATCTAGTTTTTTTACCAAGTTTCGTGTCTCTAGCATTCCTCATGTTAAAGAAAAAAATTAATGTGAATTTCAATCCCCTCCTTTAAGAGGTTATATCGCCTCAGAGGTGCAAATTTTATATAAGGTATTTTTACTTCAATCCTCTTATTTTTGTCTCTACATTAACTGATACTTCATTTAAAAACACCCTGTATATAAAAGCTTGTGCACTACCTCACGAGACTCGTTTTTTGTTATTTTCATATTTTACTCACACTACATTTCATACACCCTCGACTGTGTTCTCTCGTTGCGTTACTGGTCCGTATGTCATTACGCTATTGAATAAATTTCTGGCTTTCTTCAGGTTTCAATGACTCCGATTTCGACATATCCGTACAGCAACTGCAAATGTTCATAAATGAAAGCGAAGATCCATACGAGGCTCTAGCGTATCTAATAGGCGAATGCAATTACGGAGGTCGAGTTACAGACAACTGGGACCGCAGACTAATAGTAACAATTCTGGAGACTTATTTAAATCCGATGGTAGTGTATAACTCGGAGTACTCCTTTAGTGAAGTGGGAAGTTGTTATGGGCTGCCGGAGCGCTGTGATTACGAATCCTATATTCGACACATACAGTCTCTTCCCAGCAATCACCCACCCGAAGTATTTGGTTTGCATACAAACGCAGGCATAACAAGAGACTTACAAGATTCCACTCTATTGCTGAATTCTGTATTGAAAGTATATGGCGAGACTGCAGGAGCATCAGTCGGCGAAACTGACAAATACTTGATGGTATTGTGCACTGATATCTTGTCTAAATTGCCCAAACCTTTTGATTTGGAAGTGGCAAAAACACAGTATCCTGTGGAATATTCGGAATCCATGAACACTGTTCTGGTCCAAGAAATGGAGAGGTTCAATAAATTACTGAAAGTTATCGCTGGTTCATTGATCACAATGCAGAAAGCTATTCAAGGTAAAATATGTTTTTGTAGTAACTGCTACAATAAGGATATAATTTATTTTTCTAGGATTTTATATGTTTGCTGAATTATGTTCATCTTTCCAAAAATATATACATAATTGTAATTACACTCCGTACAACATTTGTTGAGATAGAATTCCAAGAAAAGAATAAGCCAATAAAGTTCTGTTATCGGAACTACTGTAACGATTTACAGCGGCAGGGGGGTGGTGAACGCCACACCACTAATGTCTTTCTACCTCGGTTATTAAATGATATTAATTCCAAGAAAATGATGCAAGAGTCTTCTTGGAATTCTATCTCAAGAAATATCGTATAGAGTGTACCTCATTCATGTGTATTATTAAAAAAAAATGTTTAGGTCTTGTCGCAATGTCCCCAGCATTGGAAGCGTTCTCAAGTTCTCTAATGCTTGGGAGAATACCGGACAACTGGGCAGCCGTTTCCTATCCCAGTCTAAAGAATTTACCCAGTTACGTTTCCGACTTCATCATCAGAATGGAATTTCTACAAAACTGGTTCAAGAAGGGTAAACCACCAACGTTTTGGGTGTCTGGATTCTTCTTCACACAGGCTTTTCTAACTGGTGTTAAGCAAAACTATGCAAGAAAATATACAATACCTATTGATAAGTTGACTTTTGATTTTGCAATTTTAAAAGTTGATGATCAGAGTACTCCTCCTCCCGATGGAGCTTATATTTTTGGTTTATTTACCGATGGTGCTAGATGGTATAGGGACCAGGGAAAATTAGAAGAACTGTTTCCAAAAATTTTATATGATGTATTACCAATCGTTTGGCTTCAACCAATAAAAGAATCTGATTTTAATCCAGGTGGGCTCAAGCTATATAGCTAATGATTGCGAATAGGTAATGCATTATTATTTTCAGGTAAAAGGTACACATGCCCAGTGTATAAAACATCCGCTCGAAAAGGTACTCTTTCAACTACAGGACATTCGACTAATTACGTCCTCCCCATCTTGTTGGATACCGATAAAGATCCTTCTCATTGGATAAAAAGGAGTGTCGCATTGCTGTGTCAGCTAAATTAGAATTTTAAAATATTTTTTATGGCATATTTTATCATAAAATATATTATATTAATAGTATATACCCGTATCTATCTATCTATCTATTTATCTGGAAAATCTGGAATTATCAGAGAATTTTGCAGTTCTGAAAATGTCGAGAAAATTTCTCAAATTTTTATAGAATTTTTTTTCTCAAGTCCTACTCAACCAGTTTTTATTTACAAGCTGCTGCCACTAGATGTCAACCTATTAATATTCCAAAGTTGGAATTTCCAACTTTACCATAAAAATATAAGAACATGTGAATGTGTTGACTATTCATACTATATTCTTGAAAGAACCATGTTATAAAAAAATAACATAATATAACCATAACACAAATGCTTCACCATAATACAAAATGTTGTCTTATTGCTTCACCATAAATTAAAACGATATCCATCAACTCCGAGTTGCTATACACACAAGTCATTTTTGACACTAACTACAGTTGAACTCGCTTATAACGAGCAGGGGATATAACGAGCACTTGGTTATAACGAGCAAATTGAAATGTCCCTTCCGAATTCCCTATGTAACACGTGTATTTTTGTTCGGCTATAACGAACTCGTATATAACGAGGGCTTGTCTATTACGAGCTTTGATTTTGGTCCCGCGCAACAGTGATCTCGGTTATAACGAGTTATCGTAGAAACAGTTTTTACGCACATGACATCAAATGAACGCAAAAAATTGTTATGACTAGTAGAAATAACAACATATCCGATTTTGACATCTTTGACTTAGTTCAGTACGACATGGTAGACGAAAATCTCGAAGTGGCTGAATTCCCAAATGAAATTCAAATCACACAATTAGCGATTAACCCATCAATAGATGAAGAAAGTGATGAAGAAGAGACGGGAAGCGATGAGGTTACAGTTGCTTCGACACATGAAGCCATCTCTGCGTTAAAAACCATAGTATCATACGTCGAATTCAAATATCCGGAAAACGAGCAGTTCTTAAATGCCGCTGATCGTTTGCAAAGAAATATCAGTCAGGAGATATTAAGCAAAAGAGTGGTGCAGAAAAATATTACAGAATTTTTTCGTTAATAATAATAAATGATATGTAATGTAACTTACCTACAGTTATACGTATCTATGTTATGTAGATAAATAATATTATATGTTTGGAAATAAAAATACAAGTGCAATGCAGCTATAATTATGTGTCCAATAATTTTCAGCATAGTTGGCGACGGCGACTTCTATAACGAGCACTCGCGTATAACGAGCAAATTTTGCGTTCCCGTGAATGCTCGCTATAACCGAGTTTTACTGTATTAAAAAACTATTGGAAACACCACAGATAAAAGGTAAACGACGATTGTAAAATCCGATTTCAGTATTCGAAGTCGCGAATGACGCTAGAGACTACAGTTGTCCAGCTATGTAATGGTTGAATGTACTACAACTTCAATAATTTTTTTCTTGGAAACTATACGGATTTTACAAAAATATTTTTAAGATATTGACTCCATTTCTCATGCCGCATCTATTCCCAAATTTGTTTGGGAAAAAATAAACTATGGAACAGTACCTATAAACAAGTAATCTAACAGAAAACTCAAACATTAATAATAAATAAAATACTCAAAAATAAGTAAACAAAAAAAAATATTTATTCATCTGAATTTTCAGCATATGACATCCTTGAAATCTTGTGTCGTCGAGTACTGGTAACAGGATCTTAAAAATTTCTGATTCTAAGTTTCTCACTCTCTGAGTTTGCTCTCGTCCAACATTCGCGTATTGGCGTTCAAAGCTCCCATAATCTCTTAAATGTTCAACTAATTTTACAAACATACATCTGCTATCGTCGTCTTGCAACAACATCGTTTTCTCCTGACAAAAAGTAGGCTCTAATCATTTCAACTCTTTCTTGATTCGTATACATGCTTTTCCAAATCATACAGAAACTTGAAAATGGAAACACAAAAATACACTGTACCGTCAGTAAACACTGAAATAAATAATTTTATAAGGTAGGTACTTACACCACACAAACATTTTTTCATAAAATAAAAATGTAACAAAATGAAATGGTGAAGACGTATTCGGTCATTCATCGGCAGTTTGTTTTCTTTATTTTACCATCCTGTTATATCATACCAGGTGTGAACTCAACTGGCAGTAGCAGCTTTTTATAGGCGTCAATACGGTGTTTTCACTGAACAGCAGAGGCTTCATAAACGTTCGGAACGGATCGGATTCGGCTTAAATTTAAACTGTTCAAGATTTAATTTTGTTGCTGTTTTGTTTATTTTGGATTAATTTAATATGTGTCTGTTGAGTGGCTGAATAACAAAAAAGAGTAGAAAGTATTTTGTTTAGAATTTTATTACTTTTAAATATACCTTTTAAATATTTCATATCAATCGAATTAGTATTTTTATTTAATTTTTGATTATTATGTACTTTTTTCAAAATAGCAAGAAATAATTATTTTAAAACATAAATCATTTGTATTTGCAATATTTAATAAATCGTAAACATATTTTTTTCAAAACAATATAATGTTTTTTTAATGTTTGGCACTTCGTTCACATTGATATCAAAAAATATGGCATCTTTAAAATAACACGTTGCTAAGCCACAGAAAAGATTTAAAATATTACTTATAACTCGACTATTTCTAAGATTGAAAAAAAAAAACTGACCTCCACTTAAACTACATATATAGGGTGTAACGTAAATGTTGGGAATAAATGAAACGGTGGATTTTTTATTTTAAAAACTAAATATTTGTCATATAAGTTATGCTCCACGGAATTTCTTTCCAAGTTATAGGGCGCTAAAAAATTTCAAAAAATTTTGTTTTTAATATCAATTTTAATGCAAAAGTATTTTTTCAATGCCTATTTGACCATGTTCGGTGGCTGAGTCAAAGCATACTTCATAATGTTTTTGTTATTTTTATTTTCCTATGTGAGGAAAAAATGGTATTTACAAAAGTTTAAATTACTGAAAAATTACAAGAGCTACAAATAAAACGCAAGAGGGTAATTTTGTTTAAAATAAAAAGTGGATCATAAAAAAATATTTAAAAAATGTTTTTACCAGTGGCGTACCACAATTTTCTTCGAAAAACCTTCCTACGCACGCCACTGAGTAACTTACAAAATCAATCCTTTTCCTGTTATTAGGGAATGATCAAATTAAGCTAAGACTAAAATTTCGTTCCATTATCTTATAATGTTCGAAAGTTATAGGAGAAAAACTAATTTTTTGAATCTTTTTAGCGTCCTCTAGCTTGGAAAAGAAAACCCGTAGCATAACTTCATATGAGAAAAACTTATTTTTTTCTTATAATGTTCGAAAGTTATAGGAGAAAAACTAAATTTTTTGAAACTTTTTAGTGTCCTCTAGCTTGGAAAAGAAAACCCGTAGCATAACTTCATATGAGAAAAATTTATTTTTTAAACCAAAAAATCCACCGTTTAATTCATTCCCAACCTTTACGTTACACCCAGTATAAATACGAGATAATTGCGACTAACAAACTAGGGTCATGCTTGAAAAGCATTTTTTTAAAAAACAACAATACTGCAGAGATTTTATGTTCTTTTATGGAATATATATGCAAAATATAACCTTATGATCAGTTTTTTTTTAAAGGAGTATTTTCCGTCAAAAGAGGTTGTGTTTTAAGTTAGGCAAGGACGAATTGTTGTAGGTCATTTGCCAACACTAATTATACAAATAATACGACAACATGCAGTGTTTCGTAAGTATCGCAAAAAAAATCAATTAATACATATACCTAGAGGTATTGTATTTTGTATTACTGAATAAGTGATATGTCTAAAATATGAAATGAAAAAATATCACTCTTAAAATTTTCGAGAACTTTTCCAGTATTTTCATTGGCACAGGATATGCTACTTTATATTTTGTGTATTTATACTTAAGTAAACATAAATATCTACGTATATCGTAAAAGTTCTACGAAATACTCGTAAGTGTACTTTAGCATTGAAAAACAAAGATAAGATAAACTTGTAACAATATAAGTATTATTTTGCACATTTTTCACAATAAACGTATGACACCTATCGTTTCAATTTGTAAGAAATTCAGAAATATTGTCATTACATAGGTATGCAACATCCTTTCTAAGTAGTCTAAAATAAAAAATAGAGAGATACCTCAAGTCATTGTAAAATTAAAGTACAAACATATATTTCCTAAAACGTTCTATTTCTGTGTTCTGGAAATTAAAAGTCAATACCCTTTATTTCATCCACAAGGCTAGTGTCTATCTGCAAAACGATTTTCCTTCCGCATACGTCGGATAAATCTGTATAGCCTAATATTAAATACATGAGGTATAGCTGCCAAAGAGTAGCGAATTGTCCTTCGGATATAATAGAAATGTACTTGTTTTTGCAATGACATAATCTAAAGTTTTAGTTTTATTATATTTCTATAATTAGTACAGATTACAAACTCGTTGATAACGACGCAAAAGTACGTACAAGGGAAGAGATTCTATTAACCATAATTCGATATATCAGTACGAATTGCACTTCGTAAGCGATTCGACAAATACCTGTTTAATCTACGGTTATACTGGAGACTAAATTTGAATATATCCAATTTCTTTGTTAGTGAAGTGAAAGCTATGTCTGCATTAAGGAGGTTATTGTTTATGATGAGAGAGAATGTAATTTTAAAAAAGAATATCCGCAATCTGTCGACAAACAATCATCAGGATGTAAACATTATTAGTTCGCCGTGTGAAGATGTGGATATCCCCAGTATAACTATACCCGAACTGATATATTCCAGAATTGAGAAATTTAACAAATTTACAGCATCAGTAAGTAAATAAAAGTGTAATTATAACATTTATTTTTAATATTTGTGTCATACATGAATTATTACCTAAAAATATATTATGATTTCGGTGATCTTTAAATATTTCTTTAATTACTCCTTTTATCATTTTGATTTACTTTTTATCTTTTAATTATAAATCAAAGTAATATTCGAATACATAATTTAAGTCAAATTGGTAGGTATCAGATATCTTGAAGAATTATAAACGAAACTGGCATGCTGGATAATGGTCCAAAGTCCAAAAGTACATCTTAGTTTCAGCAATAGAGTAAAATATTATCTACGAGTATTAAGGGAATTTGTAATTTTGTGATTGTTTATAGTTGAAAGTAAAACAAAATAAATATAATTTTCTGTATAAATTTCTTTGCGTTTTCGTTGAATCATTTAAATGTTTTGTTTGTCAGTTAACTAATATAAAAGTTAATATTCCGTGAATAATATCCGAATAAATGAATAATGAAATTTTAGTATTGTAAGTAGAAGTACTATATTAAAATTATTATATCAACAATGATAATGCAATTATTTCTTATAGACCGTCAAATTACTCTTCTATTATTGATATTTGTAAGTAATCTATACGTAAATTTAAATAATGAAATTTCTTCCAGGTATGCGCAGAAACTCATAGAAGTTATACATTCGAACAATTGCGGGTAAAAGCTAGAAACCTGAGCAAAGCCCTTAGAAAGATTTTGAAGCTGGAAAAGGGAGATACCATAGCCATTTTACTGACAAATTCCCCAGAATATCCATTATGTGTATTGGGATCTTTAGAAGCGGGGTTAGTTGTTACTACAATCAATCCTCTTTATACACCAGGTAAATATTTGAGATGTAGGTGTCGGCCTCATAGTTAAATATTAGCCCTTTCGCATTGATGAAAATAAAATTATTTTTTAAATTCCAATTAAACTCAAAACTCAAAGTGTATTATTGTTACCCTGAAATTTGCACCTTTGTACTTTAAAAGATGATAAAAAGATGATCGATAATACGAGCATCCTATGATTGACTCGATTATAGACCGGGAGATATTAGACTGAAGTTCGACGACGTCTTTCTCGTTTATGCCTCTGAGAGTACTGATAGGTAACCGCAAAGAAAATACCTCTTTTTGAGACACCTTTTCAAACAGGAATAATTTATATCTTTCTAGATTACTGCCTCAACATTATTAATATGTATGTAGGTACACAGACAATATTGGCAACCCGAAAAGGATGCAGGCTTTTGTTGGCCGGCATCCAACATTACATTTTAGCGTGGTAACTCTTCTACTTGGTAATAGGCGGCAGTTCTAGCGGTGGCTTTGTTGCCAAATAATAACTGCCAAATAAATTTAATGCATTCAATTATGTAATTAAAGAGATATGGAACTTATCTTTTGTTTGGAAATCACATTTGTGTTAAATGCTAAATAAAATAAATCAAATTAGAATTAAAACTATGACTAATTACTAATTAATTATTTATTTTATATCACCTTGGAATGGGGAATTCAAAAACTTGAAATTAATGTTTTTAGATTTGTGCGTCGACTTCCAATTTGGTACGATATTAACAACTATGTTTAAAAAAATTGTATTATACAGGTTGTGTATCCTTAGATGGGTACTGCTTTCTTATTGTTGATTTCTTTAGATAGGTAAAATAATTATTGACACAAGTGTTCACACATGGATGTCATTGGTAGTGCTCATATTTGTGATACAAGGTGTTCAAAAAAATTAACACAATGTAAAATTGCTGGAACCTCAAGGAGTAGTTGAACACGAAATTTATTTAAAAAAAAAACAACAAATTATTAATCAATGATCCCTTACAGAGATAAGACAATACGTTCGCTACTGCTGTTGCAATTTTTGACTAACTTTTTTGTTTTTTGACATACGGACTTCGGACCTTTTCCATTCAACGCAGAACGGACAATCAGAACTGAAGGTGTGGAGAGATTTTTGTAATTATTTTTTCGATTCAATGCACCGTTTCCGAGTTATAACACCTTTTTTACTGTATCACCTCACACACCTCTTGTTTCCGAAATTTATTTTCCACATAAGGACTTCGGACCTTTTGCGTTCACCGCTGAAGGGACAATCAGGACCAAGGGTGTCGGTAGATTTTTTCAATTATTTTCTCGATTCAACGCACCGTTTCCGAGTTATAAACACTTTTTTATTCTACGATGTCACACACCGTTGGTCCCGATTTTTTTTTTAAACATGCGGACTTCGGACGTTTTTCACTCGATCACCAATCAAAACCATGGGAGATTTTTTGATATTTCGAGTATTTCCGAGGTACAAGCAAATACTGTTTTTTTCTTTCATATATTGTGACACCCTACCCTATCTCACCCACCGAGTGCTCTACTCAGAACCAAGGGGAAATTTGTTTATATTTCCAGCCATTTCCGAGTTACGAGCAAAAATCGTTTTTTTTCTCATATGTCGTGACGTCATCATAGCTCGATGACGAAAGCTAAAAAGGCCACACGCTCTACCCCACGCTCCCTCCCTAGGTGTCCTGAAGATGCTGGGGAAGCCCCAGAGGCTCCTGAAGTCAGCAGAGAGAGACAGAGAGGGCTTCTATGAGGACAAAGTCACTCTATCTCTATCGCACACAATCAGACAAAAACGACAGAAACGAAACTTCCTTTAAAAATACATGGGATTTATCATTATCAGAATAACCCATTTTAATTCAAAAAATTAAAATTAAAACGGGTTATTCTGATGACGAAAAATAAAACATAATTAGACTGTATTATTCAAATAACAATAATGTGCAAAAATTCTTCAGGAATATCGGCAAATTTAATTTAGAGGAAGAATCCCGTCAACGAACACTGTAAAAATATTATTAGAAACCTTAGGTGCCCAGAAAACAGCCCCGATCTCAGTTCTTTAGACATATATTTAGAACGAAATGTTTGATAATTCTGAATTTATTTTTAAAGCAATAAATAAATAATAAATTAAAGCATATTTTCAACTGTATCATCACAAATTTTCAACATGCAAGTACATGTTGAAAATTTGTAAAAATTGTAGGTATTTTAATGTTATTTCATTTTTAGGTATTCTCCTTATGTTGTTGTAAAGGTTAGTTATAAAAATCATTGTTTGTTATTTCAATAAGGGTGAATTTTAATTTTTTTAATGATTTTTTTACTTTAAACATATATTTTAGGCCAGCAAATTTTGATGTCAAAAAAAATAAAAGAAAAGTACATTTGTATTTAAAGTTTTTTTCTATCTTTAATTATTAAACCTATAAATGGATGTCAAAATACAAAAAAAACCTGTACCTATATTAAATAAATTTATCATCACCAAATATTAAAAAAATTATATTACAAGCTGTTTAAAATATCATTACGAATTTTGTTTATTTGGAAATATATTTTCTGCGGTAATTCAATACCAAAAAATGAAAATAGTAGCTAATTAACGAAATTATGATTAAATAATCTAACTGTGACACCGCTGCAGATTATCATATGAAACTACATAGATATTGGTTGATTCTTTAAAATATTTTTATCAATACCTACATCAAACATTTAAGTAAATACAGCAACGCAAAAAACATTGATAAAAAAGTGTACAAAATACATCCGTAAGTACGCATGACAGCATTGCCAAAGTGTTGTATATATGTTGCTAGGATACGCGTAGGAATGCGGGCTGCTGCATTTGATTCTTCCTAAAATTCTGCTGGTGGTGTACTCTATCGACAATTTGGAAATTTAAAACTGCTGGTCTATTCCAGTAGCGCTCTGGGGCGATAGCTAGGTATTTTGTCTGTGGTAGGTATCTCAATATTTACGTACCTGCTCTCCTACTTTTTAAATTGCTACATTTTATCAAACATTGTTGATTACTATTTAATATGTATACGTATTTACTTTGACGCTGTAAAATGAAATGAGTGCCTACCTGTTAACCTTGGTTTTATTATGTACAATATAAAATATCAAATTTTTACAAAGTTTCATACCACCATCGTTTTTGTTTGTTATTATAACAACATCCAAATATAAATTATTTACTACATCGTTTCTCCTGTGTTGATGTGATAAATATATATTAATTATTGAATGTTTCGAAGGAATTAAGAAGAAACAAAGAAAGTGAAAGATTTTTACCTATGAAACTAAATACTTTTAGATTGTTAATATTCATTTTATGTAATTATGATATTTTCACAACTTGAATTCAGGGATTATGATTAAAACAATTATTAAGTTTTAAGTCATTTTAATTACGACACCTTCGTTTTATACACTACTTTCAAAATACGAGATTTGCAATCAGGTTTACTTAAATTTGTACGCACGTTTGTAGTTTTATTAAAACTTACGTTAACTAATTGTTCTCTCTTATTTTTTAAATTCTTATTATCACACGCAATTGAAATACTTTCGTCACGAATGGATTTGGTGATTTTTATACCTTTCTTTAACTCATCTACCTTAATCACATTCATAAATTCCTGAATATTATTTTTTGAAATTGTCTTCACCAATATTATAAATATATTTGGATCGACATTTTTAGGAACTACCAAATCCGGTAATGAATCTTCTCTCAGTTTTTTGACGGCAGAAACCAAAACGTCAGGCTTATCAGTTGGTTGTTTGGCAATCTTGGAACACTTCTCCAAGTTTTTTTTGAAGTCGTTGGCAAAGTAGCTTAGTCCTAAACAACCACATAGGCACTCCCTACATTTTCGATTGCAGTCATTCAGCAACTTCTCCTTCAAATACATCCTTACAAAGCTTTTTAGATATTTAATAGTGTTGCACAATTTATTACAAAAATATCACTTTGTGATGGATAAGTTATAATGCTACCAGTTTATATCTTATTTCTGAGATGTGACAATTTTGCTGGACTTGTGTAAATAAATCAATTCTACAGAAAGACACTGCTACTGGAAAGCACGAGCTACACAAAGACACTATATAAAATATATACATACATATAAAATATGTAAAGAAAACAAAAGTAAACATGTAATGAAGTAGTTTTATATTGTATACACGGGACACGGGACAAACAAACAAGATAGCACATATTTGGACATATGTTTTAATTTATCTATTTTATTGATGCATACACTTAGTAGAGTTGATAATTAGAATACCCCTACTTATTGTTATAAAGTTTCAAAATAATTCAACAAAAAATGTACCTATTCAATTTTAAATCGTTCTATTGGATACCACTTAAGTACCTGTATTTATATTTTAGAGAATCTAAACAATCATATTCATTTTAAAAAATTAACACCAATTTAGTGGATAATGATAAAACAGTTTTCTTTGAAATTGACATTTGATCAATGCTAATTACCATTATTCTTAAAAAGTTCTGTTAAAGTTCGATAATTTCTGTTATTAAGCGGATGTTAACTACAGAAAGTTTTCTATATTTTTTTCAGAGGAAATATCAAGGCAATTATCGGATTCTTCATCAAAAGCAATAATAACTTTTGCAGATTTATACGCTACCGCAAAGTCTGCAGCTAACTTATCAAAACGACAACTGCCTATAGTGACAATCAAATCAAAGGTAGGAATTTCAATTGTTTTCCTTATGTATCATTCAGGGTGGTCGCCGAGGCATCCGAGATACTTCGTGTATGAATTCTATGACTAATGTTTAGCAAAAATTATTCTACTCACTTTTCCCGAATTCCCAATAGTTCTTGAAATATCGGAGTTTAAAGTTTCCAGGTCGTATGGGTAGTTGCTAAAGAGTAAATTAGATTGTTGCGACTAGAGGGCTAGGTAATTTAATAATTAGCAACTTGACTGGGATTAGAAAGAAAATTGTTAATCGGTTATTTTTTGCGTCATTTGTGTTAAAATCATGCCTTTTATTTATTCAAATGAAGAATACGCAGACATGTATGCATATTGCAAAGGTAGTACCACCGCCTTAGTTACTGAATATAAACCGCGATATCCAAACCGCAGTCTTCCAGACAAGCAAACGTTCAATAGAACCTTCATTACTCTTCATTACACCAGATGCGTAAGAAACATTGCTGCAGAAGTGCTTGACCTTGTTGAAAATGATCCTGGTACTGGTACCAGAAGAATTTCTGTACTTCCTGGACAAAGTAGGACGGTTGTATAAGACACATTACGAGAAAACAGACTGCATCCCTATCATTACCAACCGGTACAAGAACTTCTTTCCACGGATCTTCCCCAAAGAGTTCGTCTTTATAAATGATGGAGCAATCAGCTGGATATTCTTCCAAGAGCCCTTTTCTGTGACGAAGCTACATTTACAAGAGATGGAATCCACAATTTCCACAACGATCATGTGTAGGAAATCGAAAACCCTCATGCTGAAGATTCTCCGTAAACGTTTGGGCTGGAATAATTAATAATGAAGTTATCAGACCACATTTGTTCGATTGAAACTTGAACAGCGGGATGTACCGGGATTTTTTGGAGAATGATCTACCTCTACTACTTCAGGACATTCGTCTTCAAATCAGAAGGACGATGTTCTTTTTAGATGATGGAGTTCCGTCCCATTACGAAAGAGGTGTTACTAATTTCCTCAATGAAAAGTATGCAAATCGATGGATAGGTCGCTAACTCGTTGAGAAGATTCGTACAACGTTTGATGAGGTGAAAAATACTCGTAATATGGCGAACTACACCTGGGAATCAGAAGCTTCGACAGAGGATTGAGTTATGCGTCGCACAAGGCGGTGGTCACATTGAGCAGCTTTAATAATTCCCTGTCATTACGCTTTCATTAAAATAAACCACTTTTTTTTTCTAAGCCCTCTAGTCACAACAATGCAATTTGCTCTTTAGCAACTACCCATACGACTTGGCAACTTCAAATCCCGATATTTCAAGGACCATTGGGAATTCGGATATAGCGAATAGAATCATTTTTGCTTAAAATTAGTCATAAAACTCATATATCTCGACAGCCACCCTGTATAAATAAATTATATTCTTAGTGGTATTTTAAGGACCTAAATTATTATTTTGTTGGACCATGAACCAGCGTTTATTCTATTATTTTCCAATACGTAAAATAGAAGGTGTGCGTAAGATGACAAAATTTGAAGGTAAAAATCTGTTGGATTCGTATATAAATGCATCATTATAGTAACGGAGATAAGGAGCGAATTCGATTACTACTTTTAATTCCTAGTAGTGTTTCTGAAAATGAAATGAAGTCTTTTATGAATTTTATTTTAAGAACGAACCAATTCCAAATTTTAATTGATTTCTGGACAAAATCGTGTGATGTGTACACAAAAAATATGAATTTTTATATACCAGTAATTTCATTAATTAATACCAGGTAAATTCACTCAATTTTATTTTATCTAAATACTTGACCTATAGTATCGCGTTATCTGTCAATCGAGAATAGAACAGAGAACAAATAATCAGAATGCCTTATTATGACTCAAATTTAATGTTTCATTGTGGGCCTGGCATCCGATAATGATTAGTTTCGAGTATTTATGAAATGTTTTTATTCACCTTCCTTCTTTTTAGAATGATGAGCTTTTACCCGAAGGGGCAATAATTTTTAATGAGCTTCTGGATAGTAAAATCGATCTTCCAGACTTTCAACCAGGAAGTGCAGACGACATCGCCATCCTACCATATTCCAGCGGGACAACAGGGTTACCAAAGGGAGTACAACTAACACACAGAAATATCGTTTCAAATATTCACCAAGCAACGTGCCCAGATCTGGACTTCTCCCTACCACCAACAGGTAAAGGCAAACAAGAAAGTGATTACACAAAAAAAAAAAACGTCCAAGAGACCAAGGGATGGCATCGAAGGGTTTACTTTTATTTTCTGTTATAAATATCATTGACTTAAAGCAGCGAATTGACGTATACGTTTGATCGCATGCAGAAAGCAACATAAATCAGACTTATTTTTATTTCAATATATATTTTGAAAACAGTGGAGAAAATAATATTTTACACATCATAGAATAAAATGACCTATATCTTCAATTAATTTATAAATATAAACGTTCTTTTCATCCTAAAAAATAAATGATTATTTCTTTACTGAGTTACTGAAGTAAGAATCTCAACATGGAATATAAAATGATATGGACTTGTATCACTGTATACGTTGATTGAAAATTTCAGTCAACGTCTTATATGTACCTTTGGTATACATAACCAATACATAAACTACAAACTTATTTTGTGCAGCGACATCTATATGAATATTGTGTTTCTGTGGTACTAATTTTGTAGTAAAAATTTATCTTCATACCTGAAATTTATCTTGACAACGGGCCCGCAAAAGAAGTATATCGGGTGTTTAGATTTGATCACCTATGTCTAATTTTATTCCATTGTAATATTTTTTGTTTTCTATACAGTGTGTCAATGAATTTACAGACCCAAGTGCCGCCGCTTGCACGCTTGCTACTACTGGCCAGCGATGATTTTCTTTATAATTTTCATATTATTTAAATCCATACCTATTACATTTTTCAACGGAAACAAAAATTTACATTATTGAAAATTGTAAGTTCCATATACAAATTTCATAAACAATTAATACTAATTTGGGTAATATTCAAAATTTAATAAAATAATTTCTATAACATGTCACTTTGGATATTTGGATGTAGATTTATTGTAGTTTTAACGCGCATACAAAGGTCTCAGCTCTTACGAGTACAATTTTTTGTTTCAGATAACTTTCAAGACATAATTCCTGCAGTTTTACCAATGTTCCACATTTATGGGCTTACTGTCACTATGTTTGCCGCCTTAAATAGCGGATGTAGAACAATCACTCTCAGCAAATTCACCCCTGATCTTTATATATCGGTTTTAAAAAATTATAAAACTAGCATAATATATGCCGCACCTCCTTTAGGTAAGTTTAATGTTTTTCGTATAAAAGTGTATAACATTTTACACTTCACTTTATTTTTAATCATTAAATTGACTGACTCAGGACCAGTTGAAGAAGTGAATTTTAATTACGATTACAGATTACAAAGACAATTTTATATATGGTACCACAGACCAATTGGTATGTATGGTATAGTTGTTACGATGTCAATTGGATTGGAACCTGTAAATCTTAAAGCACAGGACCGTATGCACTTCTCCTGAAATTTCTTGCTATGCTTTGACCATGATGTATCCCGTAATTTATACTCGAATAGCAATTCGGCGAGGCCAGTATTGGTAAACTAGTCCGCCCGATGTAGAATTGACGGCGGCGCGCTAGTCATCAAAACAAACCTGTATTGGTCCACTAGGTCGTAAATAATTTCTTTGTATGGTACACCAGTGCAGTGCAGTGCATTGCTTGGCGGGGTATGCTGTTGGTATAATACGTATTATTATTTATTAGTTGATATTATTATTTGTTCATATCGTAACCAGTAAAGGGTAATAGTTATTAAAATAAATGTTATATGTAATTATCTAGTAATTTAGCGTGGCTCTCTGGAGACTCTGAAGCGGAGGATAACGAAATAACTCGGGGAAAATTCCCAAATAGTGGAATCGGTTTTTGTCGAAAGTATCGAAACAAACTTAGAGTTTAAAAACAAAGATTTACACGTAAAAAGTCAACGTATTATATTAAATATATATAAATGTATGAAAATTGGAAATAGTGAACAATGCGATAAAAAAGTTAGGAAACGGATTAACGAATTAACTAAGATATCCAAAAAAGGCCAATTTATCGCGTATATAAAGAAGGATTGATCACGGTACAAAGAGGAAACGTAAAAATACAAAATTAAAGAAAATTGACGATTTTACCAGATGTAATGCGGCGCACAGTTTATAATATGTATAAAGAAAGTAAAGTTCCTACTTTAAACATGATTCGAGATAAATTAAGCGATTACCCTGAATCTTTAGATATTTTACGACATGCTTTATTACAATGCGATTTTAAACATAAAAAACTTGACAATCGTATGGTAATTATATGGTAATAAATATAGCTCGAAATATAGTGTATCTAGACGAGACAGGGCTAAATTTTTATTTAATTTTAAATTATGAGTTAAATTTTTTTATGCGGTTCCAATTGAGATCGTAACAACTATACTAATGAAATAACTACTTCTCAAATATATATGTTGTCATCCCTAACCATAAACCACCCCTAACCTAACATACTAACATGTCCTTGATATATCGTAGCGTTATATTACCTTTATCTACGTTGTCAGAACGTCCCTCTTACATCTTTTTTAAACAAGATAATAATCTGGAGTTGGGCCAATTTTTCCAATTCCACCAAATAAATTTATTTTTTATCAATTTTTACGTTTGCCTATCAATTCAGCAATTTTTATGTTTGCGTTCTAACGAACTATCTCCGTAACTACGATCAAGGATCTCTTTCATAGTGTTTTATTAAAAAAATGTCGTCACAGAGATATTTATAAGATGTTATATACAGCACGACAAAACGGCATCATTATAAAGGTACAGATAGGAGTACTTTATCAGAAAATGATATAATAAAAATATCATTTATAAATATCCTCATGATATACAAGTGTGGATGTAAAATGAACATAAATATCCCCATGCCTATGTGTCTCAATGATATTTTATGGAATATTTTCTCTATGATCCTAATGAGGACTTTGCAGACTGAATTAAGATATCAGAAGGACGTTTTGTGTTATCTGGATAACTTGGTGTAATAATAGACCTGTTAGTAACCATTATTTTGATTCCTTACAGTATTATTCCTGACATTGCATCCCGGAGTGAAAAAAGAGTATCTGGAAAGTGTTAGAATAGTTTCTTCGGGAGCGGCGCCCTTAGGGGCGTTAGATGAGGAACGATTCTTACAGAAATCTCCAAAGAATACTAAGATAGTCCAAGGTAGGATGACGGTAAAAACATGTAACGGACCCAGATGTATACAATTTATTTATTTATGTGTTTATCTTCGTCAGGTTACGGTCTTACCGAGACGTCTCCGGTAGTAACAGTGTGCTCCGTCAAACTATTTGAACAAGGAAAAGCAACCGGATCCATAGGACAATTAGTTCCTAATACCTTGGCAAAAATTGTAGCGATTGATGACGGCACAGGTACTATGCCAAATAAATTCATTATTAGTTGTTACTTTACCTGCAGAAATATAAAGAAATTTATAGATGTAAGGATCAAAATTTTGCGGAAATTATATATATGGCCAAAATTGTCTAAAAATATTTGACACGTAAATTTTCAGATATTACGTTAATCGTTCTTAATAAGATCAAATGATTTACATCAGGTAAACCCTTGGGACCTCATCAACCTGGTGAACTGTTAGTTAAAGGACCACAAGTGATGAAGAATTACCACAATAAAGAAGAAGAAACAAGAAATGCATTTCTGGATGGCTGGTTCCGAACTGGAGACCTGGGGCACTACAACGAAGATGGTGCATTCTATATTACAGACAGACTCAAAGAACTTATAAAAGTAAGTGCAGCATTTATGGGGAGTCGCCCCTGGTGAAATGTAAACACCTTTTAAAACTAAAAAGGTTTCTCTTCCATCCTCTCTACCAATATTCTTCATATTTTTTAGGTGAAGGGCTTCCAGGTAGCTCCCGCAGAACTGGAGGAAATCATCAGGGACTTCCCTGCCGTGGACGACGCCGCAGTCATAGGCGTAGCCCACGACAGTTATGGAGAACTTCCGAGAGCTTACGTCGTTCCCAAAAAAGGCGAAATCCTGAAAGCCGCGGAACTAGCTGAATACGTGGCTGAAAAGGTGGCATCGTACAAGCAATTAAAGGGTGGCATCGAGATCGTTGATAGTATTCCGAAGAATTCAGCTGGAAAGATTTTAAGACGTCAGTTAAAATTGGCGTATGAAAGAAAATGATTGAGCGCAACGATTTAATGTTTTTTTTTATTATGTGTATTATTGCTGTTTTTATAAAGTGTATATTTCAGGAAAGCTAATTTTTCCAATTAAATAAGATTATGAAATATTGACCGGTCTTTTACTTCATTACAATTATGATGATGTCAACCTTGCATGTGACAAATTCTACAAGGAACTGAACTCTGCATTTGAGGATCATGTTCTCAACTAATTCTAATTCAAGACATTCGTCCTGGTTCGATTGAAATATTACAAATGTTTCCTTTCAACACAAACTGGGACGCAAAGATAAAAAAGGTGATGTTCATACGCTTACAGAATTTAAATTTCTTACAACAAATATTAAATTTTAAAAAAATGTGTTTGACAAAACTCCTATTTGGACATATTGAATTTTCGCAACCGAGAGAGTTGCACTAACCAAATTTGAACAGGATATAGCTAATACAATGCGAAACGTCGCTTTACTGTTAAAAAGGTTGTCACCGCCGTTACTGGGTGGTCGAAATTCGAAATATTTGGAATTATTCAATTTTCGTGGCTGAAAATATACATAGGTATTGAATTTTCGAAACCGAGAGAGTTGCACTAACCAAATTTGAACAGGACATAGCTAATACCATGCGAAACACCGCCTTAATGTTAAAAATGTTGTCACCGCCGTTCTTGGTGCTGAAAATTCGAAAGTATTGAATATTCCGATACCGAGAGAGATGCTGTAACCAAATTTGAACAGGACATAGCTATAATACAATGTGAAACACATAGATAAATATAAATACTTTTTCTATGGTGTAATACTGTTAAAAATGTTATTGGTGGTGAAAATTCGAAATATTTGAAATTATTAAATTTTCGTGGCCTGAACACTTACAGAGATAATCACACAAAGTTATTCATTTTGAAAATTCGTATAGACAAATATTTAACAATGCTCCGAGAACAACTACTGAAAATATTTATACATAAAAATGTTCTCAAAGAGCCGGTAGCCGAACGCAAGATAAGAAATCTCACTCATATTCAGAGTGCATTCACTTAGGCAGAGGCGTACATACTGTTTTTTCAAAAAGATTACGAATAAATCAGTAGGTATGTTTATGATAAATATATTAATAGAACTTTTTTTGGTTTTAATGAAGTTACAATAGCATTAAATATCACATTTAACTATTACATATTAACACTACCTATAAAACTAATTAAAACAGAATTTCTATCTTTAGGACAGGATGCTAATGTACCTACTATCTTAGATAATCTGTAAATGTTAAACCTCAACAAATAAATACGAGAGTGAGATATAAGCTTATACATCATATGTAATACTAGCATATGTAAGTCAAGCATATAAACAATCCGTTTTCAAAATTCAGCAGCAGGGATACCACTTGTCTAGATTTTTCAATATTAAAAAGTAGGTATATGATAAAATTAAAACACTTTCTAGCTAAATAGGAAATTTCGGAACTAGATATGACGACATTGTCCCGCCTCTTCTTAGGTCATTCAACTCTCAAGCATTTTTAGATGAACCATAGTTGTGATTATGTAACATGTGTACATACAAGAAATCAAAATTCGTAATTGCTTGTAATTTTGAATGTTTAATTTTTTCATAAAACCAAGTTTTATTATCTATCCTAAAAGCTATTAAAATACAAAACTGTTTTAGAGTAGCCAAACTTTAAACTTGATACTATATGACAGTTTATAGGGAGCAGGGATAAACCTTTCCTTGATAGAAAGGATAAGCAATGAACTACTAGAATTTTTTTATTGGTTGCAATAAAAAATCATAAAACTTTTAATTTTAATTTTAAGTTTACCGCAATTTTTTGTTAGAACTTTTATGTCAAACATACACCTGACAAAATGCGTTTTTTATTATAATATCTCGAAAATAAAACATACAACATCCCACATTTATACGAAATTTTTTCGATCAAAATTAAAATCGACTGACGTCAAATGCCTTTAATTTTGTCATATTAGAATTTTTTATGTCTTCTTTAGGTAGGTAGGTACCCACTTTTCGAGTACTTAAAAACCGAAGAAAAACTACAACCTTAGTTTTTTCAAATAAGCAAATGAAAGAATATGTGGGAATATGACGGACATGTTCAGTGTCACAAAAAACTATCCTCCGCAAAAATAAAATTGACCTATTTTAGTATTTACAGTGTACCTATTTCAAGCTTATCCATATACCATATACCTATTGTACGGGTACGCACTCTAAGTCGCGCTACTCGTACTCTGTATATTAAGTAAAACAAATAAAAAAATACACAGAATTGAATGAATTTATTTGCTGTCTACTAGTTTTAACTATGTCACACTATGTTGTCACAGTTGCCCCTGTGTAAATTTAAGGAAATAGTCAGTTTCTAGAAGGGAATATTGAACTGGTGGACTTTGGACTGGAACAGACGGTACAGTTGATTCATACCAACGTGATCGTAACAGGGTGCATAGTACGTGAACGTATACTTAACTAGTTGGTTGAAGTTTATCAGTTTATAATAAACCTCAATTCTATATATATAACAATTAGTAGAGGGGAACCTTTACAGTCTATCAACAATTTTGTTAAAGCACTTTTATATGTATGTGTGTCCTTTTGTAAACATCTTATTCCGTAAAGGTAAGTAATTTATGTACCTACCTATATGTTTTGAGTATCGTTAATTTATAAACTTTTATTTTGCTAATTAAATTATCCTTATGCTTATTATAATTGTTTAAACGGCGTATCAGCCTACAATTATATTAATTTGTGTTCGGTTATTATTAGAAGTTTCTAGAAAAGAAAATTTATTTAAAATATTTGCTTTATTAATTTTGATTAGTTGATCGTCGTTTAAAGGACATACCTAATTGTTTTTAATCACAAAGTAAAAGTGATAAAATGTTTTATTAAGAACAAAAAGTTAATTAAGTTTCATTAAAATTGCGTCAATGTTGTTATTTAATGAAATTAAATATTTACGGCCAACGTGAGCCAACGCACGATTTAACACGAACAAACAAGATGATTCTCTTGCATGGCAATCATGGCATGGAAGTAGAACATTTTCTAATTTTTGTCGTATTACATAGGTCTAAAATGTTTAGTTGCTATAATATATGCTAACCTAAAAAAAGATTATACAGAATTTGATGTGGGATTTGGAAACTAGATATGTATGTTGCATGATAACAGTTAATAACTGCGTGCAGATAATTTTTTAAATAAATATGGAGTAGTATAGGTACCTACTTTTCAATTGTCATTTAAATTCCCAAACAGCATTTACTTAAGAACACCTGCGTAAAAAAATATAATTAAATGACCATTGAATAAATGACCTTTGTACTTTGTGTCAAAATTCTATAGAATGAGAAACGGAAGCGGATAAAACCGGATTGACCCTTGACGTTGAGTTCATCACTTGTCACTTGTTCAAATTTGGAGCAGCAAAAAAGACAGATAAAACATTATTTAAAATTTAATTATTAATACCTATATAACAGTTTTAAAAACAACGAATGTTTTTAAGCGATAATTGAAATACCTGTCACAATCAGTGTGGTACTTAAGGTCATGAGTGCGCAGGGCAAGATTTGAATTTTGCGCCCCTCAAAACTTATTTTGTAGGCAAGATTTAAATTTTGCTCCCCTCAAAACTTGTTTTGTAGGAGGAGAAACAATACAATAACTTTAAATATAATTTAATTTATACATTTGCGCCCCCTTGAAGTTTGCGCCTCTGGCAGCTGCCTCCGCTGCAGCCCTAGCTACGACGCTGGTCACAATGACGATATCATTTTAGGCAAGACCCTCCGTTAATTCATTTATAAAAAATTATTTAGTTTTATCACCAAGTTTGCGGATGTTGTGGTGTTAACAAATGGACATACTTTGATAAATTACTTTTAATTAACATTATTTGCAGACAAAAAGTTGTTCGTAAGATGATGCGAAATAGGTTTTTATGGTGTTTAGGTCTGAAAAGACTCTTAATTCTAATTTAATATAATAAATAATAATTGGGTTAAAAATATATAATTATAAAATCAAAGGTTTTCCTGGAGAAACCACACCATCATCATTATTATGATTACAGTTATTGTACAAAATATATTTCCGTCCCTTTTATACATATACAGGGTGTTTGTAAATAAGTGCGGAATATTTTAGGGGGTGGTTACCGAAGTTATTTTGTGAAAAAAAGTTCATATAAATGTAGGTCGAAATATGTTTTTTTATTTTTTATTTTTATTAATTATTTCAAATAGTTTTAAAGATATTAACTTGAAATTTGATGGTTGTATTTTATTTAGAAATATTGACATCAACTACTAGATAATATATCAATAGAAATTAAATATACACAACTTGCAATAAAATATGTTTTATTTTTCCTCAAAAACGGTGCATCCTACGAAAAAAATTGAAGAGACCAATTTCATTCATAATTGGTGGCGAATTTCTAAAAGAATATCAAAACGGGAAAAAGTCAGTGGTGTACCATTCTTTTTATTGAAGAAGGTTGTGGTTTCTCGCACGAACGCCACTGGTGTAAGTAGAAATATTCGGATAACCGCAAAAAATGCACATTTATCCCTCCAAAGCGTTTTTCAAATTTCGAGTCAATATCTTTAAAACTGAAATAATTAATAAAAATAAACAAAATATTAAAATTTAAACACTACATCTCGGAAACGAAACATAATTCAACCTACGTTTATATGAACTTTTTTCACAAAATAACTTCGTCAACCACCCCTTAAAATAATTCACACATATTTACAAACACCCTGTATATCAAGATAATTAATAAAAAATGTTTCTGTTAAGAAAATAAGCTTAGTTTAAATTGACTTTAAAAAACAAACCATCATAATTTTTTGACATACTTCGTATATTTAAATTTAAATTTTGAATTTGAATAACCTAAAAGGTTAACTGTTATACTGTTATTCTTTCTAATGTTTTTCTCTGCTGCGCATGTTCTTCCGATTCCTTGCCATGTTTATAAATAATTTATTTCTCTTTATGTATGATTTAAATTTTGTTTTCTCGAGCTACAATTAGGTGCTTTTTAATATTTTGACTTCTCTTTGCAGTAGATTTAAATGATGTGCAATAGAAATATTTTTACCTTTTAATTTATACTAGTTCTTAAAAATCAACTTTTATTTGATATAAGGTGAAAATCTATCTTAATCGGTCGATTGGTACCTCTTCCTAATGGATAAATATTTAGCTATTTGCGTTGTAAACAAAAAATCAACCTTCCGTCACCTTATCTTCTTTTTTTTATTTTTATCAGACAATGCTTTAGAAATAAGTTGTAGTGTTCGAGCTGAATCGTGGCATACAGTTCAGTTGAAGTCGTCCAAACTAGGTAAGAAAGTTATTGTCTGATAATTTAAAAATATAATTTGATAAAGAGATTTTAATTACATGCTTGTGCTTAGTTTTATTGTCAGTTGTAAATGAAATTTTAATTTTTGTTTTAATTATTTCGTTCGTATGTTAAAATTTTTTCGAAAAACACATTAGTCAGGCCAAGGATATTAACTATTTATATTAGAAACACTTACAACGTTTACAGCTCGTTTAATTTTGATAATATTTTATTATGGTACCCGACTGAAAAATTTTGTACATTTTATATAATTTCGACAAATGACATCAATGTTTATAAAAAGTGAAAAATATACAGTGTTGCTCATTGAGAATTAGGATACTCTTCTATTCTTTTTAGGACGCCGTATTCGAATAATATCTTTTCGTATTTTAGATGTAATTGTTCAACTGACTACGATGATTCAATTGAACTTATGAAAAATATTCTCCATTATAAATATTATTTATTTAAGGTCTTATTGCTTATTGAACTGATTTATGTCTTCTTTCGAAAACTGTATATTTGTTTTCATCACAAAAAATATGTTACCTATTTTGATAAATTTTTTTCTAGAATCTTGTAGTGTTGTTTTTTGTTAAGTATCTGCAGCCAAATAGATATTAAATTCAATTAACAATTTATACACACAATATTATATTTTTCTCAGAATATAATCTTCTAAAACAGTATGTTAAAGTTCGATATTTCCAGTTAAGTAGTTTTATACGAATATTTGTTTTTTCTACATTTTCTTTTTTGTTACATATAAAAAAGTAAAAAAGACGGAAACTAAATCAATACTATTTAAAATTTGAAATCTAGCAGCTACATTATTTTACAAAATTATTAATTATGGGTGCCTATAATAGGCTCAACTTTCATTGGTTAAACATTTTCAAAGGTATTTAATAATCGTATAAATGTGACATATTTTTTTTTAAATATCAACACCTTGCAAGCCTTAGTCTTGGTTTCTAGTTTTTCTAGTTCATTAAGGCTTATGCTTAAACTATAAAGTATAATTCATCGCAAATGTAAAAAAATAGAGGAATATAGAGCATCAAAAATGTTGGGAATATGGCTTATATACATATTGTGTCCATTTATTAAGAATTTAGAAATTATTTAAATATCAAAAACAGGAATTATTCATTTTTTGGTTATAATAATAATAATACAATTTTACTATAAAAAATCTTTAAGTAAATATAATATAAAGGAGATTTCTAACATTCTTTCAGTCTGTAACATTTGTGCTAATTAATATTATTTAAATTTTTTCAAAATCAAATTCGAAAATTATCGTTTATTTTATTTCTGAGGTTTTGCGAAGATATTATTTCTTTAACTGCAACACCCTGTAAATTTATTATCATTAGTATATTAATTTATCATTATTTTAAAACTATCAGCTAGATATGTCGTCTTCGAAGTTTCAGGGATGCTTTGATGTACCTAACTACGTTAAAACTAATAAAACTAGATATAAATTTTCTAAATTTTATTTAAAAAAAGTTTGTCTAAAATAAATGCATACAATGAAGAATAATATTATAAAATAGTATTAAAATCTATCTTCTTAATTTAATACTTTTTATCCTTACCATTTGTTCTCAGATTAACAATGGCTGCAGAACAAGGAAGCGAACAAGTAACTGTTCCAACGACTTGTATGGAATCCGTAAATAGAATATCGAAATTGCCTGTGGTTGAATCGACAATTCAGACAGCAACAAATATTTATGAAAAAGTAAAGGTAAGCGAAACATATCTAAAAATAAAGATCAGATCAAATCGGGACACTCTTAAGAAATTTTAGTGTATTGTACTCTTTCTATGATTTTGACTATGAAGCTATGTCATATTTTGTCCCAATGATTTCGCCCCTGCTCTTTGACTTAATATTAATTGTCCACCACCTGTATACTGAAAACAGATTGAGTTAGTCAGGATTTGTTTATACCATCAAACTAAGCTCAAAAAGACCACATATTAGTTTTTTCTACGGTTATTTAGTTCCCAAATTGGCCACACATATGGATATTCACATAACATTCTACCTTTTTTTGTGCATTTTTATTTAGAAGAAAATATAAATGCCAAAATTTTAGAAAATGTTTCTTATGATCTTAAGGAAATTCATACAAAAAAATAATTGAATGTTGCATTTCAGGATTACAATAGCGTCACCAACTGGACTCTTTCAACTGCCGAGAGCACCGTCAACAAAGCAGTAGAAGTGGGAAAACCAATAGCAACACCTGTAATTCGAAATTTGGAGGGACCTATAAAGAAAGTTGATGGTGTGCTATGCAGCGGTCTGGATTATGTTGAAAACAAAGTTCCAGCGGTGAAACTTCCTCCTGGAGAAGTAAGTGAATAAATTTTCTACATTATAATTTCTTCACCTGCTTTTCTTCATCATTCATTTTTGTTAGATTTCATATCACATATTGACTATTATTATAGTGGTTGGATTTGATTCCATTGGTGTTTTGAAATTAAAAAAAAATGTCACTTTTATTCAAGTATCTCTAAATATGCTTGATTTAGATTAACGAAGTTCAAGTTGAGGATTTTACTAATTAAAGGGGAACAAATCACTAATTGAATTTCAACGCCACTGAATATTTTGGAAATTGAGTTGAAGTGCATATAATTCCTAATGTTATTTCTCAAACATATCGTACGCTTTATTCTAAAAATACATATTTTTTATATTTCAACACCTTGAATTTCGAAAACCAATTCATTAGGCTTTCATGGTCTAAAATGATCTAAAGAACATCTTCTTGAAGAGACGACGTATACTTAAAAAGTACCTTATTCGAATATGACTATTTAAACTGAAAAAATTAAAAGGTTTTACATGCAGTACTTGTTAGCTTTATGATGCTAGATAATGTTTCTTCTCCAGCACAAAGGACTAAAATAAACCAACAACAGTATAAACTGATGATCAGTTTTAAAAAAATATATTTCAATATCTTTCACCGCATTCATCTTCATCACAAAATCAATAACCACCTTACTTAGTTGATTATGCAGATTTACACCAGCACAAAGGAATATATCCACAACACAATAACTCCAGCCCTGGAACAAGCTTACTCCTATGCGGAGCCTGCTGTTAAGACTGCTAAAGACATCATGGAACCTGCCGTACAATCAGCGAAAAACATAGTTGAACCAGCAGTTGAGAAAGCCAAAAGCCTCATGGAACCTGCCCTCGACACTGCAGCTGCTATTAAGGAGAATGTAATGCATAAGGCCGATGAATATTTACATTGCGGACATAGCCAGGAGGGTACGTAAATAAAATAATCTAATATAAATACTAGAAAATATTTTAGTATGACATTGGTGTAACACTTTTGAGATTAAGTTATATAAAAAAATATTAATTTTTAAAATAATACTATGCCCACATTGATACCAAGTGTCCTCTAGAAAACACATTATAACATAACTCCATAATTTTATATTTAATTAAAAACAACTTTCGAAAAATTGATATCTTGGAACTGAGTGTGATGATTTTCGAAAAATATAAATTTAAAAACAAGGGCAGAGCTTTATAAAGAATGACATTACTTTCATATACTTACGAGTTTTCCTTATTATTTCCACAGGTGAGTCCAGTGAATGCAAGGAATGTGAGGATATTAAACAGCAATTGGAAAAGAAATTCACTTAGGAACAGTAGAATTTTTTTATTTTAAATTGTCTTTATAATTTTTCTATGTGTGTATCTATAAGACTGTATTCTTTATAATAGTTTATTTACTCCTAATAAAAAAATATTATATTTAATGTTTTTTTTTTATAAAAATTTATTTTAGCTAAGATCTTCCAAAGTGATTAGAATTAACAGATAAGTAGCACATGTTCCGAATATCTGAAAAATTAAATATATGAATTAGATACCTACCCTTAAATAAAAAAATAAGACGCACGAAGAAAATCTAATTTTTTCCATTCATACATATTTCGTTTGATAAAATAATGTTTGTGTTACTATCAAAGCTTGTAAAAAATAGGATATGTAATAGATTATTTAGTATTAAACTGTAAATTATAGAGGGTGTAAAAGCGACATTGCAGCACACATTTGGTAGCATCAGAATTAGAATGGGTCTGAATAGGTTTAAAGTCATATCTGTTTGACGAATCGTAATGCCCTTTGAACCTTTTTATGAAAAATCGTTACTGTTGTTTTCTTTTGACTGAAAGAACCCTTGCCAATTCGTTGCAAAACACATACGAATAGAAAAATTTGCATTTACAATTCAAAATTCTTACATTTCAATTTCACAGAATAATACTCTAAAAATTTATCATTTCATAATAACGGATATGCTAAAACAGTTTTTTAAACCCACTATGTTATGTTATTAGCGGTTCCGGTGAGGCCATAAGCCGACCAAGTTCCAACGCAAGCCACCAAATGCTGCGTTGGTGTTAAATTTGATGAGATTTAGACAAATTTGAACTACAATGGTTCCGATATGCCAAATTTGGTAAAAAATATTTCATTCCATTTCCCCAAATAGGTCACAGGAAATTTTATCGCAATCACAAAACAAATTGTATATAAATGTCGTTTGTCTTATAGGCCTATATAATTTCATTATTTTTCGAAAAAGGGTAGTGAATAATTTCTAAATTATTTTTAAAATAAATGCAATATGTGCAAGGTATCCCTCGTTATTTTCAAATTTTTGAGACTAAAAGACAGAAGGACCATCTTTATTATTACCGAATAAAACGCCAATCTATGGATACACGAAAATGATAAATTAAAATTCATATTCTGATATTCTGCTTTGCTGTTTTCGGACCAATTTATTTGATTTCAATAATTCATAGGTATGTAATTTTAAAAAAGATTGACCTTTTACTTCTGTATGTCAAAAATTAAGTCTGCTTTAAGCTCGCAGAATTTGAAAAAAAAAACAAAATTTGTAACAACCAATTTACACATAGGAGTATTCCGTAACTTTAAAATTGTTTAGTATAGTTTTTCAGGAATATCATCAATACATTGACATTCAACAAGAATATTTAAGCTATAAATAGATTTGACATCAAATCTCAATCGGTAATTTGATAAGCAGTATGCAAAATACTGAAAGAGAGAATAAAGTGTGCTCCACCTCTAATAAATAAAATAAATTCAAGAATATTATATTAAGTAACTATTCCATGTTTCTGCTACATTTTCCCAGTAAAGCAATGACAAAACCAAACAGTCGTGCAAAATATACAAGTATTTAATACTAATACCAACAAATTAAAAATATTTGAAATATGTAAGATTACCTATACTTACTTTTAAAATTAATTCAGGAGACGAATGAAATAAAACAGCATTGTATTGTATCCTTTCATCTAAGAGAAACATATAAGTTTTGCGTACCTGAAACAATATGCATATTTTTAATAATAAAATAATTAATTAAAATCGTTGATCTTTTATTTTCTCCTTATTCCCCTTAAAATTAAAAAAAATGTTAATTAACTAAAATATAGTAAAGAAAGAGATACTTAATAATAACAACAATAATAATAATATGTTAATACGTATAATAAATTTTTACAATAGCAAGAAGAGATACAGCTGTTGGTGGTATCAAACCCCAGCCACTTTACTAGCACCTTTACCCCTACCCTCTTCTCCATGAAGTAGGCATCAGGATGTTTGATCTTATACAGCTCTTCTATGTATATAGAAACAATCCCCTATTGACTAGCCTGATTATGATACAGTAAGTATGTTACTGGTATGTCCACTTCATATTCGATGCATTGAAAATTTAATTGGGCCAGCTGGAAGTGTAACCCATTGTATTGTATCAGGTAGAGATAAAATAATTATGTATTCAACTTTTATACACTTATATAAATATGAACCTTTTATCTTCAGTTATAATAAATCGTCACTGAACTAATAACATTTTGTCTTATATCAATAAAATATTTCAGATCTAATTTCTACAATTAATTTCATAGAAAAAAACTGACGAAAAGAATGGAATAGTGTCGTTTGAACGTTTGATTTCGTTTCGTCTTCCATGTTTGCTATAGATGCTAATATCCAACACGACTGCATCTCTCGCGATTTGCTTGAAAGCTGCAGTATGGCTAGCCCTATTTGGTTACTTGTGACGTGACGGAAACATACCACACGGGATCATCTTATTTAACATTTATTTAATTACACAGATAAAATAAAAAAATCGTCTGTTTTACAGATGTGACCCTACCAATCTGTAGTAAAATTTTCCTCTGAATCCTAAAATGATGAAAAAAAAAATAAATTCTGACGTGTGGATTCCTCCCCCACACACCCTCAATTCCCCTCAAAAATTAAAATTAAAAAAATTCAAACTAGCCATCTAACCCACCTATCTTTAGTAAAATTTTCTGACTTATGGATTCTCCCCCCACACACCCTCAATTCCCCCCAAAAATTAAAAAAATCCAAACTAGCCATCTAACCCACCAATCTTTAGTAAAATTTTCCGCTGAATTTAAAAATAATAAAAAGACAATTTTCTGACCAATACACCCTCCCCCACACACCCTCAATTCCTCCAAAAATTAAAAAAAAATCCAAACTAGCCACCCAACCCACCTATCTTTAGTAACATTTACCGCTGAATTCGAAAATGATAAAAGGAAACACTTCTGACGTAGGGATTCTCCCTCACTCACCCTCAATTCTCCCCCAAAAAATCCAAACTAACCATCTAACCCACCTATCTTTAGTAAAATTTTCCTCTGAATCCAAAAATGATAAAAAGAAAAATATCTAAGGTATGGATACACACACCCTCAATTCCCCCCAAAAATTAAAAATATCCAAACTAGCCATCCAACCCTCCTACCATTAGTAAAATTTTCCGCTGAATTCGAAAATAATAAAAACAAAAATTTCTGACCTATAGACCCTACCCCACACACACCCTCAATTCCCCCCAAAAATTAAAAAATCCAAACTAGCCACCTATCTTTAGTAACATTTTCCATTGAATCCGAAAATGATAAAAGGAAAAATTTCTGACTTACAGACCCTCCCCTATACACACCCTCAATTCCCCCCAAAAATTCAAAAAATCGAAACTGTCCATCTAACCTAGATTTTTTTTTATCATTTTCGGATTCAGCGGAAATTTTTACTAAAGATAGGTAGGGTCGCGTCTCAAAAACACACAATTTTTTTTGTCGGCCTACGTTATCAATGAAATCAGCAGTTCTCAACAAGTATTTTCTATGACAAAATCATGCATACTTATTTTAAATTGACAAATTTAAAAAACCCACATAACTTACCAGTTCTGTGTACCGCATTTTGGTAGTAGTAGTCTTCATTTCGGAAAATATATCCAGCAAACGAAACTTTAAACACTTAATTTGATTTCTAATTTTCTCAAATGCGACTATTACACTAATGAACTGAAATATATGCAAAAGTGTCCAAGTCCATGATATCATAAATGACATTGTAACATTTTTCGTTGGAAACTTACTGAACTCAAAAATAATCATAACTATAAATTTATATGTGTTATAAGTTACCCACATGAAGGTATTTATAGTTAAATTTAGAAAGAACCAACGATTGGTAGAACTAAAATTGTTAATTATGCATTTTAACATACATAGATTTCTAGAGAAGCTGCGAAATTTAGTAAAAAAATAATTCCGTTCTATGGCATTTAAGTCTTTTATCACAATTAGTAATAAATATAATATATTCAGTTTTTCAATTATGGATACAAAAATAAATATTTCTGCTAAAGAATATGCTATAGCATCTTTCCACTGATGCGCCATAAAATCTTGGAACAATAAAATGACTGAAATCAAAATAGTGAGTACTATTCCACAAATATAAAATTGCCTATTTATAAATAAACATGTAATATCTTTACTTTTTGAAACACAGCGCCATAAATATAATATTCTATTCAACATTTTAACGTAGTCGTTTCTTCTAGTTATAAGTATATAATAATTCAGCATAACTAACACATGCACACATGCTGTACATAGCGAAAACACTGATCTTAAAATGTTTATATTTGTTACAAGTCCTTTGAGCCTAAAAATCGTAGTAAGAATTAACAGTAATTCGCACAATAAAACTCTAGTGAAGAAAATTTTATTGCTTTTCGCCACGTAAAAATATAAATCCAGATCAAGTCCAAGATTTAATTTGTAAGGCATTATGCCAATTAGATAACCAACCGAATAGAAAATTTTGCATGGTATTTCATTTGTGGTCAATTTCATAACTTGAAATGTTTTAATTTATATTTAGTGATAAATTTTATTACAATTGTGACACTTCATACTATGCTTTATTAAAATATTTATGGAAAATCCTCACAAGGAATATAATTTCAATTTAGTAAATTATGTAGCTACAAATGTAATTTCCTAAAACGTTTACTCTTTAATAATAAATCATCGTGTCAATACAAATACATTTGTGTACACATTATGGGACTATTTTATTTATTGCATTTGATAAAATAATTGATTAATGGTAATGGAATATTTAACGTGAATTAAGGTTTAGAAGATATAAAAAATCGATTCAGTCTCTCTTTCCTTAAACAAAATAATTTGAATTTAACAATATCGTAGCTCTTATCAGGGTGACGATTTTCTATTCTTTTTACTAATTACTATTTTGAAAATCCATTAGACTTTCAAATTCAGCAGAAAATTGTAAATTATTGTGTATTTTCAATTCAACACCATTGAATTATATGTCCATTTTCCCAAGCGTGATTTTAAATATCTGATTTCTCAAAATTCCTCATTTGTTAATGTAATTTTTGTGTTCGTTTATTCTAATATAGGTAAGGCTTACTGCGTTCATAAGGCATGGTATAAATACAAATTTTTGTATTTTGAATATCGTTATTTAGATCCATAAAGAATTAATTGCCCGAAAAATTGTTCTAATGTTAAATTACTTATTCTACCCAAAATGGGCCACCTGTACAGATTTAAGTAACATTACAGCATTTAGCGATATCCATTTATTTGCTCAACTTCCAGTTTGTTCCATTCAAATGTGGAAAATTCATACGTATCAATGTCATCAATATGAATTCAATATTGAATCGATTATCTATAGCTACACACAATTTCCATTTGCTATTGTCAACAGCAGGAAATAAAAAATAGTTTCCAATGAATACGGATTTCATATTAAGCACAGTCATTAAATAAACAAGTCTTATTTATTAAGATTATTTACATATACGTGGTGTCCTTTAATTCGACTGCGATCTACTGGGGGTGAATTTCGATTATTTCCGAAGATATGACCATTTGAAGATGACCCGTTGACATGACATTTTTAAATGTATTCTAAACCATTGTAGGATCAGTATTAAAGTTAGTAGGTACGCGTTTTGGGTTACTGATGATTTTTTTTGTTTCTCAGAAAACGTAGGAAAAATGATTGTTCTTGTAATATTTTCCTAAAAGGCACGATTTTCTAAAAGTGCCGGTGCATTCGTTTAGAAATGTCGGACTGAAAGCTGTAATAAATTATGGAGAAATAATAAAATCGCTTGTGAAATTTTTAAAGTTGCCACTTTCTTCTCTATCTAAATATATTATATTAATACAAATTTTAAAATCAAAATTTTAATTTTTGTGGGAGGTAGCTATACATAATATAGAGTAAAAGTCAGTTGAAATTTTTATTTTAAAATTTGTATTAGGACATTATTTGAAGTCAAAAACAGATTTATTCTATAAAAATGTTGTGTAAAATAATAAATAATGGTATATCTCTCTTGAGTATTTTCGTGTTTTTTTAATTTATGAGCACCCTGTATCTAATCTAAAATGTTTTTATGACAGTCTCATTTTTTCGAGGGGCAGAACTTTTTATAAAGAGTGACATTTTCGATAAAGTCAAAAACAAAAGAGTTTCTCCTCTTGTCAACTCCATCCGTGGACACACTGTATATACATTATTAAACTTTATTGTACTTAAATTCTCAAGTTTTTACTAAATTATTTTATTAAAAAAATAAAAAAAAAATCTTATTTTTTGCTTTCTTTAAAATTGTTTATTAACCACTTTTTGCATAAAATTTTTCTTTTACATTTTTTAAATTTCGATGAGAAATTCAATTCTCTACAAATTTTTTCCTATGAACTATACCGAAATTTTGCTTCGTTTTCGTACTATATTTAAAAAACTGCAAAAGTGCTTTTTTCACCCCTATCTTCAATTTCAACCCTCTAATTTAATAGCACCCGCGTTTTTTTCATTTTTAATAACCCTTCGAACAAGTCAGGTGATGAAACGTCTTATTTCCTTCCTTTTTTGCAAAAAAAATGAGAATTAAAACGTATAAGGGTTAACGCGACGAAAATCGAAAAATTGGCAAAGTTTGAGCGGCCATATATCAGTCAATATTCATCCAAAAATACTTTACAACAAAAACCGCTGCGTACAAACCAAATTGTATCCATTTGGAGGGCACTCGAACAACCTGCCTACTGCTAAGAATAATATCAATAGTCATTGTAGTTTGAACAAGTCTATTTTGGCAATTTTTGAAATTTAAAAATTTTGAAAGTTTCATTTAAAGACAAATTTTGAAACTACATTTTAATTTGTAATAAAGTATTATAGTTGCATCAACCTTTAAGCTTAGTGCTATGGATATGATGGAATTCAATGTGAAGAATTATAATTTTCTGACCGATGACCCACTCCATTGTTTAACACTAATTTCCATCGTAATACTGCAAAACGACCAACGTAAATCACTGACGACAACTTTTTGGAAAGGTAAGTATAAAAGATTCTAGGCATTTCTCAATGTCGCAGTGTTAGACCTAGTCTGACTGCAGAGGTGTGGTGTTTTCACAACTGTAAATAGTGCAAAGACGGTAAGGATGACATTTAATTATTAAAAATATAATTTTAATTTTTGCCAACGTTTTTAGAAAACTTTAGATTTATTCATCAAATTATTATTGGATAGTAGTATATATCAGTTCTATTATTTTTTATTTAAAAAATATATATACACTACTCGAAAAAATTAAGGGAACAAAATATAATTAGTGAATTTTGACAGGTCTTATCCAGATAAAAAAAAATCAGTTTGAAGCTTCAAATCTCTAGTTTGAAGATCATTTGACATAAATCCCGCAATTATAGGAAATAGCGCAAGAAAAAAATTTCCAATTTTTTTAATTTATTTTTAGGGGTCGACGGCCTCTGGAATATTTTTTTCACTTAGACTTAGACAACTTTAGTTTATTTTTTTGGTCTCTGCACGTCAATTTTTTATTAAGATATCCGGCTTTGAAAGAAAGAATTCTCTTCTTCTGTCTTTGATCAACATCTCGGTAACTAATGACCGCACAGTAAATTTAAGGGCGGTTTTGAATACTTGAATAAATTTTTCATCTTTAAATTAATTTGAAAAAAGTGCAAAAAATTACTTTTATGGTTTTTTAGAAAATTAATTTACTAATATTGATGAAAAGACCAATGGTGTGAAAATTTTTTACATCTCAATGTAGCGACCAATAAATAACCCTGTAAATTAACAAGTTGGTCTATAGAGCCGTTTTTCTGTTCCAAACGGTCAAAATTTTGGAAAGAATTAAAGACACGATTATTGTTTCTGACCATTCATCATTATCAAAATGAAAAGGAATTTTTCTCGACTTTTTCCACAATTTTACTTTAGATATTGTTTGAATAGAAAAAAAATTCTGAAAAGATTTTTAAAAAATTAAAAAAATTATTTTTTTTTTTGGAAAGTTGCTGGAAGTTTTAAAAACAGTATCTAGTCGTTTTCCAGTCTCTTAAATATCATTTTCCTTCCTGGTATAATCGCTACAGAGAAGAGCAAACTAACAAAAGAGGTGAAACACATTTTCATCATTAACCTTGGTTCTCATGGAGATAGATTTATTTTAAGTTTAGCACTCGTTGTGTCATATTAAAAAAACACGTCCAAGAACCCTGAAACCAAAACTAAATGAACAAATAAAATTTAATGGTTTTACTTCTAGGTTCCAAACAACAATGTCTACGGCTACCGTGACACCAGACCTGACCCCGTCAGGGGCAGTTTCATCTGCTACAAGTGTATTCTATTTCCTGCTTCTGCCTGCTCTTGTGCTATGGTACGCATATTGGACAATATCAAGAAAACATATGAACGAACTGGCAGAAAAGATTCCCGGTCCCAAAACTTTGCCTATTCTAGGAAATGCTTTAGAATTTTTAGGATCATCCCCAGGTACTCAGTGCTAATTATTCTGTGCCAATGCGTATATAGATTTTTTTCTTGAATAAAATCTGGCAGCTATAAACTAATTATAAACGCAATTATCAGTTTTGAAACATTTTACTTAGCACCTTAATCTTATCTACAGGTATATTACTGTAAATACCAGTTAATCAAATTCCTTATAAGGTTTTAGTTAAAAAAACAAATGCAATTTAAGATAGTACCTAATGTCATTACTAGACTACTTTTAGTATTATTTCATTTCACTATGGACACTAAATAAACTGGACTTGAACACGTTGAATGTAGTTCAAGAGGAACTAAAGGAAAAATAAGAAAATGCTATATTCATTCCAACGAAAAGACTAATAAGATTAATTCTCTAATAAATTCTAAACAAGTGTCATCTAAATAGGGACGATTTATTAGTTTATATAAATAAATTTATGTATATTCCGAAAAACATTATCCCCTTTTTCTAAGAATATGGTGTTGTCTATCTAATTTTATTTATTAAAATTTAGCAATCTTATCTATGAGGTTGGATATCTTTTGCATACTTATATTTCTGGTGTCGAAGAATATTGTTTGACTTCATTTGACAAGTTTAAAAATATATATATATTTTTTTTTAATTAGCTTAATACGTTAGCTTAAAAAAGAATGAAAGTCTTACAGTAATATTTAAAAAATAGACATATTTTCTAATATACAGACATAAATATACATATAATGACCATGGCCATAATAGACCTTTTTAGTAGTGACGTCACATACGCCAAATAATAGGCAACCACACAGTGCACATTGTCATGAAGGATTTCTCAATATTTTTACTAGATCGATTTTCCACCTTATGTACTTTGGATATAAGTGCCAAAAAAATGGCTTCTTTGTCATGACCTTAAATATTGCGATATTCTGGCAATATTAGAAATATTTAAGAAGTGTCAAACCCCAAATGACAAACTAATAGAATTATAGAATTTATATATTTAAATTTATAGAACAATATTGACTTTAATAGTAACTAATAAATTAAAATTATATCACAGTTACTGAGCATACGCATTAAAGATAATTTCATGTAAGCGAAGTAGCGTCGCAACAGGATATCATTCAAGAAGAAGTTTGGTTGTGGTTAAGAGTACCTATGTCAATAATAAACCACTTGAAGAAAAAAAACACCGGATAAACACAGTGACACAGTACAACACCAAGAAAAACAATAAAAATACTTAATGAAACTAGAATACGACTAATGCTAAATTTTTACTTTATTTAAATTTATAACGTTTTATGTAAGTTTTAAGCACATTAAATACATAAAAAAATAAATTAATCTGAAGTTGATCATTTTTATGGTATCTATGTAAATAGTACACAAGGCTCAGTCTGTACAATTTTAACTATGACAAATTATTGCGGGTTGCCTAAATATGTATATAAATATTAAAAGAGTCTAATTTCCCACATTGTTGGGTGTTAAAAAATATTAAAGGACATCCTAGTTTCTGAATGACCCTCTCTGTATATATAAAATCTAAAGACAAATAAAAATAATATAAGGCCGTCCGATCCAAAAAAAGAATATTCACGATATTTTGCGGAAGCTCTGTATAATTTGTCAGAAATGTATATCGGAATTAAGTTTTTTAAATCAACTACAAACTGTTGACAATGAAACTAAAATACAATGTTTATTTAAGCTTTAAAAGTAATGGTAATAATGTACATATATTTTTAAGAAATATTTTTCACAACACAAGTAAAATAGATGTTTGTACTAGAATAATAATAACATTTAACCGCGTTTTTTACGATCTTGTCTCCATAATTCAAGTAAGGTAAACTACTCTGTACCACATCTTACACAACAAAACCTCAATCTAAATTACCCGAATGTAATAGATTTAAAAACTTGAAATAAGGTCAGACGCGGTGTACATGTAATGCTTAGAACATATTATTATAAGAGATATTGTTGCTTCTTTTAAATCCCGTTTACGAAAAAATAAATATTGGCATTATAACAGTTCATTGAATATTTATGAAAAAAACTAATTATGTGCATTCGAATCAAGACTAAATTATTTAAGACCAGTCATTGTCATTGTTATATACAGAAACAATAAATATATTAAAATTCATGGAAAGTATTAACGTGATACTGATTTATGAATTTTATACTGCTACTATGAATAAGTCAAAAGTCACGCACGTAAATACCACGCGTATAATTTCTGAATCGTTATTTTCCATTTTCATTTAACATGAAGTCATTATGGTTATTTTTTCTGGCTTATTGTTTTTGTTAAGTTAATAATGATAAGTAGAAAAATATGAAATATTTGCATTTATTAACTGTACCTTTGATACAATTTTCAGAAATTTTCAAAAATGTGTATGACAAATCCTTTGAATATGGAAACGTTGTGAAAATGTGGGCCGGACCAAAACTGTTAATCTTTTTGATGGATCCACGTGATGTTGAAATTATCCTTAGCAGTAATGTTCATATCGACAAAGCCAGTGAATATCGGTTTTTCAAACCTTGGTTAGGGGATGGTCTCCTCATTTCTACTGGACAAAAATGGCGAGCACATCGTAAACTCATCGCGCCTACATTCCATTTGAATGTATTGAAATCTTTTATCGACCTTTTCAACGCCAACAGTAGAGAGGTTGTCGAAAAACTCAGGAAAGAAATTGGAAAAGACTTTGATTGTCACGATTATATGTCCGAAGCCACTGTAGAAATTCTGTTAGAAACTGCCATGGGTGTTAGCAAAAAAACTCAAGATCAAAGTGGCTACGACTACGCCATGGCTGTCATGAAAATGTGCGATATTTTGCACCAGCGCCATACCAAAGTTTGGTTGAGACCCGACATTATTTTTAATTTTACCAAGTATGCCAAGGCTCAAGAGAAACTTATTGGTACTATACATAATTTAACACGTAAAGTCATTAAACGCAAAAGAGTAGATTTTGAAAAGGGAATAAGAGGATCTACTGCTGATGTACCTGAGGAATTGAAAACTAAAAATTATGAAACCAAGACTACTAACTCTAAAACAGTGGTGGAGGGACTATCATACGGGCAGTCTGCTGGCCTTAAAGACGATTTGGATGTAGACGATGATATTGGTGAGAAAAAGAGAATGGCTTTCCTAGATCTCATGATCGAAGCCTCACAGAATGGAGTAGTTATTAACGATGAAGAAATTAAAGAACAGGTAGATACTATCATGTTTGAGGGACATGATACAACTGCAGCCGGTAGCAGCTTTTTCCTCTCCATGATGGGTATTCATCCGGACATACAAGATAAAGTCGTTCAAGAACTTGATGAGATATTTGGTGACTCTAACAGACCAGCAACATTCGCTGACACCTTGGAGATGAAATATTTAGAACGTTGCCTCATGGAAACGCTTCGAATGTACCCACCTGTACCTATTATTGCAAGACAACTTAAACAAGATGTTAAGCTGGGTAAGTATTCAAAATAGATATTAAATTCAAATAATTTATTTTTCAATTCCCATATCACGTAAATCGTATAAGTAATGACAATAACTTGCTGAGTTGAATATTGCACTTTTCCGTTCCCATCACAGAAATTTATGAGAAATATTTTACAAATAAAAATGTTACTATAAAGTAAATCATTCTTATTTCAGCCTCTGGAGACTACACTCTGCCTGCTGGGGCAACCATTGTCATTGGCACATTCAAGATTCATCGTCTTGAAGAAATATATCCTAATCCGAACAAATTCGACCCTGACAATTTCCTTCCAGAGCGTACGGCCAATAGGCATTATTATGCGTTCATTCCATTCAGTGCCGGACCCAGGAGTTGTGTGGGTAAGTGGCTGAAACTAAGAACAATATTTAGAGGCCATCAGATTATTAATTAGTAAAAAATAAAACATATTAGTATTTAAAACAGAGAAAAATTTGTATACGTTTCATAGTAAGAGTAATTGTTAAACAATGATATTAACCCAGCTCTAAAAGTTTTATAATTAAATGTGTTAATTTTTTAAATAAGGTTTTAGTAATTCTAAGTTTTATAACATTCCCTGCATTAGTTAATTATATAAAATGTAATAAATGTTTTTTATATTCCAGGACGTAAATACGCCATGCTTAAGCTGAAAATTCTACTTTCGACCATTTTGAGGAACTATCGAATCAAATCTGACATAGGAGAAAAAGAATTCCAACTTCAAGCAGATATCATTTTGAAGCGTGCTGAAGGATTTAAAATCAAACTAGAGCCAAGGAAACGACTGGTTAAAGCCTAATGAATCTATTTGCCCACATAATTTATTGAATATTAAATATATCTAGTGATACAGATAGAATTTATATAGTAGATTGGCATTTGTAGTGTATATATATATTTATGTAATTGTAGTAAGGTAATCTGAATTGCAATAAACGAACGATAAAGTTCGACATTCTATGGACTGTACTTTATTAAAATAGATCCCAAAATAACCGAAAAATCAAATAAAAAGTGCTCAAATTGTAGAATACTAAACTTTAGTTGTGGCTTCTATTAGGTCATTCCATGACATTTACCTTGAAAATGCTGCATTTTGAAGACATAACAAGAATACAGTTTTGTAAAGCCTTTAGCCTTTCGTACTACATTCCAGTTTTATGAAGTTGCTAAAGTAATACCAAGTTTTTCATACATAAATATGTAAATAGAAGTTGCGATTGAATGAAGATGAAAACGAAATGCAATTGGGAATTAATATTTTGTCCATTTAAGTAGGCATGCAGTCTTTTCCTGAGTAGTTCTAGAATTTCAAATACTCTGTATAACTCCCGCAAATTATTAAATAAGTGGTTTGTATCCTTATCGGTAATATAACGTTAGCTCCACAATTACCATTTTCCCTCTAATTTACAACTAATTGGTAAGATAATACTTTACGCTTTTTGTATTTACGCTATTGCTTTGAAGAACAACCATGTTTCTAGCTGGAATTATATTATTGGCAACAATTTCCGCGATATTATGTTATATAATTTTTAGAAACAACACTCATCTGATTAACATCCCAAAACCTCCATGTAGTATACTGTTGGGACATATATTACATTTTAAGGATTCAACAAGTAAGTCATTATTTTTAATTAAAAATTTTACAATAGGACTTTGGATTTTAAGAACTAAATCGATTCTCCATGTAGGACTATGAAAATATAATTTTTAATTATCTGTATAGACTAAACCAAATTTGATTATCACTAATTAAACTACAGAGATCTATGAAATACTAGAAATACAGAAAAGCTTACCGTATTACCTTACGTCTGTCCCCAAAAGCTTATCAGATATTCACGATTTTCTATATTATTACTTTCCAATTAATTAAAGTCAGGCATAGCAAACAAAGGCATCGTCGTTGGTGAAATATTTTTGAAATAGTCGAAACATACAGCTGTGCCTTGGCCAGCACATATGCCTGATTTGGTATAATGGGAATTCTTTTTGAAGAACGTAGCCATTATCTTAGTTTCCGCTCATGCATCACTAAATTGGATTGAAGATTTTCATTTGCTGGGGACAACCAACGTAAATACATTTTACCAAAAATTACATGTTTCGTTAGCCAAACATGAAATGATCAGAAAGTCATATTTTGTAAATTTCCGTAGAAAAATGGTTTTATTGATGATCATAACCATGTTAGAATGACCCCGACGTTGGCCCTAAATGAACGATCGTAGAAAAAGTGTTTTAAAGAAGATGGTACAATTAAGATACTGTAGTAAATAATTAGTTATGGCGAGCGATATCAGTGTGAGTAAAAGTGTATTACAGTTTTCTAGAACAAATTTGATGAAAGCTCTTTTGGGATAGTCTTGAGGCATTAAAATTTGAACTTACTTCACATGATTTGGATAATAGTTATTTACACTGATGAGTTATGTAAACTTACTTTGGACAATGTCAACTTCAAAAATTTCAATGACATTATTGTAGTTACAATTCCAGATTCTAAAAATGGTATGTCACGTACGTTTACAATTACTTCTCGTCTGGGTTCTGTTTCTCACTTATAAATTGTCAAGGAATATATCAATATTAGATTGGAAATTAAAACTGAAATTGACCTTTTTTATGTACTATCAAGCAGATAGATGTTACAACCAACCAGTCGGCAAGAATACCCTTTCTATGATTGCTAATAACATTGCACAGTTTTTGAAACTAGAACATCCTGAAACATATACAGGCCATTCATTCCGAAGAACATCGGCAATGTTACTAGCTAATATAGTAGTTGATGTATTAGTAATCAAGAGAAATGTTGCTGACATTTAAGTAACAAAAGTGAAATAGCCAACAGGATTCTTTACAATGACACTTCAACTCCAGTTTCTAGTAGTACGTCGCATCATGCTGTTTTAATGGATCAGTCAGATAATATTGAGCCTGCGGTGACGGAAATGGTTCGGTCAAATTATTTTGAGAAAAATGTGGCAATTAGTAAACACGAGGGGAATACCTAATTATTATCCGGATTTTATAAATGTTATTAAATGTAATGACTGTGCAACTGTCAATTACTATAAATATTTCTATTTATTTGTTCATTAAATTTCATTTATAACTCGGAATCGCTTTTTTCCCAAGGGAGGTAACTTACCCCACTTACCTCCCGTTGTCCATAACAACTTCCACTTCTACGGTAAAATCCACTTACCTCCTTAAAAACAATATTTATTATACTGGGAACAGATAAAGGTTATTTTATTATATAATAGTCTACTCTTTATTAGGAAACGTCTCGACTTGATCAATTTTAAAACATCATCTTTGACTTATGGCATTCTAGATGGCCTAGGTTATCCACCATGCCCAGCGTGTCCTATTTCTCGTACCCTTTCAACAACAAAACAAAAATATGGGCGGTAAGATGAAGTCATAAAGAAATACGCTCAACATACGGTTTTGATGTTTTAATGGCATTTTGGTATCCTAATATATCAATAATTAATTCAACAGTATCGTAAAATGGAACATTTTAAACTCCGAAATTATGTAGATAATTATTGAAAACTCAGTTCACCACTATCTAAAATAAAAACAGGAAATTACGATACTATAACAACTAGTTCCTAAATTTTTTGTAATATTTTCAGCTATTATAGTATAAACATTGAATATTGTACCAATACTCATTTGATAATATTTGAAAAATTTGCTTACTTTGTTGAATTCTATGTCGGACTAAAAGAAAAACCACAACTTAAGAACAAATCCTCAAACTAGTTGGAATAAAATTGTTATTTTAGACAAGAATTTAGATAAATTTTTGGAGTAGCTGAAGTAGCTTAATTCTTTAAAAATAATATAAAATTGTAAGAGAAAATAATAAAAAAATATACGGTCATTTACACTCATGCACTAAAAAATCCGAATTGCCTATTTTTTATGTCTATCTACGAGTAAATATTAAATTAAGCTTATTTATGTTTAGAGATTCTGCAAATACTGACAAATTACACGATCCAATACGGCGGTTTACTAAGGATTTATATGCCACCCACAAAACCCTCAGTATTAATAACAGACTCTGAAGTCTTGCAAGTTCTACTAACATCAAACAAAGAAGTGGCCAAAGCAAAAGACTATAATTTTTGTAAGCCATGGATGGGCAGCGGACTGCTCACAAGTGAGGGTAAGAAACTTCAAATATATAATGTTATTCATATTTAAACATTCATTGAATGTGTTACAAATACTTGTTCAAGTTTCAATTTTCAGTTGATAAATGGAAATGTCACAGAAGAATATTGACACCATGCTTTGGACGTTTATCGCTGCTAAAGAATTTTACTGATGTGTTTGATTCATTTGGCAACATTTTAATTCAAAAACTCGGAGCAAAAGTGAACAATAAAGACATTGACATATTTCCATTAATAAAAATGTATTCACTAGATGTCTTATTTGGTAAGAATTTATTTTATTTCAATTTTAGAAACGAATTCAACATATCGAATTGTGAATTAAGATTTGATCAAGGTTTTAATACTACAGGTTGTTTATTTAAGAATAGGAAACAAAGGCACAACAACATACATCAAATGGATGTTTTTAAATTTTAAAAACGTTGCTCTGCAGCGTAGTGAATTAAGTACTAATAAGGATAAGAACATAAAGAATAGTTAGAAAACAAAATTGTAAGATAGGTATTAATTGCAAAAGAGCTGAGCAACATTGTTGTCAAGTAAACAGTAAGATCAGTCTTTAAAATATAGGTTTTATACAATTTAATAATAATGACTAATAGATGCAAAGCCACTATAATTTATGGCTATTAATATTCTTTATATTAATAGAAACATCGATGGGATTATCAGTAAATGCTCAAGAAGATATTGAAGGAGAATACGTAAAAAGTTTGGAGAGAATGTGTGAAATTGTGGTTAATCGTTTAAAGACTCCCTATAAGAGATTTAATTTCATTTATCGTTTTACTGAAGATTACAGAAAACAAACAGAAGCAATAAAAATAATCGATTCCTTTTTCTATAATATAATCAAAACTAAAAGGCAAAGTGATGGAACAAAGAAAAGCAACCAAAATGTATTGGAAACGACATTTTTAGACTTACTTCTAAAGCTTTATGAAGACGATGAATTTACCATGACTGATGTTAAAGATGAAGTTAACACTTTCTTGTTCGGGGTAAATATATTAAAATATTTGACAAATTGTACCTAAAAGTGACAAATATTTATTTACTAGCTATTACATATTTTCAAATTTTTATTACTTTTCCAAATTTATCGCTAGTTCGCTGTTCACTCTATATTAATCTTCTACTATTATTTATGATGACCGTAGTTGAATAATATCAGAAATTTAAATATAATCTTGACTATAAATTTAAATCATTAAAATTATTATTATCTCATTTTAGGGTCACGACACCACCGCCACTGGAATAGCCTTTACATTATATGCGTTAGCAAGGCACCCAAAAATTCAGGTAAAATTTGCCCTACACATTTTTAAAGTTGCATGCCTCTGTGGCATGGGTAACAATTTTTGGACTGGTTACCATGTCATCGATTTAAACTTTTCGATATTTCAAAAAACATCTCTCTTTTCTGCAGAAGAAATTCTGAACTAAAATTATCTAGGTAGTCCTAAGCCTTCATCAGGGTTGACATTATATTCATTCTTCTGAAAACCTTCTTTATAAAGTGGCCTAAATCATTTTTCTTTCTAGAATTTTGATATTATAGGTCCATTGAGTATCCTATATACCTGAACTGTGCAGCTGCTGATTCCATTTTCCATTTGACAACTCCACAGGGTGCTTTTTAGGATTTAACATAAGAACTAAAGCTAATCAACTTTAGACTTAGACTTAATCATACAAATAATTAAAGTCAATGCCTTATGTATGAACTCCGGCTTAGCTACTGGCTATTATTCTAAAGGGAACCAATTCACATTATTCATCAGATCTTATCAACAGTGGCACCTGGGAAAAAAATAGTGTAATCACTTTTGAATATCTCGAATTTTCCCATAACCACCAAAACGATTAGTAAGATTTAAGATTTCGTAGTAAAATTTTGTTTTCCATTGTACTAGCAATGTCGTATATTTTGGTTGACGTACATCTTAACTACAGTTTTATGAGGTTGAAGTAAATAGCATTTAATTATTTTCTCACTGTGGCAAACGTATTTCCGATAGAAGGACTCCGTTTTTATTCAATACATCTTTGTTAATTCTAGGAAAAGGTAATAGAGGAACAATTACATATATTTGGTAAATTAAATAAGAACTCTCCATCTTATGAAGACCTCCAAAATATGAAATATTTAGAAATAGTAATATATGAGGCCTTGAGGTTATATCCTCCAATACCCATAACAGGCAGAAGGATCATAAACGACGTCCATTTAGGTGAGTTTAGGCGTTTTATACTGGACGGAATGATTAAATAAAATTTGTAATGTTTAACTTTGTTCCACCCATTTACAAGCCAAAAAAGTTATTCATTTTCATGTAGTGTTAATTAGAAGCTAGTATGTATAGTCTAAGCCTGGATCCACATGAATACGTGATCACGGATTCGTTATAACACTTATAACCACGTGACCATCAACATCCAATCCGCTTTGACCTTGACGGAGTGTCAAGTCGCTTTACCGATGTACAATTGGATGTTGATGGTCACGTGGTTACAAAGAATCCATGATCACGCATAAATTTGGATCTAGGCTTAAGAACATTACCTAGATCAACGCATTGATTTCATAAGCTAGAGTCAATGATGATAGAATCATATATTTAGTATGTGGATAGAATACTCAAGGATTTGAATATGAAAATAAATTCAAGCTGGTACTTTTATACCTGCTCTCCATATTTATAGGAAATGGTGTGATACTACCTAAAAACCTCAATGTTTGTTTATTTATATACGGATGTCATCACAATCCGAAATATTTCCCAGAACCTGAAAAATTTAAGCCAGAAAGATTTGAAGGAAATAACATTCTACCGTATACTTTTCTACCATTTAGTTCTGGGCCACGAAATTGTATAGGTAAGTAGATAATGATAGATAATTATTTTGATTTATTTAATAAAAAATATTGGTAGCACAGAAAGATGAACCCTAAATATAGATATCCTAGTTTTTGGTACATCCCCTAATTTTGATCTCCTAAACGCAAACCTATATTTGGTGGTGTTGGATATAATTTTCAAAAAAATTATACTGCCTATTGAAAAAGTTGTAGACAGTTAGACTGTATTGGGTTCGATAAGGTAAATGTAATACCTATATTTATCAAATTTATATTGTAATTGTGCAACTTGAATGAAACATTTTGTATCCTATTGCCACAAAACAACTGCAGAATCATGGGCATGGCTTTTGCTTGGGGTGGGCCCAGGTCTGCAAGTTGTATGAAGAAACTTGGAGAACCCTTAAAAAAGCTCCTCTCGCTCGCAATCACCCACTTACCGATATTAAATTTGAACACGTTTTGATTTGATACTAAAAAAAAGGCCGCGCAGTTACCGACTGACAAAAATGATAATATTATATCTTTTTTTCTGGGGTGGGCCGTGCACACCCCTGCCTCCCCTAAATACGCCCATGTGCAGAATGAACAACCTTTTTGAACATTTGGACTTAAGTAAATCTAACCCACAATCAACACAAAACAACTCAAATCTATTTTAATTATATATATATATAAAAATATAATTTGCAGTTATATGTATTAGCACATGCACTGTCTATAATTCTGAATAATTTTTTTTAGGTAAAAAATTTGCAATTTTACAAATGAAGAGTTGCATCTCAAAGATTGTGAGAAATTTTGATCTGCAGCCATCTGACCCAGAGTACATCTTAGAATTAGTTCCTCGAATGACTCTAGCTGCAAGAAATGGAATACGCTTATCTATTAAAAAAAGGACATCTGACTAATAAATATATTTATATGAATATGCACTTAATTTTTTAACAATAAAAACGAACATTTTAATCCCCGTATTCAGTAAAGCTTATTGGTTTTATATAAACCACACTCTCAGATAAATTAAAATAACTGTCCATTGATCAATTCTATCCTCAATTGTAATGTTTTGTAATAAATTATCAATTTATTCAATAATTATATTGTTCCTATATTGGGCACTTTCTAAACACCGTCGATCGCCTCCAACAGATATGGGATATGGGCTTTAAAATATTGAAAATAATTAGTGATAAATAAACTATCTTCTCCGAGGCTACTCGCTTGCATGGCTGCTGAGAGTAAAAAGAGAAAAGAAAATGAATTACCTACTCTGGAAAATTTAAATGTCAATCCAGAAGCGTTCGTAACGTGTAGAAATGCACTATACTTAAAAAAGTATTGGTCAAGTAGAGCGCATTACGCAGGTTTTAACATGATAAATAAAAGAACAGCGTACTAAGCTTGTTTATATTTTTCTTAAAATGATGTTTAATATACAACTATTACAACTACAAAAACTTGATTCACCCTATATAAATAAAAGAAACAAATAGCGAATCTACCAACAATATCCTTAATTTCCTTTCACACTACTTCCTACTTTCACACTAACAGTAGTTCATTTGTTCAGTGTTCAGTAACTTGTAGATCTAATAATATTTGCTACACTGGAAAGGAAAGTTGGATTGAATCATTTTAATTGAGTTGAATTGAAAGTTATGTTGAAATGAAAGTTGGTCGAAACTGAAACGTCAAAACAAAAACACAAAATGGCTGATTATAAGAAAATATGTTTTAAAAATTAGTTATTTTATTTTAGAAAGAGTTGTAGTACAAATTGTTAACAATGATTTGTGATAATAAATTTAACCCCATTTAGGTTTACTTTCGTTTTGATCAAAATAGGTTAATTAAGAAATGACTAAATTTGTCGATTATTTTGTTATTTGTGGTCTTGATTATAATTCAGGTTTGGAACCAGATAAATATTCAGGTAAGATTTAAGTTCCTCTATTTTAAAGCTATATGCAAACAATCATTTCAGAAGATAATCTGCATGTTTCCCCATTAGAGAGGTCATATAAAGGTAAAGTTTTGGCGCACTATCCTGAAAATGTTCAAACAAATCCTTTTGATGCATCTGCTGTCTGTATGGTGAGTTAAAGTCTATAAAATGTAACCTAAAGTAATAAATTTGTATATGTTTTAGTTATCTTTACCTAGTGGATTGAAATTTCGGACCCAGAAACATTCAGTAACTCTTGCCCCAAGTTTTCATTCATTCCTTATAACTCGAGAAGATGGAAAAAGGTGTTATGGTTTTAGTCTTATCTTTTATGAAGAAGTACGGAATAGAGATATATGCACAGCAATGCAAACATTACAAGTATGTTTTTAAAATAACATATTGGAAAAAAATCTGTCTTATTATTTGTAGGCTATGTATATTACTGAATTATCTAGTGGTTTAAAAGCCAGGGTATTACAAAATGCACAAAATCAGGGCCCCCAATCTAGGTCTTTACCAAGGCATTTCAAACTAACTCATAATCCTAACGGAGCAGCTTTAACATATTACGATATCTCTAAAGACAAGCTATTTGTTTCTAAAAGTATTGGTATTATCTCTCAACTGGCTCATGTCCAAGCTGCAAAAATATTTTTGGAAAATTTGTATAGGTGACAATAAGGACAAGTAATAGACCATTTATTTTATTAATTTTATTTGTTTCCAGATGTATTCCAAGAAGAGCCAATTCAACAAGTGGTCTTAGTTTAGAAAGTTATGTGTTTAACATTTTGTATGAAGTAAGTATGGATTATGTTATTATACAGTCAAATATTTAATTTTATTTAAAAAAAAATTAATTTCAAATACCTATAATTTTCTCAGTAAATACTAGTTACTGTTATAATAAGTATATTAATTCAATTGTGTAATCTTTTTGTTGGTGCACAAAGTGAAAGTGAATGGCAAATATTTTTGTCATTGAAATACATTAATATTGTTATGGTTTTTCTTTCGTGAATTTATACATGAAAATCAACTTAATTTTTTTAATTTATTGCCTAGTATTCTTCAATTATATACCACAAAGTGTACAACAAATGAGGAAACATTTTTTAATGAAAACATTTTTTCTAGTAATTTTTCCCCTTTTGATTATCAATTTACCATAAGTACCATAAATGTGTTATATAGGTACTGCGATCACTTTACGTATTGCGTTTAAATAAACAGTGATCACGTGACTGCAAAATTATTGGTCAAAAGAGATTGAATAGTATCTCCACCAAACTATGGCTATGTGCAATTGTTTACTTTGCTGGAATATGTAAAATGAACATAATATATACTACTATAATTAAATTATCTCTGCATAGTTAGAAACTCCAAACAATATAATCTTGTTTTGAGTTTTGAGGACTGACTAAACATTAAAAAAAATACACTTTAAAATTATTGTATTGTGTCTCTTCTATTGGCTACGACACAGAAACCATCACCAATTTAAGTGGCAGTAAACGAGAAATAATGTTTATATAATACCTAGATGATTTGAATCTGTATACTGTAACTGTTGTGTAAAACATTTTTCTCTACTTTGTCCAGTTGTAATATTGCAAAACTAAAACTATCAAATATGATACAAGTAACATGAGGATACACTAAATATAAAGTATTTTTGTTTAGGTTGAATTACCTGGACCTGGGAAGAGTCTACTGGTGTATTTACCACCATCAGACCCACAGTTGCCTCCCTCAAGTGCCATACTACAAAATCCTTGCCAACCAGATGAGTTACCACATTTAGATTTTCCTCTAAGGCTTATGTTTCTGTGGTTAGGAGTCGATATTGTAGTACAGCTCTTTACTTGCCTCTTGCTGGAAAATCAAGTCTTGTTAAGAAGTGCAGGTGGGACAATGTTTGCATATATGTAACTTGAGCCTCGGCTTTCCAAACAGAAATAAGTAAAAACGAATTATAATCAGAATTTACTGCATGTTTCGTTGAGAATGGGAAACAGCTTAACATTATGTTCCTGAAATCGAAATAGAGTAGTTAATCAAATTTTGTTACTTTTTAATTTGTTGTGTCAAAATTTAAAAAAGAAATTTCTCTTGTCATTAAATTACACAACTTTACCCTAATTTGGCCGACTGTGTGTCTCTTAAGATTGGATTGCAGTTTGATGTGACAATATTGTTTTAGATTGTCAAAGGTTGATGGTTGTAGCAGAAGGTATTACATCATTACTGTTTCCATTTACTTGGCCTCATGTGTATGTCCCAATCTTACCTGCGTCGCTACATCATTTTCTGGATGCACCTGTTCCATTCCTAATGGGTAAGTTACTGTTACAAATAAAACTTGCAAGTAATAATTTTATAAACTATTTGAAGGACTGTATGCGTCATCTGAAAATATTAAAGTGGCTTCGGAAGCGAGTCTTTGTTACGTTGATATAGATAAATGTAAAGTTCAGTTACCTGAAGAGATGGGAACATTTCCCCATCGGGAAGCGTTTACAGCAGAAATTTGGTCTATACTCGATAAATACGGCGTGCATGTACCCAGTTCAGAAAACAACAGAAATACCCAGGTAATTCTTCTAATAACTACATATTTTTAAATTGGAATTTAGAATTTAGAAGCCTCAAAAAAATTTGAGTTTGAAAACTGAATTATAACTCGATTATTTGATTTAAAAAAATAATAATTCCAGATTAGTGTTCTGGAGACCACATACGCCTAAAAAACTGAACCCCCACTTAAAGTTACACCCTGTATATAACTTCATTAGTTGAGAACTTAGGGAAACTTTTAAATTAATTTGAATTTGTTGAATTCCTTTAAGGTAAAAGTTCAAAGGCTAATAAAAGAAAATATGATTTAAGAATAACACCTGATCCTTAGACCAATATTTTTGACGATTTCAGATTATTATCTAATTACCTTTTATAACTGGATTTTTAGGATATTATGTCAAGAAGTTGCACTTTACCAGGCCGCCCGCAAAATCGAAGGAAGCTCTCCGTTCATGATACATTGGACAATGACAGGCCTCCTTCTCCTCCTGGCTCTGCAAGATCGGAGGCTTTACAAAGAATAGCAGACATAGTGCGTAGGACAGGAGTCGCTTTGGACCAGAACGATACCTCACAACCTTCCGACTCTTATATAGAGGATCTCAGATTTAATAATTCCATTAGGGAGATATTTTTTAATAGATTCATACACATTTTTCAATCATACGAGAACTTTGTCATATTTCCTAATCAGGTACAAGTTACATTGAAATTATCCTACCATTATTTTTTAAATTAAAGTAGTTTAAAAAATATGTAACAAACGTAATAATTTTAGGGCAAAGAAGACTGGTTTAACAATAGAGACTCAATGCAAAATTTTGATAAAGCTTCCTTCCTCTCTGATCAACCTGAACAAGACAGATTATTTTTGTGGAGATTTTTGGAATCGCAGATGTTTGCGACACTCATAGACAATAAAATACTGTCTATGTGGGGGGAGGTAGACAACAACCTTCTCATTTTCGATAATCGAATAAAGCATCTCAAACAGAGATACGGCGGTGAAAATCTCATGAGATCTTTGTGTTACGAACCGTGCATTAGTGCTCACGATAGTCAAAAATTCATTGACAGACGATTAAGTAACCCCGATTATGAATCTTCATTGCCAAGGGAAATTATGAATAGTAAAACGATCGGTTTGAGACAGTTTCCTTTATTGGATAAGGAGGTACTGAACAAAACTCCCGTCGTTAATAAAGGTAGCATACCTAGGGCGAGCACTTTAAAAAAAGGATTGACATTTTCCAAACCTCCAACTGGCTCGAATGATAAATCTCTGAAAAGTGCAAATAACCAAGATATGTCACCAGCCCTGATAGCACAAGCAAATTGGACGTTTGTTGAAAAGCTTTTAAAAGTAAGTTGGAAAACGACATTGTAAATTGTTAAATTTAATACGAGTTACAAACAGTGATTTACCCGTAAATTTTTTGAAAAAGTTCAATAGGTCGCCTGAGTTTGAAAGTTCTTCTTAATGAAAACAGTTCGTTCTTGACCAATATATTCCTCAACATGTTTTTTCTTTAAATTGTTCAGTACGTTGGTGTATTTTTGGATTGGACGTAAAAAGAACTCTTTTCGGTTATGTTCAATAAAGTTCTCAGTTTTTAATTACGATGATTATTACTATTTACCCGTTGTATAAAATAAAATTTTAATGTTTCAGGACTGCAAAGTTCGAACAAAACGCATGTTGCTTGCAAAACTCGGAGCAGAAGGCGTCACATTATCCAGCAATAATGCTTTAGATAGTTGTGGAGCAGTTGAAGAAAGTACTTTAGTGGCATCTCTGTGTGATTTTCTCGAGAGAGTCTGGTCTCATGGTCTCCAGAAGAAGCGAGGCAAATCTGCACTTTGGTCACATCTGCTCGCCTATCAAGAAAAATATCAACATTTGAGTAAAAATGATATTAATTATTTGAAACCTGGTAAGACATCTTTAACTATAACTATAACAGACTGAGAACATATTTTACAAACAATAACTTTTGATAATTGTTCTACAGTTTCAGATGTAACTCGTCTAGCATTGAATTTAGAAAATTGGACAGGTCAAGTTACAGACAAATTAAAAACGGAACTTTCTGAGCTACCGTCGTCGCTACTATTTGATATGGCGTAAATACTTAATAATACATTTTCTTATTAAAATTTAAACTGAATTTTTGTAGCAATGTTCAAGCTATGCCCGATGTTAAAACTGGAATAGGGATGGCCAGGGCGTGGGTGCGCTTGGCTTTGGAGAAAAAACAATTATCTAAACATTTCCGCACTCTTCTGGCTGATCAAGGCCTGTTGCGTGCACAATACAAACGTTCAGCGTTCTTGCGATGTGAGGAAGAACGTGAACAATTTTTATACCACTTGCTCTCTTTAAACGCTGTAGATTATTTTTGCTTCACAAGTACATACCCAACAACTGGTAAGTGATGAAAGTAATTTTATAAACCGTTTTTTGTCTTGTCATATGAACATACAGTGTGTTTTTTTTAGGGACTAGTCAGCTCAATAACTTTTTTGTTTATTGATCATTTTAACAATTTTTTTTTAAAGCATGTTTCAATCATTTTGTAATTCAAAGCCAACTGCCACCATTTTTTTCTATGCAAATATTTGAAAAGTATTACTATGAGAGCTTTTTTAAGTATAAAAATTGTGTTCAGGTAACTAGTTTTTGTATTTCCAGTAGACGGTGAGTTTTTAGGTATACACGGCTGAAAAATCCACGTGGTCCATCTGCCTTTACATGAGAGCGACAAAGTAAAGAAATCCATGCGATAGACAAGGATGGCTATAGTGAAGACGTTTTATAATGTGAATAGCCACCGCCCGTTTCGGGTTAGTAGTGGGAATGACTATTCAGATTATGAAACGTCTTCGATATAGTTTCAATATTCTTTTTCTATCGCTCGGATTTCTTTAGTTTACTTTGTCGCCCTCGTGTAAAGGCAAATGGACCATGTGGATTTTCCAGCCGTGAATATAGGTAACATGTTAAAAATGAACGTAACCCTAACAGTTTTTATAAATTTGTCCAGTGTTATTTAAACAATACAAAAACATATTTAAACTATTGAAAAAAATTATTTTTAACTATCGCTAAGTTATATTCGCAGTTTTTTAAATTTCAAAATATTTTTTAGATCACCCTATAACAAATCAATACATATTGCTCTATTGTAATTTTAATTGTGCCAAAACCATAAAAAAAAAAAACATTCATGCATTAAACACTTATTATGGATACATAAAAACTTGTTCTTGATTATTTGAACCACACAGTATTTTGTTGTCAGCATAAAGTGGATAGATTGTGCAACCTACTCATTGCATTAAATCTATTTATCAAAAACAAGGTTCTTTCGAAAAATCTATCAATAAAGTTAAAAATTAAAGCGTTGGTCTTTAAATAGAACACTGTACATCATTAGTAGAGCCGACTTTTCATCTGTCTTTAAATTTTATAGCAAGCGTTATTTTTTATTGTGTATGAAATATATTTTAGTGATACCTTACCGAATTGTGATAGTACCTAATAGAAAGGGAACAACATCCTCTGCTAATGTTTGGATTGTGTTGTCAGGAACTCTGTTAGAAACAAACCGCATTAATGTACCTAAACTTACCTTAAATTTTGAATGCAAGGTAAATTTAGTAAAAGTTCATCAAGCTTTCATTGTTTTAATTGAAAACTCTCTTTTAGAACCAAAACTTAGGAGTTTTAACAACCTTGAGAATTGGACATGATAATTCTGGGTTATACGCAAAATGGATGATCGATTACATTATTATCCGGAACGAAATAACAGGACATACTTATAAGTAGGAAATCTATTATCATAACATTACATGTACATTTATTAATAATTTGACTTCTTAGATTTTCTTGTGGCCGTTGGTTAGGAAGAGGAGTCGACGACGGATCCACGGAGAGACTTTTAGTAGGTACGTTGATATCGAAAAAGGAAGAAATGGAAGAATCTGTTAGATCTTGTAATAGTCTTGGTCGGTCTACACCAAGAACTCGCTCACCGGCACCCCCTCCAAGGATTGAACTGAAACCTTCTCAAATTCAACATATGCTAGGTAAATACTCTACTAAAGTGAAACAATTGTATCGATATTTTAATTATAGGAGATTGCGTCAATAAAATAGTAAAGTGGCACTACAGAAGAAGTTCAGAAAGGCATACGACCCTAACTGCACTGCTTTGCAGTGAGAATGGTCTGGTTTTTTGTCTGGAAAATGTGTTTTTGCTAGGCTTTAAGTCGGCTCGTCTTTTTATGGGAAAACATTACCTATGGGACTATTTTGGTAAGTTACATAAATATTTGTTTTTTTTTATTTATGTTAGCAATTTTACAAGTAGGTACTTTATAATTTTTTTCTACAGCTGTCAAAAAAAATGACAGTATGCATTCACTATTTGTCACAGCCTTAAACTCATTAAACATAAAGCGTATAAAATATATCCATAGAAAAAAACAATCATTAAAATAGTTACAATTATTATTAATGATAATTTGAGGGTATTAGTTGATCCAGCCTATAACCCGTGGAGTGCAAACGAAGGGGTATATCCATTTTAGAGAAAATTTAAAATTAAAGATTCGATACTACTGTAGTTCAAAAACTTTTAATAATAACTAATACCCTCAAATAATCATTATTCTTAGTAGTAACTTATCGTCCAAAACTTATCCCTCTCCTTCAAAGCAGTTCAAAGTTATTGGCAAAAACCCATTTGTTTAAAGTCATCTTCAAACGGGTCTACCTCCCGTAGGGTGGTTTGCGGACCCATGTTTATATGAAATTTTTGTCTTATTTTGAGTCGACAAATCTACCCTCAAAGTGAAGTACCACTATTTCCGAACACCTTGTATATTTATGAACAAACACTTATTTTAGTCTCATTAATAAAGAGTGCTTGTGTGTGTGAATATGTTTTTAATATTTTAATTTTATTTATTTATTTTTGTTGACAAAGAATATAGTATGAAAAAATTTGTAACGAACTAAACATTATTTCTTTTTCCTTGCCTCCTTTCAAGTGTTTGAACAAGCTCTGTTGCAAATCCGGTTATGCTGCTTGCACATCAATTTATATGTGCAACTGGTGCAGTAGCAAATCTATACAAAGCTGTAACCTTCATGTAGTCTTGCACCGGTGCTGTAATGAACCGAACAAGAAACTGCGCCACAACAATATGTATGGATTAATGAACACCATGAAAATTACTCAATAGGGAATATACATTCAAAATTAAAAAAAGCTGATTGTCATCCCAAGCATGATAACATAGTTCAAGACAAAGGTTTCTGCACTTGGTTCAGTTGCAAGTCTGTGCAAAGCTTTAGGTTATTGTTGCTACAATTACATATCTACAAAACTAATTCTGGTTAAAGTAACAGAAAACATTACTTGGGCAGTATTTCGGTCACTGGTCACTCTTAATTAACTGAATTTTTACTTTTATTTAGGTAAATAATTATACAGAATTTCATTTTCAGAGCTATTCTACAGAATATAAGAATTTTTCAAATATTAACACCCTGCATGTCAAAAGGAAGACAGAAGAAACAGAACTGTGTTCTTATATGAACCAACCAAAATCTAATTATTATTAAACATATTAGATGTAAAAAAATATTATTCTCAATTCGTGTGAATGGCCTTTATTATTTTCACATCATTTTTTGAACAACTACACTCCAAAAAAAAAACTCATTCTTAACGAAAAGTAACATTTCAGGCACTAGTTGCGCAAATAAATATTATCTGCTATATGGTGTCTTCCCCATAGATTAAATAGACAAAATAGGCAATGAATTTTTAAAATGGTAAAATATCATGTAATGAAAAACTGATAAATAATAATGTGATCAAACAACCAAAATATTAATATATAATAGTCTTTCCTTTTAGTTCGTGTTAAAGAACACTTCGAATCTGAATTGATGGAAGAAGTCTCGGGCAATAGAACAGCAAGTCTAGAACGAAACCATCAAGAAACTGTAGCCGTATGGAGGTGTTACTGCCACCTCATAGACGAAATGATGCATACAAGTAAAACTCTTGGGAAAGATGGAAAATTTCAATTATTTATATGTCTTAGTGTTAGGTAAGAACTGTTACAATGTGATAATTTAAACGGCCAGAGTGTTTCGTGATGATGATATATGCTCTAATGGGAGAGCGAGGCAACCTAGGAAAATACGGAATGATTTCTTAAAAACGTCTTAAGTCAAAATTTGTAGATATGGGTGGTTTTCACTAAAACTTATTTTGGTGATAACATTGGAACCATTAGCGAAAGGTAAGTTATTTTTGACTTACATCACTGAAAGCCAACAAACCCTCGAAGACAGAATTTGGAAATTCTAAGACCATATTGGGAAAATTAATATTCTTTGAAGAAAAAGTCTTATAACATTAAGTCTTCTTCTTCATTGATGTTAGATATACATTTTAAATGCCATCTAGTTATAAACTCGCATCAGTTTTACAACTGTTTTGTACAAATACACAAGGGAAACTTTCCTTATTTGACAATGAATAAAAATCGGCCCCTTTCATTTGGACTGAAATGAATATCAGGGTGGGCCTAGGGGTTCTAATAGCAGGTTTGCCTCCACATAGCCTAGCCCGAGAACAACGAGGTCAAAGATTCCTTCTAAGGCTAAAATGTAGAGGACGATCCAGATTCGTACAATTTTAACGTACCTATAGACGCTGTCCGTTAAAAACTCAGAGTTGCTGGACAGCTTTAATCAGAAAATTTTACATTACGAGGATATTTGGACCTGTAAAGGAGAATAATCTCTGGAGAACTTCATCAGCTTTAAATAAGCATAAAGTCTCAATGTATGTGCAAAGAATGCATGATTCTAAAGAAAGCCCTTAAAAACTGAGCAGAATAGATCATCAGAGACAATTAAAATGTGCTAGGAGGATGAAGTACAAAAAAAATTGGAATCCAGAACATGACGGGACTGAAATGAAGGAGGCTACAAAATTTGAACCAGGACTTTTTCAGTGGTCATACTTGTCTAGGTTGCCTTGCTGTTCTATTACAGTATGCACAATTCGTCATAAAACAGCCTGTTCAATTGTCTTTCTTAATGTGTTACAGAGAACATTTACTGCATAGAATGTTAGTTCCGATGGCAGCATGTAAGGTGACTTTAGAGATGTACGAAGAGAATTCCTTTTTGAGAAACCGTGGTCTTTTGACTTTCCTACGTCAAATATTACTCCCACTAGATGAATTAGATGTTGTCTTAGAAAAGTCTGTGTCACATGGGATATCTTCTCCTTCTACTCATGTGTAGTTAACTGTAAACCGTTTCTAGTCTTAGCCTGATTTTATTACCAATGATATTTTTCGAGTGATATTTTCTGCTTTATTCTGTCAAATTTATTATGGATTCAACTGATCGTAATTGTAACTGTATATAATTGTTTTACAAATATAATTTTGCAGGAGCAAAGATATATGATTGTGTTAGGAAGAATATTTTTTATGGCCTTTAGCTCGTAATTTCAAATATGTATTTACTGATAGATCCTGAAAAGTTAAAAATATATTCTTGCCAAAAACAGATACTTATTTTATTTCTTATAAAATAACACCTCTACGGGGTGGTATGCAAAAACTAATATTTCTTTCAAAATCATTCATTTTATGAGGAAATGAATTTTTTTTGCATAAATTTGACAACTTTGGGAAAAATGTGTTTATAACAAACGTTTCATGGTTAATTACTTTATTTATTAGAAATTCCATATCAAATGGCACTGAAACGGTGCGACAATTATTTTCTTATAAACGACTACAGTATATAAAACAATCATAGTTTTTTTGACAATCTACCTGTTCCTAAAGTTTGATAAAAATCACATCACTCTGTACATTTCTCCACTAAGAAACAACTGTATCGTATCAAAACGGCACTACTAAAAATTTCACGAACACCTTAAAATTAGCTCGTCTAAAACAGCAATCTTCAAACTTTTGCACATGCGGAACCCGGCCAATATTTTGATTTTTTTTGAGGAACCTCCACACCTAAAAAATTTTCGAACACATTTTTTACTGATTATATAATATATTTATAAATAGTAGTTTTAAGTAAGAGTATAAATTTTTTTGAATTTTGTAGTGTTGATTTTGTTAATTTCCGAATTTTTTACTGAGTCGCGGAACCCCTAGAGAGGTTGTGGGGAACCCCAGGGTTCTGCAAAACACAGTTTGAATACCGCTGGACTCTAAAAGATCTTCAGTAAAAATTATTCTTTCACCGGCTCTATTTTTTAAGTAGGTTAAGAAAATATTAGAACTGCAGTCTAAAATTATAATGTCTCAATTGATATGTACAGGGTGTCTTTAAAATATATGAACAGCATAAAACCAGAGATTTCTTGGATCAAAGTAAGCCAGTTTGGATCAATTGTTCCAGTTAGGATGAACTTTAACCAGAGATAGAACTCAAGAAATATTGAGATTGAAAACTGTAGTTTTATTTCTTACCGTTTTTTGTATACAGGGTTTTCAATGGTTATTTTTCAAAATCATGTTTTTTCCATATCTAGTTAAAAATAGTAAACGTTGAGCGGTGTTATAACATAAACTACTACATAATTTAGTGTTGCTTTAGGAAATTATCAAAATACGGTATGTAGATATGGGGAAAGCGTGATATTTTTATGCCATCAGAATTTAAACCTTAATTTTAGTTTTTGTACATATTTTTCTGTAAAAAAGTCATACTAGTTTGATTTAAAAATAAACCCTCTGTAGCAGAAGGTAACAAATTAAAGATTAGGATGCACGACATTTACTGTGTCACGAAAAGTACAGATACATATGGAAAAAATATATTATAAAAATGTTATATTAAAAAATATCAGCGTGAGCAATGGGCAACAAGCATATATTTTTTTGAAAGAATGGGAAAATAACTATCTTCGCTGTAAATGACATATAACAGCATGGATGGAGCATGCCTCTGTTTTACATCTATTACACCACCGATAAAATCAAGGATTAAGTACCTGCCCAATGTTTCACATTTAATTAATTTTATTCATATTGTACACAAAATTTCTTTTCATTCTATTTGTTCATAAGATTTTTTTAGTGTAATATCTTTTTACCATGGATGTTTATTGTGATAGATAAATGAAAAAATATTCTTTATTTGAATGGGAAATACGTCCTCTATATAAAAATTGTGCGTTTTATAATAAAAATTGCGAGTATATTACCACATTTTTGAAAGCAATACATTACAACCTTAAAAAAAATCAAAAAATATCAAAAGTATCAAATACAGTTGAATCCAAATCCAAAATGAATATTCTTAAATTCATTAAGAAATTAGGTACTTCCCTATATATTACAAAAATGTGAACCTAAAGTCTATAGATAGAGGACTATGCAAACAAGAATTATTTTCAAAAAGTACATTTTTCTCTACTTATTATGGTGGTTTGCTGAGTTGACACCAAGTACTTCCAAGTAGTAATCACCTTGTATATATATTATTTCATTATTTAATGAAGTTTTGTTGTTTTCAAGAATAAAACTCAATTTTCAAAATATGTAAGTTTATGTATAAAACGTCACTATTTATTTATATGTTTATACTATCTTGAAATGTGTAATTGTTATAGAGGAGTTGAGCACGCTAAACTTTCTATTTAGATGAATTTTGCATTCCATTGTTTGAATTAATTTTACCGCCAAAAGCTATTATCTCGGAAGATGGCGCCCCCCATTGTTAGTGAAAATTCTAAAATGGCGGACCAAAGTTTGGTGAGCTAGTGCTTTCGAAAATATACAAATAAACCCTTAAACCATGAAAATACTAATGAATAAACTTTGTAAATAATTAGTGAGTATTATAAATGATTATTGTGCAGTTTCGCGACATTCATAATCGTTTTCTTTTCCAATGTTTCGAGTATTTTGCACTTATGAATAGACATTGTCCGTATCTTATGGAGCCATATTTATGAAATTTATATTAATAAGGCTATCAATTACGATATTTCCAATGAGAAGTGAGTACTTTCTTTCCAATCATTAGAAAAAAAAATATGTAGTATACAGCTTGCTTATATTGAAACTTTATTTATAAAGTTACTTTTCAAGTGGCTGGCGTTGATTTCTTGTTGATTTGATTTCATGTCAGTAGACACAATTGGACTGATTTTGTTATATATAAAAATAATAACTTTAAATTACTCTTGTGGTTCTATATCGAGTCGTTCAGTAGTTATGTATTTAGAATTTTTAAGATTATGAATGTATTTCACTATTCTTTAAGCAGACTAGCTCAACAGTTCAAGGTTATTCAAAATCTGGTATACATTTTTGTTTTCAGATAGTATACATTTCGAACAATAGTTATTAAAATTTGTTACATAATAAAGTTTCTGTTTAACTTTACAGATTTGTGGTTTTTATATTGTGGTTATTGTCTATTAGTAAAACTCAAAATAAGACTACCTAAGTAATCAATAATCAGCCCCCATTGTCTCTTAAGACATCATGTTCTAATTGATGAATTTAAGACATTTTAATATGCAAACTAAAATATAATATAAGAAAATTATTCATCAAATACCATAATAAAAACCCATTAAATTATAAAAATTATTAAGACATAGAAAGTTCGTACATGTGTGTTTTGATTTAGGTATTTTACCATTGATGAACATTTAATATTTTACATACCTACATAGTAACCTAGAATGAAATTTAACTTTGAATAATAATTTTTTTAAACACGAAATTTATTAACAAAAAATTATGTTATTGTAGATTACTTTATCTGATACAATTTAATAATAGGTATGCACAAAATATTAATATTTTAACTATTTTGTCTATCCAGGCTGTATATAACTTGATCTTCAGTTGCTGTTATATGAAGTTGACACCAATTTTTGAAATCTGATGAAAATTTTCATTTTAACCTGTAGAACAAATTTTTGCTGAATTACAATGCTTACCTTTGTTTTTATTCCGAATTCATACTAAATTACAAACATCAATGTCATACTCCCAGATTCACACAAAAATTAGCCATTTTCTAATCAGCTAACCAACACACCCAGGTAAGTTATCAATCAACAATATTCAAGTAAGAAAATTAATGATGTAACACATACTCTAGTACACTTTGGCATTTGAAACTTAGAGAAAGGAAAAATATAGAGAAAACTCTTATATCTGCCTGTGGCCTTTCACTAGTAACATTTCTTGGTGCAAGCACAAAAATTGAATTTTATTACAGTTACAGCTGTGACGTTTGTAAAATATTTAATTGTGTTTTTTGAACAATGGTTGAGTTTGACTATCTCAAAACAACGATCTTTTCCGTGTTAATTTTTTTAATAACACTTTTATATTTGATATAATTTCATTTTTTTTTTCATTTTCAAGTAAATTTATTGCATACCTATTTTAACAACTTTTTAATAATTATAGCATTATAGCATCTGCAAATTTATATTTTTGCAGCATGGAGAATCTAGCACGCTATTTTTTAAATATATTATTCATAATATATTTTCGTATTCTTAAATATTTAATTGATAATAGTACACAACTATGAAAAAGACCATTTGTATTAGTTTCAGTTTTTCGTATCTGGTTCTATTCCATCAGTAGTGTTTTATTATCTGTGCATTTGAAATCAGTAGCGGTTGCATGTTGTCTAGCGCAAAAAAAATCAATGCAGGATAGGTGGTAGATGTTAAAAAAATAATACTTGAAAAATTCAAGTAGAAGCTAGTTCATACTACTGGAGTGACTGCAATTTTTATGTAAAAAAAATGATACATAAAACTGTACATACTGACATACTTAATGGTGTTATAAATAAAAAATTATTTAACAATAGATAAAATTTAAAAATTTGTTAAACGAAACAAAAACTTATAGTATATTTGAAGTAAATTATGAAACAGGAGCAGGATAATACAGAACGACAACAAGGAATAAAATTTGATAAAAATTCTTTAGAATTCTTATGTAATACTTTATTCTTATATGAACAAATTGCGATTTTGCAAAAAAATATTCACATTAATTCTAACATGAACTAGTCATAAGTTGTCATTGCCTATTACTATTGTCTAGAAATAATGTTAGTAGTAGTAAAAGTAAATAGCCGTAGTTAACAATATATAGGAAAAATAAAACAAGAATCTTTTCTTTCAATCTATAGAAGTAAACTAAACAAAGTATACAGTGCATATCAATCTTCTTGTACTAAAACCAGCTTCATACAACATTCCACTATTTTTAATCGTTTTTTATTATAAAAGTGATGCAGAAATGCTATCTAAAATTAGAGATATGATAATATTTAACCATTTTATTAATTTAAAAAGTGAACAAAAATTTAAATTTTGTAGTGTAAAAAGGAACTCTGAGGTCTTATTGTAGGTAATGAACAAATCTATAATAAATATTATTAAAATATGTTTTTCTCTGTAAAGCTCAAGTGTGTGATATTCGCAAATTTAAAATTCGATCTGATCAGAAGTAAACTCATAAATTGTCTGTTTATGGCACATCGTTAAAACTGACATCTGACACCACTGAACCTCTTTTTTACAATAATTTAAGTTCAAATAAAACTATGGGAAATGGGGAGCATTAAGAAATGCCATCTGTTCTATAGCATATACTCTATATTGATATTACTGCATTTAGTAAGAAACATATAAAACAAATTAAAATAATTTAAAATAGCATAAAACTTTATCATCCTGTATCTTAAAAACTAAGCGCTTACGGACGTACAGTCATGTTCTTATTTTTTTGTCAAAGAATCTTCTGTACAATTTGTATGAAATACTGCACGATCCGTTGCCCAACTTCTCGACCTTGATATAAGAAAAGCAAATCAAGTTAAATAAGTATTTTTTTGAACTTTTTATTATTCAAAATAAACTCTTGTGATAAGTGCCATGTTTTATTTTAACTTTTTTATCTAAATCTTACTCAACTTTTGTTTCAGTAAATAATGGGGTAGTTTTGTTTCAGTTTGATCATTTTTGATAAACATTATGTCATCTGAATTTAAGTTTTCTGTCTAATTGAATTCTCAGTTTGGTTTCCCTTTTTTGTTTAAATTTTAATTTGAATATTTTCATAAAGTTATTGACAGTTTTTGGCATGGTATTATATTTTCCTCGTTAATGTCAAAGGTTTATTTAAAGCTTTTGAATAAAATGTCAAAAAGGGTATATTTTGTACTACTGTGGGTGTGTTATAACCCATTGTAAATAATTTCATTAGAGATTTTATATTTTCATGCGGATTTTGGCGGGTTAAACATGAAATTTGATCCAAAAGTGTTGAATTTAATCGTTTTACAGGTGATTTTTTAAGTGGAATTATGTAAGGTTGGTGATGTAATGAAATTTTATTTTGTGGTTACAAATTCCTGAAATTATATTAATTCTCATTCTCTCATTTAAATTTGTTTCAACTACCTACTTCTGGAATTTCGTCAATATTATTTAACATAGACGTAAAGTGTCGTATTTGGTTTTGTCAGAGCATTTACCTCTTGAAGTATGTCTCGAATTCTGATTTTCGATAAATCTTCTGCTACATAATTAGTTTTTCCTTGCTTATATATTTTATTTGGTATCCAATTCTTATAAATGTAATCTTCTGATTAGTCTTGTATTCAGTGTTTTTAAATTTGAAAGCCATTCTAAAGGCTTGTGGTCCAAAAAAATGGTAAATTTCTTTCCTTAAGTATAAGGTTTAACGTATTTGCAACTCCAAACTATTGCTAATAATTCTTTTTCTATGATAGCATAATTTGTTTCTGGAGAGTTTAAAATTTTTGATGCATAAGCTATTGGATGTTCCCTTAAGAGTGTACTGCGTTTATTGCATGATTTGTTGCGTCACTTGTAAATCCAAAAGGTTTTTCATATTTTGGGTAAGCAAGGATGTGTTCATTTGACGGTAGGGTTTTACAATGTTCAAAACGTTAAAGATTTCATAAAAAAATTTTGGTTTTTTTTCAATGGTTGTAAGTAGTTTTATTTTAGCAAAATTTTTAATAAATTTTCTGTACTACCCTAGTAACCCTAAAAATGATTTTATTTGTTTGTGTGTGTTTTGGATTGGGAATTTTTTTATTGTACTAATTTTGTCAGGATTTAGTTTAATTCCGCCAGGAGTGACAATGTGTCCTAAAAATTTAAAATTTTTCTTAAGGAATTCTGATTTGTTTATCTGATCTTTCAAATTCCTGTTTCTTCATTATTCATGCGCTTTGCCCTAATAATTTGTTCTATATCAACCCAACAATATCATTAGAATGGGTAATTTCACAATATCATCTTTTAGCATTTGTTCTGATAAGTTAATGTTTAGTCTTGCATTGGTTAAATCATCAAGTCCATCAAAATAAAAGTGGAAGTCGTTTAATTCTTGGTATTGTTGCTTTGTATGTGTTAATTTTGCCTACACATGTCTGTAATGTCATTGGGTCTAAATGAATTGTTTCAGGATAGTTTTTATTATAGATTTTTTTTTTATAAAAGTTACTCTTAAAAAGTTAAACTTTTATGGAACTCATGAAAGGGAGCTTATTCTGTAGCCATTGAAAAATATATGTTTGCTCTTAGCTCTGTAATCCATCAAAAAAAAAATGTACCATTCAATTCTAGTCTGAAAAATTAGTATAAGGTAGTTTTTACATATTTAGAATTAGTGATTACTGTTTCAAGTTTGTTTTTTTTTTAGATGGGATGGCTACACAACATATGTTAGGATTACCCCATTATGGATCCAGTAGGGCCATGGTATGCTTCTTATAACCGCTTAGCGGGGGTACAAGCAGCTGGAACAGGAAGTGGAGAATTACACCATCATCTTGCAACCACTACAGCCACGGGTGCCCCACCAACCACCACAGCCCAACTGCTCCCAGGCGGTTTTTTGTCACCGCCCCCTGTCGGATATGAAACAGTATTCAGCCCCCTTTTTCATCATGCTGCAGGTGCAAAACCCGCTGCCCATTATGTCTCCCAGGTTACGCAACAAAGGGCACAAGCACTCGCCCAGGCAGCAGCGTCGTCCAAGCAATCTGGCGAGAGTGAGTTTCATCCACAAACGCAAGCATTTTTTGAACAGGGGGCTGCTGGGGCTTGGCAACAGAATAGCCCTTTTGGTATATTGCCACATGAAAGTGTTGTAGCAACTACAACAGGTAAAAATTATGAGAATTTCAATGCTCATTTTGCAGCGGCGCAGACTTTAAACAACCATATTAATTCTCAAATAGCTAAGGCAGGAACCAACAGGGCTCAAAGCCCACAAGTTTCTTCCACTTCAACGAAAACAAATGCATCACAATCCAATTCGAGCTCATTCTTTCAAGTTCCCGTAAGCCTGTCAGAGAATAGCACCAACAGCAGCAAGTCATTTCCTCCGCAGCAGGCTACATCGAATATTCAACAATCATGTATCGTTTCTTCACCTTCCACTGCAGTAACGAAAGAGTATCGAGTACCGCAAGCACCTACTAGGTCATTCCTAAGTTCGCCCAATCCATCACGAACTACTATAGAAAAAACATTTGCTTCTCCTCCAAGCAAGCAACAAGTGTCTCCTGTGCAAATCCAAACAAAAGCTCAGACTAAAATATATTCAGATATCGGCAGCCAGCAACAACAGCAGCAACAGCAAGAAAGACAAAGGACTAACGATGAAAATCAAAGCCAGTCATCGCCTATTAGTTTTTCCATTATGGATGCCCCAGGAAGACTGAGTTATTCTGGCAGTAATTCATCTGGTAAACGTCCAGCTCAATTTCAACATAACTACAGGCATTATCAGCAGCAACAGGGTACCCCCAATTCAGAGGAATTCCAAAGGCCTAAGAGTGGATCAGACTATAATAGTTCAAATGGGCCCGATTGTAGTGTCGTTGTACCAAGAAGACCAAGTCCCTTGCAAGCACATTCCCAGGCATCACCACTAGGTAAGAACAAGTAGTACAAAACGAACACAAAATCTAGTCGTTACAAATATAGAAGGTGTTAACTTTAATGGCGTATTCTACCGATGAAAATAATCAACTTTTGGCCTACAAAAATTTTTCCCTACAGAGATTACAGGGTGTTAAAATTTCAAATATTTATATGATTTTACATTCACTGATAAAAAGTATTTAATGATAAAATTTGGGGGATGACATTTTTTTATTAGGAACTACTAAAAAAATGTCATCCTCCAAATTTTATCACTCACACTTTTATGCCAGTGAAGTTACCGAAAAAATAATATAAATATTTGAAACTTTTAACACACTGTATCTCCATAGGGAATCGTCATATCAAAAATTTTTATAGAGCAAAACTTGATTATTTGCATCAGTAGATTAAAGTTTGGCAAAACTTATCATTAACACTCTGTATAACATTTTCAAAATACTTGAACGCAAAAACATGTTTTAACACGTTGACTGCAACATAATCTCAATGTACTTTGTCCGTGACTGCGATACATATCTTCGGGGATATGTAACAAAACTTCTTCTGTGTGCGGTACATATCCCTGGGGATATGTAATTTTTTTTACATTTGACCTCTATAAAATTAAAAATAACACAATTATTGCTATAAACTTGCATGTATCTGTAACTATATATCCTAGGATACTAACGTTTTCATTTGCAAAGAGTTTTGAAAAGAAAAAAATAGAAAAATCATTATTTCTAACTACAAAACTAAAAACTACAGATTCTGCAACTTTTACAAAATACAGTAAAAATGTGATTATTGAGATTCGCATATTTTTTATAATGAGTACATACCCCCCGAGGTATGTGCCACAGTCAACGTGTTAAGTTTTTCAACGATGTGTTACAAGTATCAAAGAAATCGATAATATGTTGAAGTAATATCAAAAACAAGAAAGTTGCAAAGGAAATAACTATGGTTTTTTGGAACCACAACGTTGAAATAAAAGTTGATATAATAAAGGTTTTACAGACGTATTTATAAAATTTGTAAAATGAATCATTTGAAAACTTTTTGAAAATATTTTGAAAACCTATAGTACCTATATTATATTTACATATTATTTTAATTTTCATATCTTATCTTAGATGCAACAAAGTTTTTTTTTTCATTTAAAAGCTGTTTATAAAATACAAAAATTGCTTTAATCACTCTGTAACAAATGAGTACCGTTATTGAAAAAAGTAGATGTATGAAGTCTTATAGAAACTTATTTGGTAAATCTATGCTAAAATCATGAAATGCAAACATTCTTTATACTTTAACTTAATTAAAATATATACCTTATATGCATAAAATTCTGCTGCAACACAATAAATATTGCACTTTTAAGTTGAACTTAAAAAAATCAACTGTGCAATTATGCATTTGGCAACTGAGGAATAATAGTTCTCCCCTATCCTCCTACCATGAGTTTTGAACTTCGTAATTTCCATAACTCATGGCCTCTGCCCCGATCAGAGACTCCCTACATGACATTTTAACCTCTAAGTTTTACTTACATCTGATAGTAGTTTTATCAAAAATATTTTGCAGAAACATAGTGATAGTCATGGAAAAATTAATTGTATTGTATTTGTGAATACAATCCGAATAAGCAAGGGCTACCGTAACTTTAATAAAAAAAAATCAGAAAGATACATGAAAATCTGGTCATGGAAATTTTCAGAAATATTTTTAAATTAATAGTAATATCTCTAAAAATTATTGCAGAATATAATTACTACATTGTAAATTGTATATAAAAAAAAAATACTTATTTTATTTATTTTAAAGACGTCTACGTTATATAAATCTTCAATCAACATAATCTTGTTTTATTCTTTATTATTATCATTTCACTCTTTATTTTTTAGGTCATGCACAAAGCCCGGCATACCCCATGTACAATAGTCCCATGAATTCAATATCATCTCCCCAGCAAAGTTCAAGTAATCAAGTTGCACCTCCTTCGCCTCTAGACGTATCTGTGCCTCGCCCTAGCTCCCAAACTGGTAATGTAGCATATCCTTCCGTAATAACGAGAGCTTTAAATCCAGAGAAAAACTTTCCGGAGCGGTACGAACGTACCAACCACACTAACCAGCAGAACCAGAATTGCTGGGATGAGAGGCAGGGTCAACGTAAATTCCAAAATAATCAGTCCAGTTCTCAGTCAAACAATTATAATTCTAGTACCAGTGTCGAGATGAACAGAGGCGAACAAAACCAACAGAGGGTTGTAATAGGAGTAGGGGAGCGGCAACAAACTTATTTCGAAACGAACAGCGGACATCAGGTCACCTTGCAAGATCTGTCGAGTTGTAGAGGTGACCCTATGAGCATTGTAAAAAATTTACAACAGCAGCAAAGTTGCCAGGTGCAGCAGAATGATATTAAGACCGAGGTTAAACCGCCAATTAAAAGGAGAAAGAGCGGCGAGAAACCTAATGTACCTGATTTACACAATTTGCCAAGTAAGTTCTATAAGTATTTTGCGGAAGTTTTGATTATAAAAATAATTCAATTTAATTTTATTTTTGATACAAAAATTCAACTCAATTTCAGTTACAAAACTATTAATCAAATGCAGTGGCGGCTCGTTAGAGGAGGCTGGGGAGGCTAAGCCCCCTCTGCAGTTTTTGATAGTATTGCAAAAGTTTTCTTTTGGTTTTTTTATTATACATCATATAATTAATAATATTTAAAAAAATTTCATACAAATCTATTTTCATAAGCAACTAATTAGGTACCTACTAAGGGAGATCTCGATTATGTAAATATATGATTTTTAAATGTTCACTATTTTTCGCGCCCTCCGAATTCACATTGTAGTCGCTGGCAGCTAACTTTCTCGAGCCTCCAGCCTTTCCCAGTGTTGTATATGGTGTGTGACCTTGAAATTATGCCACGATATCTATATTCGAGCTTAACCAGTTGAGCACGGAGGCTTGTTGCCACCTTCCATCTCTTTTTAACAAACGAATCTTTCAATATAACCCTTCTTCTCTTTCACCTCGGCGATCGCAGTTGTATGTTGCAATGTTGCATTAGTTGCATTTCCCATTTCATAATAAAAACATTGATCGTCTGCGAGTACGTGCATTTTTGTTTTTAACTGGCGTTTATGTGAAGTTTTTCTTAAGAATTTTTGTGAGACGATCATAATTAATTAGTAAAACAATCATTTACATTTTACCCTGGTACGTACTTAACTTTATTAAAATAAAATGAATGTGGAAAACGAACATAACCTCAACAACTTCTTGCATGGACATTGTGGATTATTTATTATTAAAAGGATTTAGTACTCTCAGTTACAATGAAAAGCTCATAATTAAACAGAAATTGAGACCAACACCTTCTTTGCTGTCTTTAGTTGCAGTGGGTGAAAAACAAAATAGGGGATTTAATGATAATAATTAAAGAAAAAACGAATGGTTAACTGCATCAACTATTAGAAATAGATTCTACTGCTGGCAATGTTTATTTTTCACTATTGATAATTTATCGGTTTGGGGCAGGGTCGGTTTTAACAATTTAAAAAATTTAACGAGAGGCCCTGAAAGACATGAAAAAAATCGCAACAACATATTTCATTGCGTATTAAATTTGAAATGTTCGGTAAATATTGTAAACGCTTTAGATTCTGTTCACAAAACGGAAATACAACATTATAATGAGAAGTTTCGTGAAAATAGAGATATTTTAAATAGACTAATCGATGTAGTAATATTTTTATCGTCTCAAGAAATTTATTTTCACGGACATGATGAAAAAATGGATTCTGCTAATCGAGGGAACTTTAAAGAGTTAATAAATTTAGTACGCGAAGCACAAAGGCTCCATCTATCGTGCTGACTTCCACTATGCCATCCAAATAGCTACTACGGTGGAAGCGACCTGCTAAAATTTGCCAGGTACTTTATTGCACGAATGTCGCCTATAGAGGGCGAAACACAACGTAAGTCGTCAGTGCCGCGAAAAATATTAATAAATTTGTTAAAGACATACGATTCAAAATTGCAGAATTTCTTAGACATTGGCCACTGTTTTTTCGGGAACCTTCAAAACAATTTAATTGTGAGTATTAGTTCAATTATCAAAAGTAAAATTTATGACGAATTAAACAATTGCGAATTTTTCTCCTGGCAAGTTGATGAAACCACAGATGTTACCTATAAGTCTCAATTGTCGGTAATTTTTAAATATGTACTGCCTGGAGAAGTTGTTGAAAGATTTGTTGGATTTTTTGACATAACAAGTGGGAGAGATGCAGATTGTTTAAATTATTAATTAATGAATTTGGAAAATTTAACTTAAAAAATAAATTAATTGCTCAAATGCTCATGTTAATGGACGTATTTGTCACAACTGAAAGAAAATAATTCATTTTATGACGAAGTTATTGACCATTTTGCTGTTACAGAAAATCACAGATTGCCATTGATATATAAAATTTTATTTTTAATACATACGTATATATTTATTTATAAGTATACTTATACATATATAAGTAACTATTGTACATATTAATTTATTCCAATTTCTTTTAGTTTTTGTACTCATTGCTAATTTACAAAAAATGAGTGGTATTTAATGTTTTATACAAAATACTTTATGTTAATTACGTGGGATAGGAGGGATACTGGCGAACAACCCACTAAAAAAATGTAGCGTGCCCATTGCACTACCTCAAGGGTGGTGAGAAAATGTTTTATTACAACGCGACGGTTTAAAGTTTTTCATTTCAAGCCTCCTCTGTAAAATATACCACGAGCCGCCACTGATCAAATTTTTCGACATTAATTAAGGTACATGAACTTATTAAAGAATTTAAAAAAGTTGCCAATAAAAAAACTTGCAATTAAATTTAACACACATTATTTATTTGAAACTTATATTAATAAAATAAAATCAAATATTTTGTTTATGTGAGTTACTGGTAGACTTTCAGTTAAAGCTAAAATTACTGTAAACAAAATAAACCCATATGGATACTTATGTTCCAGGTCGAATACCACCCCCAGCTCACAGTTCAGGAACAAATCAGCCACAACAAAATGGAGCCTATTTCGACTTTGACCGATGGAATCTTCCTCCTCCAACTTCCAAAATCTTCACCACACAGACATTACACCAGCAACATCAGGGCCTAATGGTACCACATCCCCATGGCCATCATCCTCCCCCTCCCTTGCCATATTTCGCCCCCTTCCACCTTGCCCCACATCCACCGTCGGAATACCCCTCGACAGTTGAATTGACTCCTCTGTCAAATTACAATGAGCAATCTCCCCAAGCTTCCAATCAGTATCAACAACAACCCGAAGACCATCCGAAGGTTGTCGTACCTAATATAGAGGAAGAGCTCAATTTTTTGTCTCAAGGTCAGTTTCTTGTTCTTTATTATATAATTTAGCTGTGCCCCGACAAACTTTTTAAGTGTAATAATGAAGAATAAAGGAAGGTGTTATTATATGGAAAATATATGTTTGATTTATTTCAGACACGACAAGAACGTCTTCAACGAATCATCAACATACACATGCTTCCCAGAATCAAGCGAAACCACCCCAAACACCTTCTGTGCCTCTGGTTAAACCAGAAAAATCGACAGGTCCAGGCTCTAGCTTCATGAGCAGCTTCCTAAAGTTCTTACAGGGTGAACGTGACAGTTCACCTCCACCGGCTGTGCGAGGTGGAAGGAAACAATCCTGGTCAAGAACACCGAGCAAAGTAGAATCCAAGTCGCCTGAGAGCAATGGGGTTCAAAGTACACCACCGGTGGCTCCGGCAGTACCCCCTCCACCTGCACCCATTACACGGCTTTCGCAGGGAGACCCCCAGGATGACCCTAGGTACTTCCCACTGCCTAAGGAACGAAAGCGTAATAGTTTCGACAGTTCGGACGATGGGTTCAGTTCAGACGATGATTTCTTCGGCCATAAGAAACCTCCTCCAGTTCCAAAACCAGAACCGAAAGAGAAAGAGAAGGCAAAACCGAAAGCTAAACCCAGCAAACCGGGGGGTCCAACTGAAAAGAAGAAGGTGAAACAGGAAAAGCCACCCAAACCAGAAAAGGAGAAAAAAACTAAAAGTAAGGAGCCAAAAGTCAAGCAGCAAGCTGAGAGTGTGCCGAGGAGAGAGTCCACCAAAAGAGCAGCTAAGGGGAAAAATAGTTTGTCGGAAATAAGCAAAGATGACGAACCTGAGGAACCTCCAGAATTTCAAGATTCTGACTCAGATCCTGCATGGACTCCTGCAGCAAATAATGATGAGCAAGATCTAATTTTACCTATTAAGAAGAATAGAAGAGGTAGGCCAGGTAAGAATTCATATTTCGTCATTTTACAAAATATCGAAAATATGTTTACTCTTTGTAGAAATCACTATAAATTACATTAATTTGTGAGCTGCTTGAACATTTGTGTATGGTCAAATATTTGTTTCAAATGCAAATAGCTTGATGCTTCGTGATTATTCATTAAAATGGCTTTCTGTACTTTGTATAAAAGTTGTTGAAAATATTGAAGTGAAACACCAATTGTATACAAGTGTAACATTGAGCGGGATTGATATTTGATTGATTTATATGGAGGCTAACTTTGACTGATTTTTTTTCACCCTTTTTGAAATTTTCATTCCTCGCTACTGGACGAGTTAATGTGACCTCAAGTAACGGTGTTTGTTAGTCGTAGCATGTATAAACTTGAGAATTGTGGTATGTGTTGCACCAATAAATAATTTAAATGAAAGGTTGAAAATTTTATCAAAAATTTACTGCTCTTTCATGCCTTGCTTTTATTGGATCTGTATTCGCCAGAAACTCCGTCATCTCTCAAAAAAAAAATTTAATTCTTGTAAATAAGATAAATATGAAATAGTACCTAACAAGTAGATAATCTAACGAAAAACTGAAAACAGTAAATAAAGAATGACTAGAAAGGTCGGCAAACTCGAGTTGACCTTTCTCTCGGGCCTTCTTACCTCGAGCACGCCATGGGCACCATGCTTTCCTCACCGATTGGTAAATGTAACATTTTTTGGAACACCCTGTATATAAAAGTCATCAACATCGTAACTTCATAATTATCTCTAGACCGTTCGAAGTTCAACGCAATATTTTTAGACATCCTGTGTATAAAAACCTATTTGAAAAGTTATATTTTCTTCTTATGGAAAGATTTAAAGAGAAAACTCCATAATGAAGGTAAAATACGGCAATAAGTAAAAAAAATCATAGTGATCCTGTGCGAGATTCGAACCGTCGACCTGGGTTGCAACGCGACACTTTTACCACTGAGCCTTCATTGCCTCTAGTATTACCATTTGAATTCCTGTTCATAGCGGAAGTAAACAAACATTTTTATCATGTTAAAAATTTTATTTTGCTGCCGTAAAATCGTCCGCGTAGAACTCGGAACAGTATAAGACATAAAAATAATCGCCCATCGCTGTACTGGCATCGTGGGGAACGTTGGAATCAGTAAATTCAGTTTTGACAATTCTGACGTTTCTACCGTGGTGACAGTTTGTATCAAAATATTCTTTATCTCGTCTTATATTTTGTTAAATTTGACCTAATAAAAGTTGAGAGAGATATAGAAGAGAGAGAACATTGCGACGCGGCATCAGAAAAGCGTCCCGGTAGCGGAAAGGGGACGTCGCCGGATTGTGGGAGCTGCTCGTACGCAAAGAGAAAAGTTACGGCATCCTCTCGGAGCAAAGCGCGGGTGCCGGCAGTATCCATAAAGGAAAATATGACGCCACAAAAATTGCGTTTAGGGCGAGATAATCTGGGCTTTACGAAAATATTGGGGTTCCGCGAGAGAGATGCTAGGTGCAGAACTTTTTTAAAAAGCAAATTTCGGCGTTAAAAAGTAAAAAATATCCTTCGAAAACGTCCCATGGAGACGAAGAAAGGACGAAACTCCTGCGTAGAAGCTGAGTAAACCCTCGATGGGTCTTTGGACCCTCAAAACGGCGGGCGTTCCCGTCGGATTCTGTCTCTCTCCCACAGCGAAAATTTGCGTTTTTGGCCGCGGAGACCCTGGAAAAGTGAAATTTCATTCGGAAGACGTTAAGAAATCGCCTTCAAAATATGTCAATGGATAAAGGAAGGATGACGCTGCGTGACTTGCAAAGAAAGCCTTAGTGTGTGCAAAATGTTCCTTTTTTGAGATCGGTGCGGGAGTGAAAACCACCTGCAGCAATTAATATACCGGAATAAATGAAATACACAAAAATTATTCTTAAAATTCCATCCATTGCTGTTCAAACACGCCTCAACACGGTCAAAGAATTATTTTCTCCTTCATTGCATTTTATACCACTCGCAGAATTATACTTGTGATGATATTTTTGTATTTTCTAAACATAATATAGCTAAAGTTTCTCACTCTGAGTTTGTGCCCGTTCAGCATGTCTTGATTCATATCTGTACATGCTTTATCATATTATAAACTTGAAAATGAAAACATAAAATTATACTACCCTCACTAAACACTGAAATAAATGACTTTATAAGGTTCGACCATTCCCGTTTCGCTATATTAAAGTAGCAGTTTGTTTTTACCCATTTACCATCCCATCATATCATACCAGGTGTGAAGTCATCTGGTGGTAGTGGTGTAAGGTTCACAGTTCTGTGTGGTTTCAATCATTTTGGGTTAATTTAATATATCTAGCAGCAATTGAAGTGGCTGAATAAGAAAAATTATCCTGTCCCTATCTACTTCACGTAGTGACAGTAATATAATAAACTAGATCAATGTCAGACATCATTGACACAGATTCATAAATTAAAAAATATGTACATTTTTTAAAATAGCAAAATTATCACCTACTTCAAGTTAAACCCTGTATATACATTTTCAAATTTCTTTTTTTTTTTGAGAAAAATTGAAATTTGATAGACCAAAAATCACGTGGTTGGTGGCATTAACCGATTTTTATTTAGTAGGTAGTAAATCGAAGAAAAACCTTAAAAATCTCATTACCGCAGCCGCTCAAAGTGCAGGCATAAATGAAGGAGACGGTTACACAAGCGATCAGCAACCTCTTAAAAAAAAGACCCATAAAAGCAAGCAGAACAATGCACCCACCCTCGAAGATAATATCGCAGCTTCTTTACAAAACAGTATTCCACCTGCCAATGAAGATAACCCGTTTAAGGTAAATTTCGAGTTAACTTTCAATCTATTTCTAAAAAATAATTTTCTTTTGTACACATGCAGTCAAGTAGATTAAGAGAGAAACAGCATCAGGTAAATTTAAACAAAATCATTGATAGTTAAGAATTCTGCTATAGATTACGTTATTTCCTGTTGTTTTTGTCTCAAGTTATGATTCTTTTTGCAGCCTGGTGAATTTGTTGTCATTAAATCTGAGCTTAAAGAAGAATGGCCAGCAATTTGGAGGGTGGATGGCAAGACGTTGCTGCAGAAATATGAACCGTTTGAGCAGAATGGTGTTACATTGTACAGGAATATTTCGATGGTAAGTCACCGTGTATTTAGCTTATCCTTGGTAATTGTAATTAGAGCGTGAACATAATTTTATGTCACTGTGGGCATAAAGCATCAAGCACAACCATTGTATATTTATTGTAAATGCTTTGCCGCTTCGCATTAATAATATATACATTTCACAAATCCGCCAAATCATTTATGTGTGTTTATTGTACATTAAGGGGTAAGGTCACTGTATAATTTTCAGAAAATCTATTTTATTTTTATTGATTTAAAAGGTGCTTTGAACCTTTTAGAATAAGGGGAAAGAAGTTTTACAACGGCAATTTGTTTTTCTTTGAAATTCCGAGTTTATTCCCAAGCACGTCAGACTGCTCCGAATGATTACTTGCTGCACATAGACGCCTGCAGGAAAAGTACAGCCTAAGACTACTATCAGATGTCGTTAAAAAGAGTTTGTGTTCAATTAGAAGCATTTTCAAACAAAAGTACATTAGTATAGCGGCTGCTATTATTGCATTGATTCAAGGCGGAAGAAGTCGACGATATGTTGCCCAACAATATCAAATATCGAATAGCACAGTCCATCACATTTATGGACGTTTTGTGGAAACTGGATCTTACAGCAGTTGACCTGGAACTGGTCCTCAAAGAAGAACCAATGCCCACGATGAACGTTTTATTGTCATAGAAAGCCTTCGGAATCGGCGCGCTAGAGCTGTAAAAATCAGAAATCGGCTTCAGTACATTCAAAATACCAACGTAAGTGAAAGGACAGTTAGACGATGACTTGGAGAAGCAAATCTGACTAGTCGTAGATCTGCAACAGGACCGGAACGTCTTAGAATGTACCTTCAGTCCTAGAGTCGGATATCAAGGGGGTTCAGTTATGGTCTGGGCTGAAATTTTTCTGGAAGCGCAACTCTATATCGTTCCAAGAGTCTCTCACAGCTGCTGGGTACATTGGTGAAATTCTCCAAGATTTTGCTGTTCCTTATGACGGTTTCATGGGCGATTTCTGCTAGTGCATGATAATGCTAGACCCCATACTGCAAGAATGACTCGACAGTATCCGAACGAGGTAAACGTTGCTGTTATGGAGTGGCTAGCATTAAGTTCAGATGCCAACACAATTGTAGGCGATGAATTCGCAATCGATTTCCTGCGCCACTAACCTTAAATCAACTTCAAGATGCTCTTTTGGAAGAATGAGAGCTGTATTGCCCAAGAGGACATCGGGGACCTGATTTTAGGCATACCAAGACGAATTAATGCGATAATTAGAAGTCGTGGGGGCAACACTCATTATTGAAAAACTTTTATTGAAGGGAAATTGTTTGAGTTTTGGTTATTTTTGTTTAGTTTCCGACAACACTTTTTTTCGTTTTTTTTTTTATTTCATTCACACTTTGTTGTAAAACTTACGTGTGAATCATGAATAAATATTTTCTTACTAAAAATCATGGGAAATATTTTATATTGATGGTGTTTACACGAATACAGTACAAAAACATTAAAATCAATTAAAAAAAAAGATTATTTTTAAAAATGTAATTGTTCCGTTTTTCATGCCGGTGAATGTATGTTCAAATTTGCGTCAGTTACACTGCGTGCCACAAAACGCCTCCAATTCAACATGCCTTGGAAAAATGGCCTCCAGCGGCGTATAAATAAATATATATTTTTTGAACGCTTAAAGACATGGTTCATAATATCCATGAATATTATTATTCTCTGACTTTTCCATGCATTAAAAAAAATGCTTTATTTTAGCATTTTTCAGTCAATTTCAGTGGAATACACATGCATCGACATCACAACTTTCACATTTTCTCCCATAATTGGTGTCATAAAGGGTTTGGTGAAAGAATTAGTCAAATTTTTAATTTTGTTAGATGAAAAAAACTGAAAATCTGCCTAAAATTATTTTCAGTAAAACAAAGGTACTTCGAAATATTTAATTCAAATTTTAAAAATTTTCAACAAACCTACCATTTCTGACGCCAACCCTCAGACTACAGTGTTTGTTATATATATTTTATTTATTTTCAGTATACTTCGTGGACACCAGAAAGTAAAAAACAATACATGTCAGTGCCAGTTAAATATAAATCACAGGGTCAACTAGAAACCATCGTTGAGTTTCTCAAAAATGAAATGACCATAATAGATCAAGATTTCCAGGAACAGTGCATGAAACAGTTCGAGTCCTACCAAGACAATTTCGAAGTTTATATACAGACTTTAATATCGCAGGCTCTTGATAGTAACTTTCTAATGGAAATTTTCCAAGAAAACGGTAAGTTAATTCTTTCAAATACATTCGTGGTTAATTTGTATACAACTGGTAGACATTATTTTGTAAACAAAATTACATTAGATCAAATAACCTTTCCTTGGATAATTTTTATTAAATCTGCAAAATGTGTTTTTCCAATAAAGAAAAATAATTTTTTAACATTTTCGTTTTATATGTACAATTTTTTAGGTTCATTGCTGTACAAAGTCCGAAAATTTCTTTCTTTTTTTCTAGACGATTACTTCCTGTCCAATGTTCAGACTATTGACGATATAACCGACAGTAAGAAACAGAAGTTGTTTGCTCTCTTGAGGTGGCCCCCCACTGTCCAGGGTGCCGTGTGTACATGGCCTTGCTTCAACGTAATGAGGGAGGTTAATGACGTTGGGGTACAAGTAAAAAAATGTGCTGCTTGTAGTAGAGCTGGTGTTGTAGTCAGGGTGCTGATGTACGGGCAGCCGTATAATGCTACTACGCTGGAAGGTTGCCAGCCGGATCCTAATGCCATAAATGAGAAGGTAGGTATTAATTACGTTGGTGTCAGTTTCAATATTTATATAAGTCAATGCGCTGCCAAAGAAGGTAACTAAGATTGTTGAAAATGTGTAATTTTTTGCACAAAATATTTTTTTCATTTAAAAAAACCGTTCTTTTGATTTCACTTATTAATAAAAGTTATTTTATTTGGACGTACACATTTTCTTAGTTCAAAACAAATTAATCTAAATCAGTTTTATAAATCGTCCTAACGTCAAATAACAGTAAAAACAAAACGAGGTGCAGAATACAGAATGTCCGGAAGTTATGGTCAAATAATATCAACAATAGTGGTATAAGTTCCCATGACATTTTTTTGAATACTACTTAAATAACATTGAATTGATTTTTCACCATAACTTTCTAGTTATAAATTTTTTTTTCAAATTTGGCACATTCAATACTGATAACAATTTGCACTTACGAAAAAACATCATCGGAGTTCTAAAATCTAAACCTTTTTTAGCAAGGAAATTAATCAAAACTTATTTGTGATTTTAAAAAAAATTCAACAACTTCAGCTGTTCATTAAATTGATGTTTTCTTGTACATTAAAAATTAATCCTTTAAATATTTTATTTAAAAAATTTTACCTTCAAATATTAATAACCCTACTTTGGACTAAAATTTTAGGCAGTTTATTTTCAATTATTCTATTCTAAATTCTAAAAGACCGGTCAGAGGAAAATTTATATAACGTTTTATTTATAAAAATAATGTCATTTAATGATTTTTTAATTTTGTTTTAGGATTTCCTAATGTGTAGGATATGTGCAACTCGTGTAGAACTCTTGAGTAAAGTGACTCATCAAAAGTATCTAATGTATATAGAATGTGCGAAACGTGTTAGTGAAAAACGGACTACTGACCCGACTAAGGATACAACGTGTATATTAAATGAACTATTAGCCGATGAGAATTGGCTGAATCAAGTAGGTTCGAACACAGGTCGTACCAGGTAGCGATATTAATGATTCATTTCTGTTTCAGTTATTCACTGAAGTGCGAACCTCGTGGGCTGAGATAGACAGTATAGAACACAGTCATAAAATAAAGAACTCAGTGCGGTTACAGTGATCATAAGGTTAAAGAGACAGTTTAATTTAAATCAAAATTGTGTATATTTGATGAGAGTTTATATTGAGTAACTAAAGTGTAATGAAGATAGATTAGTAATCAATATGCATATATTGAATTAAGTACGTATTTTGTTTTATATGGTTAACTACCATCTCAAGCTGTGCATTTTTTATTTTTGTGCTCTAATGGTTAAAAAAAGTGATATTGTATTATTGTTATTATTTTGTAAATTTCAGCATTGGTTATTTATAACGAGCACAACACTCATTAATAAAATATTATCATTTGTATTAACCAAATTTTTAATTTCCTATTAAACCTTTTCAATGAAAATGTTTTTCCTGTATCGTTGGTTTGGCACAATAAATCCGTCCTAGACAATGGGTGTACTTGCAGTTTTTAGTAGTTGCAATTAAAAATTGACGATCGCAATATTCGATGTGCATTTGTAATTTTCAAACTCGCGATTATTTAGTCACTCGGCAATGCAACCATTTTCTGATAGGCGATAGTTTAATCTCCAAAAATTATAATAATCGCAGCATTCAAGAACTTGTGGGACGAGATCATTGTAATTTGAAGTATACAGGGTGTTAATTAAGTATGTACAATAAATTCAACAGACGATTATTTGAATGAATTTATGACAAAAAGTTCATATAAACATTGGTCCGCATATACTTTGTTTTCAAGATACAGTGTTAAAACTTTTGTAAAAAAATGGCTATTTCGTAAATATCTTAAATACCCTTTACCCAATTTTGTTGTAATTTGGCAGTGTTATTTCTACTTTATGGTATTTAGATGTTACATATTAATAAAAAATTATAAAAAAATGATAATTTCCAAAAGAAACTTTTCCCCTTGTGGCGTAAATTTTTTTTGTCAAAAATATTTGTTATGGTACCGCTCGAAACGCCACTGGATTTAATAAATCTAATAAAGTTAGGGTTAAATTAGCCCCTTAACACTACAAATAACACTGCCAAATTATAACAAAATTGGGTAAGGAGTATTTAAGATATTCACGAAATAGCAATTTTTTTTACAAAAGTTTAACACCCTGTTTCCTCAAAACGAAGCATCTGCGCACCAATGTTTATATGAACTTTTTGTCTTAAAATCAATTAAATATTCATCTGTTAAATTTATTGTACATACTTAATTAACACCCTGTATAATGAGCTAAACATAAAAGAAAAACTATGAGGAAAAGTGTGTACTAAACTTAATAGCAATTAAAATGAGTTAGCTACAACAAAAAAGTAAAGAAATAATTTCAATAGTTCATCAAAAGATTCTACATATTCTATAATAGCTACAACATTTACGAAAAAGACCCCTCACCCAAATCTATAAATTTTGTAAAATTGCCTTTGATTTGTTAGTGGATGCACCCAATATTGCTTTTTGCGTAGTTTTTTAGATTTTTGGAATTGAGTTATTAGATACATAAGTATAGTTTCTATGAAATCCATGTTGTTGTAACAAGGACATTTGAGAGAATAACGAATCATCATTTCCTTTTGTGGAACTAGTCAAGCTAAGATTATATAAAAAAAGCTGTGTTTTAACTGACAGAAAATTTCAAAAAGGAAACGGCTATTTTTTATTTAAAAGCATTGAATGATCCCTTGAATCGACTTGACTCGACTACGTTTCAGACAAATCAAAAAGTTGACTTTTGCCCACATATTTTGACGTTTATAACTGTCGGAACCAGAGGGCGTTGCATCGACGCCCTCGGACAAATTATGCTTTCACCACTGTTATTTATTACATCGATTATTTATTTATATTTATTGTAACAGTTTAAGTAACAAATAAAATCTTTTAATGCGACCTCTTCTTAGAACTGACGGAACTAACTTCGCTGCCCATTGACCGCCGACGGCCTAACTTTTCCTAAAACTGTGGGTAATGTCAACAGTTAGACGGACCCTATTGGCCTATATATCTAATCCTGAATTTAAGTTCATATAAATGCAAGTTCGCTAAAATGTCCTTTTCGCGACTTTCCTTATAACCGGTTTGGTTTCCGATCGATAAGATTCTGATCTATGATCACAGTTTCCGAAACCCATGGAATATTCTTTTCGGATGAAATGGTAGTGGCGCCCTCTGCAAAGTTGAAAATTGGATTTCTCTCCCAATAGTTTTATCATTGATTTTATAAGCTACGCTATATATCTAGTGATTTTATAAATAAACAATAAACGAATTAATATTATTATTTAACACACATTTATTAAATAATCTTTCTATAAACTCGAATTATTGTTGAGTATATACAGTTTTAAAAACTTTTAAATTTAGCGCCATTTATGAACTGATCACATCCGGTGAATTCAGCCAATAACGACAACAAGAATGGCAGTTTCCGTTACAGAAATTGTCGGCTTTTCGATGGAGAACTGCTTTGTGCTGTCAACAATTTTCTAACATTTTGAGTGATATTTTTCTTAAAAAGCCTTCACAAACTTCTCCATATCTGCTTGTAGTAGAGAAGATATACTGGTAAAGTTTAATTTATAGTATAGAAACGGTGAAAATGCCGTCAGCGGCTAATGTCAAAATTGACAAGCAAATTAACTCGGAAAATACTTTGTCTGATACTTCGAACAATTTAACTCCTCTTAGACAAGCAATTACTATTATAGAACATAAAATTAGGAATTTGGAAAAACGAAAGGTGAGTTCTGATTTTGTTTAATTTGGTTACAAGTTATATATTAAAGCAGTTTTCAATTTGAAATTTTGTATTGTACTTATTGCTGTACGTTCACATTTGTCACTACTTTTACGTATTTATGCATATCTGTATTGAATATTTATTATATTACACCATCTAATAATTGTTAATTACACTTTGTACACGATTTTTCGCTAACATAATATGGTCTCTTGAAGGCCTTGTTTACTAATTAACATTTTATAATACCAATAGTATTTAAGAACTGACTGAAGACTGAAACTAAATAAATATATCAAATAATTTGTCAGTTACAAATGAAAGTTGTATATTATATTTTTAGATTTGGGTGTCCCATATCTAGGTATCTCAGTGAATATCTTAAACATTGACTAACCGATGTACTTTAATTCTTAACTGCCTTAATAAAATAAAATTAAATTTATGTTTTTATTTTATTATTTACTTTGTTTTTAATTTTAAAGCAATAAAGTTGTCTTGGGAAATATTGTTTATGCAAGCACAGTTAAAGATTGTTTAGTGAATTTTAGTACAATGAAAATTGTCAATGAACTACAAGGTGGTTTCACACGTTTTTGACCTATCCTGGTTCTCGGTCTATTAACTTGAATAAGACTACAAATTAAAAGAATACCTTGCTACATAAAATGTTAATTTTATATTGGCTTTTGCGGCAACTCTGATTTTTTGTATAAAAAGTGTTAGTAATTTGCTAATTTGACACTATTTATAAGGTAAATAAATGTTTTGTGGACCATGTTAGGTTAAAGCTCATAAAGTTTCTGTTCTTTTCCAATGTTTGCAAGCTAGATATGATTTTCTCTGTTATGATGTCTTCTTGTCAAAAATAAACAAATCAAGCATTTGGCAACCATTTCCCAATTCCTATTTGTATGGTCAAAAGGTTTTGAATGAGCTAGTTTTCGCACCCATTCTTTTATACCATATTTTCGTGATTTACAATAGGACAAGTAGTTCTCAGCATCTCTTCATCTTAGTTTTGTTCATTCTGTGTTGTCTTTGTGACTTTAAAATTTTTATTTGTTATTATTTTTCTGAATCTATTACAATAGAATGTTTGGCGAAAAATCAATTTGAACAATCATTGACCGTTTAAATGTTTTTAATACATAAAGACACATTAACTAACTGTTATTTTAAGAGTACTTGGAATATCCATACTCATATTTTCGATTTGGTATCCTCTTCATAATGTTCTGGTGATTCTCTTTAAGATAATATTAACATTTAATTAATAATTTTGTATAATTAAACTGTAATAATAAATTATTAATTAATAGTTACATAAATGATAGTATTAGATGTAGAAAGATGGACATTATTAAATAATGAAATTTCAATTTATGTTTCTGCAATATGATCAGAAAATTAATTGTTACTGAGGACATCAGCTATATATGAAAATCAATAAAAAAATATATATAAATAGTTATAAAAGTTTTTTTTATTTTAGTCAAAACTAGAATCATATAAGGAATTACAAAACGCCGGTAAAGAACTGAATGCTGATCAAAAGACTGCTGTTGCTAAATTTAATGAAGTTATAAGCACCTTAGATTTTGCCAGAGATTTATGTAAACAGTTCCTAGGCATTGCCTCGGCCACAGAAAAAGAGGCTAAGAAATTAGCAAAAAAAGAGGCCACAGCAAAATATCAGGCTGAACTCGCCAGGTTGCGTGAAATTCTTTTGGTTCAGGATGCTTTGAATCAAATGGGCAACGAAAATGTTCGAGAGGACTTTTTACATGGACGAAATGGAGCTGCTCAACTTTCCGAATCTGATCTCAAGTAAGAAATGATGGGCATGTCCCACATAATTTTTTTTTATCTACTTGTTTGATTGTACTGGAATAATTAACTTGTTTTCAAGGTTTCACATCATAAAAATTTTGTATTTTCAAGATATTTCGGAGGTGTGGTAGTCTATTTTACTTACATATTTGGTCATAAATATTTATTTTTACTTTATACAACAGAAACTTGTCAAGAGTTGATTCTGTAGTTAACAATCCGTTAACAGTGTTTATTGCTATGGACTTAATCCATCATTAAACTACTTGTAACCATATGTTGTTTTTTTTTTTGGGTATTTTACCGCCTGTGGTAAAATAAATTAAAGATATCTCATTCCTTTTTAAAATACTTCAGTGAAATTTGGTATAGAGGAATTTTTGGAGTGGACAAATATGAATATAAATTAATTTAATACCTAAAACAGCAACCACTAAGAACATTGTCATGTTTTTTACTATAATTTTTTGGTAATAGAGAATTTGAGAAGACAGGTGTTTACATCTACAATATTTACTTTAATAAAAAGTATACCACTATGACACTAAAATACTTTGATAAATGGAACTCGATTTTATACAGTTATGGACAGTCAAATATTTCAGGATCAGTCTAATTAAATTTCACCTTTTTACCAAATTTGTAAGTAAATCAATTTCTTTTTTTCAATTTTGACCTTCCTTAAAAGTTAATGTTTACTGAGATATAACCTGTAATTATTGTCATACAGCTAAACCACATTCACACAGGTTTATATCTTGATAAGTATTGATCTTTGAACGGAGGTAAACTGGTCTAATTTGTAAAAAATGAATTTAATTACCAATTTGTTTAATTAGACATACTTGGCTGTCTATAATTGTAGAAATATAAAATCCGTTTATCTCAAATACAGTGGCATTTGAAAGACCCAAAATCTTTTTTCCAAAATCTCTATAAAAATTTTAAAATGGCTGTTTAAAGTGTTCTTAGTGACTTCTATGTAAAATATAAGTTTACATTCATATTTAGCTACCTCAAAAACCTCTCTATACCGAGTTGTATTGAAATACTTAAGGAAGTAAAACTACAAGGATAACCTGATCCAACTTAAGAAAGCTATCCTTAAAAACTATAGTAGTTGAGTTCCTAGCAATATTATTTAAAATTAATTTTTTAATTAAGATTGTTGGATGACCTTTACCCTGCTGTGACCCCAAAACACGAAGCTGGTAATCCGACAGCATTTACAAACGAAGTGCAGGCTGCTGCGGAGCATCTGCTGTCTACCGTGGATGGAAAACCGAAGGATGTTTTTGGTGGCAGTTACAGTCAAATTAAGGAGATTCTAGGAAAAATTCATGAAAGTGGTTATTTTGATCAAGCTCAGGTAAATATTTCTTTATAATAAATAATTTTTTCAGTCTCGGTCACATTAATTGTCCATTATTAATGTTTTAGGTTTTTGAAAATTACATTGAGGGTGAGATCCTGGTAGAGACTGAGGTTGTACCAGTAGACGCGGCAATTAGCCATGAACTCCCTCCACCACAGGATCCGCAACCTCCTCATACTATTCCCATCATCGAAAGCCTTACAATAGAACCTCGACCTCCTGCCGTCCACCCCCAACAGCCCCCTATAGATCCGCAACCACCAATTGAGCCAACCCTTCCTCCCGAACAGATCTACTACCCTCAAGTACCTCCTCCACCGCAACCTCAGGCTTTGCCACAACCACAGCCCCAACCTCAACCCCCCAGACCCATCACTGAAATGCTCGGTACCGGAAGCTTCTTCTTCTTGCAGGTAAGGAGATAGAAATTAAATTAAAAAGTTATTAAATAAGTAGATGTTTTTGAATATATAAAATTGGTTTTCATTATAAAATTTCTTGGCAAAAGTTGTATTTAAATTCCATAAAACTTATAAAAATAAGTATGTTTCTAAAATGTGTTACGTGCTTTAAATTATTGCAATAATCTGGTGGACTCATAGTTTTTCCTTATACCTACAGTCAGTAGAGATGCAGGAGATAATTGAAGGCAGAGAAGTGCATGAGTCGAATAAATCCTCAATTCTGACTAAAACTAAGTGACTAAATAAACTAAATTAGGAGTATTATTCAGTATTCTCAGAAAAAATTTTTTTATTGCATTCAACTTTTCATGAAAAAAATTAATCAAATACTTTACTGAAGAAAACAATTAATGTTATATCTTATAAAATTTACAGCAAAATTTTGAATTCATTCTGCTCATTTTGTTACGCAGTATTTAAGGAGAAAAGACGCCACATATTAGATAGTTTTTGCTGGATGGTTATGGTTTGTCGGATCCTTTACCATCATGATTTGGTTTATATATTTTAGATAGACGACAGTTCGTATTAAAACTTTCTATTATGAAATGTTAGAGCCTTCAAGAGTTTCATAGTTTTAAGCATCCTCAGTTCGTTGTTTTTGATGATGGTCCATTACCTCGGGACCACCCTGTATATCCGTCATAATCACTATTTATTGACTTTTCTTACAATTATACAGGGTGTTCCTAAATACGTGTCCCAATGGAAAACTGTAAATTCCTCTTGAAAAAAGAAACATTGTTTTCTTCTTCCATTTTTCTCTGGGATTTCGTTTTCGGAATATATGGTGTCAAAACTTTAAATTTTTTTTTAGTTTTTTGCCAATATCTTAGGAACCGTTTGAACTACAGGACTGAGCTTTTGTACACACATTACCACTATTAATATTAATAGCTACTTTTTCGCACCCGTTTTGAATTCATTGGACATGCCAGTGGTGGAGATTTTAAGGTATTGTAAGGGTTTTTTCCCCCTAACTTTTACACCACTAGAAAATTTGACATTTGACAGCAAATTCTGAAGCACCAATGAATTTTACACAAAAAGAGTTCTCTTGGAAAAATAACTTTTTATGGACAAAAACATACATTTTGCTAATGTTCTGAAAATCATTTGTAATTCAAAAAATAGATAGTAATAATTAACAATTTTAACGAAATTTAACATTACGACACCTTAAAATCTCCACCACTGGCACGTCTAATGAATTCGAGAAGGGTGCGAAAAAGTAGCTATTAATAGTGGTAATGTGTGTACAAAAGCTCAGTCCTGTAGTTCAAATGGTTCCTAAGATATTGGCAAAAAACTAAAAAAAAAAAGCCCGGAGAGGAAAATGGAAGAGGAAATAAATGTTTTTTTTTTAAGAGGAATTTACAGTTTTCCGTAGCAACGCTTATTTAGGAACACCCTGTATATGTCATAAGCATTCAAGAGGTTAATATAGAAAAATTTAATGAATTCAATCTAGAAATAAAATGAATAGTACACGTTCTACAAGTGAATCAATTCTGAAATCAATTGAATCTATTACATTTTTAGAAGTTTATTCAATTTTTTATTCTGATAAATAAATTTTTACAAATTGGTTTTTTCCAATTTTACTTTCTTTTTTAAATATAAATATGTCAAACTTTACTGGGAGCACTTATCATTGAAACCACATAGTTTGTAATTCAACAAATATTTTCTTTTTAAGGAATCTGAAATAGATCCACCTCCAGAGCAAATTCCAAGTCAAACCTTCACAAACCAAAACTATAGCACTCACCTGGGACAGCCCGTACCATTACCGACCCATTTTGCACCGATGCCCAATAATTTACCCCCTACTAACCATCAGGTACCGCCACCCATAGGTAACAACGGAATTGATGAGAAGCTTGTACAGCCCGACGAGCAGAACCCTCTGAAAGATGTGTCTCCATCTGTAAACCGAGGACCCCCTAGGCCTGTGAATAATCAGTCCTATTACCAAAACAATAATGGTTATAATAATCGACCAAGGCATCAAAACCAAACCAGAAACAATGGCCCAAGGCCTGCCAATAATAGACATAACTAGTACATTCGACGACATGCCTTAACGCCTGATATTATGTTCTCATTCTGTATTGGTTGATTTCTACTTATTTAACTCTTAAGTCAAATCGATTGGCTCGGAAGTGAGCTTCATCAGTTCAAAAGATAACTTCAAAGGAACAGATTTTACGGAATTTATATTGAACTAGTTTTATAAAAAAAAAAGGTTTAATGTGAATTCGGTTGGGCATAATATAATTATAAATTATTTATTAATAAGTAAGTAAATATTTATCTGCTTAGCTTAATAAATAAAAGTTTACTAAGTAAGTATACCTACTTATTTTCTGTGACACTTTTAAACACAATTACTTTGGCAATTTCAACATTGTTTAAAATATTCAGTTCTTTTAATGTTATCTTTCTGTCTTTTGAAAAGTTAAATTGCCCTTGGTATTAAGCAGCACAAGTTTGGAGGGATTTTCTGTAACCTATAAAATTTAATTTCTCTTGTTAAAAGTTTATTTTTCAGTTCTCTTTATATTTTTTTTTACTCTTACCTTTTCAGTATGTCTAGCTATTAGTAAAAATTTTAATATTATTTCAAATACTGTGAACTTATATTCCCTTAGAATTTTATTTCAATTAAAAAAAGCTGAAGATTAATCAGTGGTTTTATTGGTACTAAAGATGGGTTCTTTTTGGAAAAGTGTGTTACGGACATGTCGATGAAATATCGACATGTCGGGAAAAGTACTTTTGACCTTGAATCTAATAAGGCACCTATGAGTGACATCATGTTTTCACGAATGGATCGTTGCTAGAGGGTACACGGTACACAGTGAAATATTTTTATTCTAATGAATATGTGTCGATGTATTTTACTTATCACCTACCTATAAACTGGTTTCTAATTTTCCCCGGACAGCCAATCCTCTTATTTAAATGTTTTTCTATCCTACTGGAATTCTTAAAAATTGTTATTGAGCAGAAGTTACATTTATGATTTTTACTCAGTTCAGAAAAATACACCCAAACTGTTGATTTTGGCGTCATACTTCATTTATAAACTATTTGTGTATTAAATATTAAACTGATTACTATTTACTCATCGTTAACTTTGCCAAAAATAATAAAATATGGACACATAAAAGGTTATATTTTTAAAATGTCAGTTTCGTCGCAGTTAAACAATTACCAACAAAAGCACAAGAAAATATCTATAATTTTACATGTACCAACCTCAAAATTTTTTTGCGGGAATTATGAATGCAACAAATAATTCCGCACATGCACATACAACTTTTCAATCTTGAAGTGTCCTCTGGACATGTCCACTTTTCACATGTCCGCGGCACATCTCCAATTGATATCTATAATTATTAAATTCATAGGCCAGAACTTCTAAATTGCTGGGATGCTCAAACAACTTAAAAAATATGGGGTATTTAGAAACTACGAGCAACAAATTATTAATGATTTCACTCTTACAAACAATGGTACATACAAGTTTTTTTGACACTGTTTCGAGAAGTCAGTATTAATTTTTTTAATTGTGATAGCTATTTTCCAGAATTAATCATTATATCGGGACATGCTCAAAATTTTGACCGTTATATATAAAGTACCCTCTTGTAGAATCCATGAATAGAAAATATGGTTACATTTAAAAAATTTATGTTGGCACCTGGCTAGAAAAAGTGGAACACCCTGTATAATTGAAAATATCTTTAGTTTGTAACTTTGAGAAATCCAGAAACATTGAAAAAAGAAAAATTCGTCTAATCCACTTTTTCTCCTAGATAGTGGACTTCCGCTTACTAGTAGGGCAGACTGTGTACAAACATTTAGAACTTTCACAATAAAAATATACTCCACAAAAAAATCCAAAATTATGAATACTTTATACATTTTATTAATATACGTATCAACTTTATACAAAATTAAATAAAAGCAATTAACATTATGCCAAAAATACAACAAAGAATATAAAGAAAAATATGAGAACTCCAAAGATTTTTATCATTAACCAACGATTTGACGAAATTGTTCTAAAATACTTCACAATTTGAGCATGTGCAGCCTCAATATTCATTTCAGCATCCTGAACATTTGTATCTATCCTTTCCACCATTTCTTCTTGTTCCTTAACCATATGCGCTAGTTGCTGAAAAATTCCTCCTAACTCTACAATTGTAGATTCAATATTTTGCATAGTTTCAGCTCTACTCTGTAGGTAGTTATCAGTTTCGTCATACATTAAGGAAGCTTGTATCTGACTTTGCTGCTTGGGTATTAATGCTGTACTCTCCAGATTTATGCTCACCTGATCCTCATCTTGTAATAACAGACTTCCTGAAATAATAGAACTCAATTTAGAGGATATAATATCGAATGCATAGTTTATAGAGTTAAATCACTCTGCTATCTATATTTTGAAGATTTGGTGCTGTTAAGAAAAAGGTTTATGGGGATTAGTAAGAGTAATAAAATAGCTGAAATAAGCATAGAAAAAGGAATTAGGTTCACTAAAATTAAGAAAATTATTCAATTATTTAATGATATTCTATTCAAATTTGGTAGAGTTTACATCAAATGGTTGTTTTGAATGTATTATTACATACTAAAATGTCAGTGTTTTAGTTCCAATTGAGACCTTCTCGGAAAATTGTAATACAATCGGAATCTCTTGAAAATTTTTCTTGAAACCTTATAGAGGTCGACACGAATACAAAAACTGGAAATCTGATGCAATTAAAAAAAAATCAGCAACAGTTTCAAAAGGAACCAGTATCATATAATTTCTGCACACACTTTTTTTAATAAATATATTAAAATGTTGCAGTTCTGTTCCAAATGTAAAAATATATTCATTGTTTAAAGTATTTAAAGTACAAAATGAAGTTCAAATTTTTTTGTAAATAAAGTTATCTGCATTACAAAATCCTTCCGTACTTACAATTCAGTATAGATTTAATATTCTACAAAATATTATTTAACCATTTTAAAAGAATTATTAAGAGAAATTTGATTGTGTTCTGAGAAATTCTTATTTACTAACCCTGTGCATTGGAAGACACTGGTGGAGGTGGCAAGCCACCCTGAGAAAATTGCTCCCTTCTACTTTTCTGATGTCGGAGGTTTTCCGTTCTAACCTCCAAAATTTGCTTAAAGTCTGCCGACATAGTAGCCAGTCTGGACTGCAATGCCAACACAACGCTGCTAGAATGTGACTGTAAATGTTTTCCATGGCTGTTTTGTCTCTGACGTTTGGATATATCTTGTAGCTGGGCTATTTGTTGGTTCAGGCTACTAAGATCTCCCTTTATTATATAAGTTAGTTCCTGGATTTCTGATGTCCTGTCATCAAATAGTGACTTTCGTTTTGCCACTGAAACCACATAGAATTGAAGCACCTATTCAGAGACTCCCCACACCATGTACAAACCGTATAATATTTGTTGAGATAGAATTTCAAGAAAATAATAAGCCAATAAAGTTCTATTATCAGAACTACTGTAACACTTTACCACAGCAAGAGCGTGCCTTGAAATTTTCTGCGTTATTTTCAGAATATAAGGTAAATAAATATAAAGCAGATTTTTTTAATGAAAACGTGTGTATAATGCATAGGACAATACACTTACGAAGAAAAATGCCTTCATAACTGCAAAAGAAGGTATGCACTGCAAACTGCTACGGTGAACTACACACTGTAAGTCTTTCTACTTCCAAGAAAGTGATGCAGGGGTCTTCTTGGAATTCTATCTCAACAAATATCGTATGGACTGTACATACTTAATATAAAACCCTGTTAATAAAAGAAAATAATTTGGTGTTTGTCTTTTTGTTTACTACTTTATTACACATTTTTAATAATTCAACCAGGGTCAGACTAGGCCTGAAGGGCCCGGGTGGCATTATGCAGTATTAATAAATTATTTTACATGTGGTCGTAAGCCTGGGGGTAGATAGGGCAGGGGACCCGCGCAGGCTAGGGCCCGGCGGCAAACACCACCTTGACTATATGACCAGTCCGACACTGTATTCAGCTACTTCTGAAGAAAAAAGGTATAATTTCTTCTGAGGGGGAATATATAAAATGTAGTGTTGAAGTGATTATACCTATAGCTAACCATCCAAATTTTATTGAAGTAGTAGTTTAACAATAACTTGTTTCTCTTAAATTTATCAACATTAGTCGCATACAAGGGGGAAACTGTTGGCCAAAATTTGTACACCAAAATACTCATTTTCATCATTAATTACTCAAGTACTACACAGAAATAATAGAAAACAGATACAGAGCCGGAAGGCGCAGGAATAGTTCAAAAACATGAGCCCATCTTGTACGTGTGACAAAACGTTTTAATACTTCAGTATTATCGAACAAAAATATTACTCAAATAGTACTCAGTATTACTTAAGCTTGTACACCAACTTACTCTTACGGTTTCCCCCTCGGTCGCATTGCGTCATATCACAATATTTATCTTAAAATTTAACTTACACAATGTCAATTTCTCTAATTTCACATAGGTACAGGCAATATTCTTTCCTATACTTTTTGCCACTAACATAAATTGTGAATGGCTCTGTATAACTCTAGAACTTTTAGGATCTTTGGCGGCTATAGCTCTTGCTATACTTCGCCCTTGCAAAGTTTGAATAGTATTGATAAATTCACTTGTACGGTCTCTAGCTGTCATAACTGGTTCTGGTTCAAAGTAATCGTCCACACAATCTTCCTCTAGGTAATAATCCAAATGAACATTATTTGGATAAGCCGTGTTAATATTGCTTAAAGCTTTTGGTTGTGATTGTGACCAGTATCTATCGTTACCAATTAATGGCTCGCTTTCTGAGCCTGTACGGCGTCTTCTAGGAAGCATTGCATTCTTGAGGTGACTTACATGAAGACAATTATACCTTCACCATTTCACATATGTTCAGTAGCCCTAATACATTAAAAAAAGTCAAAACTGACAGTACAGTACAGATTAAATTAGCTAGAGACTTAAACTGGAAATATATTTTCAGGAAAATTAAATAGCAAATTACTAAAAATCAGATTCTAAACTTTTCTTTTTGGTATCACATACACTGACACGTCTCTGATAATAATTAGTAGCATAGATTATAGGACTAAAAGAGAAGAGAGAAGTGTAGTTAGATCGGTTAAGTAAAAGTTTTGTGGTTTGGTTTGTTAGCAGTTGGCCAACCTAGAACAAAGGAAAAATCTTAGAGCAGGTTGTGGAGAGAGAGGGGTAAAGAAGGGTATAAGCTATCTCTCTCTAACAGCGCGCAATTAGCTGCCATCTTCTCCTCCCCCACCCTTCGACAACGACTGCTCTAAGGCTAAGGAGGTTGCCTATGACCAAGATCAGTAAAAAGATCTTGGCCTACGACACCTACGAACTGTTGATAGTGTTAATCATATATTTATAAAAGACTTTTAAAAGTCTTTTATAAATATATGGTGTTGATCTCCTTCACATTACTTCCGTCAATCAGTTAATTAGTTACTGACGTCATTGAAATCGAATACCGTCAGTACTGAATATTTGTTGTTTGCTAATAAAATTCAATTTCAGTTTCGATCTGATCTGTATGTTTGGAATCAGTGTTAAAAAGTTCTATGATAGTGTAGCTTACAAACATAATAGGTGCGTTTTGTTGGATTGAATCCGGAATTGAACTATGCAGAATGAGCGTTTGAATTTCTGTTCTGTCGATTGTAGGTTCTGTCAGTTCTGTCTTATCTTATGTTAATTGTTAATGTCAAATAACTGTCAGATGATGTACACGTATAACTATAGTTATACTTTTTAAAAAAATTAGTGTGTAGATATTTTGAATACTGAAAAATGACGAGTCTTCGGCAAAAACAAATTAGTATGTTAAAATTTGCGAGTAAATTTTAAATGTATAAAATATAACTGTTTTCAGATGCTATTAAACAAATGTTAAATTTAAATCAGCAGCAAACAAAAAGTGGTGCCTCTGAACCAGTCTGGAAAGTGTTAATATACGATCGTTTAGGACAAGATATTATATCTCCATTAATGTCAGTTAAAGAATTGCGAGAACAGGGAGTCACTTTATTTGTGTAAGTACAAAAAATTAATTTCTGTGATTACCTCTTGATAACTTCCGGATAATTTTGGTCTTATATTTGAAAGCACTTCTATAACTGCATAGCTTACTAAAGCTAGTGATGTCCAGCTTTCGTTATTGGGAAACAATTTTTTGAATAATTTTTAAATATCAAAAAAATGTTTTCTTTGAGAAAACAATTTTTCTCTAAGATCTAGTATTTTGGAAAACTAATTTTTTATTGTGTTTCCTTGTCAGAAACTTATTGCTTTATCTAAGTATTCCAAAAATATCAGGATAAAATCTGTAACACCTTGTATATTTAGACAGTTACATTCCGATCGAGATCCAATACCAGAAGTTCCAGCTGTATATTTTTGTGCCCCAAATGAAGAAAATTTAGGAAGGATTAACCAAGATTTTCAAACTGGTGTCTATGATATATATCATTTAAATTTTATATCACCTATATCTCGACAGAAACTTGAGGATTTGGCAACAGCAGCTATTGCAGCAAATTGTGTAGCGAACATTCATAAAGTATGTAAAAATATGTTTTATTAAATTTAAAATAATTTTATCAGTAATTTCTAGGTTTTCGACCAGTATGTTAACTTCATATCACTGGAAGATGATATGTTTATATTAAAGCATCAACACAGTGATGCTATATCATATTATAGTAAGTTTTCATAATATACATTGTCCCTTTATTGATAATTTTTTTATAATTTGTAGATATAAATAAAGGCGACATAAAAGATACAGAAATGGGGTCTATTATGAATTCAGTAGTGGAGGGATTATTTTCAGTATTTGTAACATTGGGTAAGATTACAATAATGATACCGGTGTCAAAACGAGTGCATTCATAAATGTAGATACGACTATAATTGATAAAGTCGTGGTCAATAAAAATAAGTTGATATTAACAGTGGTAGCTCATTAGGGGCAACACTGTCGGCAGTGCCTACCCAAAATAACTACAAAAAATTATTGCTATGAACATATACTTTTTTGGTAAAAAGCAGAAATTTATTATAAAATCTACTTTTGTCGGTGGCTGTTTTCATGCCAGTAATAATGATAATTTTTCAATAGATATTAGTTTTGTGCCTATATTTTTAGGAACCGTTCCAATTATCAGAAGCCCCAAAGGAAATGCAGCTGAAATGGTAGCAAAACAATTAGATAAAAAGTTAAGGGACAATTTATTCGATGCAAGAAATAATCTCTTCCAAATGGACGCGCAATCAGGAAACTTCAATTTTCAGAGGCCTTTATTAATTATTTTAGACAGAAATGTTGACATGGCCACTCCTTTACATCATACATGGACTTACCAAGCTTTAGCGCATGATCTACTTGACTTAGCATTAAACAGGGTCATCATTGAAGAATCAATCCCCACCGGAGGTTAGTAGTAGTAATTAAAGTGTGAATACCTTACCTCTTCATTATCTTTTAGGTGCACGGGCTAAAAACCGTGCTTGTGAATTGGACTCAAAAGATAAATTTTGGTCTTCGTACAAAGGAAGTCCTTTTCCCACTGTAGCTGAAGCAATCCAGGAGGAACTAGAACAATACAAATCGTCCGAAGAAGAAGTAAAAAAGTTGAAAACTTCTATGGGTATTGATAGTGAAAATGATATAGCTCTCTCTTTTGTTTCTGATAACACGGCTAAAATTACTTCAGCAGTCAATTCTTTGCCGCAACTTTTAGAAAGGAAGCGGCTCATTGATATGCATACATCAGTAGCTACAGGTACTTTTCTTAATTTTTAACCCTAACCTTTAAAAAACTTTCTTCTTTTCTGAAGAAATAGACATAATATGTAGCTTCGTTGAGGGAACTTTTCGAAAACTAACTCAGATGTGGTCATTACGCAGCTGCCTCCACCCAAGTCTATTCAGTCTCCTAGTTCCCACATACGAATTATTTTTTCTAGGTCGGTCTGTCAGCCCTCGGTTTAGATTTGGTCCTAAATAGCTGGTTAGTTTCTTCGAGTTCTCGGATAATAATTGATTTTTATTCGATCGTACACTCATTTATATTAATTGTCTTTAAGGAAAACAAATTGTAATTGTTTGTAATGAACCTAAAAAGTGGTTTATTGTAAGTTATCCGAAATACAAAATTTTTCAGTTCAATTTTTCTTTAAAATTTAACTCTGGACATATTACCTAATTTTTATTCATCTCCTCGAAAAATAGGAGGAATTCCGCAAAAGTAGCAAATTTAGCCCACTCTCTATAGTCTTTCCGAAGTCAGTTGAACACGTAAAAAACACCTGGCAATAAAATTAATGAGTTTCATAGGCGCCCCTAAAAAAGTTTTCGAAATGTGCAGAAAATTTCTATTATATGTTCATTTGGCCAACAACAAACAATTTTATTATATTGATGGTAAATTTCATTTTGTTCCGTTTCAAAAAGTCTTCAAAATGCCATGTTGTAATAATATTATTTGTCCCTTTCGCAATTGTAATATCAATAATTAATAGAAGGTGCCTATAATAAATTAAAATTACCTGAATCACACCAAATTCGGCATTGTGCACTGCACTGCTGGGCAATTTGTCGACCACTTGTCAACGGTTGAGATTTATTGCCCAGTGGACCACTGCAGCTGTATTTTGTTTGCCCGCGCTCGCATTCTTCAACTGGGCATATATATTTCTACCACCTTCACGTTTAGTTCGGCCAGACCTGTATATGGGTATGGCTAAAGAGTTGCTGCGTCAGCAACCAAACCTGCTACATACTGTTATCCTCTTGGTTCTTCAATTGATATCGGAAAGACTACACAAGTAATCACTTGACTAGTAGTTAACCAAATCTTATCCGGTACTCAATATTGTAAAAACTAAATTTTTGTACCTTAGACCCATAGAACTTTTTTCTTAGTGATATAAAAAATATCCTTTATTATTAGAATGTAGTAAAGAACAACCATTTTTGAAAATATAAATTACCTACTTTGTTTTTCAGCAATTTTAAATTGCATTAAATCTAGAAAATTGGACACATTTTTTGAATTGGAAGAAAAGATTATGAGTAAAGCTCAAGCATTAGAAAAGCCTTTATTAGACATTCTTTCCGATCCTGATGCAGGGACGCCAGATGATAAAATGCGTTTATTTATTATATTTTATATATGTACTCCTCATCTGTCAGATTCTGATCTAAAAAAATATGAGGCTACTTTAAACGAAGCTGGCTGTAATCTGACCCCATTATCATACATTAAACGCTGGAAGTAAGTATAAGGTGTAACTTGGTAATTTAATTAATAGTTATTATTTACTATTTTGTATATAGAATTATTTGTTGTTTTTCTTTTAGAAGCTACACTAAAATGGCTTTAGGAGTGAATGTTAATCAGTATGAAGGTGCTGGCACCAAAACAGTTAGTATGTTTTCTAAACTAGTGTCCCAAGGTTCGAATTTTGTTATGGAGGGTGTTAAAAATTTAGTGCTGAAACGGCATGTATGTGCACACAACTATTTTCTTTTAATTATTTTTAAATAAGACTATTTTCCATTTAAGAATCTTCCAGTGACAAAAATTGTTGACAATCTAATAGAATTTAAAAATAGCCAGGAAATGGAGGAGTATCATTATCTAGATCCTAAACAATTGAAATTAACCGATATTCCAAGAAATAGATCCCCATTTCAAGATGCAATCGTTTTTATAATAGGTGGTGGAAATTATATCGAATACCAAAATTTGGTGGATTACGCGAAGGTAGATAATTAGAACAATACATGATTCCTATAAGACGTTATTATTGTTTTAGGCAAAAACCACAACAGGAACTTCTAAAAGAATATTGTATGGTGCAAGTACTTTAAATAATGCAAAACAGTTTTTAAAACAGTTAGCCCTCTTGGGTCAAGAACTTTAAATATACTGATTTTATTGTAAATATTTTCCTATTTGTTAACTACATTAATTTGATATTAAATTTTATGAAATGTATTGCATTTAATAGTTAAACTTAAGCAAGAATTGGTATATTATAATTTGTAATGCCCCTACAAAATAATTAAAGGAACGTGGTTTCTTATTGTACTGTTAATTAATAATTAAATTGGTGCATATACGTTAATCACAATATTTTTTTAAATGATGTAAATAATTATGGTATAGTAATTTGCCAATTAGCGGCGGAGATACAGAGAGGTACTGTCACTGAGAAATCCTGAATTTCGATGCTACCGAGTATTTTAGAAATTAGATATAGACATTTGATGGTTTATTTTTAAGAAAAAACGTATCTTTCAATATATTTAAAAAAGTTCATCTAAAATAATTTCAAAACTATTTCACAAAAACTATAGGAGTTTTTTGTTCGAAATACAAATTTAAATACAGAGTAGCCAATAAGAGTGCAAAAAGTCATTATCATATAAATTTTTGATTATCTTGGGAACAGCGATTAGGCACTGCTCCCAAGTTTTCAAAGAAAAAATTCCCATGTTTGTTTTTGGGAAAATAATGGTTTTAAAGATGATTTAAATTTATTAAGCAGCCTTACGCTTATTTTAAAGGTGTAATGAGAGTTTATGCAACATCTTCCCTTTGAACTTATAAATGATATCTCAATTTATTGTTGTAGGCTTCACAACTTTTTTTAAGTGTAAGTGAGGCGAAATGCATTTATTTATATACTTCGAGGTAACACAATTTTTATAAATTTGTCTTGAATAAAATATTAAGCTACATTTCTCTCAAATCCACATTTTGTTAATATTATCTACCCTTCACAATTAATTTGAGTAAAAAACTAAATTTTGCCCTGTGGACGTGGTCCGAAAATTTCTATTTTGGTTAGGTAAAAATAAATTAAAAAAACTATTCAGTTTTAGTTTAATTATAAAGCTAAACTTACACCAAAAATGATGCAACAAATCAATTTTGGAAATACACAACAAATAGAAATTGCATGCAAGAAATATATCGCTCAGTTGCAAAGATATTTTTTCCCATACAGTTGCACTTTCTTTTCAAAAGCAAGAGATTTTATAGGTGCATCTTCTTCATAGAACGGATTCATTAAATGTTTGATGTATACCTCATATATTTCAGAAAAAAAATTCTTAATCCCATCATCGTTCCGATTATCGTGAACTATAACAAATCTGATCAAACTCGCTGTGACAAATGCTGATACAAACCACTGGTTAAATTTATCTACAGATTTTAAATTCATATTATGTGTTTTCCATTTATGCTCGTCTATCAAGTCTAAGGCTGAATGGGCAATAAACTGATTCAAATGTCGATGATCTTCTTTCTAAAATAATGGTGATAAATTACATGCCTAACGTTAAATATTTCATACTGTAACTCATACCTTCGGGTCTTTAGTATTTGTAAATTCCATTTCAAAAAGGGGTCTGTCATTATGACCCACTATCACAAAATAATAAGTACCAATCATTATTTCATATACAAATCACCTATAAAATTCTATGGCCTATATTACAATACATAATATTTCCATAATTTATAATAAAATTTTTTGGGACTATAGTTATCTCCGAGTTATTTACACAAAACATATAATACAATTATTAGATTACCATCCATGCAATGCAAAGTTTTTGTTTTTTTTGATAGAATAATTTTAATAAAAATCAGGGCTGGCAATATCAAATACTAAAAGTCATTTGTCATTTGACTAATTAGTTCCTGCCACCTCCACTGGTGCTGTAATCGCAAAATATGAGGACTTCTACTTTACACTGTTGGTTTTTGTCAATCGAGTATTTTTAAGAATTGAGTAACTTGGTTCCCCGATACTTTTAAGAATCGAATAATTATCCGAGTACTGAGAATCGAAAACCGAGTGCCGGAAGGAAATTGCAATTGAATTCGAATACTTCCCGCACTCGAGAACTCGCATATGTTTTGTGACTCGCATCGCGTATGATATTTATAAGTAGCCTGACAACACTCAACAGGGAGAAATATTTGCTGACAACTATTGAGAGCTATAACTAAAGTATGTGAGTACTTTCAGCAAGTATCCGATAACAAAGAGTACTTTTAAGAATCGAGGTAGTACTCGATTTGTTATTAGAGGTCTTCTCTCCCTCTTCTACTTCTACTCCCATCAGCAGAAAAGTCGCTGGGCTGGCTCGGTGACCGCAAGATATAATCTGTCAAAAAGTCAGAAATTGAATTGAATTGAATTTCTGAAATTTAATTTTGTAGTATATTGATAGCTAGTGTAACTAAGATTATTCCTTGATTTGATGAAAATGACATTTTTAATTTCTAAAAGTGAATTAAATTTCAATTAAGGAATATCAGTACCACATACATATACGGTTATGTAGTAATACGTATAAATCAAATTTTATTCTAAGTGCATACAATATGAATTCCACCCAGGGTTTATATCAGTGTCGTTTATGTTTAAAACGTACTTCTACCAAAGTTAGCGTTTTAGCTGGAGATTTTCCGAAAATGTTGGAAATATTGACTTCCATAAAGGTAAGTTTGACGAGTTACATCTCGTGATTTAATAAAATTTTTTAAAATTGCAGGTAAAAGACAGTGATGGACTACCAAAATACTCTTGTTCTAAATGTGCTCAAGATGTTAAGTCTGCTTTAATAACTAAAAGACGTATTATTAAAGCACATAAACTGTTAACAGACAGTTTAAGAAAGAAGAAAGCCGAACTAGTAGATCTTAAAATTAAGGAAGCACTTGGAAATCATGAAATTATTACAAAATTGGATAGTTCAGTTGTTTTAAATAAGCAAATCTTATCAGATCCTAATACAAGTGGTTTGGTATTTTCAAATTCAAGAAAACCCAATAATCCACAGAAACCTATAGAATTTGTAAATGTTGACAATACAGATACTGATTTATTTGAAGTAATTGAGAAAGTAAAATCAAATTGTGAAGGAATAACATTAACAAAGGTTAAACAAGAATTACAAGAAGTGATTAATGAGAAAGCTCCATTAAAGAATGCAATTGATAAAGTTATAGTTAGTGTAAATAAAAACTTAAAGTGTGAAATTTGTAATATAATATTTAAAGATAAAGCTAGTTATACAACACATTGTGGAAAACATAAAAAAACTAAATGTGAAATTTGTAGTATTTCTATAAGATCTGATAATTTTAAAAAACACTTATTGCTTCATACATCAGGACCAACTAGTTGCGATATATGTGGTGCTACTTGTAAAAATATAGAGAGTTTACGTGGTCATATTTTCTATCAGCATAAAAGTTCTGCGAATGAATATGTTTGTGAAGAATGTGGTAAACATTTTAGAATAAAATATAAATTTGAACTTCATAAAAAGAAAGAACACACTGGAATAAGAAACTTTAAATGTCAGACATGTGGAAAGGCGTTCTTTACTAATGGCAATTTAATGACTCATGTAAATATGACTCATAAGAAGCTTAGACCTCATATATGTGAATTTTGCGGGACTGGTTTTTCATCATCTTATGCTTTAAAAACGCACAAGAGGCAACATACAAACGAAAAACCTTTTAAGTGTGAATTTTGTACTGAGAGTTTCCGGCAAAAAGTATCTCTACGCTCACACTTAAAATCTAAACATAATGTAGAAGAACTGAAAGAACACTTTTGTGACCGCTGCGATAAAGGCTTTGCTACAAGTTATGCTCTAAGTATTCATGCAAGACTTCATATGACACAAAAATGTGAAGTTTGTTCAGAGACCTTTGCAGAAAAAGAATATTTAACAAACCACCTAAAAGATACCCATAATATAATTGTTGACAATAAGGAAACAGAGGGAAATAAAGATGAAGTTGTGGAAGGAAATATAAAATCTGAAACTATCGATATAAAACCAGAAAATGTGTAAATTAGACGGTGAAAATTATTGTAAAATAATTAAAATTATTTTAATACACTTCTGTTTTATATTAAAAGGATATAGGTATATAAGTAAATAAATATTTATTATTCAATAGTACTTCATTTTTATGTAGACAGGCTGTTGGAAACATGTCTACTCTCATAGAATAATACTAATCGTAATAATGTCTATTATTATTATTTAATTAAACAATCCTTACTTTTAATTTTGAGAAGTTAAAATATATTGCCCTAAACAATAAGGTTTACAAAATAATTACATATTTTCTGTTTACTAAAAGAGTTGTTCAAGTAAAACATGTTATGTGTGAAAGGGCAGAGAACAAAATTTTAATTTAACTCTTTTTTAGATATTTAATTGCTCATAAGGTTAAATGGAAGTAAACCTGGTAAAACGTACAAGTGTGATACAGATGTCAGGCTGTGTTAAGTGCAGGGGCTGATCCAACCACCAGTCGTAATTCAAAAATTCTAAACCTGACCAATCGATTAAACAGTTGATTGATCACGTGGTATAAGCGAACCAGGCAAATGCCTTATTAATTATTAAATAGTAATTTACTGATCTGACCATTCACTTAACGCAATCTCACTACCAAAATGCACCAAATTTATATCAACTGGACTACTTGCGAAACACGAAGGACAAGTTATTAAATATACATTCTCTAGAAAGAATGAAATGAATAGTTTTTCAAACAATAAAGTGAAATACTTAAATTTTTTCCGAGGAAAATGAAGATGCGCTTCCATGAAACAAGTTATTTTCCAAGACCGTTATAACTTATAAGATGTACGTAGTGCTTTTTTTTATTGAAAGAGTTCACATAATATTATTTAATAATGTAAACAAGTTAAATACATTAACTCTTTCTCATTTTGGTCATACTCATTCAATTCCAATGTCTTTTTAATTTGCTGATATAAAAAATAAACAATGGATATATTACAAATCTTTGATAACTAATACACTGTTAGTCCTTTGCTAGACTATACTGATCTCAATCGACATGCCAGTGACATCAACATTGGTGAAATCTTCACATTAGACGAGACTTACACCATAGCAATTAACAAACTGATTTTTTAGATTGAATTCATGATACCTTTTACAAATAATCCTATAAAAAAATCTGAAAAATCAAGTCAAAAATGATTACTTAAAAGAATTTTTTTAAAAATTTACAAATATTTTTTTTCCTATATATTTTCTGTAAGACAAGCGCATTATTATTATTTTGACTGACCAGTTGTTAGTAATACTCGATTACAATTAAAAGCGAAATAACACCATTTATAAAATAAATCAAATAATCATTATTTATTTTCATATTTCAAATGTACACAGCTTCAGAAAAAATATAATTTCGTTATAATTGATTGACTTTTATGTTATAAAACATCAAAAAGTTCCTATCATATGGATTTTTCGATGTTTCACAACATGAAAATTGATGTTATAATCAGTGTTACTATGAATCAAATTACTTTTAAGACTAATAGACACTGCTTATACAATTTTGTGTAAATTTCTGTTTGCACATATTTTCTTAAGATATAAAAACTGTTCGAAACCTGTCACTAATACTGCCGTGAATCGAAATTGTAGTTTCAAGACACGCGCATGTGTGAGTGAGTGACACACTGTATATAAAAAAAGTCCATAAAATAAAAAATTAAGTTTATTATAAAAGAAGGTAAATAAAATCAGCAAAACATTTCTATTTATTTTTAAAAAATGTTGACATTTTGTTTACAAAGAAATATTCACTTTTCAATACAAAAAATAAAGACCAGACGAAAACCTAAATTGATGTTAACAAGGTTAGCTTTTCATTCAATTGTAGTTGGGTCTTAATAAGTTGTGACAAAGTAATCACCATCAATAAATCCTTAACATTGCTATTGAACATCTCAGAAAACTGTTCATTACTCATATGCGGAACGGAATTAACCAAATCTAAAAGTGCCCTTCCTACTGCATTATTGGGTGGCACTCTATTAGCTAAAACATCTTCTACGTATCTTAGAACTTCATCCAGCATAGAACTCATTTTTCCTCCAGCTTCTGCCACTTGAGTTAAATCTAACATAGGATTAACATTCCTAGGTCTTCCAGATCCAGCAGTCATAGTTTTCTGACATAATTGAAGGGCAAACACTTCAGGATCATAACAGGTAACATCTACTGGAATTGACGTAAACATACATCCTTGTTTTCCATTTGGCACACCAAGTGGGACACAAACATATGCTTTCAGGCCCATTCTACCACCTTGCAAGCTGGTATCCACCGTTACATGCACTGGGTTATTACATTCTCGTGAATAATATTCATGAATTACAGAACTATGATTAGTTACTTCGTGACCAGTTGCCCACCATCCAACAATTGCTTCGTTAGAATTTACTCTTCGGTTTAAATCATATACATCCATAGCATAGGATAACTCTGCTTCAACCTGATCATCATATTCCTTATGGGGCACGCAAAAACAATTCGTCACTTCTACCACTCCTTTGTCAACATTACCTACAATTTTAATAAAGTATGAACTGAGAACTTATAAAATAGGTTATGACCACATGACCATTTGCCTTTAAATAAAATTGTATTCAATGATATAATCAAAAGCTTACCAAGTAAGGTGCCTATAACACGGTGAGAGTCGGCATTTCTTCTCTCGTATGCATCAACAATTTGAAATAAAACTACCGGATGAACCCTCACTTGCAGGTTCAGCGCCATTTTGATGACGAAATCAGGCATGCACAGAAATGTCAAATTTTAGAGTATCCAATATTACAAAAATAAATGTTACTATAATTTATTTAAAACGGTAAAATAGCCGGTTTTATTTTATTTATAATAATTTTCTGAAAAGATATTAAAATTTTATATTTATTTAATTTGACTTATAGAAGAAATAAGTTTAAAATGAAGTTGAGTTTTACTCATATTGTTGTTTTGAAATAAACAAATTTGTAATATTTATGTTCTGGTTTCAGTATTGATGGCTGCTACCAAAATGGTTTCGCGGCCAGTCGCTAGACGTGAATATGCGTTGTTTTGGTGTATCTATATCCGCAATGCAGGCGTGCCTGTGTATTACCAGTTAAAAGTGTGTGCGGCTGAGATATTTATGGATAAAACATAGGTCGTCAGAAAAGGTGTGTTACGTTAAATTTTTAAAAATGTCCACACGTCCCCTCCCCGCCTTTTTGAAATCAAACTTGATTGTTTATTGATGGTACTTCTATCGTGTAAAACAGAGTAATTAATATGTCAGAATAAACATTCCAAGCAAAATTTAACCGTATACTAGTACTACTGTAAAGGTGACCTTGATTAAATATGATATTTCCACAAACATGAATGTTTTTAAAATAACAGCTCAATGGAAATAAATAGATTTTTTGACTAAAGAGGTCATGAACCCGAGGGACTGTTTAAAGCCCGACTGTTACGTGATTTTATAGTAAAAATATGATTTTTAGGATATAAATTCACTACACAATTATGGATGAAAACAGTAGTTCAGAAGATAGCTCATCTGATTATACTACAGAGAGCTCTGAGGATGATGGCATGGAAACTGCTCAAATTAATGGTATTAAGATACAATTACCTCAAGGCTTATGTGAAAGGCAGGATATATTCAGAGAAATATTCTCCACTGAGGTGTGGAACTCTTTCTCTGATGTACACAAACAACATTTGCAGACTTTTTTGCCTAATTTCCCAGAAAACGATGAACTTGAAAAAACTAAAACTTTACAAAGGTTATTTGATTTTGAAACTTTCAAATTCAACAGCCCTTTGGTTAAATTCCATAATGATTTGAAGGCGGGCTTTTTTAGACCAGATATAGCCCGCATGCGTAAAATTATTAGGAAGGCTGAACGAAAAGAGGCAAAATATAGATACAAAACTTTTAGAGAACAATTAAAGCATGAAGTGGTAGAATCTCAAAGTAAATTATTAAATCAAATCAGAAATTTACCTCCTGGTGTCGAGCCAAGGCAGGAAAAGAGAAAAGTAAATGTAGATTATGTATCGCATAGAACAAAAAGAAGATACTTTCAAATCCTCTCTTCAATTAGGCTTAAAACTGAGGATCATGGATGCTCCTCGGATGAAAATTATCCTGAAGGTCCTCCGGTATCATTATCAAGAAAACAAAAAAGACATCTCAACAGTATAAGGAACAATTTAAATAATTCTAAGGATAAATTTTTTAGTTCAACTATGACTGCTAAACTAAATGGATTCTCAGTAGATTTAGAAAAATACATCACACCTAATCACAATCCTTTTTATATTAATGATGAGTCTTACAAAAATTTAATTTTTCAACATAAAAAAAGAAAATTAGAAAGTCCAGATGACGCCGAACTTAACACAAGAGGTATAACAATTAGTGACATTGTAAATAGAACTCAGTTGCCTTATAACAAAAACATGCCAATAATTTCTAAACATCAGGTTGAATGTAAAGTTATAAATAAGAAGAAACTTAAAAAGGAACATGCGAATTATAGGAGGTCACCGGAAATCCTGTATAATCATAAACATAATACATATGAACCTAGTTCTAATTCTGACTCTGATTCAGACTCTGTAATAGATGCGGTATCACTGAGTAATTCTAAACCCAAACATAGATTAAATAAATCAAAACAACAGAGGACTTCGATTCCCAAAATCAAAAGTGAAGCTAAAAAAGAATCAACTTCGGAATACAAATCTTCAACTGCTTTAAATACTACCAATATAACAAAATCTAATTTAATGAAATCTTCAAATAGTATTAGCCAATATAGTAAGATAACACCAGTTCGTGTAGAAGACCTGGATGGTATAGATGTTATGAATATCCCTATAGATTTAGACAATTCGGATATAGATATTTTGGAATTAAGTAATAAACCAGAGTTAATGCAAGATACTCATGCGAATTTCTTTTCATTGATAAGAGATGTAATTTGTTCAACAAATGAACATCGCATGAACATGTATACTCTGCAGGAACGATTGAAATCATGGCAGGACAATCCCATTAGCCCGCTCAATGACTGGTATAGTTACACAGACAACTGGATAGGTATATTACCATCGGCAATCACATTTCTTTGCGGCAATGCTTCAGAACAACCGGATGACTTTGTCCCATACATGGAATATAAAGTAGCATTGGACGTATATCAATGGATCGGAGCTGGAAGAGACTCAGACAATTTGCTCAGTGTATTGTGTAGTTTCTGGTTGGAACATAGGACAGAAAGTAAACAGCTTTCAGCTAAAGATAGTGAGTTAGAACTGGATATCATAGATAGTTCTAGTACCCCTCCTCCACCTCGTTTCCCAACTTCTTGGACGGTTAGGAAGGCTACACAAGACGAAATCAAGGACTTTAGAGAACAAGAAAGAAGAAGATATGATAATCCTCACAAAGCATTCACATATCGTTGCAATAATTACGAATCTGTTGTAGGACCTCTCAAAGGTATATATAATCCTGCTGTTGGAAATACTAAAGCCAGGGGACACACTATGTTGTCAGCCGATAGGCCTAATTTTGTAACAATACTTTCATTAGTGAGAGATTCTGCAGCACGATTACCAAATGGAGAGGGGACTAGAGCTGAGATTTGTGAACTATTGAAGTCATCTCAATATATATCTCCTACTGCGCCTGATAACATTCTACAGTCCGTCGTGTCCGGTGCACTGGACAGGATGCATACGCAATGGGATCCTTGTGTTAAGTATGATCCAAAAAAGAAAATTTGGATATACTTGCATAGAAATAGGACAGAAGAGGACTTTGAGAGGATCCATCAACATTATCAAGGTAAGTTAGAGATAGATAAAGAGATAAGTTAGAAAAAATATTTCTTATTTCGAAAATAATAAACTCGAGAATAAACAGTTCTTACACCGCAGTGTATTCCTGTTCATATTTAGAGAGTTTCCATTATATTATACTCTGAGTAATAATGCTTCTCGAAAAGTGATAAGTTTTAAAAATGTTGTTTGTACCATTAAATTGAGCCAGCAAAAAGAAGCACAGGACGCTTATGTAACTTTTTTTAAATAAAAATAATTTATAAAACTATATTTATTTATTACTGACACTAGTCTATTCAAGTTCTGCTTATTTTATTTTGCAATATAAATAAAGATTCATCATAATCACATTTTTCTTGTGCTATGTAATCAGGAAATATTAATTATGTATCAACTTGGATGGAATATGTAAGCTTTTATAGTCCTAATTTTAGGTATGAACAAATCGAAGAAAACGTCTAGTAAAAAGTCTCCTGCTAAACCGAAACAGAAACAAGGAGTAGAGAAAACAAATAAAATAAACACAAAAGGTGAAACAACACACACGCAGGTACAAGCTACAGTGCAACCAGAGCAAGTGACAAAAGTAGTACGAAGATCCAGTTTACAGCAACAGTCTTCTAAAACCGGTCAGAATGACACAATACAAAAGACTTCACCGTCTAATTTAATAACTGTGGCAAATCCGCAAAAGAGTACAAGCCTGTTGTTGAGCAATAATTTACCTAAGAAGTTGCCAGAATCGAACATTCAACAGACACAGACGCAAGTGCAACAGCAGAACGTTGAGGAAGTTGTGGTTACATCTGATGACAGTACAGCACAATCTAAAGAAGACAAAGAAATCAATGAAGCTTTGCAAGCTATCGTACAACACAGGGTCTCTAGTCCTACAATAAAAACAGGTAAAATACTGAAACATGTCATATGCAATCTAAAATTGTTATCATTAATATTTTTATTTTATAAAATTCCAATAGATGGGATTAAATCAAATTCCTTGTCTATGCAATACCATAATGCGATAGCATATTTACGATAGAACAGGGTAGCTTCCCTCTTTAAATATTACTCTTAAAGATTTGTTTAAAATATTTAATATGTGCTTCATCATTTTATACAGGGTCAGAAAGTCCCCATGGTTCATCGGCCCATTTCGCCCTTCCACAAATAAGATTCTTATTTGTGGAAGGGCAAAATGGGCGGTGACTATTAGACACCTTCATTATAGCCATCTTTCTTTATCGCACGGATTTCTATGACTTTCTTTATCGCTCTCACGTAACGGCCGATGAACCATGGGGACTTTCGGACCCTGTATATAACTTCACCTATAGGAACAACCCCATTGGAATTTGTAAAAGAAAAATGGGATTGCTGTAAAAAATAATTACAGTAATTGCAAATTTTGTTTTATTTTTTTTGAAATTTATGTGAAGAACAATTAACTTAATGCTTTTCAAGTATTAGTTTTCATAAAAAAAATCCACGATTTACTTTTGTGTCACTGCATATTTATTGTGGTAATAATTTTTAGGAAAAAGCCTGGTTAAGATCTTGTCTCCTACACCGGGCAAATCTCTAATTATACCCACAACAAATCCTCAGTTAATCAAACAAATACAAGAGCAACGCAGCACTCCTACAAAACAAATAAATCAAGTGGTAACCCAGCAACTTCTTCAAACCTTAGCCGCTCAACAGAAACAAATGTTAGTGCAGAAACAAAATACGGAAGGGACAGAAGCTCGTCCTGAAAAAATTAAAGTCTCTACCACTGTCCAACAGCAAGTCATCCAGAACATTACTCCACAACAGCTGCAAAACATCAAAAACGTCACGTTGCTTCGTGCATCACCCAGTCAGAATATAAACCTAACTTCCGCCGTTTCTAACACTTCTCAATCAGGGGAACAAGACAATGCAACAATCACTGTATCCAAGCAAGACCAGATTATGGGGCAACAGGGAGTACAAATTAAAACTCACGGTAATTTAACTCCCGCACAGCAACAACAAATCCTGCAGACGATTAAACAGAAGATCTTGCCTAGTGCTAGTGTGTTGACAAGCCAACAACAACAAATTATACTTAAACAGAAAAGTGGAGTTATGCAAGTGCAAAAGCAGAGTGCTGGAGTTAGTGGAACACAGATTGTGGGACAGCAAAAGATTACTACAGGTAAGTTCTTACAACAAACGTAATCGTGTACTGTTTTTTATTTTTTTAATTTTACGTAATATTTTGGTGTAGGGGTTTTAAAATTTAGAGGTATGTAGGGACCCCTCAGAAATGATTACAAGACACATGATCAGTAATATTGCCAGGAACAGTAATTTTATTTCCTTTGTGTCAGCAATTAAGTTGTGGTGAAACAAAAAGAATAAAATCAAAATTATGTTAATTTACCACATCTCATTTAAAAAAAGCAAATTTTGATTGATTTAATTTCATGGAAAGGGAAATTATTTTTTTAGTATCCTGTATTACGAGCACTAACAATTAAGTGTTTGGATGAACAATAGTTGGTGCATACACCAAATTTCACATTGCTTCTCAGTATAGTTGCTACGATCCGAGCTACGATCTCAATTGGAACCGCATAAAAACATTTAACTCAAAAATTCTACGGAATCCATAGACGTCCAGAGAAATTTAGCTCTGTCTCGTCTAGATATACTATATTCTGAGCTATATTACCGTATAATTACCATACGATTGTCAAGTTTTTTATGTTTAAAATCACATTGTAATAAAGCATGTCGTAAAATATCTAAAGATTTGTAATTATAATCAGGATAATCGCTTAATTTGTCTCGAATCATGTTCAAAGTTGGAACTTTATTTTCTTTATACATATTATAAATTGTGCGCCTTCTTTAATTACGCGATAAATTGTCATTTTTGATATCTTAGTTAATTCGTTAACACGTTTCCTAACTTTTCTATCACATTGTTCACTATTTTCAATTTTCAAACANAAAGCAGAGTGCTGGAGTTAGTGGAACACATATTGTGGGACAGCAAAAGATTACTACAGGTAAGTTCTTACAACAAACGTAATCGTGTACTGTTTTTTATTTTTTTAATTTTACGTAATATTTTGGTGTAGGGGTTTTAAAATTTAGAGGTATGTAGGGAGCCCTCAGAAATGATTACAAGGCACGTGACCAGTAATAGTGCTAGGAACCGTAATTTTATTTCCTTTGTGTTGGTAATTAATTTGTGGTAAAATTAAAAGAATAAGATCAAAATTAAGTTAATTTACCACATCTCGTTTAAAAAAAAGCAAATTTCGATCACTAACAACTAAATTTTTTGGATGAACGATAGTTGGTGCATACACCAAATTTCATATTGCTTCTCAGTATAGTTGTTACGATCTCAATTGGAACCGCATAAAAACATTTAACTCATAAATTCTACGGAATCCATAGACGACCAGAAAAATTTAGCCCTGTCTTGTCTAGATATAATATATTATGAGATATAGTACAATATAATTTCCATACGACTGTCAAGTTTTTTATATTTAAAAATTGTAATAATGCATGTCGTAAAATATTTAAAGATTTATAATTATAATCAGGATAATCGCTTAATTTATCTCGAATCATGTTTAAAGTAGGAACTTTATTTTCTTTATACATATTATAAATTGTGCGCCACATTACATCAGGTAAAATCGTCAATTTTCTTCAATTTTGTATTTTTCTGTTTCCTCTTTGTACCGTGATCAATCCTTCTTTAATTATGCAATAAATTGTTATTATTGATATCTTAATTTGTTAACACGTTTCCTAACTTTTTTATCACATTGTTCACTATTTTCAATTTTCAAACTCATATATATTTAATATAATACATTGGCTTTTTACGTGTAAATCTTTGTTTTTAAACTCTGAGTTTGTTTCGACACTTTCGACCGGTTCCACTATTTGGGGATTTTCCCGAGTTATTTCGTTATCCTCCGCTTCAAAGAGTCTCCAGAGAGCCACCCTAAATTACTAGATAATTACATATAACATTTATTTTAATAACTATTACCCTTTACTGGTTACGATATGAACTAATAATAATATCAACTAATGAATAATAATACGTATTATACCAACAACATACCCCGCCAAGCAATGCTCTGCACTGCACTGGCAAAGCGGCAAAGCTAAGTGAACCCGTGTACCATACAAAAAAATTATTTACGACCTAGTGTACCAATACAGGTTTGCTTTGATGACCAGGGTGCCGCCGTCAATTCAGGCCATCAGGTGGACTAGTTTACCAATACCGGACTCGCCAAATTGCTATTCGAGTATAAATTAAGAGACACATCGTGGTCGAAGCGTAGAAAGAAATTTCAGGAGGTGCTTTAAGATTTACAGGTTCCAATTGACGTCGTAACAACTACACTATCTGACATATGTATTATATAAGCTTCGAGTGGCACACCCAGTAAAATTTGTTATATAAATTGAATCTGTTTAAGATGCATCCTCAAAGCCAGTAGCTACAGCTCAAGGACCGGTAGTGGCGAAAGTTTTAACAAATGCCGCTGGACAAGTTATATCTGTGGAAAGCTTACTTGCGCATCAAAAGCAACATGGTTCCTTACCACAAGGTAAAATAAATAGTTATAGTAACGGTATAAGTAAGCAGTCCATAACTTGAAATCATAAAATTTCATTGACTTTTTGCAATGTGCTTTTGTAATTTCATTAATAGTATTCAATTGCAGGTACGACATTACGAGTGTCTGGTACTAAAGGCAGCCAACAAAATATAATTCATCTTACCGGAGCCGGAACGACTAAGCAAAATCCTATTACTCAGTTTGCTGTTGGCTCGCAAAACAACATTCTAACAATTACGTCCCAACCAAAACTTGTAGTAGCCTCCCAAAGTACCATGGTAACTTCTTCTACGTCCACTGCAAAAATTACATCAAGATCAGTGGGTAAAACTCAGACTTTGACTAAATTCAGCTCGAAGGGCACTCAGCAGCTAATAAACGCGAAAATTGTAACCCAAGGTCTAGACGGACAAAAGATTGTTCAACCAAAACTTGTTGTTGGTCAGCAAAATCAGCTTAAGCTCTCCAGTGGGAAAAATATACCCCTTACTAAGCCAGTAACCCTTAGTGTTGCTGGTAATGCCAATACGATAAGAATGGTCAATGCCACGAATCTGAACTTGACGCACATAGCAGGAAAACCTGTATTGCTGGCAAGTAAAGGAAGTGCAATTCAAAATCTGCAAGGCCAGAATGTTATTCTACAAACCCAATCGAATGCAAGCGGAACTTCTTTAGTATTACAAAATACTGGGAAAAACTCCACGAGTAACCTTCAGCAACAAACGAATATGAATAATATAAACATTCTAAATCAGTCAAACATTGTTTTTAGCCCACAAGTGAAAGTTCAACAACCTCAACAAGTGGTTTTAAGCACTAGTTCTAAAACCGGCCAAGTCGGCACACCGCAGGCCATATCACAGGGTCACATCATGTTAGGAGGGCATTCGGTACGATTACAAACGAGTAATGCCACGAATACACAGCGAGTAGTCTTAGCCAGCCAAGGGCAGGGTGGCCAGATTGTAGCTCAGCAGATTCTGTTGCCAGCGGGATTTCAAGGCACTGCCATTAATATAAAAGCCTTGCAGGGGGTTAAAGTCATACCCATCGCTCAAGCTCAAGGCCAAGGTAAAGGTAAGGATCCAGTGATACTAACAAAGCGTACATTTTTGTAAATGTTATGTTTAACTCTTTCAAGCATAAGATTTAACTGAATTTTGCCCCTCGTTTCATAGAATTTTTTTTTTATAATTCTATATTAGCTCAGCTCATTTTCAACTTTAAATTTCAAGTTTGTAATTTTTTGTTAATATTTAAAAAATTATACATATTATGTACAAATGCAATCTATGAAAAATGCCAGTGTAAACTGTGACGTGTATACAAGGTGTTCCATGTTAAAAAAAGTGAGCCATTTCTTAGGTCACGTAAAGGCGACGCTGTTGTAAGTAAGTGGAGAATGAAAAAGACACGTGACGTAAGCTCAACTTCGTTACTAGATTCTCCAGTGCATCAGTGTTTCAACGGCGATTCCTTAAACTTTAATTTGGGGATCCGAATTTGTATGCGCAGCCCATAAGAGTCTTCACTCCTTGTCTACATTCCATATGTGAAGCCTTGAAAGGCTTAAATGGCCCTTACAGACTAAAATATTGATCATAACTTTTTTATTTGTGATTATTCAAAATATTTAACATCAAATAAACAGTAAGTGCAAGTTTTCTTGAAAACAATATCATCAACTTCAAATGGTGGCTCGTGACATTGAGAACAGGTGAAGCATATTCATTGGTTGACTAAATAGAAAAAAAAAGCGCCACACAAAAATTTCTAACTTTTAAGGTCAAACGGCTTTAAATAAATCTGGAAATTTTTTGTTGCATTTGCAATATTACCGAAAAACTGACGTTCGTGTAAGGATTTTCATTTAATTTTATAAAAAATAGAAATATTAGTTCGGCTCATGGACTTCTGCGAACATTAACACACACTGTACCTGTATGTTCCAAAAAAGCTTTGTGGTTACGACAGCCTCGTGTGACGTTCCCAAAATTGTTAAATCCCTCCTTATTCCACACGCTCGAATTTACACCCACAGTTAAACACGGCATACAGAAAAGTTTTTTTAAATAAACACTTCCACACAACCACTTATATATAGCATATAGCCCGCGGAATAGTTGTTCCTCGCAACACTGGCAATTAAAACATTGTGTTTTGACCTCTTTGGGTGGCAGTCCTGTAACAAAGTACCTGCAATATAGCAGGTTGCTTCCTACTGTACTTCGAATACCATTTATTCCGAACGTACACATTGTCTTTTGACTTCTCCTTTTTTTCCATATTGCAAGAACAAGGGAATAAGGCACAGGTCTCTCGAAATTTAAAAAACCCTTCTTGTCCTCAATTTTTCATCTGGAAAATGGCATTTCCAATAAAAAACATACTGGATCATACAGAGGAAACATAATCGTGCACTGGGCGACACGTAACGTATAAACTGTTTAAAGGCAGATGATGGGCGATGACAATTCAATATCCGAGTCATTCGTTCCCTTACGCCGTAGTTTACATCCATGTTGGCCGCTTCGTTGCCATGACAACCGCCGTAAACAACGCTTGGAAGAGAAGCGGAATATAGACTGATTTCGATCTACGTCACTTGCATATACAATCTGACAATTTTTAAACATGCTCCATCTAAGTACTACTCGATTTTTGAACAGGAGTAATACACTATTCAAAGTTTTCAGATTCATAAGTTGATGGCACGTTGGTAACTGGATTTTAGCATCCTGTAACGATAGCAGTCTACATATTGTGTTGATCGATCAAATGAACTAATGATAAATAGTGCCACTGTGCAATATTAAAAGAAATTTAGATAGTTTCTCAGTCTCTTATTCCCGAAAGAGTTAATCACCTTGTATATACAGTGTGTTCATCTTTGAGCTCACTTGTCTTAGAATGCATGGGTTGATTTCAAAAATTCAAGCAAATAGATTATGAACAATTCAATCAATTCAATTATATCGGCCCATACATTGTAAAATACGAGTGGTGCTACTCAAAGTCTAATGCACCATATGTAGACACTATATAATATTTAATTTTAGGGATACAAAATAGACAAGTGTTTGCTCGTGTCATGAATCCAAATTTGGTGAAAACGACACAGTCAAGTACTACAATGCCCGACAAAGTCACAGAGGTAACACTTCCTCCACAAGACGGAGAATGATTATAATATAAATATATAAATAATTTGTTGAATATTTGTACATATATTGTTGGTTATTCAAATAGCTGTAGAAAATTATGGATAATACTTAGAATTAACAAGGTTGTATGTATATTATGATTTAATAGTTATTTGTTGAAAATGTATATATTACGATAATTTTGGTTTGTGATGTATATAATCATTTTTAAGACTTTTTTTATTGCAGTATTTATGTGTATTGAGTAAATTATGTACTAAAATAAATGATCTTTTTATATAAAATATGCAGCAGTTATTGCCATATAATTAACTAAACGGATGAAGTTCAAATCAGTTAAAATACAGTATGATCGATATAATGGTGGGCAAGACCCGCAACATACGTATATGGATCCCAATGCAAAAATAATTTCGTATGTTCGCATCAATGCAAATTGAGACTTAAATTGAAATGAATCGGTCTCAACTGATTCTCGTGTGATACAGGTCGATGAGATACGGTACATTAGATAGTTTGGTGCATAGGCAGGCCCGGACTGGTCCACCGGGCAATCGACCAACAGGCCGATGTGCGTTTTCCCATAGGTTTGACGTCTTGTGCTCTCAAGGCACCTACATTTTTTAAAAAAGAGAGCGAGTTCAATGCTCGTAAAACCGGAGACAGGCGCCCTAAACTCTAGAAAGGCGGGGGAAAGCGAGTTCAATACTCGTAAAACCAAACACAGGCGACTTAAACCTTAGATAGGCGGGGGAAAGCGAGGTCAATACTCATAAAACCAGAGACAGGCGACTTAAACCCTAGATAGGCGGGGGAGAGCAAGTTCAATATTCGTAAAACCAGAGACAGGTGATAATGAAACTATAATTGATCGACTTTGTTGTCAGAGTGAAGAAATAAAGCGCTTATTATCGTATTAATCGGAAACTATTTATCAATATTGTTTGCGCCGTTTAGTAGTAGTACGTCTTTTTTTAATATCGTAAGGAAGAAAAGAATGCAAAAAGTACGTCAGTATAAATGGTATAATTATATGCAGAAATAATCGCATGTAATAACACTAGATGTAATTTTTATAGTTTTTTTTAAATTGCTAAATGGTTTCGAGAAAAAATTGTATTGCCAAATCAGTTTGCAGCGGTTTGTTATTTATTGACAAGCAGTAAACAACAATTAATATTTTATTTTTATTCAGTAATTTATTTATTTAACAAAACATTTTAATTTTACTTGCATTGATCAAAATTACGCTTGAAAAATTTATTGTAGGAGGGGGTAGGTTGTGCCCCTCAAAAAGTCAAAGTTTGGGCCTTCGTCATGAAGCCAGTCCGGCCCTGTGGATACGGAACCAAATAGGTAATAGGTATTGAAATGATTATGAGAAATTGCGGAATAGTGTAGTCTTGAAACAAACTGATACGGTAAAAAGTAACTGATAAAATAATATGTATTTCGTATTTAAATGTTGAACCCTTTTATCAAAAATAAATTTAAACATTAATTAATTTCACTTGTAAATTATTTGACGCTTTCTCAAATTGAGTCCAAATATATAGCTTCGTGTTCTACTGAAGATCATGGTTCTGTTAAAAAATGAATTTATAAATGCTTGCAAAAAATTTGCAAATCTTGCCCTGATATTGCGCCTGGTAATTATCTCGTCTTAAATTAATTTCATAAATAAAACACAAAAAGCAATTTGTGCTTTGACTGCCACTATACTTTGTAAAAAGAGGTTGATTTTGAAACAATTAATGCGATAGTTTGATCTTTCTTATATTAAAATTTAATTATTAAATATTCGCCACAAAGAGATATGAGACACAATATATGAAAAGGGAATGAGTAAGCAACAAGCGCACACATCTACAAAAAGTATAAGTACAGTTTACCAGTTCGCAGCAAATGCGATTCCCCGATGCGGGTCTTCATGTTGATACATTTCGCATCATGCGGATCATTAAAAAGATCCGGATCGCCCATCTCTAGAATTTTGAAAGAATCGATTTTTGGATAACTGATTTAAACAAAGCTTTATGTGAATAAAAGAAAAAAGTTTTAAGTGGGGGACCATAGTCTTATTCTTTTGTTTTTAAGAAATAATAAAATTAAATGTTGGTCGTACCGTATCATTGTCAACAAATATGTATTTTTTTCGAGCATTTCTTTCAATAACATTTAATGAAACATTAAAATTCAAGTATATAAATCTATCACCAATATTACAAGGGTTTAGAACTTGGTAATAAAAAAAACACCTTTCAAAAAAAAAAACATTTTATTGTACTATTATTAAGTACTAAGACGTTACATTAAGTTTAATGGAGACCTCAGTTAATCTCATTTAGTTGACTAGTTAGTGTATCCAGAATAATTGAGAAAAACTAAAATCCCAAATAAAATAAACCTTTTTGTTAATTATCCCCTCTCGATGAAGAATATTCTGACTAATTTATTACGTTACATACAAAATTTATTACAATATCTATAAAACAATGAATTTTAACATGGTCAAGAATTCTATCACAGCTTGTTTTATTAGAATCAACAGTAACAGGAAACAAAATCTAACTTCATATTATTTACAAACTTTTACAAGTCTTACAAAAAAACAGGAATGTTAAGAATCACTATAAAAAAATAATGGATCCATATTTTTTACATTAAAGCAAATTCATATCTTTGGATATGCCACATCATCGAAGTTAAAAACTGTGTTGTTAAAACAAGACTAGTAATATGTACATTTCAATACCTTTGTGTGATATTATGGCATACCTCAAAATATTCCTTAGCAATATTTCTGAATTCATTAAAATGATCCCTTAAATTTCTTTACACAATGACAAATTTTCAATACAAATGTCAAGATGTGGACGTATTTAAATACATGGCACAAAAATTGAATTTTACATAAACTTCTAAATCATAGTCCACAGTATATAAAAAATTTAAAGTAATTTATGTTTTCACTTCCTTAAAATGTTTATACTTACAATAGCTTCTTTTTGCTTTTATCCTTAGATCATTGTATCTTTAACATAAAATATATTTTATCAGGGTCAACAAATATAGATATGAGTGATTTACATTCAATTGCCAAAGTTTTGTACCAAACTCTGACAAACAGTTATATTCTGTAATAGTTAACGCAATGCATGAATAAAATTTCAAATCAAAACATTTTTCGAATTATTATAGTTGGAACTCAATCAAGTCAATGGTTTTTACTTTTCATGGCACTGTATACCACTACAGGGTGGTGCCCTTCTGTTCCTGCTTTGTCAATTTTTTTTTTAGTTCATGATTCTACTGATACTAACAACAAATAACAATGTGGAAAATGTATCATATTCTAAAAAAATCATTTTGATGCAATATGTTGCTTCCAAAATTAAGGTGTAGGACCACTCTATAATTTTCAGAAAATCAATTTTTTTATTTATTTAAAAGATGTTGGGAACTCTAGAATAAGGAGAAAGAAGTTTTATGGCTGGACAAATTTTTTTTCGTTAAAATTCCGAGGTCTTTCCCAAGCATGTCAGTCTTCTCCGAAACATCTACCTGTAGAACATAGACACCTGCAGGAAGCAGCCTAGTGACTTACCTTTTGACTTCTCACTTCACTAATTTTACTAACAGATGTTAATACTAACATATGTCTTTAGAAAGAGTTTAGAAAGTACGGTAGATAGCATATATCTCAAAACTATTTTTCTCTATAGAATATCGTTAATTTAGAAATGAGCTTTCACCACAGACATCCTAATTTTCTAGTATATTTTAATTTATTTGTTAAGAACAAAATCTCACCTTTTAGTATAACTAAATAATAAAAACTTCTCCATTAAGATAATTTTTAGCCAACAACAACCGTTACCTGTCAAAAATTCCAAAAACCGATGTATACATCTTGAGGACCTGGCAACTAATTCGTAGCGAAACCGTAAATTACTCAGTGAAATTAAAAACACACGAGTTCTGTTAGAAAAGTATCCGACCTTATTTTGTTTTATGAAAACCTGATGGATTTGCATCAAACCCGCTTACCTTGAACCTTTGTGTGCATGTGTGAATTTTTTCCCGTCTGTCTATAGTGTCAGTCGCTGGCAAGCAGCGTTTGAGTGAGGCACTGTATAATGCTCTCCTCGGTTTCTTTATCACAAGGAAAATGACGGAACGACTGGAGCAGCGCTATGCATCAGATTTTACCAGAAACTGGGCGACAGCCAAGTGGAAACCATTCAGAAGATGCAGACGGCTTTCGGTGATGATGCTATGGGCATCACACAGATTAAGGAGTATTACAATCGGTTTAAAGACGGCCGCACATCGGTGGAGAGTGAGCCACGCTCTTGTCGGCCATGAACATGCCAAAATGACGAAGTTATTGCCAAAGTGAATGGTGTGGTGATGCGGGACCGTCGTGTGACTATCCGAGAAATTGCGGAAGAGATGGACATCAGCACTTTTTCGGCTCTTCCCATTATGACCCAAGATTTGGCCATGAAGAGAGTTGCAGCGAAATTCGTGCCGAAGCTGCTCACAGCGAGGCAAAAGCAACTTCGTGTTGAAGTCTCACAAGACATGTTGGATTCCAGAAACAGTGACCCCAACTTCATGAACACCATCATCACTGGTCGTCACAGTGGAAGCATTCCATATTCACCAAAACCAAAGAAGGCCCGCAGCAACGTCAAAGTGATACTGACTGCTTTCTTCGACTCCCATGGTGTGGTACACCACTATTACGTACTTCAGGGGTCAAACAATCACTAAAGGGTAATACAGGGATGTCCTCAGATGCCTACGTGATGCTGTGTGGCGCAAGACACTGGATTTGTGGTCAATAAATAAGAAATTGCCGCATTAATCACAACAATGCTCCAGCACATTCCTTGCACTTGATCGAGACTTTTTTGGCAAAAAAACAGACTCCTATGGTTCGACATGCTCCTTACTCTCCTGATATGGCCGTCTGCGACTTCTGGCCGTTTCCCAAACTCAAGAGGCCATTGAAAGGAAATCGATTTTAGACAAGAGAGGACATTATGGCTGCAACGACAGCCGAGCTAAACTCCATTCCGAAAGAGGCCTTCTCGGAATGTTTCCAACAATGGCAGCACCGCTGGGAGAAGTGTGTGGAGACCCAAGGAGACTATTTCGAGGGTGATTAGGTTTCCAACGTTCTAGATATGCCAGTTTTTTTCTTCTGCCAAAGGTCTGATATTTTTCTAACAGACCTGGTAGGAATTAGTCATTAATGAAATAAAAAAATGGTTTAGTGCAAAACCGGTTTCTGCCAGCGCAACTGTCGATAAGATTTGAAAAACGCCCTAATTTTAATTTTGTGACCGTCAAAAATTAAATGCCAAAAAACTTATTCAGTTCAGGCATTACTCTATTTTTTAATATCACAGGCAATATATTATACTAGACGGCATTGTAATTTTATGGCATATTTTATAATTTGTGAGAACTATGTAACAGGTACAGTTTTCATTTCAGAAAAGCAATCATTTATTACGTTCACCTTCTTAGTACATGGCCTACTGAGATTTCTTGATCTATTTACAAAACATTATGCAAATAAAATGATTGAAATAGTATATGATACAGATTTTCTTTAAATATTTAATGGTATTACGATTTATTTCCAAATGTGGAATAAAATTAAAATTGGGTGTTTTACACAATTTTAATTTTATTCGAAAGAGTAAAAGGATCTTTTATCTTACCCACAAAATTGAAAAACATGAAACAAAATAACATTATAATCATGCAACATACTGACTGTAAACAACACAGTTTCTTTCTTACATACTGTTTATTTTGGAAGCTGAAAAAGAATAATGTTATAAGGACTGTTGATTTAATAACCGTTCTTCCTCACTTTGTTTCCACCCTCTCCTGTAAGTTACAAAACCTCCAATTATTAATAAGAGAACACCGATTCCGATAAATCCATATCCAGTGTAAGTACCGGCAGATGGCGCCACTAGTAACAATTTTGTTTGATCGGCTAGATCTTTACTTAAGTCAGCCGTTTGTTGGAACCAAAACGAAGGCATCATTTTTGATGGTATATTAGTGAGCATGCTAAAAATAAATAAATAAATATCTTCAAAATGCAACATATAAAGTCTAATTGTCGACATTGTCCACAGTTTTAGGGTAAGTTAGGACATCCTCAGCCAGGGTGCAGCAGGATCGACCTTGTCAGATCTAAGAAGCAATTCTTTTCTATAGGCTGATAAAAGGATGATAAAAGTTTTAAATATAATAAACAATAATGATAAATGCGTAATTAGATTTGAGGGCATCGATTGCAAGGCCCCCTGGATCCTGATGGCCTACAAAAAAAATTAAAGATAATACTTACTCTATGCCTTCTACAGGATCCATTTTCAAATTTATCTGAAATGCTGCCTGTACTCTCAAAGGCAAACCTGTTGATGGTTCTAATGCAAAATACATATCGTGTTTCTCTTTATTAGGTTTCATTCCATCTATAGCTTCTCTGTAGACAGGGTCAGCCATGTAAAAATGAGCATAAGAGATAAAAGCGGGAGCCCCAAACCTAGAAATAAAATCAGGTGGTTAGAAGGCAAATATTTCACATTCACAAGTACTATAATATATTACATAATAATCAGTATTGTAAAAAACATAATTTTTTTAGTACATTCTGTAAATAAAATTTATTTCCTCTGAATTTTATAAAAGTTAAAAAGTACTCTTTTAAAAAATTAGTTGTAACTTCGTTTTGTACTAAAAGTGAAAAAATCTTGAAATTCTGATGCAATTGTTAGTTTTTTCATTGGATAACTACACTAGTCACTTTTTTTTACTTTCCAATTTTCCAGGGAATAACTTAATTTTTTTATATGGATGTCATATTGGGTTTTATTTAAACGATTTGAATTAATTAATAAATCTCCTTACTTGCATGATGAAACGTTTCTAACTCCTGATGGCAGCTGAACCCCCTCTGGAATAAAACATTTCATCTCTGGATATGTAGTACCATTGTCAAATACTTTCTCGGAGCCCCAATATTTGTCTCCTTCAATACCGTAAGTTGTATATTTATCAACTTTCATCAACTCTACAGAACTGAAACATAATAAATATAAATATAGTCTCTTTTCAAGCTACTACAATGCTTAAAATCATAACTATTATTTTACATTGCATATTTAAAAAAATAAATAAATAAACTTCTAACAGCCAGGCAGGCCTCAACCCTTTTGATCTTACCATGATTTACGAACAGTAAGAAACTGCAAAAAAAAAACAATAACAGGGATACTTTTTTTTGGATACCAGTACATTTAGGGCTAAAAGAGAATGATGGCAGTCTCTAACCAGAGAAGGCGCTGCTTTAAGTCAGATAAGAACCAGTTCTTGGAATAGTTTCAATTACTGCCAAGGTGGATTTCCATGACATAAGAAAGATTATTTGAAAACTGGTAAGAACTACTACTTCTTTCGCAGGCATTCGTAACCTATCCTATTGAGAAACGAAGCTAAAAATCTTTTAAACAGGTTACAACTGCAAATTCTAATTGACATAATGTTCTGGGCACTACCTTTATAATATCGCACAACCAGGCTAGGATGACCAAAGACGTGAGTGACCCATGTGTTTAGAGCTTGAGGAGATAGGACACATTTTTATGGACGTGTCTGGCAGGGGAATGGACCTAGTTCTTTATATCTGGCAAACTACAAATGTAAATGGAGGATCTGGACAAAGTCTCGCCCAGTAAACTCATTACATTTACTAAGAAGCTGAATCTGTTGGGTGAGATACAGATTTAATAGTGATCACCATACCGAACCCAAATAACTTTTTAATTTACTTCTTTGGATTGTTTCACTTCTGATCTAATTTATTTTTTTAAATTATGACTTTTCATATTAAAAATCGGCAAAGTTTAACTAGAAATTCACTCAAAACTGTTTTTTATTCCTAATAAAAATAATACTTTAATGTAAAAAATTACCTGCAAAGATCAGAGGAAAACAACTTAATAGTGGATCTGTCTCTTGGAGGATACCATAATTCTCCAGTTGTTCCCTCAACTTTTGAACAGTTTCCTTTTAAAAAGGAAACTGTATTATTATAATTCCAAGTATTTAGCAATCCCAATTTTTCAATATCATTCTCTCCATTGTACATATTGTACATACCGTCATATTCTGCACTACCATTCCGCTAAAAATATCTTATTATCAGAAAAACAAATTTGTACGGTGTAACAAAATCAAGAATATTGAATGTTAAACAAAAAGTAAGTTTTGCAAAAAATGCCGACGTGGATTTTAATTTTTTTGAAAGCAAAACACGTATTATCATTATTTGAAAATAAAAATAATCCTTCTAAAAATATTCTGCAACATATGTTTAAAACGATAACTAATATTAAACGGTTTAAAAGCCGTAATAATTCAAAGGTTTTTAGCAAATTTTGAGTTCGACATGCATATTGTCTACGAAGTGTTAAGTAATTTAATCACAACACTGTTTGACAACTTATTTGCATAATTTTACTCAAGTTACTTAATAATATTGTGTAGTCAACGAACAGTAATAAAAATTGCAATAAAAGTGACACTTTTGCATACATATTCTTTTTTTGAGGAATATAATATAATAATTGTTTTAGAATTGGTTTGAAGTTGCGTGTATTAGTAACATTTGAGGTATGCTTTTTATAAACAACATACATTACAAATTTAAAAAAATTCTTCCGACATAAACCCTTTACATTAAAAAATTACATGCAACAATTTAATTTCCTCTGCAAAATCTTTTATTTTATTATTACAAACTTTTTAAGCAATAAATGTTTTCAAAGACTGGATGTCTAATGTTTCAAGAACAGCGATTGTGTTAAGAGATACAAGGTTGATCAAATTAGGAAAAAGTTGGGGAATTTCATTTTCTAATTATTTATTTTTTTTTACTCAGAAATGGAAATAGATGGGCCTCTTTTGGAGGATTCCAATCTCTTTCAAATTTTTTCTGCACAACTTTCCTCCAATTCGACTGATGTTCTTAAGAGATTCCCGTGACCTGCTTAAAAAAACAGCCACTAAATCTCATTATTTATTTTAATTTCAGTATATTTAGATGCAACACTTAATCAATTTTTTTGTATGCCATTGTGAACTGATGTGAACTGATTTTTTTTTATTTATAGACGAAATATTTTTCCTGCTGATACACATAATTTTTTATCTATTCCATTTAATATTGTGCAAATTTTTATTCGCAGAACTGTTTTTATTAAAATAGTAGGTACTCTTAAGAAAATTTGAAGCACTCTCTTACCTCCACAAACCATCCAAATTTGGTGTAAGGCACATTAACACCACTAATATTTAGTTTATGTACAAGATCTAACAAAGGATCATCATAACCTTTGAAAATAAATTCGTCAACAGTCTTAGTAATGGCTAGCGTCACTTTTTTTTCCTTTAGAAAGAAATTAACTCCTCTTTTCACTAGATAATGTTTATATTTGACCATATTTCCAACAGTCTAAAAGTGAGCATAATGAGAAAAATAATCGGACGAAAGATTTTACCCAAGTAACTTACAACAACAATAGGATTTAAAGTAGTTATATTGTCCGATAATGATCCAACAGATTTCTCTGGTAAAAACTTCCAAAGTCTCTTAGTTTGAAAAGAAATAGTTCCGTTGTCATTGAAAGTAATATTTTCTCGAATGTGATGTTCATAGTAAGTGTAAGGACCATGTTCCTTGAAATTTGGTTTAATTGTAATATTTCTTATATCTTCTGGATTGGTCCAATTGAAAAGGTAAAATTGCAAATACATAGGAATCGGAGTTTCCTTCCAGTTGATGTATCCTTTGGTTTTATTATTTGCCAAAGATAATTCCTAAAAAATTAAGAAACAACAAATGCAGGCAAAATGAATTACAGTTTAAAAGAAAATATTTGTACATGAAGTTCATTTTCAAAAATTAAAAAAATTGGTAATTATGATACTTACATGATCAACAATTTTATGAAAAATTCCATCCCACAGTACTGCTATTAAAATACCTAGTAATAAAAATACTCCAGCCAAAGAAAATGTTGTCCATTTTTGACAATTTGTTGTACAACATCCCATATTTATCTGAAATAAATTTAGCACTAAATAAAATAAATTATTACTAATTAAAAAAATAGCATATTTTATATAATATGTATAATACACCAATTTAAATTTCAGGGTTATAGTTGTTATTATACCTTTTAGTACTACATTTATAGTATGGTTTTACCCTTGTTCGTGATAAATAAGATTTTTACAAATAACTTTGAGCTTTGAACTTAGTATAAGAATTTATCAGTTACAGAGTGATACTGATAATGTGATTTGTACCACTGCTATATTAAATTACGATTTATGACAAATGGTAAGATACTCTACACTAACAAATTAAATAAACATTTGAATGATGAACTTTGTATAGGAAATTAGTCATATAATGAAACATGAATCAGTCGGTAATAATAATATAATTAACTATACTTTTAGTTTATCTTGTCCATATATAGGGTGTTTCTTTATGGCTTTATAACTTTTATATGACTCGATGTCAAATTCAACATCCAACGTAAAAAGAACATGACCGATAAGAGTAATTGCATCGATGCCACTTTTTTGGTCATGTCTCCCTCACTATTAAAGATGGGCTCTTCAAACCTTTTATATAATAAAAAGTGTTCTATTCAAGTAAATAAAAATATAGAGGATATTTTATTTAGGAGCAATTCTAGGTCCACATAATGAACTTAGTTACCTAAGATACGAAGAGATGCATATACATACATTTGCAAAATATATTTTTTTCATGATCCACTCATAGACACAAATATGCGCTCTTACTTTTTCACAAAATTTTCATTTTTCTTGATGTTGCAGCATTATGAAGTTAGAAAAATGAAATGTTAATATCAAATTAATATATAAATATACAGGGTGATTCACAACTTATTCAAAAAAATTTGGGAATAGATTTGGCATGAGAAATGAAGTCAATATGTAAACAAAATTTTGTAAAATCCTTATAGTGTCTGAGAAAAAAATTACTGAAGTTGTAGTACTTTCAACCATTACAAAGCTGCACAACTGTGGTCTCTAGCGTCATTCGTAGTACGCGTGAAGAATACTGAAATCCGATTTTATAATCGTCGTTGAGATAATGTTTACAATAGTTTTTTAGTAGTTAGTGTCAAAAATGGCTTGCGTGTATAGCAACTCGAAGTTGATGAATATCGTTTGAATTTATGGTGAAGCATTTGTATTATGGTGAAGCAAGACAACATTTTTTGTATTAGTTAGTAGAAACTGTGTAAGACAGGTCCAAATGTGTTTATGGTGGACAAAATTTTGTAACATCAAGTATGTCAAATTATTTTATTAACTAAAACCACAAATTCATTTTATTAATTAGTAATAACAATAGCGGCAAAAGAAGTTGAATTTGCTGACATAAAATAGATGCTATAAAATTCTATTTATTCCTTTCCTTGCGAAATTCTTTCAAGTTTTTGTCTGTTTTTATCACACCGTGCCTGTCCCATTGTACGAGGTCAGGTTTTACAGTGGACCAGTTTCCAGTGCCGTGTAGTAGTGTATTTTTAAATCATTTTAGAAATGCCCTTTTTGATTTTTTCTTTACAAAATTGTATTTGTAAGAGTTCCCTGTGCATCCTAATTTTTTTTTTTTTTTGGATATGTTCTGAATCACCATGTATATCCCTATGACGATTTTGTAAAAAACCATATGCTTGTATCTATATAAAAAAAAGTATTTCGTAGATATATGCGCAACTCTTTTTGAGATCTCAGGATCGGCCACCTTTATTTTAATGTTCTATATCACAAATTTAATTTCAAATTTTTTCGTCAAGAATGTTCTTTATTTGGCCCTAAAAAATGATATGGGTCCCATGCTTCATTATCAAAGTGACCACTTCAATTAGCATGAGCCTTACCTTAACTGTTTACTAGATACTGCGGGTGTAAATGTAGTTATTTCCCACATGATCATTAGTTAAAAACACCCTGTGTATTAGTGAATAGCTCTCCTATCCCTCCTCTTAAAATCTAAGTTATATGAATTTTATTACACAGTTAAATAAAATACATGTTTGTGGATACCACTTCTAACTTTTCTTTTAATGATACGTATCTTCTTATTTTTATCAATTTTCAGTTCATAATCTTATTGCCAAACATTTTCACTATTACTAAGGACGTTATTGAACTTTGTCATCCTATTGAGACACTCTGATAAAAGTATATTCAGTAAGCAAATTAATCTTTTGTCTAAGATTTTGTAGATAAGTGTATGGAACCTTTCGCTCAATGATTTTTTACTTTTATTTTATTTGAGTTTATTATTTTTACTGTTCATGTTTATGAGTTCATTCGCTAATTTCATGTGCTCGAAATTCCCTAAACTGCCGAAGTAATAATGTTTAACTGCATACACGTAAATTTTCTAAAGATTTTTATGAATAATAATTTTATTTCCTTAAATAAAAAAAAAATAAAAGCATAAAAATAGAGATGAATTTGTTTACTGAACACCCCTTAAGTATGAAGAATTAATCTCTTAACATATTACAAAATCAACAAATATTTAATGGTGATTTTTAATTATTACTTTCAATCGAAGGCCAGGTATCACAAGAAAAGTAACTAATTAAATACGTGTATATACACATAATATACAGGTATGTACTTGAAATATAAGCTTAATAATTTAACTGATCATGTTTGGCGCAGAAAAAATAAACAGACCAGATATAAAAGTAAGAAACAATGTGCACTTCTGATATTTCAAATAAACAGAACTATTTTATAGATAACCTACTTGTACCTAAAACTACAGATGGGATATAAAAATAAGAAACTGATATTTCTGATAAACATAAAACTGTTTATGCCCTTAATATATCAAATACTTGTAACAAAATCTGAATAGGGTTGATGAAGAATGAATAAATTTTATGTATTCATAAAATATTTCCACTTGTTGAAAGTGAATTTTATGAAATAATCTATAAGTTAATCTATGTGAATAAATTAGAAACTCTCATGTTAAAAAATGAATAATCAATTCAATAACACCACAAATGTTGCAAATCTTTACATAATTCTAAATGGAGCATCATCTAAAACTTTCATAAATTTTCACACTTGAACTAACAAGAAGGAATACTTGTTAATTACAATGTTTTTTTTATCTACAAAAGAAAAGAGAGTATTATAGAATGTTTAATTATAATAATTAGTAACGGTTACTTAATATCAACAGACTATTCTAATCCATTTTACGTTGTCACCTAAACTGGGATCTAACTTTACAACATTACAAAGTCAAAACGAAGAGAAAATTATAATGCCCATATAATTTACGAATTATAACATTTTAAATGAAGCATTTTGTATAGTTATTCCAGATAGTGTTAACAATGTTCCAATAAAATTTTATTAACGAAAATTGTACTTAACATATACATGCAAAGTACATATTTATTTTGTTGATAATGATTTGTTATTATATGGTTAGCAATACAATATTATGATTATACAAGAATTTAAATTGCCTAAAAATTCATTTCAAATTACATTAGGTACACCAACAATAATAAGTTACAAAAAAAATGTGTTTCCATTTTACAAGTACTGAGAATTAAACATTAATTATTAGAACTAGTGAGGGGTTTGATTTTAAAAACTTACAGTTTTACTTAACCAAAAAATATCCCACGCCAGCTTTGTTTCTTTTCAATATAGCAGAAATACCCAATTAAATACAAAATTAGTTTGATATCTAGCTGTTATAATTCAACACATATTTGAATAATCTTTTCAATTTTCATCCAATACCTATAATTTAATAGTATCTACTACAATAGGTCATTAAAAAAAAATAAAAATAAGTACAGTTCTAGTATATAGAACACAAAAGTAAAGTATCAGCTTTATTTACTTATTTATTTAAACAAAGTAAAGTAAAAAAACAAACATATTTTTCTAATATTCTTTTTATTATAAAAATGGCTGAAAACTTACATAGTGCAAATTACTTATGAACTTTTTTAATAAAGAGAAAATAAATAACTGACATTTGAGGCCACTCCAAAGAGATAATGACAAATTTGAGATAAGAACAATACACGAATAATTAGTTGTTTGAAGGTTTTAGATTGTATATGAACATATAAATAAATTTTGATTTCATTTGACCAATTTAAATAATATTAATTAGCCATCGTTACACTCACAAAAATGTTTAATATACTTTTTATCAATAATATTTTTTTTTTTAATTAAAATTATGATATGCAAAATGGCTTAAGGAAAGTTCTACTATTGTCAGCGAAATGATACAGCTTGATCTACTTTCTGTAAACATAAATACATTAGTAGTAGCTAAATTATTAAAACGCAAATATAAATGAAGACATGCTTCAATTCTTGGTTGAGCAATGTAAAACTATGTAATTGATTAGTAATTTTTAATATTTATTAATGTAATATACCTAATGTTTTTGTATTAAAAGGTAAAATCTTTGACGTATTCAATTTTAATACTGCCATATTTCTCTACTTATTAAAATTTAATTTCTTCGAGAAAAGGTTTATTTTGTAAATATTTATTACATCTGTCATTGGTGAAAATAATCCAAATAAAAATGTTACAGATATTAGTTTGACAGTTTGAGAGGTTAAAAGATGATAGTGTATAACAGTTTTTAAAATTCAAACCCTGTGATACTTTTAAATAGCCAAATAAAATAAATCTAGCTAATTGTTACCAAAGTTTATTCTATGGCTGGTAAGTATATCAATATTATTTAGATCTTACAAAAATATCTTACAATTTTTTTTTATAATTTATGTGTATATTGATTTTATTACCCTTTATAGAATAACAATTTATCTAATAAGTGATCACATATAACAAGTAGGATTTGTTTAAACAAAATAGAAAGCACTTTACACCATTTTACACTTTCGTTAAAATCTAAATAATAATCAGCTGAACAATTAGAATAACTTTAAAACTAGTCAAGGTCTAAAGAAAATAGGTAACTATATTTTCATATATACAATAGTTAATATAATATAAAATAAAAATATCTCGCAAGCAAAATTTTTCTCAGAATTTATTTTTACTAATAAACTGAACACTTTTTATGAACTGATTTTTCTAAATTAAAATAATTGCATTAATAAATTTGTTTCTCTTTGTGTACATTCAGCTCTCCCAGTAAAAGTAAAAAATCTCAATACTTTTGTAAGGAATTGCAATCAGTATCTCTTAACGTACTTTAAATTCCATTAGCTATAGATGTTGATAAAATCGCAGATACATTAAAATAACTAAATTTGTAAAGAATAATTTTTATGAAATAATAATAGAAAACATTTTAAGCGTGTTTAAAGGAGTCGATTTCTACATAAATAAAAAATTAGAAACAGATTAAGCATTAAATAATGAGAATAAAAAAATTACCTTATTTATATGAGGGTCGAGGAAAAAATCATATTTCGTTACACAAATATTATTTCAATTGAATAAATGACCACTATTTTGTCACTGCTTGCAATACTTATGTAAATTGTCTATTTGTATGTATTAAATTATAGTGACTAGTCACTATCCCCAATGTCAACCGTCTATTAACTTATCAATAATTAACAATAACAATCTGTCAACAAATGAACAATAAAATCAAATAACTATTTAACCTCAAACAGCTGTAGTAAAATGACAAAATGACATGACATTTCACTCTTCTCTCCACTCTTCACTGGCTCTCAGCAACGCCCTCTACACACTATCTCCATTGTTCTCCAGAAGTTTACTTTTTTATCGACATTGCGCATGATCAGCCGTTGTAATGCAGCGTTCACAGAACTTTTACACGCTAGATCTCCACATACTCCACAATCCACAACCGTTTTTCATCTGAAGGACGTTTATTAAAAGTGTAGCCCATAGATTAATACACATAGTGTAACCGCTTCACTGTAGCCCACTGTGGCATATTATAGTGCAATTATTTACTCTAGCGTAAAATGCCCACAACGTCCTAAAAATCTACAACTTTTTAATGGAGTCGAATATCTATTTCTTCTAGACATCATTAATTTTTATAATGTTTGTAGGTCAGAAATTCGTCGTCTGCCATCTTCATCTGAAAAATTGTTTAACATCGCCACATATAAATGTACTAGTAGTTAAAATAACTTTAACTGCTGTAATACATACGGCTCTACGGAAAAATGTTGAATATAAACAAGTTGTTCATACAGGGTGTTTTTAATTGAAGTAGCAAAAATGACCCTCTGTATAAACAACTTAATAAGTGTTTGGAAGCTTTCAAATAAAAAACATCCGTGGTCGTGGTGTGACTATACGTAGTATGGTGTGCTTACGCGCTATGATGACGTCACTTGAGAGTAAGTCACGAAATCATGGCATATATTCGTTTTTCTAATTAATACATCAGAGTCCAGAGCTGTTGCAGTCTCTAATAATCATCACATCATTCATTTTATTATACTAAACTTGTAAACGTTTCTTCACACTTTAAACTTGACACCATATTTAAGGTTACGTTCACGTTTAAACCCTGTACTTAAATTGACTTCTTAAACACAATTCATACCACATGTCAATGTGTAAATTAAGGGCCTCAACTTAAATTGTATATTTATTATAATATATAGCTACCCATGATGTTTTATAGTACTTTGATATTTGAACTGCTCTCAGGTGACGTCATGCGGAGTTTGGACGAAATTGGGCTGGCTGACAAGCACACCATACTTCACACCACTTGACTACAATGCTACTCTACGTATTTTGTACTAGATACTAAGATTACGCGCGGTTACCTTGCGCTACATAATTAGATCATTATTATCACTATTCACTAGTCAAATGGCGATAGAATTTTAACATTCTGGAGTATACTAATTTTGAAACTATATAATTTCAATAGTTTCAATGAATTAACGCAAAATAAAAAAAGGTCGGACAAAAGCATGTCAAGTCAAAAGTAACAAAATTGTTAAAACATGGGAAACAAAAAAAAGGTAATAGCTTTGTTTCAAGTGCATTAGAATTATTTTCCAACAGTCCGACGCAATCGCATTTGATTCAAAACAATGAATTTTGAACCTTATGCAAGCATTATATCCATATGCGCATGCGGCTGACTGTTGAAAACTGTTTTGGATTCTACTAGGAACAAAGCTAATGAAAGCAAAACCGTTTAAAAACTGAGTTAGACTAAATATTTTTATTGTTTGTATAGGTTCCTCTATCGGCCGATATGTTTTCTTAGGATATCTTTAAAATCAAAGATGAATTTATAATTGAGTAATCTACTACATCAACAAGGCTATTTTCATGAAATTTTATGCGCAATGAAACGTTTTCTCCAACAAGGGCTCTGCGCCTGTGCAGCCATAAAGGTTTTCTTTCGTTCGAGGTCAAAATAACCAGCTGTTCGGACGACAAATTCAGCTGATGTTTGTTTTTGGGTGGTGCATTTAACGTGACATACATTTTCAGGTCGCCAAAAGGTGTTATTTATAAATATTGCAATAATCTATTAATAAATTCAAAATATTTTATTAGAATGTATACGAAATAAAATAAATTTAATCAAAAATAGCTCAGTGTATCTATTAATGTTGCTTATGACGTAATAGATGAATCCGTGAAACAAAGGGCTTACTTTGTTGTTAATAAAGCGGATTTAAATCTGGAAAGCAAGGGGGTAAATCGAGTTTCAAAAATAAGTCTGGATAGTGATTCATCGGGGGACGACGGTGGTGCACCGCCGCGTAAAAAAACCCGAAGGACCACGCAGCCACTCGACACAATGCAGTCTGCCAGCAACGGGTGCGTACAAAATGGGGCCCCGTCTTGTAGTAATGGGGCCGCAGAGAATGGACATGGCGACGTTGATAATGGCATCACACTTAACCAAACTAATCAAGAAATTGTGCGACTTATTGGACAATACCTCAAGAATGAAGGATTGATGTAAGTTCATGACCTCTAAAATTTAACAAGTAAATAAAAAACTCTTTGTCATACCTACGCATCTGCTTTAATCTCAAGGAAATTGCTAACTGCGAATAATGAAAATTAGAATTAAGAACAAGTGTATTTAAATTTTAAATGATTTATAAACTTAAAGACCATTATTTTGTATACATATTTACTTAGTATTTGCAGAGTCATCCTATATTTTATCTTTGTTCTAGTTTATTTTTGGTTCCTTATTTAAAATGACCTGTTTATTTTTTTATTTATAAAAACCTTCATACTGCCAAAAATTTGAATGAATTTAATAAAATTGTCTTTTACTTTCACGTAAGAAATTCAAATTTAATCCCCTATAGGTTTAGTAAATAAACAACAGGACACTTTATCTTTGTAAGGTCTTTATTCACATTATTGTCTATTTATTTTTTCAAACGATCTTAAAATATAACTTGTAATTTTGGATTTATAGAAAAACATGTGAATCCTTAATGAATGAATCAGGGTGTCGTTTAGACCATCCCGCAGCGGCAAAATTTCGGCAGCATGTGATGGATGGAGATTGGTCAAAAGCTGATCATGATTTGCAAGAATTGCGACCACTCTTAGGTCACAGTACGAATCTTTTGGTAAAAATTGATGTAATATTGAAATTTAATAAAATTTATATTGTTATGTTATAGGAGATGAAGTTTTTGTTATTGGAACAGAAATACCTAGAATATTTGGAAGACGGACGAGTTTTAGATGCTTTACATGTTCTAAGGAATGAACTTACTCCATTGCAACATAATACAACAAGGGTGCATCAGCTTTCTAGCTATATGATGTGTTCAAGCACAGAGGAGCTTCATGAACGCACAAATTGGTAAATACTTTACGCTTTACATTCTTTCTTTGGTTGTTTATCACCATTATCATTTTAATCTAGGAAGTACCATTTTCTCTTTGTCTTATTTCATATTTAGCTTTAAATTCTTGTATTTGCACAAATTGGCAAAGACCTTATAATTTACAATTTTGTTTGTTTATCACCGTTATCTTTTACATTTAGAAAGTGCCTTTTTCTCTTTGCCTTATTTAGCTTTAAATGCCTGTATTTGGGCTCTGATTTAGATTTAGGTAACAAATGGGGTGATTAAATGTATGAAGTGTGCATAAATATTTATAGTTCGATCATCTGATTATTAAGTCTTAAATGTTACTAAAAAATTAGCATGGTCATGTCCCACGACGTAACGTAACATCTGGCTATTTTGCTTCCCGATTCACTATATATTTATTCAGTTTCATAATTTTTTAACAGATTCTGAAAATTGAGAAGTGTTTTTAAATTAACCAATCAACAATGGATGTTAGTGACATTCACCTTCCTAAAGAATTATTGTAATATTGTTTGTTATTTACTTGAATAGCTTTGCACAAGGTGTTTCAGTTTTCTGGGTAACTTTCAGAACTGATAAAACTAGAACATATAATATGAGTTTGTTTAATAAATTACATCCCGGAAAGGTTTATTCATGCCTGATGGGTCAGCTTGACTAAAATCGTTTATCATAATGATAATAAAAAAAATGAACCATTAAAACGAACGCTGATTATAAATAGGTTATGTAGTTTTTTATGCCACTGTGACACTAAACAAAAAAACTCGATGACTGCTACTTATAGTTTCAGAATATATTAAATTATGTGCAGGTAAATATTCATACACTTGCCTAAACTGTGGAAATCATACTTTATAAAATCATAACAACAGAGTGCACAGTGCACTTTCCGCAACGAAAGTGTGAATAGAATTACATATAAGTCCAACATTACTTCAAAATAGCTCCTTAAAAATGTCAAGAAAATTTTCCAATTTGGAATATGCAGATATTAACTGCATTTATGGATTTTATGAGGGAAATTCATACGATGCAGATGCGAAATACCGTAGAAGATACCGAAACCGAAGATACCCAATGCCCAACTTTTTGTTGATGCTCTTTTGTGGTTTCCCTAATTTGGTTTATGTAACGAGGGTGAGTAACATCGCAATGGGCAGGAAAGGAACAAAGAAAAACTACGAGTTTCTGATGTTAGGATAAGAATTCCGGTATTTGACAAGTTGCTCGTCAACTTCACATGCCGTCAATAAGAGTTTTTAGATACTGAAATGAGACCATAGAAAAGCTTTCCATTTTCAACCTGTGGAAAAGTTAGTGCCTGGGGATATTGAGAAATGGTTGAATTCTATGAACTGATGAAGCTGATGGCGTGGTAAATTTCTATAATTCATGTATAGGTGCACGGAAATCTGAATAGAATTTTCACCATTGTATGGACAAAGATTATGATTTTATTATCCAGTAAATACAAAATTTAATAACTAGCTCTTTTACTTAAAAATTATTAGAATGAAGCTGAAGTAATATTTCTTCGCATGAAATAATAGTAAAATTTTGATAAACTCTTACAATTGTATTTATTCAATAATAAAAGATAAAAAACCCTAAATCTTGGCGTCACCAGTACTATATTAATGATTCGTTTACAATGAACAATAACAAACCGTTATGCCTACGCTCGAGGTAATGTGATCCTTGATTGGTTGAATCTCGTGAAAAATTACACCTATCACAGTCGGGGAAACAGAATGTTGTGTTTTAATGTAATCTTGATCTTAAGTCGGGTTTTCATTGACGAACTGTAACTGTAACTGCAACCGTTAATGCAACCAAATTCCCTAGTGTAGATGCATTACGAACCGAGTTTGCGAGCCCACTTCGAACCGCTCGCAACGAACCGCCAGTTGTCGGTCTTCAAGACGAACACAAAGGGATTCTTAGTTGGCTCATGGACATCTATTTGGGTGGTTCGGAAGTATGTACGCCTGCTAGTTTTGACATTAATTGAAAATTACGGAATTTCATAGCTGCAAATTTCGAAATTTCACTTCTTTCTTCGTAGATTTCAATGCGCCACCATTGTCGAGGACGTATATCTTCAATCAATATGTCTATTAAAATAAATGCAACACTGGTAATCATTTCTCTTGGTACCGATATCACGAGCTCTCTGCGAACATTCCGGATCCAGAGGTTTGCGAGAAGCAAGAACTCACGACGATCTGATACAGTAACGGTTGCAGTTATAGTTACAGTTCGTCAATGAGTTTATTGTTTTAATAATTTTTAATTTTACCGAAATTTAATTGCCAATATGAGGGAAATAAAATTTCTGCTCTAAACAAAATTACTGTGGTTAGGTACCATACTTTTATCCATGACAAAAGTTAAATCATATATAAGCATCGTGTATATAGGTAAATACATATTTTCAGCAGATTTTTTTTGTCAACGGGTTCCTTTCAAAATAAAATCGATCTGTTACGTTTTTCCAAAACTTTTTCTGGGAGTTATTAGGGCTGTTTCGTTTTAATTTTACCATCTATATACAGAGTGGGCCATTAGTGTGAGAAAGTAAAATAACTCCCTTTTTGCTAATAATACAGAAAAAAAGTTTATATAAAAGTTGTACAGAATCAAGGAACCTAAACTACAAAATTTATTTGAAGCATACAGGGCGATGAGTAAAAAGAGACCCGCCGAATATTACATTTTTACATTGTAACCTTTAGATTTCTTGATTCTGTACAACTTTTATATAAACATTTTTTCTGTATTATGAATATCAAGAGAGTTATTTTACTTTCTCACAGTAATGGCCCACCCTGTATATTGGAGGATATTTGTTTAGGTACCAAAATGTTGTAATTTATTATAAAATTTTGTTACAGGGAAGGTAAAGGAGTAAAATCTCGTACAATCTTGATGAACAAGTTGCAGTCCTATTTACCACCTTCAGTAATGTTACCACCTAGTAGACTTAATGAGTTGCTCAATCAAGCATTGGAACTGCAAGCTTTGCGTTGCAGTCATCACAATACTTCTCAGGGTGTCGCCTTACTTAACTCTTCCTTATTAGTAGACCACTGTTGCCCCAAGTCATCTTTTCCCATGTATACTATTCAGGTTAGTTACTTTATTAATCTGATATATCGTAGGTACTCTGATTTTGCTAAGCCTTGTTCAAAAGAAAAAATGATTTGTATGCCATAACCATATAGTACTAATAACTGAACAAAAAAAAAATCATTGCCAACGTTTTAGGTACTGTTCAGCAGAATGTAAGACGTTACAACAATTGTTACTGTGAAAGAAAACCGCATTGAAATTGTTCCATGAATTATACGTACACATATAAGTATCTAGATACCATCTTCTTAATATTTAGAACTGTTAAGTTGGACAAAAGACACTTCAAATTTCGAGCCCTGAGGATGGTGTAAAATAACACCGAAACGTTGGCAATGATTTAAAATATAGTGTTCTTTTATTTATTGATCTTTATCCCACTAAAACCTTGACTTGGATAACTAATCAAGATTGCAAAAAGTGGAAACGTAAAAAATGTATCAGTATGATTTGTATGGAGACTGATGATATGCGTTACTATACAGGGTGGGAGACTACATGAGCACAGACTCCTGAGATCAAAATAAAATAATTTAGACTTATGTACTGAGCCTACTGATATGTAGCACACACTGAATATGGTAGTACAAAACAACTTTTTTTAATAATACTAGGCAATATGTGGTATGTTTTTGGGTTCCTCACCCCATTAACTACCCTAAAATATTTTAATGCATCTGCCAATGGCTCTAAGAGGTAATTGTTTTCTATCGATTTTTGTTTTGGGAAATTTTGATATCCTGTGTGGATTTTTTTTACTTTTTCCATATTAAAACTAAGGAAAAAAATAAAGTCATATTTATAGGTTACTTATTTTAATTGTAGTCAATTGAACTACCTTGGCACGCATTGGGATTTTCACTTAACCCAAAATTACTGTTATGAATATTATTTATCTCGGTTTATATGAATATAGTTGGTTTAGTACTAAATAATAATTTTCTATAGTCTACGTTTTGTTGGGTTAAGCATTTTTGTAAACAAAATAATTTTTAAGGTATTAAATGACCATTGTGATGAAGTATGGTTTTGTCAATTCTCACCTGATGGTACCAAGTTGGCAACTGGTTCGAAAGATACTAATGTAATTATTTGGGATGTGAATCCTGATAGTTGTACAATAACTCTTAGAAAAGTTTTAGAAGGTCATAATTATGGTAAGTATAGTTGAAACCGTTTCTTTACTTATAAATAATAATATAAGAAAAGTTCAAATAAAAAGAGGTGTTAACTTAAATTAATGGAATAGAGAACAGAGATATCAGCAAGTTATAAAAAAGCACCGTAATTTCAGCTTATTGAACAGTTATAAAATTTATAGAAATAATAATGAATAAAATTGATTATTTTATAACACAAATTAATAAACATCAGAATAATGTAAATAATTTATAGAAAACGTTTAATATGGGTAAATTTGATACAGAAATAAAGCAGATTGAGATAGACCCATGTATTGTAAATGTTTGCAACGATATCAAGGGTATATTCAAATATATTAATATAGGCCAAAAATTTTGGAAATTAAGAAATTAATCGACAACATATGCAAAACTCAAGTTATTTTGAAAACGCAGATGAGGCCGAAGTAGAAAATATGATGTTGAAATTAAATCCTAAATCTACACCAGCATGTTGAAAATTCAGTAAAAATTATTTTCTTTGAATAACCATTGTCTAATTTTTAGTTTCGTAGATGACACGGCTTTTTTCTACTCGATTAAAATCCAGGCCTGAACTGAGAAATAAAGTTCATAATTATTTTAAAACTATTAACGTGTGGTTTGATGTAAATAGATCAAATTATGACGAAACTAAATATTTACCATTTACATCATATGCCAATAACTTTCCTTTTTGAAATACCCTTCAGATTGACAAATTCACTGAAATAAAGGTAGTAGAGGTTGTAATGTACCTGGGAACAACTGCAACTAAGTTCATTTAACTTTTATATATTTTTACATTGCGAATTAAAGAATGATTTCATAAAAATACAGATCTAATTTTTTGCTACATTATTTCATATTATGGTAATATGTGAATAGGTGGCAAACATCCTATTATATAAATAAAGAAGAATTCTAGACTTACGGCAACTTCGTATTTTGATCGCACTTATAAATTTGAAAAAATATTGTTTAAGTGTTCAATTCAATTTCCATAAATAACACTTGTAGTCATAGGTGCCGACTTTTAAAACTTTTGTCGGGTGCTCGGTTGCGTTATAAGCATTTTTTTGCCAGATAACATTAAAAAGCAAAAGAAATTAGTCGTCATTTGAAATAGCATGAGGTAAAAGATTTAAAATACGTATTTCTCCGAATTAGATTTTATGAAAAACTTTTTAAAAAATATATCGAAATTAATGAAACTTGTCAAAATAAATAAACTTTATTACTGCTTCGATACAAATTTCAAAAATTTAACAATCTTAATAATTTTAAGAAAAAATAAGCTTCTATGAACAAATGAAAATATAAATATATGTACTATGTAAACGTAAAAGTGGGTAGCACAGAAATATAATATTCTAACAAAACTGATAATAATTCTTGACTTTTGTCGGGTGCTTGAGCCCCGGAGCACCCGAGAAGTCGGCGCCTATGCTTGTAGTAGAAATGTTTGTATAATACTCGTATTATACCAGTGACATGTTGACCACGCTGTTTTCATTCCTGTTACCCAAATTTCAGTTATTATACATAGTTGAGAGACAGGAACGATTTTGTTTTCGATAAATTGAAGATTTTAACTGACAGGAAAAATCTAGTTGATATCATAAATTGCAAATATTTTTTGTAAAATACACCATTATGAACAAAATTTATTACTATTTTTTATATTTTAGGAGCAGCATATATAGCTTGGAATCCAGATTCGACACATTTAATTGCCTGTGGTCCAGAAGAAAGTCCAGAAGTATGGTTGTGGCACATCGACTCCGAAAAATTTATAAAAGTGTCGCAGTCTCCAGAAGATGCCCTCACTTGTTGTGCCTGGCATAAAGATGGCACTAAATTTGTAGTACGTTTTAAAACTTTTTAAAATATGTATTAGGTGTACATTCCTCAATTAGTCCCGAACAACTAGAAATATTTGAAGTTATTATTATTATTATTAGAAAAAAAAACTTATTAATAATTATTATGTGTTTTAGGTTGGGGGCGTCAGAGGACACTTTTACCAGTGCGATATTGAAGGAAACGTACTAGACTCATGGGAAGGAGTTAGAGTACATGGATTATGGTGCAGAAAAGATGGCAAAACGGTTTTAGCATCGGATACACATCACAGAATCAGAGGTTACATTTTTGAGGAAGTTTCTGATCATCAAGTGTTAGTATTTTTCATTTGTAATAAAAATGAAGGAATCGGTGGCATAAGTATAGAAAGACATATTCTGTTTCTAATACAATTATTTATTTCATTTGAAGAATTTGGAACTATTATAAGATTAATTTTTTAAGGCCCCTAGATGATAAGGTTTTTTTCTGTTATTTTTTTTCTTAATTTTTTCGGTTCCCATTATCTCCACGGACTAAAAGATTTATCATTTTGTATGCCAGTTTCTGGCAACTTCCATCGAACAAACTTCTTATCGAATCAATTTTTTGCTTGTTTGATAATAATTTTTTGCTTATTTAAACTATTGAAACGAAAAAAAATAAAAAAAGTTATTTCACAAAATTCTTTTTTTTTTTTCCAGTTACTGGTTTCGTGAACAGTACATTAATTTATATCTTCAGCAAGAAACAAGAGAAAAGAATTAAGATTTTGTAAAATAAGTCCTTTCCTTTTTTTTTCTAACCTACTCGTATTGGAGTGACCTCGTACAATTAATTATCTAAAATATTTTAAAAATGTGATTTAGCAAACGACTACTCTGAGCTGCTGCCGATTACTTACTTGTTTTCCAACTCTCTTATGGGTTCTTGGCGCAAACTACCCGTAATGGTTATCATAAGCTTCTTAAATGTTTTATTATTTTCCAGTTTGCAAGAAGGCCACCCCATTATGTCATTCACGGTAGACAAAAAAGACAGACTGGCACTTTTGAATGTTGCCACCCAAGGTGTGCATCTTTGGGATTTAAACGACAAATGTTTAGTGAGGAAATATCAAGGAGTTACTCAGGGACATTTTACTATTCACTCAACGTTTGGTGGAGCCAATCAAGATTTCATTGCAAGCGGTAGCGAAGACAATCAGGTATTTATTTTATTGTTTTGTTGTGGACGGATAGATCTTCCTACAACTACCATTGCAATTGATGTCAAAGAACCAACGCATAAACTTTTTTGACACCATCAAAATCATTATTTTGTAAATTGAATTAGTTGGATATTTTGACAATGAAACATATGTTTTGAAAACATGCTAATTTTTTTTTCATATATTATTATTTTATTTAAAATTTCTTATTTTATTACAATATTTAAATTATTCTGAAAATTGCTGTGAGATACGTTTGAATTTTTTCATACTGAACTGTACCCAATCTTGTGTAGGTAAAATAGTATTCTGAATTGAGTAATACATAATTTTTTATTTTAACATTGGGTTGTCGGGTTGATGTATGTGTCGATTTGTTATTTTCACAGACGGTGTTTTCTTTTAAGTGCCTTTGATTAATAAGTTTAGTGTACCATGGTGTAGTCAAGTGAAATATAGCAGTTTACATAAATAGTGAAATGGTATGTAGATATGTTAGAAACATATTTTCTGTGCAAGAAATGTTCCAAATGGACTAAGATATAAATATGGCAAAAACTAAAACTATCAAACAATACATTTGGTATACATTTTCATTACAAACGTCAAGAAAATGTTGTTAATTGATCCTATAAACATATTTAAGAAAAGTTGGACAAATTTTGGTTTGATACACATTTCTCGTAAAAGACCAAAATTTAGGCAGAAATAGTTTATTAATGAAAATGGGAATGGCAAGGACAAAAGGAGGCCGTAAACATTTTTTTCTTCCTATTATAAAAAGTAACAGTTTAAGAGTTCTAAATTAACTGTAAATGCTAGAGTTATGTTTGCGGTTTTCAACAAAATCCATACTAAAAGTTGTAGGTTACTCTCGCTCCCACACTCGGCCGCGTAGAGGGGCGTACGGTATTATCAAAGGTTTTCGGGCCCTCGGTCCTTCCTTCATCCATACGTCGTATTTTGAAGGCGATCTGTTCGCGCCTTCTACGTGAAATTTCTACTCTAAGATGAGTCCTCACCGAAACTTGACTTTTTTCGGTAGGAGAGAGATACCCGAAGTATATCCGATATTTAAACAAAGATGGAGACAAACGTCAGTGAAGACGTCAAAATAAATTTTGTCATTTGACACGTTTTCCTGGACGATCGGGCCACGGTGAGTAGTTACATTGCCGTTAGACATCGGTTTTTAGAGACGCAATTTTGGGGAAAAAATTTGATTTCAACATTTTCAATTTTCTGTTTACATTCGTGGAGAACGAACGTTTCAAATAGCCCGTGCACGCTCCCCCCCAGCTTTAGATCGCTGTAGCGCATTTTGTAAACTTATGACTGCGAAGCCGAAGGTCCTGGGTTTGAATCGCGGGCGGGTTACATTTTTGCTTTTTATTTTTGGGAAAATGTTAATATTATTTACCAACATACAGAGAACGCACCGCGGAGCGGTGTTCAAGTCGCACGCAAGGCAGCCCAAGGGCCGAAAGCCTGAGAGAAAGGTCAAGACTTACCTACCTTTCTAGTTTTATTTAAAAATGGTGATAGGTAAAATAGAATAAATTTTGCCTTCACTTAGGTTTACATCTGGCACATAAGGAACGAGCAACCCATAGCAACGCTCCAGGGCCACACCAGGACGGTCAACTGTGTAGCATGGAACCCTGTCTACCCTCATATGTTAGTGTCAGTCTCCGATGACTATACGATAAGAGTCTGGGGTCCAAAAGATAAAATGCCTAAACCAACAGGTACTAGCTAAGGAAGGGAAGAAATCTAGCTCGTAATTTTCTTATTATCTGTTGTAGTGTCTTCAAGTAATGGTGAGTCAAGTAATGGTACTTGGAACGACATGGTTTCATAGTACAAAAATCAGTAAAAAAGACTGACGTGTCATCTTGCATGTTTAAAAAATTTTTATGTGTGGAATCGTAAACTTATACATAGACTATCATATAGTTAACACGGTCACACAAAATGTGTTCTGCTTAGGGGTATTATAGGCGAATGACTAATGACTTAGCGATTCGTCAATCACTGTTTAAGTACCTCCTATATGAAGATGAAACTCAAGCATAACTTTTATCAGAATTTTTCACGTGCTTGGGTTCCATTTAGTAAAAATTATTTATTTTATGTAATTCTATATAAGAATTATTTAAAAAAGATTTAAATAAACTTAGTATTAATTTTTTTGTAATTTTTTTATATGATTTTTATTGGATCTAATATTTTAAGGGATTGTTTTTTTTTGTATAAATTTCATAGTTGCTATTCAGTACATAACAAAAATGGCACTGATTATATCATGAAGATATTATTTCTTCTCATCTCATATCTAGTCCATAATCTTTTAAGTTGCAAATAATAGAGGTCAGTTTAAATTAAAATGCACATAAGGAAATTTATTTTTGTTATGTACTGTGTCGAAATGGGGAGCGCAGAACACAGGAAAACATGTGCATTTTCCATTATCATATGATAAGTATATTGGATAAACAGGTTGATGAGTTATTTTAAATACGTTTTTAGTGACACAGTTTGTTTTGGAAAATATTGGCAAATAATATTTTTTACTGAATTATTATCAACGTTCTGTAGATTGAATTGTATTAAATATAATACTTAGTTTTAATAGTTAAATTTCAATATCGTAACATATATATTTTTTTAAATCCAATTATTAAACATTTGCACTGAAGAAATCATCAAACAAAATAATCTTGCAAGGTTTTTCAATGTAAAACAGGTCTATTCTCACAAATGAGAGCAATGTCTTTTTAAAACACCAAACAAATCATCCATCAATTTACATTTAAGGATACTAAATGGTAGTATGTACTTAATTTTGAAGGTGTTTTAATTGTGTTTTTAATCTTACTAACTAATGATTTTTAATAAACAACTTTGATTGATATATGGATTATTGACGTAAAAATATATACTTAAACTTAAATATTTTGTTAATTTCAGATATCAAATTTTAATATAAAAATTGTTTCAATCAAACTTATTGCACTTAGAAATTGGTTTCTGTTTATGTGATTTACGACTTTAAAATGTCAATATTGGCATTTGGTATATTTATATTCATCATGGGAGATTGCAATTAGACACCAATATCCGTACTTGTGAAGATGCTTTACAAATTTTGGCATATACAGTGCAATAATTAAGTATTATACCTTCTGAATCGCAGTCGAACTAGATACACGTTTACTGATGAAATTTTATTTGATCGCTCGGAAGGCTTACCACTACGTAGTTGGCCGCACATAAATAGCGACACACGCTTCGCCCCAATAAAATTAGGTTTAAAACTTGATAGCCAGACTGTATTTTGTTAACTTTAGATATATAAAAATTGTTACGTCAAACTTTTTACAACAATTAGAAATTGGTTTCTATTTACAGTGAAAATCGGTTAAAACGACCTTCAAGGGACCGTTTCTTTACGGTTGTTATAATCGATAGACGTAATAAGCAATTACATATATTTTATTTAAAATTTTTATAGAAAAAAATTAGAAATTTATAATATATGTCTTTAAGTATGACATGTATTGCTTTGTGTTCAAAAGATCTTGCACTTTTCATTTTCAATGAATTGTTTTCGAATAGATACTTCGAAACCCTTCCTTCGAAACCCAATAGATACCCTTCCAAATTGGTGAAATCATAGTGTGACACGCCATATTCTTTTGCTTGCGTGCATTAGTTTCTCTGTTTTTTAATCTCTATATTATATTTGATTTTTAATTTTTCTTCTTTATTAAAAACTTTTCTCTTGACATCGTGAAAGAAGGTGGTAATTAATACATATAATATAACAATATGTGTAGATAAGTCGTAATTTGTCCCAAACGTACTAACTGGTGTCAACTGGTTTTAAGGCTGTATATCACTATTGGTTGTTATAACCGATAGATTCTATGGTAAATGTATATAAAAACGGGTTGCTAAAGAATTAAATCGGGACTTCCAAATTCCGGCGTTATATCCAATATGTTGTATAAAGCAATGTCGTTATAACCAATTTTCACTGTATATGATTTAATTGACGTACATATTTATAATTTTAAATTGTCATTATTAATATTTGATATGTGCATGTTCATAGTGGAAGATTGAATTGAGACACCAATATTTGTACTTGTGAAGGTGCTTTATGAATTTTGGAATATATGAAATATGAAAAACTGAATCAAATTTGCAGAGAAACCAATAATGATAAGAATTATTTATTTGATTTTTTGTATTCACTGTTTTTCATTTTTATATATCTAGAGAGCAACTAACTTAAATCTCGGTAGTACTTAAAGTAATAACAGGAAATATTTTTCTGAAATTATTGGATTGGTTTGTCCTATTTCACACTCAAAAAAATCTTGGTCCTTTATCGTTGAAAAATCTTGCACCTGAATGATTCTTTAGCGAATAAAAATGACGAGATGTTTTACTAAATTTTGGAACATAGCTAATTATAAAATTACAAATATAATATATTTAAATGATTTAAGTTTTCGAACCAGAATGGATTATGTTTTATAAAAATATGAATATCCCTTTAAAATATTGGCATTATTTAATGATTATTTATGTTTTTAACTGAACTACATAGTCGAATCAAAAAAAAGTTTTCCAATAACTTTTATTAGCTCGAACATAAAACTAATATTATCATTAACAAATTAGGAAATAAATTTATATAGATCTCTCTTCAGTCCAGATACATGCCAGTTTTATTTTGAAGTTAGTGGTTTATTAAATGAATTTAAAATAATTTATTAATATAGAATGGTCTGGAAATGCAGCTGTTTTGTTGAATATTCATTGGTAAATGTATGGTTAAATATGGTGTATTAAAAACTACTGTAAAAAATAATACAAAATAGAAATTATGTGACAGTTCAAAATAATGTTTTTACTTGTAAATACAGGCATATTTTGTTACAAATGTGTGATACTATCATTCTCAGAGATGCATTTCACAGACTTTATTTTATCATTCTGCATCAAAATAGTGTGTGATGACATAAGGTTTTAAGCTAATGGATAAGTTGCGTGAAATGTAGCAATAAAAATAATTATTTTTAATTTAATAAAGTTTAACGCTAAACACAATATCATTTTTTTAACTATTTGTGTCTTAAATTTAATACATATGCAGTTTTATTAAAATTTTCATAATTTTTTTTTAATGTTTATATTTTTATCAATATTGTATTGTGTGATGAAGCCCTTTTCAAACTTCAAGTCATGCTGGTAAGTACATATTAAAACTTTTTAACTACAGAAACTGATTTTAGCACAAATATTTTTGTAATTTATTGTAGACTTGAGAGAAATAAATATAAGTAGGGGTAAAGGGATTGTAACACTTCGATGGCATGTCCATCCAAAGTGATCAAAGATTTGGGGGGTATCATGGAAAGTTGCCGTAGAGTTCTTGAATTGAACTGAAGAAGTAGTGTCGGCAATAACCATAAATAAAAGTCATGATATCTGCTATTAAAATTATAATTAAAATATGCAGTATAGGTAGGTACATACATAAAATAAAACTAAATCTATAAAACAGACATATTTATTAATTAGTTCTCCTAAAATATTTATTGTATTAATAGTTATAATATTAATTTAGATAGTTTCAAAATTTAATTACTGGATGGAATCTCTTTCATTAAAACTTATCTATTAGTCCTTTCAGTGTATGTTCGGTGAGTATTGAGATATTTTTCCTGGGAGTTTATCTGTATTTTAATTTTTTTACCTTTTTCGGGCTTTCATCGAGTTTTAGGACATAACCAATAGATTCACGTTTTTTAACAACTTCTCTTATGTTTGAAGGTTGGGTGTGAGGATTGCATTTCATTTTTTCGGAACCCGTTTTTTTGTTGTGTGTCAATTTCCACTGTAACTCTTCGTTTTGATAAGACAATCTCTTCGTTTGCATATTTTCTTCTAAAATCATCTTCCTTAGTTTAGAAATTTCCGCCTCCAGATTTCTGTAAAGAAATTAATTTTTATATTAAATAACTTCTAGTCATTCAAAATTATACAAAAGTTTGTATAATGGAAACATGGAAATGTCAAATGGACTAAGTGCAATTCCGTATGAAACTGCTTCAAAAATGAAAATACAACAAATTCTTATAAAAATATAAAATATTAAAACAATAAAGAAAACTTTTACAGGGCGGAGGGCCTAAACTAATTTTGTCAAATAAGATAATAATATAAACAATAGAATGGACGCATTAAGAAGTATTATTGATACAAAATTTTACTAAAGTTTTTATATTTAGGATTAAGAAGCCACCCACACCTGGAGAGCTTTTTTTCTTGTTCTCCCAAATTGTTTACAATTTTTTTGCTGGTGTCTGAATGCTTTTAAGTACCCCGAGTGAATTTCTACATTTTTAATTTTTGTTATTTATTCAAATAAAATCCTGCTTTATAAAGTTCCATAAGCACTTTAGGTCGGAAACTGTTCATTTTCCACAGTTTATAAAATATTTTAATCAATAGTATTCATTTTTATAATAATCTATACTGTTAGTTGTAAAAAGTAAATATGATTCCGAAAATGCATAGAAAAAAACTTACTGCTCAGATTCTGATTTCCTTTTCAACTGCTCTTGGAGATCTTCACATTTTGTGCTCAACAGATGCATTTTTCTCACATCAATTTCAAATGCAGCTTCTTTCTGCTTTGCGTCGGCTAAAGCTAATTGCAAACATTTGATTTCATTCTGCTTTAATTCCAATACGATTCTTAAAGATTCCACTTCCTACAATTAAAAATAATTACTTCATTAGATTAAATTTATTGCTGTTAAGTATAGCCAAATTACATTGTATAAATTTGTTAGAGTTACCCACCTCCATTAGCATGTAATTGAATGTTCCTTTATTCTTTTCCTGAATTTTTTTTTTAATTTCCGCTCTGTTGTCGTTTTCCAGATCTTTAATTAATTTGGATATTTCTTGGTCACATCTATCTTCTTTGAGCACTTCGGTAATCTCGTATTCTTCATCAACGAGTACTTCTTTCTTTTTACATTCTTCCTTGAGCAATACGTTTTCTTCATTAGCTTTTTCCACTACTATTTGCTTCTCATTTATTTTAGATTTAAGTGTTTTAATTTCGTCATATAGAAAACGTTTGTCCTCTTCAAAAAGTACTTCTTTGGTATCATACTCTTCTTTAAGGTTCAAATTCTCCTGTTTTACCTTCTCTACTTCAAACTGTTTATCTTTTATTTGTTTTTTGATTGATAAGTTTTCTTCACTCAGAGTAGCCAATGATTGCTGCAGTTCTTGGATATACAGTTTGGAATTTTTATTTTTACCTTGTCGAATAGAAGTCACCTATGAAATAACTCCTATGTACATCACATTGTTAAATATCATTGTAGACAAGGCGAAAACCTCGCTTTCGTGGGAGAAATTTTCCGACTCGATTTTTTTGCATTTTCAGATTCGTGAGACATGAATCAAGATGATGCCGGACGGAAATCTGGTGCCCATTTGTTTAAACAAACTTTTTTAAACAAATTGTAAAAATTGGTTTTCTCACACCGGAAATCATTTTTTTTGGCACATTATAAACAAAAAGTTCCTATGCACTATGCCTCTAAAATTGATGGTTTTAAAGTTATAAACAATTTAAGTTGCTAAAAATGCGAAAATGACGATTTTCAACGGCCGATTTCCGGGTTAAAAATTGTTATTTTTGATGTTGCCAGGTACCTAAATTAAAGTTTAAATATCCCCTTACAAGATGCTGAAGAGTTTTTGGGACTCGCATTATTCTAAAGCCTTGTTTTTAATTGTTAATAAAGCGCTATGAGCCGCGCGCGTACCTCTCCGGTGTCTACTGCTCCTCGAATCCCTTGAAAACTCAAAATTCGGGTGCTTGCAAATATAATGTTTGTGGTATGCACATCAGTCACAAGTGGCGCTAGTTATAGATGTGATACTTCCGTATTCATGTGAGTTTACTCGCATATAAACTCTATACTCTGTACTCTGTGTTATTAAATATCTTATATCATCACGATTAAATTGTTGAAAATGAATTAAAATAAACCCTTGAACACCTTGAAAACTCCTTGAATCCGAAAATCAAAATTTAGTAGACACTGTCTCTCATACGCGGATTCGCTATTTTGTCTAGCGGCTTCAGCTTATGTTCTTTGAATTTAGCATTCTAAGAACTATTACTACTCATAAAATAATATAAAAATTGATTATTTAAATTTCATAGTTCATNCCAAAAACTCTTCAGCATCTTGTAGGGGGATGTTTAAACTTTAATTTAGGTACCTGGCAACATCAAAAATAACAATTTTTAACCCGGAAATCGGCCGTTGAAAATCGTCATTTTCGCATTTTTAGCAACTTAAATTGTTTATAACTTTTAAACTATCAATTTTAGAAGGATAGTGCATAGGAACTTTTTTGTTTATAATGTGCCAAAAAAAATGTTCCGGAGTGAAAAAAACAATTTTTACAATTTGTTTAAAAAAGAGTTTGTTGAAACAAATGGGCACCAGATTTCCGGCGGGTATCATCTTGCTTCATGTTAAGGAACATCTCACGAATCTGAATATACAAAAAAATCGTGTCGCAAATGTCTACCACGAATACGAGGTTTTCGCCCTGTCTATTGAGAATTTACAAATATCTCAAAAGCACAGTAAATCAAAATTTTCTAGAATTACTCATCTAATATTTTAAGATTAAAAAATTGTAGTAAGTAATAATTGACAATTAGATTGATATATTAGATTAGATGAGATATATTTAACTGTTATGATTTATTTATGTAACTTTTATTTCACATTTTCTTAATTTCAACAACAAATTTAAAGCGGACTTACCGTTTTCTTCAGATTCTTTAGTTTTTTATGTATTGTTACCACCATCCTGTCTGTAAATGCCATTTTATGTGTATCACACTGCACTTATTACACTTTTAAACAATCTTTGCAACAACTGCAGCATTTATTATCAAAACATTAATCAGTAATATATATACAGTTACACATTTCATCCCTTTTATATATAAACAGGTAAAGACTAGATAATTAAGTAGGTAATTAAGAAAAAATAATGTCTTTTACAGGTACGTTGCCAATAATATTTAATCCCCTTTATAAATTACATTTGAATTATTATATTATTGCATATTAAATGTCCTTGGAAAATATTATGAGTTTATAACAAATATGTAACAGGTGAGACAAACTTTTATATTAAAATTGTTTTCAATATTTTGCTCACATTATCTATTAATTTCTATAACTAGATAATCTAGAAGATTCAAGAATCTTTTTTTTTCCAAATTAAAATTGTAAGGTAGGTAATTAAAATTTTATATAAGTACACGGACGAACTTGCGACAATTAACAGCAAAATTTAATAACATTGTGGGGGCGGATCCATTTTGGGTGGGATATTGCAAGATATGGGTTAAATAAATAGAAAAAAACTAATGTGGGTGTCGCATGTTCTTTCTAATTCCCCTACATCCCAACAATTCGAATAATTCCCCATGAATCCTTATATATTTTTATTTGTACTTACCAATATTTTCTGCGATTTATACAAAATGGGTTAAAGGTTACACCTATGATAACATTCTGTATATAAAATGAAGATATTAACTACGGCTTTAAGGGTTCTAAAACAGGTATTTAATTCTGAATCCTTTAAAATCCCAGTATTTCAAGTTACATTAATTTATACCTCCCTATTTTTTTTTATAAAATTTGAAATTTCACTATAAGTTGACATAAAATTTTTCTTTCTATTACTTTAATATTTTCATATACCTACATTTTAAAATGGAATCAAATTGTACACTTCTCAAAAATACCGAGACTTATAATTTGAGGTATGGAGAATTTAATGTGCTAAATTAATGTTGTAAGTTATCCATAAAAAAAATCCCTGTTATGATTTTATGATTATCTCTCAAAAAAATAAAAAGAAAAAAATCATAGATCATCTAATGACGCCATAGATTTGGCACTTGGTATAAAATGGGTTTAAAATTTGTATAACTTGATACATTTTTCAACTATTAAAAAGGCGAACAAATATTCAGAAGATAT